GTACTTTAAAGTCTACGTATATTCGTTACTTACCGTTTAGTTTTTTTATAAAGAGAACCGGGAAACTCTAAGAACTCGTTAATTCTCATATTAGATCTTATCTTAGTATTTATTAAATCTAGCGTAATTATTTCTTAATATAAATTAAGGAGAGTAGGTAAGCGTTTACGTTAATTAATTCGGTATCGTCCGTATTAATATTATACTCGTAATTCCTTGTAGACGATAGTTACGTAGGTATCTTCTCTTAGAAGATCTCGTTAAACTTACTTAGGAGATTCTATAGGCGCGGATCGATCTATATTAATTAAGATACGTTAGCTTTTATAGACGTATACGATTAGTTAGGTTTCGCTTAAATAGTATATATTACGCTAACGACGTAGAATTAGTTTAGTATTCGTAGAGCTTTCTCTTACTTAACTTTCTTAATAGCGACGACGGTTACGACTAATTACGTTAAGATATATAGTTAAACCGTAAGTAATTATAGTATATAATACTCGTTTAATTTATCTTATATCGTAATAGCTAGCTTTATCTAGTCGATTACGAAATTAGTTCGTCGTAGTTAATCGTATCTAAGAATAATCTTAAAATCTAAAAGGTCGAGGACTTATACGATAATTCGAGATTTATACTATTCTATTCGTAGCGTAACTAAGACACTTCCGAGTACTTTAGTGAATACTCCGTTCGCGACTTTAATCTAGTCTATATCGTTATTTCGTTTCTCGACTATAAGCGAGGCTTTACGAACGAATATATTTAAGATATATTATCGGTCGGCGCCGAAGTCGATTAAAATACGGACTCTATACGGTATACTCCGCTCTATAATTATTCTCTATATTAAGTATATCGGTATCTATTCGGAGCGTATTATATTAATGGCGAATATAAGGTCGTATTATCGTAATTTCTTATATTCGTCTAGAAGACTTAAAAGAGTTTATTCTAAAATGACTTCCGTTATTTTCGAACTACGTCTTTTCCCGAAAACGCGATCTTAGAGAGTTTACGGCTTTTAGAGCGAGATCGCGAAGAATCTCGATCGTGGTTTCTTACAAAGCTTCGGCTACTACTTCGTTCTTAAGTCGGCGTAAGCGTACGTTTACGCGGATATATAGTTCGACTAGGCGAGCGATTCTTTTCGCTCCGTTATATATGGTTACGTACTTAGTGCTCTATGGATTCGTACTTAAAGTAGATATCGTTATCTTTACACTATACTCGCTATTTCTTAATATTTTTCGTAGAACGAGTGCTTAAGAAGGACTCTTACCGCGTGCCTCTACGAGGGTTTCCGAATACGGTGTAAGCGTAGCGAGTAAGTTCGAATCTTATCGTATTACTATGTTTAATGCGTTTCGCGACCTCGATCTAATAGTATCGATTAACCTAGGCTACGTATACTTCTAAGAATAGTACGTCGTATTATAAGTTCTTAATCATTTTTAGTCGTAATTCTACGTTAAGATCCGTACGAAACTACTTCTTAATATTCTCGTTGAACTTAGACGGAATAATTCGTAAGCTAATATAGACGAGTTTAGTAACGTATTAATAAACGTCTTAACTATTCTAAATTATTACATTCTATTTATTCCTTAGGCGTAATTATTTATTAACGTTCTTAAAGATTCGTCGGAGCTAGTCGTAATAGACGTTAAAGATAGTTAAGAAGTGCCGATAGATTTTAAAGAGGCGATGTATCTTCTTCGTAAGATAAGAGAATAACTATATAATTTTTTCTCGTTCGTCGGCTTATTATTTACGAACGTTATAAAAGTTAATCTAGTTTACGAGGTTACGTAAGTAATCGTTAAGCTTACCGTTCGAGCGGTCTTCGTCGTACGGTTTCGGCTTCTTTAGTTTAGATTCGTCGCCATGGTATACGCGTTGATCGGCGTTATTCTATATTATTACGAGGTTTTCTAAGACCATAGCTAAATAATTTATTTACGATTAATTATTAATTTAGGCCTAAGCTAAGATTTATAAGATAGTAGCTTAGTCGAATTAAGTAGATTAGATATTATCGTCTATAATTACGAGTAATTATAATCGTTCGTAATTATTCGAGATATTTAGTGATAAGTGATTCTTTATATAGATATTTATTTCTTAATATTTTTCTTTTCTTATCTTAAACCTCGACCTTCGAACGCCGAGTACCGTAACGTCTCGTAGGTTTTCGTAAAAATTTTAGTTATCGTGACTATACGTAATTATTTTATTCCTCGGTCTATAGCGTTATCGTTTCTAATTAGTCGACGGTCCCTCGGGTAATTCGTAACTAAATTCGATAGATATAAGCTTTTTTCTTTTTAGTTAGTCTTCGTTCTAGTGTACGGTTTTTTAATAATTAAAGTTAATTTTCTAGCTTCCTTATCATCACTAAGTGAGCTTTTCGTATACTTTTAATACGTCACGAGAGCTTACGAAAGCGAAAGTTCTTCTCGAATTAGTAGTAATCGCCGATAATAACGTATCAAGAAGAAAAAAGGAATAGTTTCGGAGAACGACGATACTTCTATCTTCTCTTCGACTTAAGTTCTCGTACTATAGAGTTAGGGGTCGTGAGGGTTTATAATCTTAACTTTTTAAAGTTATAGAACGAAGTGCTTCGCTTCTATAGAGTATCGTTTAGAGAATCATAGATAGCGTAGCCTCGAGGCAACCGCCTCGAGGCTTCGCCGTCGTTCCCTTAAGTTCGTAACCAGTTGTAAGGTTACGTACTAATGGAATAGGCGTTGCTACCAACTGTGAAATGAAGTGTAAAAGTATATTGAACTATTCTTAATCTATCTGGTCGGGGAGGCTGCTTTTATAGCCATAATTACTAGCGTCTTGGCGTATTTCACACAGGGATGGTGGAAGTAGCAAGGAAAATACAGCCCCTGGGCGCTTACGGTTCCCTTTCAAGAGGTTGATAAGGCTGACTTGGGCGTATCACCGGGGCTGGGTAAGCTAAACAGCTCTAGCGTAGTTGGGTACGTTTCAAGAAGAGGCAGTACGGCCTGAGGTGAGGAGCTCTGGCCTTTACAGAAGCGGGACATTAGGCTATAGCAACAGTCCCCCACCTTGTCCTAACCTTCTATCATTTAGGACAGAAATCATCGAGGTTCAACAACAATAATTGCTACTTTTATGATTACTTTGAATTCCCGAATTTCCTCAGACCCATTAATTAAGGCAGTTGAATATATCTAGCTAAGTCCGCATACCATAAGTAATGAGCGTGCCTGACTGGCTTAATGACTCTCGGAATCCCCCTACGTAGATTGTCGTCATCTATCCTCTCCTAATCTTCCTTCTTACCCTTGTCTGCCACTTCCAGATGCAGGATTTCGTTGAAAGCTTTCCGCTAGCGCCAGATGATTCTGCAGCTACAAAAGAAAACGAAACTTTAGACATAGGAGATACATCATTCATAGAGTACGACTTAATTCCGCCGGGTTATGCGGATATTGTCATAGAGCAGACAGACCCTACGGACGAAATTAATCCAACCGCCGAAGTTCCCGAAGCTCGAGTTCCACTCTATAAGAACGAATCTTCGGGACACAAGAGTATCAGCCAAACCGAAGAAGTCTCACGCCCTAAGCAGTCGAAATACACCAAAGAAGTTCTCATTTATAGCCTCCAAATTCTTCTAGCACATCGCCTCGGAGCTCTAGTCACGAGACGAGTGCAGGAGACTCACAACCTTGTAGACAAATTCCTAGGGTTGCTAGCAATGTCTATCGTTACTTTATTAGTCCTAATATCCCTTAGACATCTGGAGACCTCTAGATCAGTGACACTCCAGGGGTATCGCACACATAGAAGATACGAACCGCTCATAAGTCTATCAGACCCTTAGACTCTATTCGTTGTCTTCACCTTTTTTACTTTGATGGCACCATGGTTAAGGCTTCTTTTTAGCCTGATAGGGTAATAAAAGCTAAAGAGAGAAAAGTTCTCTGTCTCCAGAGAATATATATCTACAAAATAGGTAGACTCGATGTTAAGTGAGAACTCCCTATGATAAAGTTAGAACGCACCTTAAGTGATTCGACGTTCTCAATGTCATATTGTACGTCGTGAAAGATTTTAAATAGAAAGGTGATAGAATTTAGTACCGAAGCGACGTGGGCAGAGAATTATTGCAATAGACTTATAGAGATATATTTCTCTAGGGGCAATACTAGGAGTAGCTCATTACTGGGCAAATAGCAAAGTTTACGTTATCCAACGATCAGTTACAGCTCTTCTTCGCCGGGAGCAACCATTATATTTTTTCTTTCACATTTATCCACTCTATCTCTAGGCTCGTAAGGAGTGCGGCGACGAACGTACTAGTAGAAAGATAAAAGATTAAATTGATTACCTTATTAAAAGCGTACAGGACCTGAGGTAGCTGTTTAGGTGCCACAAACTTTCTAACTTCCCTTGACCCAGCGAAAAGCAGAGCCTAGGTGTTAACATCTGGTGTATCGACCTTTAGCGAATGTAAGAGAACATTAGCAAAGATGGGCATCTAGCTTATCAAATCAAAGCCGAGCCCTTGTAAACCCTAATACGATTTTCAGCCTACGTAACTGGTTAACGGGTGAATAGTTATATATAAGCCTATACCGATGACCATAAGGGTATAATCGATGTAGATAAAGATATTTAAGTGGCCGAGTTTAGTCACCATCCCACCGGAGAGTAAGGTTCCGACTATTTAGGAGAGAAACGTTAGTATATTCATCACTCCGCTGTATATGGGAGAAGCGTCCTTAATAACTTGGAACCACCTAGGAAGGCAGTATATAACGGCGAAGATACCGCCTAAGGCGAAGATAGCCGTTAGCTACTGAAGACGACCGTTTAGCGGAAGAGGAGGTTCATAGGTATTAATACTTAATCGCCCTTATAGAACTACTATACAACAAAGACAGCGATGTTAGCGATGTTACCTCCGAATCCTAAGATAGAGCCGAATGTCACGGATATATAGACCCTCTTATTTAGAGAGTAAGAAGAATCATAACGATAGATAAAATAAATAAAGCGGCACCGACGAGATTAACTTTCTCAATGCGATCTAAAGCTAGCCCATTTTCTAACTTTCTACTAAGAGAGTAGAAGGCGAGAATCATAGTTAGTGTAGCCGCGCCGCCCGTAGACAGATTAATATAAAAGCACCACCTCCAAGAAACGTATTAGATAAAAGCCCCGCTAATGGCGGATCTAATAATTATCGTAACGCACGGGTATACAGAGGTCGTTCGGTTCAACGTGGATATTTTATGAATCACAATGTATCGGAGTGGAAGGTGGTCAATAAATCCTTCGTCGACAACAGACCTAGGAAGTTCAAAGTTTCTATAATGCCTATCTCAGAGTAGACGGCTGGAAAACCCTAATTCCTGCTAATGAAGGCAACGTGGCCGCCGCTTCGCAGAGATTCTAACACGTTCGAGGTTTCGTTCATTTCCACACCAAAGTCCCAGTCACTAAATATAACCAGAACGCAGCGCAAGGCGTTAAGAGCTCGCTAAGCATAGCCTACCGAGAGCGCGAGTATTTCGAGTAAGCGTTTAATATCTTTAAAGAGCTCCTATACATTAACTTATTCGGTAAAGGTGAATAGCTTGATCTGCTCCTGCTTTAAATGAAACACACAGTCAACGAGGAAGCATATAAGAAAATACCCAATCGGCCGTATATACACGAAGCACTATATATAGCTTGTAATGGCTGCGACGATATCTTTACAGATACTGAAGCACGAGTGTTGCCGTTCCAAGTCTCCATGAGATTCCGAAATGTGTGTCTATCGGATAAGCAGCCGCAAAGAATAGTGCCACTAAGAAAAGGGCTAATTAGTGGGCGCACATTATGTCTTTCTGGAAGCCAACTCTACTACTTACCAGGAAAGCTTGCAATTTTTGACGCATACATGATTCCGTCACTCCGCTGACCACATACTCTTGAACCGTATCCCAGAGCAGTCTATCTAGCAACTCCTAGTATTTAATGACTACTTTTACATCGGCCACTTACACTTCTAACCACTTTCCAGCAAGGAGTGCATTCGGCGCAAGGAAATTGGGCTAGATGAACGTCCAGAGCTTGAAGTAGCTGATTATAGCCTCGATAAGCTAAACCTTAGAATTATCGATACCCGATTCGCCCCGAATGGGAAGAAGATCATCGATATTAACATCGTCCGGACGCAGGAGGTACGAAATACCACACTTATAGTGTACACGCTTCTCCTAGAAGTATGGAATCACTAAAAGGCATTTTAATAAAATGATGTCTTCCGGGTCTTGTTTCCAGCGGCTTTTATTATTAAGACTAATACTTCGGGCTGTATATAAGGCTCGGACAGTATACAGTGCTACTTAGCGGAGTTTTTCTACCTCCATCAAGCTACCGGCAGTGAGCATATAGTAAGCAACCACTTCTACAGATCTCCGATCACGTCTTCGAATTCCTCCATCAATCTATTACCTTACAAAAACCAATTATAGCCGGTAGCGGGATCCATCGTACTGGTACTCGCTATGATGGTTTCAGCAAACCATATGATATTGCATAGTATAGCAAACGTAGTGCAGTGCTGAGCCGGAATATACACTATTGTTCGGCGCTCACTATACGAGAGCGGCTATAAGGCGGAAGCTATTCTTTATTGAAGGCAAGCATTGCGAAAGAACGGGAAAAAGTCTTCAAACTCAGCTAAGAGATCAAGATAACGTCGTAATTAAGCTGGTCCGGGTAATGTAACTGCGAACGTTTTGTGGCCCTAAGCAAATATGGATTCGTTTAGGAACCAGTCGGCAAGCATAGCGGCTCTAATAACACCGATCTTATTGCTATAGCGAAGGGACTCGCCCAGACATTCGAAGAATTAAATATATCCGTGTGAATTGAACCTGGTATATTATCCTCCTACTTAGAAGAGCTGATGTCTAGGTCTTTTAGGGGGAAGAAACGATTTGAGCATGGTTGAGCGCTATTGTCCATAGCTAAAATGTTCTGCTACTAGGCCGTTTCAATCATCAAGGTAGATTCGGGGGGTCGTAGCGGCTGCTGAAGTGTCTGCATCTCTTAAGCTCTAGTACAATGGTATAATGGTAGCGGATACTCACATAGGTGATTCTGAAGAGGTGGTTAACCTTGCGGTTGACTATTCGCAGAGCCTCAGTAAGCGCTTAAGCGTCGCTCGCGAAAGAATCATCGGCCTAGACAATCGATGTTAAGCGTCCAGCTTGTAGAGTCGCGCCACTATGGCCCGAATGTTAAGCGAGATTCCTATGACGATGTCGTAGTTAAGCACTTACTTTAGTCTCGGCTTCAGTCGAGGCCGCTTGGCTGCCGAAGACTAATGTGTATCGTTGTCCCCAGAATACAATCAACTTCACGACTAGTGTAGCTAGGATATGGGCGAGCCTTAGTACACTATTCTAGTCAGCTACTAGTACTAGGGGGCATGCAAATAGGAAGATTATTACTCGCCTTAGTTTTACGCCTTTTAGTATTCCACACTAAGAAGTTAGTAGTGATTAGTCTAGGCGATTTTAATTAGCTTACTAAGCTCTAGAAGCGTAAGGCCGCCGCTTCGTGCTTAGTTGTGACATTTTAGAAGCTTTCCAAGATATCAAGTCAGCCGTTTTCTTTTCTTTTTTGCGGTCCGATGACGAGGTAGAAGAAAGATGGTTCTCGGAGATGGGTGCCGAGGGGCGAGAATAGATAACCTGGGGAAGGCGGTTAGATGATGAGAGAACTAGAGCGGGTCTTTATCGTGGCGCTCTCGCGCCTGGGCCGAGTCTCTACGTCAGCTAGAGTATATTCGTCCGGGCTGGCGTAACCTAGTTAAGAGATTGGCGAGGGGAAGGGAAGCTTATTGGGCAATACTAGTCGTACTGGGTACTCCGAAGTCCTATACCAAAAGTTTATGTCCCGCACCCGCTTTTTCCAATTGACGAGTGCGCACTTAACGCCTACCGCCCATACAAAACCCCATGGCGACGAAAGACCTAAACTATAGACTAAAGACTTCTCGTAGGTCCGCCATGTTGCCCGTTCGATGGAATCGACGCCACAGCATGTTGCCCAAGTTTATTAAACACTTATTCCGATTTGAGTCGTTTTCGGCCATGGCATGGACTGCCAACTCCATTTTTGCGGATCGCTTCAGCTAAGTCCCCCATATTACCCGTCTGTCCATATCTACTTTCTAATATGACCGCCAGGTCGTTTAGGTAGGCTGCTAGATCCGGGTCGCTCTTAGGTAGAGCATCAATCGCTCGCTCTACTTCGCGATCGCGTCCTTGCGGCTCTCTATGCTTGCGTCCGCCTTCTTTCGATTTCGTTGTTCAGTGTCCATGTATATAGATCTTCAGCTCTGCCCGCTTTGCGCTCATTGACGCTAGACTATTTACCTCGATTGTAGTTCAGTCTCTTACCGGAAGTCGCGAGGAAAATCCACTAGTGCCTAGTGGGGAAAGGTACCTACGGTTGTTGTAAGCTGTAATCGAGGAGATGTTCGATATTGAAGTGCGATGGCTAGGTGCAGGGGAAAGTGATGAGTTTCGTTAAATCTACGACGACTCTTATAGCTTAAACCTTTTCTGAGAAGCGTAAATCTAGTAGAGAAAAGCTAGTTAGTAGGTTAGGCTGTCGGTGACATTTATCGTCTAAAAGCTAAGGGCATTTAGGTCAGGGTGACTATTATCGATTGTACCGATGATATATCAATAGATGGGGGGTAGATGTAGTATAGGGCGGCAGAGACAGCATCCTAGACGTCTCGATACATTTTGTCGCAGAACGAGCAGTGCGACATCTTACGCCATTTAGCTGCAGGCATTGGCGTGATTGAAGCGCTAAGGATATCAAGGTGTGGCGCTGGTCACGTGGCTGTGCGTGGCGATACGTTACTTTTTACACGCCGCCGTACGTACTTCGGTGGGGCAATTAATTAGATACACTATTTGTGTCATTACGAAGGACTATGCAGTAATGGTGATACCACGATAAGATCCCATTGTCGACGATTCGTCATTGAAAGTGGAACTAGCTAATGCAGATTTAGGAAAAGCGCCTGCACTAATATTCTTGGCTTTAGTGAAAGAAAGTTGTAATGTGTCCGCAGGGGTCTCCCAATTTCGCAACTCACTGTAGGTAGGTTTCGGGAACGGCTGTATGTAAATACTATACTATAAACTCATTCATCGCCAGGATTAGGAAGACGTGTAAGTTAGGCAGCAGGCTTGGCTAAATGAATGAGGGCTACAGCTGAGCAACTATAGCCGAGGGCAAAGGGACCCTGAGCCCGAACTGGCTAGCATCGGGCCAGCACCCCCTGTGAACTCGCGCAGTGCTCGGACGTGCTCCCCGGGGCTCCCCCCGTGCTCTGCCGTCGCTCCCTCGACGCTCTCCCGTGCTCGGCCGGGCGCTCCCCATGCTCTGTCACGTGCCTGATTAAAGCGGCCTGGCTCCCTTTCCTGAACGAAAATGGCAATGGACGAAACTCGGTTCGGGGCATATATAATGTATATATATGGAAATAGGTGAGTGTTGAACATGCGTGTTGTTGGCGGGTTTCTCTCTCTGCGAGATGGGCAAGGATTTTGATTTTTGGCCCCCGTACCTAGGTATACGGGTAGCTATATAGGTTGGTAGTTCCTCCATGTCTCTCATGTTGTCGCACGCTATGACTTCCCATCCAGCTTCGTAAACGCCCTGGGCCCGCCGGTGATCTGCAGCCAGTTTTTGTCGTCGTAGTGCTCGCGGCCCTCGATCAGGTGGAACGTGTAGATGATGCGGCCTTTGGCGGACGTGTTCTTCTCGCTCTTGTGCAGGATGTTGCCGTGGATGAGCACCAGGCTGCCGGCCTCGACCTCGCCGAGGACGTATTCCTCCTGTTCCTCTTCCTCTTCCTCCCCGCCCTGCCGGCCGCCTTTTGGTGAATCGGGGTGCTCACAGTCCCGCGGCCACCGTCCGGCTTCGTCGTGCACGCTTTCAAACGTCGTCCCCGCGGACCCGTCGACCTCGCGCCGCACGAAGCGGTCGCGGATCGGCACCCGTCTGTGGCTGCCCGGCGCGAAGCTCAGGCACCCGTTCTCCGCGGTCGCGTCCTCGAGCGCGATCCAGAAGCCCACGGCCGACGGCCGGTCCGTGTACAGGAACGTGCTGTCCTGGTGCGGCGGCACCGCGCCCCCGATCTCGGGCTGCTTGCAGATGACCATGCTCTGCAGCAGGCGCGGGTCCTGATACCCCAGGTCTCGCGCGATGGCGGCGTTGCGGCGCCCGACCTCTCCCATATGCGACACTGCTCCAAACTCGGGAACCAGCCCGTGCAGGTTGTGGCCGATCTTGTTGATGGCCTTTTCCTTGGGTTTAGTCAACTCCCCCGTCCCCGGCTCGAACGCGTCCTCCTCGAAGAAGAAGCGCACTTTGTCCCCCGACGTCAGGAAGTACTCGTCCCCCACGTGCTTCTTCTCCGTCGGCTTGCCTGTCGAGTCCGTCCCCGTGGTGAACCGCGTCATCGGGTGGTCCTCCAGCGGGAACTCACGCAGGAGTTGGTGTGTTTTGGAGAGGAGTGTCTGGCATGTTTCGCGTGGGAGGTATGAGGGGATTATTAGGTAGCCATCGCGCTGGAACGATGCGACTTGTTTGGGTGTGAGACCGAGGAGGGGTGTTTCTGATGGCAGCGGATCTGGGGAGATTCTTGAGGGCGCCATCTTCGATCGCTAGGTGGATAAAGGTTCGGCGTAACGTAGATTTGCGACTTTGCCAACAGGTACGTAGTGTCACCGAATGCTATTAATGATGTACCGAGTACATATGTCTAAGGGAAAACTGCGGATTGAGACTCGACTTCCCGCTGTGACATATCCACGGCGGAGAACAGCGCGGGGAATCCCAATCGCCGCAATACATCTGAGTTATGCAACCACGTACCGAAGTAGTATGTCCCCTATATCGAAAATCCAGCGCAGATGCCCTTTTGACCCTGGAACCTCTGATGCCCCCAATGACAACCAGCACCCCCTAATTCAATCTAACCGTCGTTCCACCAGCTTGGGCAGAAGGTCCTTTGCCACGTCTCCTTCTTTCCCAAGCAAGTTGGTGAACTCCAGGTGGTTGACAATCTTCTCTATGTGGCACACTAGGTAGTCAGAGACGAGATTGCGCAGTTTGTCAATTTGCGCATCGCATGACACCGTATTTGCATAGGTGTACTTCAGCAGTTCGACAACATCGTCGACCCGCTGTGGATGCAGTTTGAACCTTGACAAAGTGAGCCGGAGCTTTTGTAGCACAAGTTCCTGGAGCGGCTCAATGCCATACTTGTCAGAGAAGACATAGAGTTTGGCGTAACACAGGAAGACCGGTGTGTAGTCCTGGCAGGAATCTTCATTGACTTCCGGCTGCCACGGCTTTGTTTCCTTCATGTATGCTTCACTCTTAAAAGAATCCCATACCTGCTCACCCTTGGACCTTGATTTGTTCTTCTTGGACCGCTTGCTTTGGGGCACCCAGCTATATGGGTATTCGGATGGCTCTTCAGGTTCATCTGCTCCAGGGGATACCGCTGGCTCAGAAGGTACCTCTAGGTATTCATCCACAGCAGGAGCTGGTGCTGCATAGTCCAGGTGATTGGAAGAATCTTCGACGGGGGTGTCTAGTTCGGGAGAAACGATACCCGGCTCGGCGGCAGCGTAGTCACCAGTGTATGCGAATTGGATGACTCGAACAAAGGTGTCCTCATCGATGTCCTCAAACACTGCATAACGTCTCTTTGCCTCCGCCATACCACCTTCGACCAGAGCGGCCATAAAGCTGGAAAGCCGGGTGGCGAGTTTGGCATGAAGGTAGAAGGGTTTTGCGGCTGGGCCAACGAGGAATTTGAAAGGTTCCGAGTCGGCGAAGCTATGCAGCATGAGAAATCAGTCGTTTTCGAGGGGGATGTCGTTTGCAAACATACCTCTCATAAGCGATGTCCATGACTGCGGTGCGGCCGAGATCAAGACACTGCTGAGGAAAGAAGGAGGGCATCAAGGAGACTTACCGGTCGTCCACAACATAAAATCAACAGTAGGGTATGTAGGAAGCATGGTAAGGTAGGTAGAGAGCTTTCATTCCCGACAAACTGCGTGAAAGGACGAATAAATCGAGGCTCCCAGGTGACACGACATGGAGTGACGTGTGCGACCGGGCCAACTCAAAGGGGATGGTTGTATTTCTGTGTCGTTTGATCATTTGCTAGCCTTACTGTGCAGCATGGAATGATTGGGGTTGCGAATGTTCTTTTGGCGATCGTTGTGGAATGGGCGACAGTGAGGCTGAGGAGAGTCGAGATGTTACCCTGTTTGGAGTAATATGGAGTGGGTCGTCAGAGCCCGTCGAGCCGTCATAGCTATCTAGGGATGCCCCGAGCCCCGCCATCGACCCAAGCCCGCTACCCACCAACCCACCAACCCACCAATCCACCATCCCACCACCCCACCAACCCTGGAACCCTGGAGGCCACCAGGCCTAACAGTAGTGAGCCTCCCCTGTGCCCGCCTATCCTTAACTGGAAGCTCTGCTCCTCGCCAGCCGACTGGCCCTGCACCAGCTTCAGCCCCCGCCGAAGAACTCTATCCGGCATCCTGCGTCCTGCCCCTCCTTCCAAAAAGCTTCCAGCCGCCTGCATTTGATCGAGAACAGCTCCGAAGACCAAAACAGAGGTGGCTGGTACAACAGCCGCCGCCGTCGTCATGGTGCGAAAAGACTCTCATCGCATGCCAACCACGCAGGCCATGCACGCTGCATGTCTGTCTCAAAACCCACGCCTTCGTCAGCTCGATCCAGCCAACTACTCCGTTCGTACCTATCCCACGTCCGAGTTGGAACTGTCTGGTTGGGGGTTGTTTCCTTTTCAACCTTTCGCTCAACTAACGCCAATGTCGTCTCCTCGCTCAGATGCTATTTCCATCGCGTCGTGAACACCATCTGATTGCCCCTCCTCCTTCTCCTCATCCGTCTCCATGCCGGTAATCGAGCAGAGGGCGCCGGGCCAGGGTTCGGTGTATCCGGCTGTCGTGGAATCGACAACGGCACAGAGTCAGTGGTTAAGCTACACGAGCACCACGGAGCAAGCATGGGCGACCACATCGACTCCAGAGGGATGGGTGACAAGTTACACAACCCAGACCGGCTGGATCTCCAGTTATACCACCACGACAGATTGCAACTGTGAATGGCCATCCTCCACACCCATCATCGTCACTCCAACTACGACAAGTGTGATCCCCGTTCAAACCACCACGCCTGCAGGCGTCATTGTCGTTGACCACAGTCAGCATGGCCTATCGCCCGGCGCTGTGGGCGGCATTGTGCTCGGCGTCTTCTTCGGCGTCCTCTTACTCTTCCTCCTGTGTCTCTGCTGCTTCCGCAACTACCGTGGCCGCAAGTACTATGCCAGCGACTCGTCTTCCTCCTCCTCTAGTCACTCGCCGCGACGAAAACCGCCTGTGGTCATCATCGACCCTTACCCTAATCGACCCGAAGCGAATCTCACCTTCGTCGGCGGAGGGAACTACCCGGGCACCAGGGTCATGGTCACAAAGACGCAGAAGATCTTTATACGGCCCCCGCCCGTCAGGCAGGTCAGAACAGTGAGGCAAACGAGGAGGGCTGAGAAAATTGTGGTCGTGGAGGAGGACGATTGAGCGAGCGGGAACAGCCTGAGCGGAAATGGGGATTGACGGGGATTCCCCCCCCCTTTATCTCAACGGCAGGGGTGAGTGAGTGATGTATTATGATAATGACACGAGACTACGGAATGAGGAACGGGGTCTGAGGGTGGGCAATTCTGACATTGATGAGCAATGACGGCATGCACATATAGGAGGGCCTGAAATGATGTGGGTTTCATTCTGTTTGCATTTAGTTACGCAGGCCGGTGGAACGAGACCAACCGAACGGGATCGAAGGGAAGGAAGAAATCAGATTTAGAGACCGCGCACCACACCATAATCACACAAATTACGGAGTGGTTATATGAATGAAATCAATAGTAGATACACACAACCATTTATATGGCAAGAAAGCTTCCTGTCGTCAGCCGTTCCGAACATCCCTGAGAACCAAACCAGACCAAAGCATCAGTAAAAGAAAGACGCCTTTCGAAAATCCCAAGTAGTTACACCGTACATAGCTAGGCTGCATAGCCACACAGCTAGCCAACTAGCTAGGTAAGTGGCTGAGTCTGATGTACCGAGTAGATCATCCGTCCGTTCATTTCCTGAGAAATCAACCTAGGTTCAATGGCGTGGTGGCATTGTACCAGTTGTAGGACATGCTCCTCGCATGCCCATTCGCACCGGCTTTGGAATTCGCACCCGCACCTGTGTTGCTTGGTGGTGCCATCGGGAGAGACAGGGGCATGTGCATCGACATCGGCATGGGCATGGGCGACATCGGCGGCATTGGGGGTGGCGCCGCGTAGTGATCGTACCGGGGCATTGGCATGGGATAGTAGTGCACTCTCGGTGCGGCCGGCACGGGCGGCGGAGGACGCCTGGCTTCGAACGCCGGAGGTGCTGGTCTGTGGTACGACTTGATTGAAGGCGCGCTGGACACGCTGGACACGCTGGACGCGGCGCTGGACCTGCTGGACCTGGAGGAGCTTGAGCTGGAACTGGAACTGCTGGAGGTGGAGCTTGAGTGCGAGCTGGGGCGCGAGCTAGAGCTGACGGAGGAGTGGCTGTCGTCATCATGGTGATGGTGGTGTCGAGAGGATCTTGATCTTGACTTGGATGACTTGGACTTGTGCTTTGACTGTTCTGCTGGCTCGGCCGGTGGTGGTGGTGGAGGAGGAGGAGGCACATGGGTCTTTGGTTCGGGAACTTCGTCCACGTCTTCGTCGTCGCTCGGGTGAAGAGCCCCGTGCATGACCGGGGAGGAGGAGAAACTCCTGTCTGCTGCCCTTGCATTTGCATTTGCATATGCCTCGCCTTGTCGTCTCAAATTTTCGGGACTTGCACTCAGGTCATACGGGAACTGAGCCCTGCCTTTGACATTCCCTCCGCCGCCGACATTGATATTGGGGGATTTGCTCCGTTGACAAGCCAAGTATGCCAACGGTCCCCGAAAAGCGGCAGTGGGATCGCGGTTTACTGGCCGTTTACGAGGCGGAGGGGGCGCAACTTTGACCCATCCTTGCGGAGTGAGGATTGTTGGCATTATGAGTTGATGTGAGAGTCTCAAGATGGTTGAGGGAGGAGCTTTATGTCAATGAGACGCACCTTGATGCTGTGGGCTTTAGTGTGGGAAAGAGAAAAAGGGCTTGAGCACTCGTGAACAGGATGTCAGATACAGAGCTTTGCGTGGTGGTCGTTGTAGGTCGTGTCCTCTGAGACAATTTTGGAAATTGAACTCCCAGCCACATGGTTTTGACTGGGGGTTTGACGAGGCTGGGAGATTCGAAGCCTGGGCCATCCCAGCATCACCACTCGACAAATCACTGCTTTCGTCGTCGTGAGACCCGGAGGGCAATGACGAGTACAGGGTATCTGCGACATATTCACTGGCCTGCATCCATCCAACGCATACCAGGTACCAAGTAGAAAAAGACCGTTTATTACCTTGGGCTGCAGGCAAACTGATACAGGGGCCCAGCCATGTCCCAGCCTCGCGTGTTTTTAGGTGGGGAAGTCCGTCACGTGGGATCCTGGCGGCTGCAACGGTGGATCATGGGGGACTCGAAACGCAGAGGCTGAAGCCTATCCGAGATTAACTGCTGACTTGTCTTGGTTTCCATGGAGTCGTCAGAGTTGTTTCGGGAAATCTGTCTTGCTATCGCGGTCTAAAAGCAATGTCTAGGTCTCAAAAGAAACGATAGATTGACCCGACAACCAGCACTCGCACTCATCCACAATGTCCGATGGTTCTGGTGCTGCCGATAATCTGGTCTGCGAAAGCTGAGGCCTCGGATGACCGGGACTGACATGAGCACTTCAGACCTTCATTGTTTACACCTGGAAACGCTGAGTAAGACACTGGATTCGATAGGGAAAGTAATTTTCGTATGTGGACATTCGCGCCTCTCAAAACACCGCCGTTGGATGGTCACTGGTGTCCTCCCTGAATGCCTTTTACATTTCCACAGATATGAGATGCGGCAGACCTTTCAAGATACTCGGCGTGTTTCCCACCGCCAGCGAGTCGCCACAGATTCGACTCGGTTTCGACGGTTTGCGGGAAGAGACCGGAAACATCGTCCGGGAGGGGATTTTTGTGCTTGCTGATGCTCTGTTTTGAACGGCGTTCGATCCAAAAACTCTCAAGGTTTTGGTCTGCCGGCTTGATCCCAGACCGAATAACCCTAATCCTGATCAAGTCTGGATCCAAGACCCGTAAGCACTGCTACCGTGAGCACGAAAGACCATCAATATCAATGTTTGCTTACATTCGGAAGTTTTGGCTTTTCTGATCATAGGAAATGAAATTGCATGCGAGCAGCTGCATCCGCCTGTATTCAAGTATGTCATGACAACATGGAGGATTGGAGCCAGTGATCCCTGCTTCTTCACGGGCCATGGCAAATTCCGCAAGGTCAGCCAATCCTGTGTTTTGCCACAACCCTTCTGTCCTAGGGTGAAATCGCATCAACTCAATTGCGTGCCTGTGGACAATGGGATCCCGGCAATGAAGCCGGTTACGGCAAGGTATTCTATGCAGAAGCCAAGGCAAGTATTCACACCAGCAGCGTCTTCCATATCAAGCTTGTCGACGAGCTGTGGAGTCGACGCGAGCAGAGCTTGGAACTCAGACAAATAGTTGTCGAACATCATTCGGATCGATATATCTTCGACTCCAGCCGGATCATGGTGGCCCAATATTGTATCTGAAGGTAGTAGGCTCCGATGTCGAAGTGGCAAGAGGATAAAGGAGTGGAGCAAAAACAAAGGCTCTCTCTCACCCCGCAGTGAAACCTGTTGAATGAATCATACCATGCCCGCAGCAATATCCGACCGTCATGAATGATAGATTGATCGCTATATGGCCAACTGGCGCGTTCGTGGAGGGATTGCAGTCTGCCGCACAGACCATGAACTATTCTGTAAAAGTAAAAGTGACTTTCTCGAAGAGATTGAAAGCATTCTGGCACATCAGAGAAGTTGCTTTGATGTCCTGTCGCGGAAGTAGTAGAAACCCCAGCGTTCGTCCTTGTCTTGGGGTATTTCGAAGAGAAGAGGTCTCAGGGCGATATAGCCATCACGTCGTCGTCCCGTCGAGCTACATTTCTCGCAGTTTGGCTTTGTCTCGTCGCACCGGACCTTCCTGGCTTTACAGGTGACGAATCCGGTGCGAACCTTGGGAGCATGGCGCCTTGAGCGCTTGTGGATCAAGGCTAGCGAGTTAAGCATAGTTTACAAGCTCGTTTATATTCGATATATAGCCTTCTAATTTCGAGACCGTCAGTCACTCTGACTTGATCTATCATGGCCCGGTGTGAACGGAGGTTCGCATCTTTTAAAGAACATCTGGCATCGAGGATCGGAACGATCGCTGTTTGTAAGCGAGAAGCACATGGCCTGGCAGCTCCTGTGCCGAATGGCAAGGCGTGACATGACAAGGACGATCACTTTGATTCAGCACTGGATGCCTGATGATTGTATGTAGTGAACCCTGTGGACTGAGAGTTTGCAAGGATGGTTGTAGTCGCCATTTTTAGAAATAGATATACATACTTCGTACTTTGCCGCAAGGATCTACGGCAGATCATAGATTGGGATCCTGCCATTGGAGCCTCGTCCAATTTTCACTCGGGAACTTCGTGTCACCGCGAGTGTGAAGAGAAAGCTTCTGGTTCAATGTTTGGTTTCCGTAGCGCCACAAGCATATCGAAGATGCCTGCTGCCCGTGCACGCCAAGAGGTTTTTTAGGGCCTTGGCACTTGAGCGTCTCCTTCATACGAGTCTGATACGAGGTACCTCTCCTATTATACTTGGTACATCCGTTCCCTACACCCATCCTGCCCATCATCTCGTCCTACGGCTCCTCGACCATGTCCTCCTCTGCCGCTGATGCGGCATCTCCGAGTCCTTCTCCCTTCAATTATATTCTCTCATTTCTGCTTGTCGGCATCTGCTGGGGCTTCACGACACCCTTCATCCGCAAGGCCGCTGTCAACTACACAGCTCCATCCCATCCTTCCAGCACCGACCCGACCCGATCCTGGATCTCGCGACAGATTGCGAAGGCGTTCTTCACTGTCGTGGGACTTTTGAAGACCCCGACTTATGCTGTTCCATTGCTTCTGAATTTAACGGGGAGTATCTGGTTCTTCTTGTTGGTTGGACAAGCTGGTATGTAGACCCTCCCTAGCGTGCAATCTGCCGATCTTGGAAAATGATGTCTATCTTACCTGTCATTCTTCCTCTTCAACGCTGAGGCATTGCTCAACATTGAAGCAACTAACCGGTGTGCACAGAATTGTCTCTCACTGTACCGATCACCAACTCTTTGGCGTTTCTTTTCACTGTGTTGGGGGAATGGTACGCTGAGGGCAAACTCATTTCGAGAGACACCTGGCTGGGGATGTTACTGGTATGTGGTGGCATCGGACTCTGCGTATGGTCCAAGACTTGACCTGGGGTTAATGTAGAGAAGTAATTCTGGACTGAGATAGGCTGGGGTATAGACAACTATAGATCGAAAAGTGAACATAAAAGGCGGAAAAGAGCGCAACACACCACCATTGTAGTGGATTTAGGACTGGCCCTCATCTATTCAATGTTCTCTTGCCTGAAGTCTACCTCCAAGTCGCAAGGAACTCCCCAGTGTTCAAGCGTTCATCCAATTTCTTTGGGGTATCTCGCCATTATGAAGCACTCGTCACCCAGCGTATATGTACACAGTATAATATAGAAACCGCTCAAAAGTCGTCATACAAAATGCCGCTCGTCTATCATCATGTATTGTGACCCTCCGTGAAATCATACACCACGGAACTGCTTGGAGTTAGCAAGAAATCGTTCAATCGAACGCGATCGACTTACCAGCCGCACGATCAAAAACCAACACGCGCCAATGAACCTGAAAAGGGACAAACCCGCCACCGACCACAGGATGACCGCCAAATAAATGGTCGAGTTCTGTTGTGCCGTGTCGCCGGTATCGATTCTCTCAAACCCCGAAACATTCAGCACGGCGGCTACTAAGATAAAATTCGTAATCATCCAAGCCGTGACGACATTGCTCCGGAAAGACTTGTAATAGTCCTCCTGTTTGTCCGCCGGACTCTGTGTCCTCACCTCTTTCTCTGCTTTTGTCGCAAATCGCTTCAGTTCTGCGTCATATTGGGCGTTCAAGTCGCCGTCATCTTGAGGAATCATCACATCAACCATCCCACCGGGCTTTACATTCGCACTTGGAAGTTTCTCGGCCTTGTCATCTCCTTTGGTGCCCCAAGTAATGTCATGAGTGTTGCAAAATGCATAGATGTTGAGGACATTGATGTAAGTCGGAGTAAGGACAATGTATTGAATGAAGCACGTGAACATGTGCCAAGGGTCGAAGAACAAAAAGCTCGCCACGAACCAGAGAAGGTATGTGCTTGCAAGGGATACAATCAGGCCGAAGAAGGTGCTGTTATTAAAGATGGTCGAAAAACTGAAATCCTTTTGGGCAACCTCGGTCTGGATTGACCTCACTGTTAAGTAGATCGAAGCAAAGGTTAGCCAAATCATGAGTATCGACCAAAAAATAACCATTGCCAGGTAAGACTTCTTGGAACCTTGAGGTCTGTTGCCCATGGATAGGATGAAGCAATATAGCAGCGTGCCCAGGTAGATGAACTCGAAGATGACCCCCAAAACTGTACCAGCGTTCCCCAGCGGCCCAGGTGAGCCAAGAGAAGCAGTCAGAAGTCGGAAAACCAGGAAGAAGTTTCCAATTGCGAACCAGGCGAAAAGCATGTTGATCGTCTGGTACGTGAACTCGATCAGAAACATAAACTTGCGTATCGCGCTGTGGTTGCTGCGCCAGAGCTGGTAGACATGCGCCACAGCATAGACTGCGGCAAAGAATGAACCGTTCAGCCAACGTCTCCGTTGAAGAATAAACTCGGCGATGCCATCGGGGACATCGGTCTCGCCTGTGGCCGATTTAACGTATTGAAGGATCCATTGACAATTGCGCTTGCTGACGAGCTCGAAACAGAGGATTCGATCTTCGGCGAGATACATGTTCGCGGTGAACACTCCAGCGTCTGCGTGCATGGTTTCGCCTTTGAAGTACTTCTCGAGTGGCCCTTCGCCGTTCTTGTCGTTCTGCAAAGCAATATAACGATAAGCCGAAAACGCGCCAGGGAGCACCGAAATGAAGCCGAATGCTGATTCCAAAGGCTTGTCCAAGATATTCGACATCTTGTATTCGAAATTTTGCGTGGCGACCAAAGGGTTGTAGAGCTTTTTGCCGTGGTCCAACATGACCTTGATTTCACCGCAAGCACCACCACAAGAGGGTTCCAGGTCAAAAGCTTTCCACAGCTGGTAGATGGAGTCTCTACCGGGCTTGGTTCCCGCATCAATGAGGACACAGATATTGGGCTCCAGCACTCGACCGAAGGCTTGGAAGAACCACCGATGTGAGTTGATCTTTTTCTGGTTCTTCTCCTTCAAACAAAATAGCAGCTGAACGGGAGTGGCTGATCGCGGCTTTAGCGACACCTGAGTCCCCTTCAATTCTAGACCCACTTGAGTGGTGTATTCGTAGATATGAGCGGTGACGTCTTTGCCATTGACTTGTTGTTTGGCAATGCCATCCTGATAAACGCCTAGACCGGCTAGGACCGCCCTTGTCCTGGGGTTGATTTTGGCACGGCCATCGCTGACGATGCAAACGACGATCTTCTTCCACGCCTCTTTGCCCCAAGTTTTGCTGCTGTTGCGATTGCACATGAATTCGATGTTCTTGAAGACACCAATCATGGTTCGGGCAAACAGAAACTCGTCCTCGTTATACATGGTGACGACGATGAACAATTCCGTCTCTCTCGGCTTTGCGAACAGTCGCTGTCGCAGAGTAAATCGCTCGTTGTAGAAATCTGAGGGATCGCATGTCGCCGCTGAGTATCTCATGTGGGTAAACTCGTCTCTCTCCGGCGGTTTCGCATGAGGGACATTAGCGAGCAGTTTGGGAGGAACCGGGCAATCAAGCACTAAATTGCCATTGAACAACTGTACCTCTTTGACTGTCTTCCACCTCCTTATCGGCGCCGGAGACGGCGTAGGACGCGCTTCGTCATGGTAACCGTCATAGTTCATTTCCTCTTGGTGCGGATCGGGGCCGTAGGCGGCTTCGGACTGAAGAATGGGAACGTTGTCGTTATCCAGACGGTATGCCTGGTCCGGCGTGGGATAAGGATCCAGGGCATAATCGCCCTGAGGATGAGGTGAATATGCCCGATTGTAGTAAGCGTCATGATGTTCCTCCGGTGACACAATGTAGTCATTTCTTCCATAGCCTATGTCTCCTCCAGGTCCGACTGGCAGCTGTTGTTCATACTGCTGGTTATGTCCGTGAGAATGCGGGATGTTTTCTATTGAGTATGTGGGCTGCATGGCCAGGCGGTCGTTGGAAGCCGTGGGCATCTGCAAGTGAAGCTGTTGCCTCGAGTGCGCTTCGTCTGGATGAGTATAGGGCTGTAGCGGCCGGCCAGGAGAAGGGGAGCGAGAGTCGTAGTGAGGGTTCATAGCAGGAGAGTAAGGGCCGTCGCGTTGAGGATCGCCTGGGGAACAAAGTTCAGTATGCTCTCCGAGACCAAATAGAGAGGAGATTCACCGATGGGATTGTATGCCATGATGGGCCAAAACGGGGTCGGTTCGTAGCGGAGAGAGAAAGTGGTCTGTGTTCAGGGCACAGGAATGTGAGGACGAAGCGAAGGCGATTCGTGTGTCAGAATTTAGAATCGTGAATGGTCGGACAGTAAGAGGAGTCGTGGCATGCGATCTGGACAGTGTGGAGTACCTCGTATACGGAGTATTATTGTTTACCCTTCTATTACTGGATCTGACACTGGGGCGGATTGGTCATGTACTTGTATAGACGTGCGAAGTCGACGCCGGGCGCACTTCAAAGGAGTCGCACAGAACGAAGGGATGGAGTCTTTTTGGACAGAGGATATCGAGGTAGCCGGCCGGGCGATGATATCGAGGTACATGTGAGATGGAAAGAGTGCGGTCGTTGGGTTCTCAGCTGGGCGCAATGCCGTGCAGCGCCTCAACTCTCTCTCACCTGCTCTCACCTGCTCTCACTTGCTCTCACTTGCCTTTCTGCTTGTGGAAACCGTCACTATTCCGACCCGCCTAGCGACTGACGGGCATTGGCTGCTGTCACTTAACCAGCGGGCGCCACGGGCACCGACTGGACGCCAGCCAGTTAAAGCCAGTTAAAGCCAGTTGAACCCAGTTAAAAACCAGTTAAAGCCACGCCTGGAAGTCATCGCCGCAGAAACGCGCCATGACCCTTGCAGCAAGATGATGCACCCACGTTTCTTGGTTTCTTGGTTTTCGCCTCTCCGCCTGTCACGCCGTGAGCCCCTTTAGTGCCTTGTTTCTATTTATTCTCTCGAGAGATTTGGGGATTTGCCATTGATTTGCAAGGGTGTTGCTTCGAATCATTGAACGGGGATTCCGAATGATCATCAAGCTGGACTTGTTCTTTACTCGGTACATTACTCGTCGACAGTCGTAGCACTCTGTCCTCGGTGAAAGTTCTCCTGGTGCCTAATACTCCGTACTACTGCATGCGTAATCTCCCAAGGCGAACTGCAGATTCTAGCGCCTTGTGGCTGTGCAGAGAGTGTTTCATGCTTCCCCAGACTAGCCCTGCCAAGTGCACGGAGGGCTCAGCCTCGCACCTCGAAAGGCTGACTCCCTCCTCTTCCAATCAAGTCCAAAGCCTCAATCCTACAGTAGCCGCGTTATCGTCAAAAGCCTATGGAATCGGTGATCATAACTACATAGGTATGATTCTGCCACGCAATGCCAATACTGCGGGGTCTATGCTGACCGTGTGCCTCGTACGATTTTCTTCAAAGTCTCACAAGTTAGGAGATTTCCAAGGTTGCGCGGCCAGGGAAACATTCTTCAATCCAACGAGAGTTTTCGATCCCCAACAGTTACCACCCCGTCCCTCGTGGATCCCACCGCAAAGGCAACGTCTAGAAGACTAGGATTCCTAGCCGCGTAGATGGTCGCCACCGTTGTCAAACAGAGGGCAAATCCGTACCCGAGCCAAAGCCAGTTAGTAGCCGGCATCATTGCTACGCTAAAGATGGCCTTGATTCTGGTCAAAAAGCGATCTTCAGAATACAAGTTTACACGAGACACATACCGTGGCGAGAGAGAGTGGGAGGTAAAGCTTGAAATGTCAGCCAAACGTTGTCTCATGATATTTTTTTGATTCATGTGCTTACCACTGTCATTCTGGTCAGGATGCCGATATTGTTCCCCTGGCGGGTGGCCTCAGAGCTCTCTTTGAGTGCAGAAGCATTGACGAGCTAGAAGCACGGGTTATCTATGATTCGCACGACGCAAATCGGACACAGTAGAAGAGCTCAGGCTCGACTTACCCCATCTCGCATGCTGTTGAATTTGTCGAGCTTCTGGGACATCAAGGCGTGGAGATCTTTGAGTTGAAAAATGGACACACGAGTCTCCACGATATACCCCTGAAACAAACTGTGCAGCTTGGGAAGTCTGGGTGCTTCAAAAAGACGTATGTAGTTCGACTCAAAGTTATCCCAGGCCCTGATGGTGCCTGAAAGGGTGTCTCTAAACTCCCTCAAGCACGAAACTGCACCGGTAAGCTCTCTTGTTCTAGTCAGCTTTTCATCGTCAAACATGCTGAAGGAGCTTTCCTGTGCACTGAACGTTAGCCATTCCAGGGCAGCTAAAGACCATCGACAGGTCCTTTGAACGTACGTATCGTTCCAGACGATCGATGAAATAAGTGACAAGCGCTTCCCATTCCCAGTTTACCTGACTCATCCTCTGGGAGAGCACGACAAGGAAATAATGTCGAGGATTCCATACGGGTTGATCGAGCGAGAGAGAACCGCCTGAGGCAGGATCCAGTCTATTGCGCAAACAATCCCTGCGATAGGTTTCGACGCCGTAAAAGTTGTCAACACAGCAGTATGTCGTCCAAAGCCACTCGTCTATTCCTGTGGCAAGAAAAGAGACCTTTGATTCGTAATACGATGCATCTTGTTTCGTCTGGGAATATAACGGGAGAGGAAGCTGTTGGCTGTTTCGTAATGGCGACCCAGCGAGTTCTCGACTATCTGGGGGTATTTTCCCAATTCGAAGAGCGAGATACGGCAAGTGGAATTCCAGAGCAAACGTTGCTTCCTTTTCAAGGCCATTGTAAGTGAACAGAAGCTGATTAAAGGACAAGGACTCCGTGACTCTCTCTCTCTCTCTCTCTCTCCCTTTTGGGATCGGAGAGAGGAAGAGGAAAATACCGAAGAGAGCGGATGGATGGGAAAACAGCATCTGTCCATACCAATGAGATGCAGAAGGTCGTCCTAAAGTGGAGAAGATGGGAGAAGAAACCTCTGATGGTACGAAGGGAACGGAGCGAAGTTGTCCCCGCTATTGCGACCATGCAAGAGGCAGTGATATTGGAAATGTAGCTGTGAGTTGGGGGCGAAGGGTCAGCAGTTCGCCCTCTCATCCACCGGCCTCGGACAACATTACATTGTACGTTTCTCAGCTCGTTTCTCATGGCGCTGCGGCAAATATGAACACAGATTTGATATACAAACTAAAGGATACCGACTTACATTTTCCTTCAGCCGCGCCACCAATTCCAAAAGGGAAAGATCCCTCTGCTCCTCTGGCCAGATATCACAACCCTCGGGAGGATACTCCGTATATCCTCCATCCCACCGTCGCATTGTTGATGGCCTCACCTCGGGATCGCGCCTATCATCAATCATAATGGTACAAGGCGCTGAATCTGGACGCTTTGTCGGTGATTTCAAGTCCTCGCTCTTTGCTGTGGTGAGGAAAGCTCGCAAATGTGCGTCGTTGAGTTCAGAGGGTGCTTCGAGACAATTCCTCAGCACGGCCAAGAACGCATTGCTCAGACCTGCGATGTCATCCCGCTCGAGATACTCGATTAACCTGACGCCGTTGGGGAAAATGTTTCGAGTGCCCCCTTCTCGAGGATCTTCATCCTGGTAGACTCTCTCGGTTCTCCGTTCACTGTACTTGTTCTCCCACACCCTGTCGGGCAGGCCAATGCCACCTCCGTCCATGGACATGCTCGATGGCGAGGCAAACACGGGTGATTATGGGGATAGGTCGTTAGATTTGTTACCTGAAGCCTAGTCGATATTGCCGAATTGTTGTTCTTGGGGCGGTCACCTGATACATGTTGCCTTGTCTGTGCGCCTTGGCAGTAGAGATCTCTTCATGACCTTCCTGGCTGCAAGGTGGCGCAGGTTGAGAAGTGCCATGACTTATACATCGCTGAGATGGTGAAAGGATATAATTTTATCGGTCTTGTGGCAGGATTCCATGATGAAAGCACGGTAAAACGTCCCTGAGTGGCGGGTCATAAACCTGGAAGATGGCTAACGCTGTTACTTAGGGCCCGCCACACAGCATCTTGCCCTTCGTTCTTGTGTCCCCCAGACCTCTCGCCTTTGGAGTGGTATGGAAATGCGTATGGAACATTCAGCCGCTGTTAAGACCCCTTAGATTCTCATTCAAAGTAGTGCAAGGACAATTGTGGAACCATGAACAGTGGGTCCGAACAGGTTTGCAGCTCATCCGTCTGCAAGCACCAGAAATGCATACAGTGCAAAGTTTCGGTTATACCCGATCCCCCCGAGCCGTCCAGTTCGTTCTCAAGCGTGATGCTCCCCAGGCCATCAACGAACACTCTCTGGGCTTGTGTAAGATGCTTCAAGGCTCTTTCTTGTATTGCGAACCATCTGCTAAGGGATTCTAGTGCGAATGCGGCAAGTTGAACAATTCTGCGCTTGATGAGCAATGCGAGAGCTGCAGGCATCGGAGATGTATGTATTGTAAAGTGGTGAGATGAGGGATATGATAAGGACTCAGCGATATGGCAACTCACGACTCGATTGGAAAGAGCTTGAAAATATACGTAAGAATTCCTTTGGCCCTTATGGCAACAAGGTCCGCATGTGTTTCTTGTCTCAAATTATCCACCGAGGTTCTTTTCAAGTCGCAGCATCTGGCATACCTGTCTGTCCCTGTGCAATCTATCGCCAAGGTAGGTGTCAGGAGGCATGTAACCTCCATCTAGGTAGTTGGAAGGAGGAGCTCTCCTCCGTAGTGTCTCACGAAACATGCCAACACAATTTTCAATCGGCCTTCGCCGGAGCCGGTGGCATCACGTACTTCAGTAATTCCATCTGTTCGACAAGGCTGAATCAAAGAGGATCCTATCATTGGTGTTATTACGAACTCTTATCGGTCATTCCGACACACCACGTCCTTCTCTCACAGCAATTGCTCAATTCTGGAGCATCACATCGGCCCCGCTCTATCATGAAGAAATCCGTGAGGGAGCTCTAAGTCTGGTGTGTGCAATCCTTCGCTTTTGACGTTGTCGAGGAATATCCAACTAGGTAAACAAGCAAGGTTAGGCAGATTGCACCCAAAGTTCGTCGCGGTCTTAGAAATAAAAGGCATCTGGGAGTGTATAGCCATGCAAGTCTTGAATCAAGCCTCCGTATTCTGGACAGACTTGATTGATTGACAGCCCAGGGAGAGGAAACGGTCTACCTAGGCTACGTAGAGCGTTTGTCGTGCAAGGCTGTGGTCCAGCGCCAAGACTCTTCACACACTAAAGCCAACATAACCAAAGCCTAACAGCGATCGCTACGTACTCAGCGAGTCAGGTACTCGGTACCCAGTACGCAGGTCGTTTCCCACAAGCTTTTGTGTGTCTCCAGGCCCCTACCGCTGTCCTCTTGGTGGCCCGTCAGACTTCAATTGGCGTCGTTGTCCTCACTGCGGCTTGTTGTCGGTGAGCGGCTTGCCACGCAACCTTCACGCAAAGCGTTGACTGCGCCATCCAGATACTCCACAATGACGGATTCTTCGATCAAAATCTCCGTCCTCTTTGTCTGCCTAGGGAACATTTGTACAGTTCTGCCTCACGATGGTCCCCGCATATCTCAGCTGATTAGAGATCATAGGTCGATCGCCAATGGCCGAAGGCGTCTTTCGGTCGCTCGCGAAATCACACCCTCGCGTTGGCGACGTCGACTCCGCCGGCACTGGCGCCTATCACACCCTCAATCCACCCGACGATAGAACGATCGATACGCTTCGGAGACATGGGATTATAGACTATGATCACGGCGCCCGTCAGGTGCGCACAAAGGATTTCCACGAGTTTGATTACATTTTTGCCATGGACGCCTACAATTTCAATGATCTGCAGCGGCTGCAGCGAAGAGTTGAAACCCGAGGACAGAAAACAAAGGCCAAAGTCATGATATTTGGCGATTTCGGGGGAAGAAGGAAGGGTGAAGAAGTGATCGACCCTTATTACGGTGCTGACAGTGGATTCGAAGAAGTCTATGAGCAGGTCACTCGGTTTTCAAAGAACTTCCTGGAACAAGTTGTCTACACCAGTACGTGACCATGATCATCAAGCGCTCAGGACTACCCAACCACGCGTCCTTTTCGGCAAACAGATCGACTTTGCTCGCCTCTGGAAACTGTGCTTCAGGCCATAGTATCTCAAGAATGAATCGACATCGACCCTCGAATCTCACACTACGGGTCTTCCCGCGACTTGAGATACGGCTTTCTCTGAAGAGGTTCTACTTAACCAGCCTGGTCGATGTGAGCGATGGAGAATTCGGCATTTAGTAAATGCCTCAGCTGGCCAAACCGTTACGACATGCCGACTTTCAAGTCCTCGTCGATTCCCCCCCTGTGCCAATGTGGTTCAACCAACATTCCCGATCCGTTATCTACTGCAAACCTGTTCGTCCTTGCGGATTAAGTTCTTCCCGTCGCAGCTCAAACCTGAATTTGCGTATGTTTGTCCTCACCACCAAGGTGGCCTATACATATACACCCGATTCAGCACCGGCGGATCACTCGTCGACTGGGCTGCAGATGAAATGCTCTCCCTTGACGTCCTTTTTAGTCGCCTGATATCATCAGCTGGTGCTGCCGCAACTTCGAGTGGCCATTGCTGCGCTTGTCTCCGATGTTAGTGACTCTTGCGGGTCAGGTGAGGGATGTCCTTGTAAGACTCATGAAGGTAACATGGCATGAGCTGTGTCTCCCACCAAGACCATATGCCTCCTGCTCGATGACGAGTTATCTGGAAATTGTATCTCCTCGACAGAAACGGTTACGCGGTACACAACTAACCCACGAACTCGAAGTTCACTGTCTGCTCCTGCAAGGAGATTTTTGCTAGCAAGGAATTTAACGTCTAGATCTCTCAATCATCCGCCTCTTTGCAACTCAGCACGTACATACCATCAGCGACCACAACCAGATCTATTTGAATGGTTTCGCCGCCAACAAGGACAAATGACAGCTCGTTGGGATTATTCTTCTCCACTCGTAGCTAGGCGAATCGCTATACCCATCTTGACCGCGTTCCGGTGGGGTCCTCAAGTCGCGACTGCCCCAAATTACGGCCCAAGACAAGATTCATATTGCTGTTAGTGGAATCCGCTCACCGTCCTTGGTGTAGATTGCGTTTAATTGGAGAAGATCTTCCTGCTGCCGCAGGAGGTTGCTTTTCCTTTGGTCGCCATCACATGTTTCTTTTGCCCCTGATAACCGTTACTCCCTGGTGTACCAGCACTGGGCAAAACTGTACGACACCATTCATTCCAGTCCGATGCCTCGATAGTTTGGGCATTCCGCCATCTTCATCGGTCATAAGCTCGTGTCAGATCTTCGAGAACTGCAGGCCATCCCGTTAGAGTCGATTTTCTTGCTAGGTCTGGGTCAGTTTGCTATCACTCGAAAGGATGAGCGGCTGGAGCGCGACACCAACTTATCTGGCAAAGGGTTTGTCTTCCTCACTGAGTAAGCCCTGCTGCTATCATGAAACACCACCATTGCCGTGAGATCACTCGTCATATCGGGAGTTGCTGCTTTCTCAAGAAATGGTATATCCCTGTGGCTTCTGTTCCGTCACATGGCAGAGAGGAAAAGAGGCCTGTTTCTGACATCCTCCTCGAAGTTTGGAACTGCGCAATCATCGTCCTCAAGAATGGTAGCTCGAAGACAAAGATATCGCAGCGCGTGAGCTTTTCAGGCAACCCTTGATTCCACGGACCAGAGATATTTTGCGAAGATCTCTATTGTTCCTAAGGCCGCCAACGACTGCTCATCGGTCTCATCTCAGCGGCGAATACATCTCGACCCAGAGTTGCAGAAATGAATGGAACCGAGAGATGGACGTATGATTTCACCTGGCGCTTCCTATCCCGGCCTGAACACCAAAAATCTGCGGCCGATGGATATGCGGGGATCAGCTCGTATAGCAAGGCCAGGCAACAAGGCTTACTAAGCGTCGGGAGACGGCTAACAAGATTAAGGAAGATCGAATGCGTCTGCAAGACTGGTATAGTCTAAGGCAAATGATCCCCCACCAAGCTTGGATAAAAGCTGCAGACGTCCCATTCACGAATCATCTCTAGCTCATCAGCCCATTCCGGCGTATCGTGTAAAGTGCCCCGACACCAAACCAATATGGAGACTCAGCCGTGCATTCTCTACTATGACGAGCGTTCCATATGCAGTTCTATGGTACGGTATACTCTTGCTAATGCGGGGTCGCCAGGCGAGAATTACTTGTCCCTGTCTCCAGAGCTTCGAGAGATCGACATCTTCAACGGCGCGCAGCTATCCGAGCCATATCTGTGTGAAGTGAATCCTAAAGGACAGGTAAGAGCAACCTCCTCCGCAGAAATACTGGTTGAGAGCTATCTCTGCGCAAGGGACAGCACTAACAATTCGCAACAGGTTCCAGTTCTGGAGAGTAAAGGTTACCTCGAAAAGCCGATAGCAGACAGTCTTGAGATCACCCTCTGGTTATGTGAAAGGCACCCAGATCTGAGACCACCTGAATATGCAGATGATATCAACAGACTACTCCGCGATCTTCATGCCATAAACTTCTTCACACTTTCGATGAGAAACCGCCCGCAGAGGGCAGAGCTGCTGGAGGGAGCGATCCTAGCCAAAATGAACACGCCTGACCTGTCGACTACACATAAGAAAGCATTGGAGTACAAGTTGACTGTGTACGCACGGGTCGAACGCCGGGAATTCGGGGCAATGCTAACAATATTGCCAGAACCCGTTCAGAGAAGGTCGACGGAGTGCGACCGGAAGTCATCAAGGCGGAGGTCGAGAGTGCGCGTGCTCTTCTCAACGACATCGACACCATCAGACGCACACATAACAAAAAGGACCAGGCAAGTGCCTGGATCTTCGGCACTATGGCTCCAACAGCGCTGGACACCACCTTGATCTGTTTCCTGGCCAGGCTGATGGATGTCCAGTTGGACGAGGTCATTCCACCGGCTCTGTTGGAGCTGGGGCGGGCGAAGAGGGAGACGAACGACTTTAAAGAGATCTGGCTGTCCTTGTAAACTAGACCGACCCAACTCAGAGTCGCCGTCCACAGCAAGGGAACACGGAAATGAGTCCGTCCATCTGCAAAGGAGGAAACCAACCCTTATGCCATTATTATTCCGTGCTGATGCCCCTCCATTTGGGGCACTCGCTGTTACAACCCGTGACACCAACACGGCCGGTTCGGACGGAGATGTGCCGAACACGGCGCCTCCTCCGAGCCCGCCCCTTGCACCTTCAGCCTTGCTGTTGTCTTCTCGTTACAGGTATATTCTTTGCTGCCTTCATTCAGCCTCTCACCCAGAATGAAGAAAAGGAAGCTAGAAAATCCTCACGCACGGAGATACATCGACCCAGAGCGTCTCCCTCTAGTAATGACCAAACATTTTACAATCCTCCGCCCCCGCCGCCGTACGAGTGTCCGTGCTCCTCATCGGAGCACTCCCATCGGCCAGTCGGTCGGTCAAGTTCGGTCAACCGTCGTTATTGGACAGTGAGCAACGAACTGCACATTCGGCGCATCTTCCGCTTTCCGCGCTCACTTTGCCAAATTTGTCAGCACCGTCCACGCGTTCAGGGCATATACATACTTCGTGTGTATATCCCTACGGTGTGGTGCGGTGCGATGCGGCGTGGTCCTTGGGACTGGTTAGCAACTATGAAGTATCCCCAGTGAGATCTGGAACTGCCCATTTAATATTCTCCTGAAAAGCGCCATTTGGGGATAGAAGAAAGAACGAAGAACAAGAGAGACAAATGATGGCCAAGAGGATCCTCGTCACTGGCGCCACGGGCAACCAGGGTACTTATAAGACATCTTCATGTTATTTTGCATCGGATATACCCATCTCTGCGACTACCACCTCGTGGACATTTTACTGACAGACGTTTATCCTCTCCGTTCCAGGCGGCTCCGTGGCCAAGTTCCTCCTGGAATACCCCGACAAGTACAAGGTCCGCGTGCTCACGAGGAATCCCGAGTCGGATGCCGCGAAATGGCTGGCCCAGCAGGGCGCCGAGGTCGTGAAGGGAGATCTGACGGATGCGTCGACGCTGGATGCGGCCTTCAGCGACTGTTGGGGCGCGTTCGTCGTCACGAACTTTTACGATGCGGTACGGTCTTTCTACTCTTTCTCCTCGCCCCCCCTCTCCTCAGTAACCCCGCGAAGTGGCGCTTTTATCCCTGTGTGTGTGTGTGTGTGAGAGAGAGAGAGAGAGAGGGAGGGAGAGAGAATGCGTGTCTCCACCCGCGCGGGCTGCTCGGTTCACGACTACCCTCAACCCATCCATCCAATGCCCCTGCTCGTATACTGACTGGTCGGGTGTGCCTGGGTAGACAATCAAAGACGACCCGGCGAGTGAAGAACAGCAGGGCCGCAACGCCGCACTGGCAGCACAGAGAGCCGGCGTGTCGTGCTTCATCTGGTCGACGCTCCCGTCGTCCGTCGAGATCTCCAAGGGCGAAGTGTGCTGCGAGATCTACGAGGGCAAGCACCGTGTCGACGGCTTCATCCGCGACGAGATCAAGTTCGACGCCGCCGTCTTCGTCTACACGGGCAATTTCTACGAGAACATGGTCCTGCGGGGCCACGTCGTGAAGACGGACGATGGGAAGGGCATTGAGTTTCGCCAGCCCGTCATCCAGCAGGATACGACGCGTGAGTCTATATTTTTTTCTTTCCCCCTTTTCACTTTGGCGACGGGCCCTGGCTAATATGTACTCGGTACTAATGCTCAGTCCATATGGTGTGGGTCGAAAAGGACCTGTCCGGCATAACGAAGGCGATATTTGACAACTGGGACGAGCGGAAGGAGCAGCTGAGATATGAGCATCTTTGTGCCATGGACGCCGTTCATACCCCTCGCGAGATCTGTGAAGTTATACAACGCGGTAAGCTCTCCCATCATGAGATTTGCTTGAATGAGGGCATCGGCCTCTCAAGGAAGCGAAGAGACTGACACCAACGCCGAAACAAAAGTGACCGGTCTGCCAACGAAATACGTGGTTCTGCCTACGACGGGCAACGCACAGCGGGATATCATGTTCACACTCTATAACAAGACCGGCACCTATCCTGGGGTGGTGCTGCCTGACCAAAAAGTACTGGATCTGGGAGTACAACTGCACGGACTGGAGCAATTTGTGAAAGAGAGGCTGGTACCGCATTTGGGACTGGGATAAAAGCCGAATATAATATGGGGGTTTTCAACATGAGCTGCACGATTCATGCAGCCATTGACCAGTCTCCAAGTAGACAAAAACTTGAGTATGCCTAACAATCAGGCTATGTTGCACCATGTAGAGAAGAGACAGGATGGAATGTTCGATCCAAGGACGTGATTTTGAGGCAAACGAGTTGAACTGGTCGGGCAACTGCCCAACACGACATGGTTTTGTAATGCTCGATCCATATCCTGAGCATGATAGAATCTTCCCCTGGTGGAAGCCGGTGATTCTTTACAACTGCTCTCCCACTTCTCAGGAATATTCACTGTTGACCGAGGCATTGGGACCATAACCTGGGCCAATTGTCCGCCAGAAGGCAATACTTTCTGCCTTGGATGCAAGGCAGTTCGCGTGGCCATTGTCTCCGACAATTCCATCATCCATTTTGACAAGTACGCCATCTGCGAATGATTATGGCATGCTATCCAGGCTTGTCAAGGAAAAGGGTTCGAGGGTGGATGCCGGTTCGGATAGGCAGCTTTCTCACTCGGTGCCTCTCCAAATTTTCTCCCGCACACCCTTGAGTAGTACTGGCTGACTGCATAGCTGACGTAGTTGTCCGCGTTGTAGGTAGGCTTCCATTCGAAATAGGAATGGTCTCGCGGGAGGAACCTCTTTATTTCGGCCGAATTGTAAGGACCATATCCATTTTTAGGCCAATCTCCAAAGAAGTCTGAAATGACGTGGGGGGTACTGGAGAATTGAATTTGGGACGGAATGGTGGCGGCGTAGTGTGGGACGTCTGAGAACAGACCAGGGAAATGCATTAGTTCATGCAACATGACAGAGCCAGTGCTATGCAAATTGCTACTGTCAGTGTCTCCAAGGTTCTGGCAGCCGTATCCATCATAATACTGGAGCCCATTTGATTTATCCTTTGATGGGTCGATTGCCCAATTTGGCGCTGTTTCTACATCCTGAAGCATGGGCAACATGGCATACATCCGCTTGCAGACGGACATCAATGCAGAAGTGCCACCAAATGTAGGGACCATAAAACCTAGCAGCGGCCTATTGAGATGGCAACTGAGTGTGCCGTCCCAAACGACTCCTGGCTGAGTTAATCCCGGATGGTCATCGAGAAAATGGATCGACAACCCGGTGAAGTATTTGTTGTATGAAAGAGGTTGGTCCGCGAGCTGTCTGACCGTCTCTGGGTTGGACAGGTCGAGAGTGAGATCGATGTTGGCGATTGCACGGAACATATTCTTCACGAATTCGGCGTCTCCTGGCTCGAAATAACGGGTGAATATCTATGAACTTGTCAGGGTGGAACTTCCACAAGGCCAATGTGCACACCCTCCACTCAGCTTAGGGAATGTAGCAACTCACCTCGTCGTTTGCAGCGTCACAAGGCCAGTACAATGCGGTATGCCTAGCCAGATAAATGGCATCTTGGAACGTGCGATAGAAGATAGCCACTTGACTGTCTGTAACTCCTGCAGGACCACCAATAGCTGGAGTGTTCGGGGGACGCACGATATCTTCACGGGCCCAGGCGTGAAAATTGACAAGCCAAAGAACAAGGAGAACTGCGCGAGCTGTGCAAGAGCGAACGGAAATGAATGTAGCCATGTTTTGATGAAAACAAAACCGGACGAAGAAGGAAAAGGCTCGCGGTATGCACAGAGCTTCCAACTCACCAACAAGCTGGAGAGTGGTTCGAATAATCCTTTTAAGTCTTCATTTTTGAGCTGTTCATGCAAAAGGAGAGCGTGAAGGACGAGGGTGAATCTTCTGTCACAGATGAAAAGGTGAACAACAATCTTCACGTGAAAATATCCGCCGACCGATGCACCAGAAAAGGGCTACATGAGACCGTGAAGAAGTCCAAGTATCACTTGCAGGCGCCATCATGGCAAAGGCAAGGTAAGAGGAAAGAGTGTCTCTTGGTTGTAAATGTGGTAAACTGAATTGAACGGGGTGACACGAGCTTTGGCGAGCACGACGGAGGAGTGCACGTCGCTTGAGGCCTAAAAGTAGTATGATTGGCTTTGCATTATTTGTTCCTAGAGGTTTCATGGGTGAGCAATAGTGCTCGATGATGGGGTGTTGATAGAATGAAGGGAGAGAAGAGGAGGAAGAGCGCAGCGCAGGCAGCGTGTCCAGTTGTAGTGGCCGCAGGCAGCCGATGACATAACCGCATCTCGCAGTCCATCCAGCGAGCCAGTACTGGGTACCCAGTACTGTCTGCGGAATGCAGTCTCCCACCGCAATCCCTGCCAGCTGCTCGCTTGATCCCTGGCATCCTGCGCCTCCCGTCCCCCCTCCCCTCTCCTGCGCCACGGGGAACATCAGATACAGGAACCAGGCGAGGCGGATGGTCGCAATTGCTGAAGTCAGTCGTCTTTTTTTGTGCTGAGTTTATCCTCAATCCACGGCTACTTCGGCTCAACAGGGCTCCCAAAGGAGCGGCAATCTCGCATCTTTCATAATCCGTGTCTTTCCTTTGACTTTTTCTGCATCCTGCCCATAGATGCGACACAGCTGTTGTCAGCGCCTGCTGCCCCTGAGTCGATCAGCTTTCATCTTCCCCTCCACAGCTCAGAGAGGGGCGCGCTCATTCTCCCGCAAATTCGATCCGATTTCTCGCCCACAATCGAGGGCTCGCTCCTTTCCCACCTACCCTTTTGTTGCCGGAAACCCTGTTCGACCAGTTGTCGCGCCTGTCGAATCGTCGGTCTCGTCCTATATTCTGTTCTTCGGCGTCGCCTGTGGAGTTGCAATTCTTTTCGAGTGCTTGGTGCATTACCGATTCCCCGGGGCACACGACCAGGGTCATCACATTGGGGAACACCAAGTTTTCAAACCCACCACGCCCGATTCCTGCGATCCTTTCCGTCTCAATATGCCTGCGCCTCCTGGCCATTTGGGCAACTTGACGCCCGAACAAGAGGCCAAACTGCGCGAATTCTGGGCCGTCACTTTGAAGGTCTTCGGCGTGGAAGACCCCCGACAGGCGACTGAACCAGATCCCCCGCGCGCCCAAGATGCCGTATCAGAACTTGATGTCAAGGAGAAAGAGAAGAGCAAAAAGCGACTGGGCATATTCAAGAGACACAAAGATAAGGAGTCGAGCAACGGGTCGGCCACGCCAACCAAAGACCCCAGCCGTTATGCCGATTCCGATGATAAGTATGGCCAGGTAAAGGAATTTCAGCAGATATTAGTCACGCAGGCTCCCGAATCCTTGCGCGACACTTTTTGGAGCATGGTAAAGGCCGATCATCCAGACACGCTACTGCTGCGGTTCCTAAGGGCGCGAAAATGGGATGTCGACAAGGCGCTGGTCATGTTGGTTTCTACGATGCGATGGCGAAGTCAAGAACAACATGTCGACGATGATGTCGTGCTCCGGGGAGAAGGTGGAGCTCTGGAGGACTCGAAGTCCAGCGACCCGTCCATTAAGAGAGAAGGAGAAGATTTCCTTGCGCAACTAAGGTTAGGGAAGAGTTTCCTGCATGGCACCGATAAAGAAGGCAGACCCCTGTGTTTTGTGCGGGTGCGGCTTCATAGAGGCGGAGACCAGACAGAGCGTGCCCTAGAGCGATATACGGTTTATGTGATTGAGACCGCTAGACTTGCTTTGCGGCCGCCAGTAGAAACTGCTGTGAGTGTTGCTCCGACCCCAGAACCATGCACCGCTGACATTTCTTTTCAGTGTATAGTTTTTGACATGACCCATTTCACCATGTCCAACATGGATTACACCCCTGTCAAGTTTATGATCAAGATCTTCGAAGCCAATTATCCCGAATCTCTCGGTGCCGTGCTCGTCCATAAGGCGCCATGGATCTTCCAAGGAATATGGAAAATCATCCGTGGATGGCTCGATCCCGTGGTGGCAGGCAAAGTGCACTTTACGTCCGGGGTGGAAGATCTCGAGAAGTTCATTCCTAGATCGCAGATCATCAAGGAGCTGGATGGAGATGAGGACTGGGAATATAAGTATGCAGAGCCAGTACATGGGGAGAACGACCATATGAAGGACGAAGCGCCCCGGGATTCCCTCCTCACCGAGCGAGACGCTCATGTCCGCGAATATCAGAAGAAGACATATGAATGGATATCGATAGGAACGGGGCCAGATATGGACAAGATCAAAGAAGAGAGACACGCTCTGGCAAGGAAGTTGAACGAAAATTATTGGAAACTGGACAAATATGTCCGGGCCAGAACCTACTACGACCGTACGGGCATGATCGGGCCAGACGGCGAGATCAACTTTTACCTGCCGCCTCCGGGCGAGGGCCAGAACGAGGATCTCAAACCGACGTCGCCCGAGACCCTGCCGGATGTTCCAAAGGTTGAACCTTCCGTGGATGATGTCGACTGAATCTTGGGGTGTGAAGACCGCAAGGCTTTAGCGACGCGCCAGCCCACATCTGATACTTCGACCCTTGGGCTTTCGAAGGAGTGCCAAACATCAACTTGATATATGATACGTCCGGAGTCTAGATGGACATTGGTAAGCTCCTAGCATGTGCAAGGGTACATAGCACTGTGTGAGAAGACGTACGGAGTATATATTAATGATTTAATCTGTGGTTGGTGTGCTGACGGGTTGTCACACAGCTCAACTGTGATTGTTTGTCATCGTGCCTCGACCAAGTCAACTGTGCATCAAACGAATTACAGGCTGGGTCGTGTACCCTGCCTGTGTGGAGCTGCAGAGCTGCAACGGCTGACAAGGACGACGACGACGATTGACTGGACCTCAGAACGGTTGGGGTTTAGCCTGTGAGAAAGAAGAATGAAAGCGCGCAGGGCTGGACAAGTCGGCCTTTTAGGAGAAATGCCAAAGGCACAGATACACCCAGACATCCACGCATCCACAACATCCCCACTGGATACAACCGTATGAGGGTTTGGAAATACGCCAGGTTGCCGGGGGGCCAGGACTCACCATTTTCCTCGTCCTCGTCCAAGAACGGCACCAACTGGCACCCAAGACCATCCGGACTTCCTTCTGGTCAAGTTGATCACCTAATTGATTGGGTGGGCGTGCGCAGCAGCCTGCGCCGTCGTCCAAGAGGCAAGGCGCGGACCATTTTTCCATTGGCGTCACGAGTTCTTGTCGTTCCCACTCACTCACTCAGCTTCTCCCTCTTGTCCTTCCTATCGAAGGCTCTCTTGGATTGGGCCTCTTGGGCTTGCTTCCTTCCTTCCGTCACCGTTTGGGCATCTGCGAAACTTACCCGATCTGAGACAAGAGCGGGATTTCGAATACGAAGGGATACCGAGGCAGCTTCTTCACACAGAAGTCGAGGTTGCGTCACAAGCCCATAGCAGATTCTTCATGCATGTCCCCCAGCCAAGTCGGCTCAACACGGTGCGAGGTAAGTCGATAGACCTCCTTGCTTCCCCGGAAAAGCCATGGCATTAGTTGGTCGGGGGTTGATCACTCGTATGCTGCAGAATGCGGATGTCGGGTTTTCGAGTCGTGCGCATATTGCACAAACGACAAGCAATTATGGTCAGTCGTCTCGAGTTGAAGTGCATTGGATAAAGGGAAAGAAAGCGATGAGTTGTTGGCAAGGCTCGCCGACCTCGACGGGCCCCAATCTCGATGAGCTTACGGCGTCGATGGCCAGCTCGAATCGATCGGCACAAGTTTCACAGAAGGAAGTTTCCCATACACACCAGGTCGTGCTATACCACACAGCCAGCTGTGTGGGATGGATTTGTGAAGGTACGACAAGCACTGCAAATCCCAAACCTGTGCTGGCGTCCTTGGGTGTCCTGTGTGAGTTCATTTCGGATGACATTCCTCTCCACGCAAACTTTCAGTGCCGATATCCATGAATGGACCGGTCTAGACCTCTGTCCAAACCAATGGTGCCTTTTCTCAAGCAACTCGTCAAAGCTCCACTCGCAGCTGACTCGCATAAGCAGCATCCAACCAGCAGACCTGCCGCGTAGCTTTCGATGCAAGTTTGGGGGTCTGATTTGTCTGGCCTTCCACCGCGTCCCCCCTGAGCACCTTTGGGGAGGTATTATCGAATCTTTATCCGAGCCAAAATATGCAAGCAGCCGTTCTCAAGGGTTTTTCTTCATGCACACTTACGTCGGTGGCCGTGTTGTTTAATCTCCTTTTTTTTTCCTGCAAGAACTCTCTACTAGGGTCTTCTTTTCGTCCCAGACGCAGAACCCCGATATCATTGATCGGTGACTGGAAGCTGGCATAGTGTTAGGGTTGTGTCGAGCGAGGCCTGGTGATCTCTTCTCTTCCTGGCTTCCCCATTTCCGTCCGCTATTGCTTGTCCTCTTGCTGCTGTCACCGAAGAGCTCCTCCTGCCCTATCGGCGGTTCCGCCGGGGGCGGTTGTCGGGGTGAGATTGGGCGAGGGAGGGTTGCAAAGGCCCATCGAAGGTATGTATGGCACGCCGGAAAAAGATGCATATGCGCAATGCTGATCACTTGGTCTGGCGGAATAGTCTTACTGGGCCTGCCTTCTCTCAACCCGACTCGACTCTTTGACTTTTCGTCCAGCCATTTACCCAACACAGCAGGCCTTCCTTTCCAGAGGTAGCTCGGCCTTGGGGTTGCGTTTATTGACAAGAGGTATGTAGGTGAGTATAGGCCGGCGTGCAGCAATTTAGTGGACCTTTCCAACAGCCTTGAATCTACCGCGTGGGATTGATTGATTGTCCTCAACCCGAACCGTCACTCATTGATTTATTTCCCTCAGCCGGGCAATGCAATGCAATGGGGGAGAGCATAAGCGAATAGGATTTGAACTTTGGCCTTCTCTCTCCCCTTTCTCTCTCCCTCTCTCTTTGCTTTGATGCTCTTTGTCTTTCTCACTCCTGCCATATCTGATGCCGTGCGGGATATATCGACTCACCTGCCTACCTACCTTCTATAGAGGATCCTCCCACCACCCCAGAACATAACCTCTCCTCTCTTCCGGCCCCTCCCTCCTCCGCTGACGTCGAATGCTTCCTCCATTTCTTTGTTGGCAAAGACCAGCAGGACGAAAACAGGAAAACAGAACAGGGAACCTAATATATCCCCTTTCATCCAATCAACCTGCCTACCGGATTGACCTGCTGGCATAGCCTGTCAACCACACCATGGCCCACTTCAGCCCCCAGCAAGACCTCTCGCCCCAGGACTCGACATTCCTCTTCATCAACACGCTCCAGGAACAACTGGCCAAGTCCGAGTTCGTGACCAGCATCAACAACCCCACTGCAACAGCAGACTCACCGCCTCTCGCTCCGGTTCGGGCACCGGCTGCCGCAGCAAAACCAAAGCCAAAATCAAACGAGAGCAGCAGGACCTCGGTCGTCGCGTCGTCGTCGTCGTTGCCCGCAGCAACGAAGCCGTCCGCCTCCAACTGGTCGGAAAAGGAAAGCCAGGGAGCGAGGATCACCAGATTGAAACCGCCCAGACAAGCCAAGTAGCATCCATCGCGGCCACGGCGGCGGACGACGATGCTACCACCCCCCTTACTGCCTTTCTACCTGCCTACAATGTCTCAACCCACTCACCCGCTCGGCGCTGCCTTTCTGTCGCACCGCTTCTATTGCCAGGGAGACTCTGACTCCGACCATCACGACACAATAACAACGACAACGACAATGACCACGACACGACACGACCCCGAGAGAACGACTTTTCCAATCCCCTCTCTTGTCTTTTTCTCCTTCTTTTCTCTCTCCCTTTTTATTCTTTCTTTCTTTCTCTGTGATAAACCCAGAATAAACCCACCAATCACCGAGCGAGGGACCTTTCTCAGGGCCAAAAGCTGCCAAAGCAGAGGCAAATTGAACAAAAACTTAATATATGCAAAAGGCAAGCAAAAGCGAAATGAAAAGCGGAAGCAAAAAAGGCTCCGCATAGAAAGAGAGAAGGCAGGGGGGAGGAACTTGATGTAGCTTTCGAAAAAGAAAAGCAAAAGAAAGAAAAAAACCAACTAGAGATCGATTGGCCTTTGCCGGCGAGCATAGAATAGACAGCGAACAGGAAGAAGGTGCAATCAAGCGGTGCGAGATGGGGTTACAACGAACGTTCTGTCGTTAGCGGTCCGGACTTTGGCGACGCTCCAGGAGTGTATGGTTTTGATGCGGCTTGAAAAGGCCGTGGAATGGTTGGCTGGCTGGCTGGCTGGCTGGTCTAGAGAATCCAGATCTCTTTGTTGGTGGTGGTGATATTGTCGTCGATGTAGTGCCTCCTCGGGAAAGGATTCAAGAGGCCAGCAAGACGGTACAATACCTTCAATGAATGGAAGTATGTTTCGAGGTCTCTCGAGGGGGCCCTGCTCTGGATGGCTGTCTGCTTTGCCTTCCTGCCCGGTCGGTATCCTTTGAATTGAACCGCTGTGAACCATTCAAACACTTTGTACAGCGTGCTCGGTAGGCCCGAACGGCCATTGAGCCCACATCTCTTTTTTCTCCTTTGATTTCCACATCCCCTTCTCAGCATGTAGTCTCACATCCCTCGTTCACCTTCCATCCTGCCCTCCCCACACAATCTCTCATCCACTCACATCTTGGCCTTCAAACTCTCATACAACTTCTTCAGCTCATCCATATCCATCTTCTGCGCCGGCCACCCGATGCCCAGGCCCTCGGCGGGGTTCGGCTTCGGGATGAGGTGGAAGTGTACGTGGTCGACCTCCTGGTGTGCCAGGCGCCCGTTGTTTTGGAGTACGTTGTAGTTCTCCGCGCCCGTGGCCACGGCGATCTTCTTCAGCACCGACAGGATGTCCACCAGCGAGTCGTCGGGGATGTCGGTCAGCTTGACGCCGTGGTGCTTGGGGATCACGAGCTATTTTGATGCAAATCCCGCCCCTCGGGGGAGGAGGGCGCAGGGTTGCGAGTTAGCCATATCATGTCATGTATTGGTATAATGGGTATCGCATATTCCTGGAGCGTGTGTACGTGCAGGTGCGTGTGCATGTGTGCAACGAAACTAGGAAAGAAGCGTCAAAGGGCAAAAGACCGATGGAAGAAAAGGGGCGTTGCGTACAGCGTGTCCCCGACTCAGAGGCTGGATATCGAGAAAAGCAAGGACCTTATCGGACTCGAAGAGCTTGAAGGAAGGAATCTCTCCTGTGGGAGAACGCACAGTTAGCACACCAGTCCTCAGCACCAAGTGCATGGTCTTGCCATCTCCATTGACGATGACAACGACAACGACAACCACTGACCTTTGACAATCTTACAAAAGATGCAGGCTGCCATCTTGTTCATCTGCCTGTCTGTCTATCAAAGCAACAAACCAATAAATCTATGAAATCCCGACAGAGAGACCGTTCCAGAGCAACGTCTCAAAACAACTTGCCTGCGTCTACGTACTCGTGCAATTTGCCCTCCCCGCTGCTGGAGCTTGGTCACCAGTTGGATGCGGGGGAGACAGCAGCGCAATGAAGGGGCCTGGCACGTGATGTCATGCCTCAGTGAAATACAGGATATATATTTCAATTCAAGCATTAATCAGTTGGAGTGGGACGAGCTATTGCAGAATCCATTTCTTGCCTTTTACCAGAGATGGCCGTGGCTACGCCCAAAATACTCCATTTCTCAATCTTTGGACTCATTTATATCCTGCTTTATGCAGGAGCAGCTTTTGCTTTTTGCTCCCTGAAAGAAAGTGGTGTGCTTGAGTTCGAAATCATCTTTTTTGGACCTTTTTGCGCTTAAAACTCTTTCTGTGTGGGGTTTACTGCATCCCACGCATCATAGCCTGCGACCACTCCTTTGCCACCTAGTTCTGCTGCCTCCATCTCAATTAACTCTCTCAATAATATCAACCTCCACTGTCGTCCACCATTGTTTGAGTATTGGTTCAGATATACGCTCATTCACGGAGCTCGAAAGGCTCCCACGATGGATGATCCCAGGTCCCCAAGCATTTGATCTGACCTGGTGGCTTCCGTTGCCAATCAATTTTGCTCAGTTCAATAGATTCGTTCGCTGCCACAGATGACACCGATCCGTGCGCTTCTTTGGCTTTTCCCGAGTCGTGTACCGAATATCCAACGTTGACACTCGGAATGACAGCGATTTTGCCATGGCCGAGTTTCCATAGATCCTTGGCCAGGTGAACCGGTTCTCCAAGGTGACACTCTTCCTCTGCTTCAGTCCTGAACCGGATCTTCCCTTCCAAGAAAGGTTCGGCGGTGAAAGCCACAGCACCGTTCCAACAGGAGAAGACTTGCACGGGCCGCCCCAGCGAATATCGTGACTTGCTAGTTTCATGGTTCCAGAACAGGTTCTTGGAGTAGTCCCAGCTCGTGCTTTGGGGTACCTCAAAGAAAGTCTCACCGTTCATCTGTCTCCCGATCCATGAGTCGTAGAAGGTGCCGCCGTCGTCCAAGTTATACCAATCCATCCCGCAAGTCATGTCCGCTTTCAGCACCATTCGCTGATGAATTAGTTCCAAGAGGTCTTCGGCACATGGTGCAATGTCGTTCAAGAAAATAATCGTGCTTGATGGGTCATACAGGTGTGCATGCTGAGTCAACGGCCAGAGAGCTCTGTTTCGGAGTTCAGCCAGGGTAGAGATACGTTCCATGCCTTCTCCACCAGGCTGCAGCTCGCTGCAAGACAGGAAGTAAGACACTCCAAGATATTCCATCTGCTTTGCCAAGCTCTTCAAGATCTCGAAAGTCCCATCTGTTGATCTGCCCTCCACCACAGAAACCACGCAGACTTCGGGACCCAGGAACCGGATGACCTCGATAGTGGCCCCGAGCAGCTGTGGAATGATGTGCGCTGACTGATGGAGGTTCATCGCAAAGAAGAATCTTGGCTTCTGACCGGACGCAGTTCGATCGCTCAGACTGAGGTACCTGCTGGCGTTCAATGGAGGGCACTCCAGCCGCGGCAGATACCCATCACTCCCGTTCATGACCGAGTGGACATATTCTCCAGCTTTGGTGAATGAATCATGATCTGTTACCCTACCTTCACAATCGATCTGCAGCACCTGGGGTGCTTGTACCACAACGGCAGCACGAGAAAGGGTAGGAGTAAGTTGACGAAGATGTTGGGTTTCAGACTGGATCGGTGCTGGGGTGATAGATGGAAGCACAGAAATCAATGAGACCGACGAGGGTGGGAGTAGATTCGGTTCATTCAAGATACCGAATGCAGTACGTGTTTGGTTGAGTCCATTGGTGGCAAGACGCAGTCCGTCCTGCAGCTTGTCGATCAGAGGCTGTTTCTGGAGCTGTTGGAGGATAAGGAGAGCTAAGAGGGTCAGAAGGAGAAAGGTTTGACCTAGCGAGGCTGCGAGTTTTCTCATCGTGGATGCTCATCTAGTGAGGAGAAAGTGCGTGAGAGACTGGCAGACAACGTCGACGACGCTGCAATTCATTCATCTTGGGCCTGCCAGTCAGGCAATTGCAGGAAGGAACGTCCAGAGTCACTCCATCCCGCCATCAGAGCTTTCCGCTTCTCTTGTTCGCTTCCGGTGTCCGCTGTCCCCCAAGTTAGACCCGACAGGAAGGACTCGTAGTTCCTTGCTTGTGTATGCCGAAAGAACGACTCTGGGAAGCCTTACACGCCGAAGGCTTCCAGTCTTAAATTCGGACATTGAGCGGAAGCAAGAGACAAAGGGAATGACTAGGTTGAATTGCTTATTAATACAGGCGACAGTCTGCTAGAACGTGCCTTTGCCCTCTGGCAATGTGAATATTGATATCGTGTAGGAATGCTGCCCTCAGATACCCTCCACTACCACCAGTGCTGTGCCTCTCCGAAGCTTTGCAACCCTGAGCGGCAGGCCTAAAAAGCAATCTTCTGGCTGGGGTCGACCCGCTGGACAACACCAAATTGCTTCTTCCCGGCGTCGAAGACCTGGGTTGTGTCAGTCATCAGGGCTAATGGCAGGGTCAGACAACTTACTGCATAGACGCATTTCAAAAAGGTATCGCCGTAGATGTTGACAGGCAGTTTACCACGGCCCTGGATGCCGCCGTAGACCATTTCGGAGTTGTTCTCGGCTGGGGCGAAAGCGATGTGTTCTTTCTCGATCACGATCTCCACGTCACCAACGGCGAAAGCGACGTCAGGGATCTGGTCAGGAGGAGTATTGGAAGGGATCAACCAGCCTTGCTCGGTTTCATCGTATTTTGCGCCTGGGATCCCAGAGTATATCTCCTCAACTAGGTCGTCATCAATGATCATCAAGGTCGTGCCCGTGTCAGCAATGGCCGTGTTTCCTGGCAACGCGATTTTCTTGCCGTTGATGACAACGGATTCCGACGCGAACTCCCAAAATCCGTTGGTGTCATTGATGGGTGTGTAGGAGATCTCTCTACCAGTCGCATTGACCACGTCACTGTCAATGTTTCCAAAGGTGAAGAAGGATTCGCCGTGGTCGGGGTCCTTGGCGTCCTTGTAAGAGCCCATGTAGCAGGTGAAAATCTCTTGGTCGTTGGGGATATCGTCCTGGGCAATCATGTTGTCCAGTGGGGTCTTGACGGGTTTAGGGGTGACGGTGTTGATGTTGCCGAATGCCAGGCCCAGAATGCCCTGGGAGGCAGTCTGGGTAGTGAGAGAGGCAGAGATTCGATTGGCAATCTCGACAGCTTGACCTTGGATCGTGATGTCGCCAACCTTGACAATATCTGTAACCACTGTTCCCGAAGCCGAAGAGCCATCCCCATATTGGATATGCCAAGTGCTCCCAGGCATGGGCTGCTGAGTGGATGACTTGCGGGGATCATAGATAGCTGCGCCTGACTCGGCTCCTCTCTTCTTGATCTCGTCAGGCAGATGGGAGGACCAGACCTGGAGCGGTTTAGTTCAACAGTGTCATAGGAGGCGAGGAAGAAAGAGATACCCAGAAGTCAGCAGAGCCAGAATCGAAGGTCTTTTCAGGTGTCAGTCCAAAGCTCCCATGATTGGTTGATTTCTTGACGCACCACTTCAAGTTGCTGGCCAGGAGTGCCAATGGCGACGGGACAAGTATAGTAGACGTCATTTTGTTGGTCTTCGGCGGTGCTTTGTCCCTTAGATCAGCTAACTGCAGCAGGTGGAGAGAGGGTCGGGCTTACACTTCAGTGGAGGATCCATCTTCCTGACGTTTCATAAGGCGATGCTTCTTGTCGCGATGATACCGGCCTGGTCTGACCGGAGTAATGTTATACTTGTTGTACAGCCAGACAAGGGACTTGGTGCCATTGGCCTTGTAGTCACCATTGCGGCGGACGGGAACACGAGTGACATTAGAGAAACCCATGGTGGCGACAAGCAAGAGGTGCAAGACGGCGACACTGCAGTAGAGCGACCAGATGTCAGAGGCCAATTGACAGGATAATAGAATGAAGTGAATGAACGGGATGAAGGGTTGAATGAGCAGATGAAACGATGGGAGATGGGAGAGGAGAGAAACAGGGAAAAGAAGACATAGATGGGAAGATGAGGCCACGCAGGCCGGTCCTGGAAGGCGACCAGAACAGCAGGTACGTGTCGTGTTCACAGACCTGGAGGAAGGTGCTTGAGGGACTTACTGCAACTGCAACAGCGACACCATTGTGATGGGCAGTTGCAACCGCTGGTTGATGGGATATCCCAGTATGCAGGTGTCGTAGGGATAACCTCCTAGCCCTGGGATCGATCGAGCTGTCAAAGAGATGAATGTCGAAGGATGGTGTCAGAGAGCGACATGGAGGCACTGAGCTGCGTGCTAGATATGAGATATAGACAGATCAGAATGAGAGTACTTGGTGGTTGAATTGCCTCGCCATCTTTGGTTGTTTGTTCTTGAGGTTTGTCCTACACAAAATCCGCCCAAGCTTCATTCTGTGCCTCCCAACAGTTCAGTTCAAGTCTTCATCTGCCTCCATGAAAGAACAACCACTTCTGTAGCTCGGCTCCCGAGTCTGTTGTCCAGCTGCATCGGATGCATGCTCCTACACCTCTCAAAATCTATACCTTTTCTTTGAATCTGATCGGAGCTATATGGTGTCCGAGCATTGAGCTGTTCGTTCGCCTTTATGGTGTACCAAGATGAAGTGCACGGTCACCTACAGGACGCCCAGAGCCGCGAATTGTCATGGTCGATTCACCTAGAGTCTGTCGAGTCACATTGGATAAGCTGTAGCAAACATACAGGGAAATATCGGCGTCTACCATACGGGACCGTATTCGGGCGACGTAGGGCGATGTAAAGTCTCATATCAGTAGCAGGGCAGGAGAAGTGTCCACCCGACGTTGCGTATGAGAATCGTGTCGTTCAAGGGAAACGAAAGGGCAGGACAGTTGTGTTATGTTAGAGGCAAGCAGACGTCCAGCAGGTGGAGCCCGAGCCAAACGAAAGAAACGTTGATTCGCGCTTAGATAATACATATCCAGTACGATGCGCATGCTGCTTGTCCAAAAAAATTCCCTGCGCCAACAAAAAAAAAAAAAAAAGACTTTCGAGACACACGGCCTCTCTGTGCCTCTCCCACGCCACACATTTTGTCCAGGCAGCAAGAGCTGCGATGGCTGCTGATGTCCAGCCAATTGCTCAGGTCAAACTACCTGCTCGACCCTCGTCCCTGACCCCAGAGCAGACATACTGGCGGTCATTCAAGTCTCCTCTGAACATTGCCTCTCCCACAAAGCACGCCGTAACACACATTTCCCAGCCGCAGCCAAATTCCCCAGCCCAAAGCCCTCCCGACTTCTTTGTTGTCACGACCGGGGCCCGCGTGCAGCTATACTCTCACAGAAGCCGGAAACTCCTCAAGACCATTACACGATTTGACGATATTGCCTACAGCGGCGAAGCGCGATACGATGGACGAGTCCTTGCGGCAGGCGATGAGACTGGTGCCATCCAGGTGTTTGATGTCAACTCAAGAGCTATATTAAAGACCTGGAAAGAGCAGAAACAACCAGTGCACACGGTGAGATGGAGTCCTAAGGAGACCACCGCGTTGATGAGCTGCGGAGACGACAGAACCGTCAGACTTTGGGATCTTCCAAGCGAGTCCAGCGTGGAGACATTCCGCGGCCACCAAGACTACGTGCGAACCGGCTCTTTTCTCCCGGGCCAGTCGAGTAATCTGATTGTGTCCGGTAGCTATGATCAGACTGTCAGGCTCTGGGACCCTCGTACACCAAATGCTGCGGTCATGACCTTCAAACATATCGCTGCGGTAGAAGATGTCTTATGCATGCCATCAGGGGCAACCATCTTGGCATCGGCTGAGAACCAGATTGCGGTATTGGATATTGTGGCGGCAAGGCCGTTGCAGGTGATCAGGAATCACCAAAAGACCGTGACATCATTATGCCTGGCATCTAATGGATCAAGGGTAGTCAGTGGTGGGCTCGACGGCCATCTGAAAGTCTTTGAAACTACGGGGTGGAACGTCGTCGCCGGTTCCAAATACCCGGCTGGGATCCTTGCTCTATCTGTTATTGCGGCCGGAAATCCCCGAGAAGACCAGCATGTTGTAGTGGGAATGTCTACCGGCCAGCTCAGCATCAGAACACGCCTCTCAGGGGAGCAGAGAGTGAAAGAGCGGGAAAGGCAAAAACAAATGGAAGCGTTGATTGCAGGGACAATCGAAGAATATGATAAGAAGAGGGCAAAAAAGCGTCCGAGGGGGTTCGAAAAGCGGCTTAGAGGACGTGACTACGCCGGCGAAGATGCTGACATCATTGTGGAAGGAAACGTGCGACCGAAACAGAAGAAGCTGGCTTTGTGGGAAAAAGAACTGCATAAAGGCAGATATCGCGAGGCTTTGGATATTGCGCTGAAAGGCGCAGACAGGCTGACAATAGTCACACTGCTTAACGCTCTCCGCTATCGATCTGCGCTGCGTGCCGCCCTCGAAGACCGCGCCGAATCAGACCTGCAGCCCATCATGCACTGGATATGGAGGAACATCTCCAATACAGCATTTGTTTCCTTGTGCGTGGAAGTTGCCCTGAACATCATGGATCTGTATTCGAAGCACTCGTTCGAAAGCGAGGACCTTGCAAAGCACCTCAAGAAGTTGCGCGACCGAGTCCACGAAGAGACGGATCGGGCACAGCAAGCGGGAATAACAAGAGGGATGTTGGAGCTTTTGACTTCACAGCACACTGGCTGAGCATTCATCAGCCATCCTACACCCAGAAACTGATCGAAGCCAGCATTACTTCAGGGAGTTTTGACCACAGTAAACAACTTCCCCCCATGGTCTGAGGACCAATGGGTACCCTCGGTCCAAAATTCCACCGAAAATTGCCGTGGTTATCAATTGCATCATTCGAGACGCGGGGCTTTCATGAGCAAGGATTTCCGTGATAACCCCTTGCATTTGTGTCGTTCTTCTACCGGTCGCGAGAGGCGCAATTCCAAAATTCGCCAACATGGCTCCCAAGACTATACGATGGGGCATCTTGGGCAAGTGGTGCTGCATTCTGATGCAAAGTGCCGCCAGCTAACAATGCTTCAGCTACGGGAGGCATCGCTATAACATTCACCAAAGATCTTCTGCTCGATCCCGCAACTCGCGGCGTGCATGATATCCGTCACACCGTCGTTGCGGCGGCTAGCTCTTCTAGCGCTTCCCGCGCGCAAGCGTTTCTGAACGAGGTTAAGGCCCCCTCCACCGCTAAGGCGTATGGCTCATACGCCAGCCTTGTGCAAGACCCGGACATCGATATCGTCTACATTGCCACTCCTCATTCCCACCACTATCAGAATGCAATGCTCTGCCTCGAAGCCGGAAAGAACGTCCTCTGCGAGAAGGCCTTCACCGTCAATGCTGCCCAGGCGAAGAAACTCGTGCAAACGGCGCGGGAGAAAAACCTCTTCCTGATGGAGGCAGTCTGGACACGCTATTTCCCCCTGTCCGTCCATGTACGTGAGGCAATCACCTCCGGGAAATTGGGTCATGTAGTCAGAGTGTTCGCCGACAATTCTCGAGCCGCGGACCCGGAGAAGGTCTGGCCCGACGCCAAACACAGGATGGTCAATCCTGAATTAGCGGGTGGCGCTCTTTTGGACCTGGGAATCTACAGCCTGACCTGGGTTTTTCAGACTTTGTACACCACTCAAGCACCAGAAAGCCGCAAACCGCCAAAGGTGGTTTCGAGCATGGTTAAATATCCGCCAACCGGTGTCGACGAGACTACCACCATCTTGCTCACGTTCCCTCGCGACCCCGAGCAAGGAGGCGACATGCATGCTGTTGCAACGACGGGTATGCGCACGTCAAGCAACACCGATGGAAAAGGCACGTCGGGTCCTGCGATCCGGATTCAAGGCACAAAGGGAGAAATGCAAATCTGGCCACCAGCATTCCGACCAACACGGACAAGACTGATACTTATGGATGGCACGACCGAGGACAAGGATTGGCCGCAACCGGGTCCAGGCAAAGGAAGCGGGTGGTTCAACGGGTTTGGAAATATCATGAATGCAGAGGGGGAGGGTCACGGAATGTTTTGGGAGGCGGATGAAGCGGGGAGGGCCATTGTGGAGGGGCGCAAAGAGGGCAAGTATGAAAGCTTGGACGAGAGCGTGTTGATTATGGAGGTGATGGACGAAGTCAGACAGCAGCATGGCTTTAGGTATCCAGAGAAGATTGAGACTATTGAGAGAGTTGATCTCTGAGATGAGATGAGCAATCCAAAATGATCTCAACTGGGAGCACGGGAAGCATCAGAGGCCACGTCGACCCATTGCAGTGACATTCTTTGACATATCGGACTAGCCTAAAATGGCATGGCCCAGCCGAGTGCCAAGGGGGGCTTGGCATATCCGTGATCGACGTCACCACCAAAACAATGGGAATCCACATGATTGGCTACCACTGCTGCATCTGTGGTGCGACAGTGAAGTCGAATTGACAGCCAGCCCTGAGTACAAAGCTGTCGTTTGATCAAGGTGCAGCCTTTGCAAAAGAATTCATTTCTCCCATTACCGACGGGAGACGACTTCTCGTCTGTCGATTACGAGGTATTGCTATGAGAAACCCTGTCGCTTACTGTCGACAAGCTTCCGGCTTGCGAATTCCCAGCCTTCTGCATAACTGAACACGTAAATTCCGTGGCTGGCGCCTTGTCCACTTTCAAGTCTCGATGCTCCCCTTCGACAACAAACTCAATCCTGTTCTTCACTCAGACCATTTCAAAAGCTTCGCTCGACAAATCACCTTGGGGGGGATTTGAGTAGCTCCCTCCCTTGAAACCTATATCGTCTTCCTCAATCCGGTAGCGGCACCATGCGGCCTTGACGGATCGGGACCACCATCTCCGCCTCGAATGTTGCAGCCTTCACAGCATCTCCAACACTTTGGAATACACGCCGCAGGCCGGCAATTGCCACCCTTTATCCTTTCAGCATGACGTCCAGAACAAGAGCCCTCAATGCTGCCCATGCTGCTGGGATTTTTGCAGACATGACTCTCGACGGACCCGAGATTGGCACTCTCGTCGCCGTTGTTGACAGGGCTAAAAACCTCCCGAATCGGAAGACCATGGGCAAGCAAGATCCTTATTGTGCTATGAGGCTCGGTAAGGAAGCCAAAAAGACGGAAACAGACAAAAGAGGCGGACAGACACCGAGATGGTAAGGTGATTCCAGGAAGGCAGTGAGCTTCTTGCTAACAGGCACTAGGGACCAAGAACTGCGATTCACTGTCCACGACTCCCCCGACTATTACAAATTGAAATGCTCCATTTTTAATGACGACAAGAAGACCGACCTCATCGGCGAAGCCTGGATCGATCTACAAGAAGTCATCATTCCGGGCGGTGGACAGAGTGATCAGTGGCGCCAATTGAACTTCAAAGGCAAATATGCAGGAGATATCCGGATTGAATTGACATACTACGATGCAAGACCAAAGCCAGAGCCTCTGGCAGAGAAGCAAAAGCAAAGAGACAAATCTCAATCGATAACCAGTGATGCCCCAAGCATACCCTCTGGTTCTCGTCAGCTCGGTCCTCGTGAGATTAAGAGAAGGCCCCTGCCGCCTGGTCCTGGCGGACAGCCCTCGACCGCTCAGGCGGCTGAGCGATGGGGCCAGGAAGAGTCCCCGGAGGCATTTCTAGGCCACGGGTATACAAACAGCAACCCTCCACCGCGCCCACCAAAACAAAAGTTCATCCCCGAGACTCCCGACGATGTTGGATATGATCTCAACCCTCGATTTGGGCCCGACTCCTATGAGCCGCCTCAGAGTTCTAGTTCATCTTACCATCAAAGACAAGCCTCTAGCAACTTCCAAGATAGCTGCCACGATCCTGTCGCACGCTATGAGGAACAAGAATTATATGCGATGGATTCGTACCAGCAACCGGCACTTCTACCAGAACCGCAACAATCACTGTCTGTGCCTGGGCCACCGCCACCGGAGCATCATTCCTCATCGGCACCGCACTCGCCATACAACATGCCAGACCACCCCCTATATCATTCCTCTCCTCCCCGAATGACGCCACAGGCCACTCCTCCGCCAGCTATGCAAAATCAACACTGGAACGGCAGAACCACCACATCTCCAACCAAGTATGCTGCCCACAGGGACAGTCCGCTGCGCCAATCTATAAGTCAACAAGATATGCTTGAAGCAACACCGACCTATTCCAATCTACAGTTTGACGAAGAGGAGTCACCTCCACCACCACCACCTCCCGCTCACCGAGGTCAGATGACAAGGGTGCCAGGACCTTCACCGGCTTATCGAGACCCATTTGGAGATCCTTCGCCTCGTACGCCCGTGACATTCAACACCGTCGAAGACAGAAGTCCTCTTCAGAGGTTAGAGTGTGATTATGATCCCTTCCAAGCAACTCCACCTACGCAAGATATACAACGCCAACCTGCGCCGCCGCAGTCTTATGAACCAAGCCCACCAATGTCAGTTGACCATGATAGATATCCCATGTTCCCATCTAATAGGCGGAAATCGTACAACAATGATGTGAATCAGTTTCAGCCAATATGCTCTGAAAACGACGTGCCAACTCCTGAACAGATTTGCGATGGCAATCTTGCTCAACAATGGGATAGAGAGAGCAGTCAAGAGAATTTCAGGCATTCTACAGGTAATGAACCTCTCCAGCGGGCGCAGACATTCGACAACTTTGAACTGCACGACGAGAGGCACGTCCGAAGATCTGCTCCAATCGTTGTCCGACCTCGCGCAATCAGTCCCAATTCTAATCACACTATTCCACGGAAGTCGATCACCCCTACATTCCCATCGCCCGACGATCGCAACCAGATGCCCAGTGTCCCATTTGGACCAGGCTCATACGATGTCTTGAACCCCGCGACGAATCCACCACCCGCTGACGGTGCGTATAACTTACCAGAAGATGTACTAGAGGCTGCTCGGCAGAAAGAGGTTGACAAGCTACGAGATCAAGGCCCAATCATCGGAAACGATGGCAGGGTAATTGATCCATCTGACCATCTTCCGTCGGATACCTGGGCGCCGGAGCCTGAAAGAAAACAACGGAAACCAGAGCATGTCATTAGGATTCGCACTAGAGAAGAAGCACGCACACATAGTCGTGCAGGATCGTCACCAGTCTCTTCCCGACCACATTCGATTGCGACATCGCCCTATCAACTCCCGCCAAGCGCCCCAGCGTCTTCTCCATACCAGGCGTCACCCCCTCCTGTCATGGCTCCAGTTTCACCTAAAGTCGAATCACCGAGCGGCCGGAACAGGCTGAAGAAACAGATGCCGAACCGACCTCTCCCGACTCAACCATATGCACATCCTCAAACAAGTCCAGGTGTGATGAACGCCTCATCAACGGACCGACCTAGTCCCTCAAACCAACGATATACAATCCATTCTTCTCCTGGAGGAGGACCACCTCAGCGGCCTCCACTGTCGGAATACCAAGTTCCGTCTGTGAACAGTTACAGCCCGCGTGGTGGATATGGGCCGCCACCCGGGCATCAATACCAACTGGAATATTCACCAACACCGGCAAACCCGCCCATGGAAAGGCCACTGCCGGAAAATCCGAGTTACAATGGGGGCCCGTCGTACGAAGTAGATAATCCGCTTGCTCTTGAGTTGAGCAGAATTGACATCGGACCATCGAGAATGCCCAGGACGGCATTACGGCCCCAGAAAGCATACGGCGCATATTAGCAATGTGACATGTGGGAAGGTGGGTTTTTGGCAGGCATTGTGAGTGTATGTCTGGATTGGATTTCTGGGGCGGGCTGGATATAAGGCCTCAGCCCGTAATCAGGGCTCGGTCGGCTCAAAATTGGCGCGAGGGGGATAATAGGATTGAAATGTACATTGGCTTCATGCCACGGCGGGTCGGATAATAGAATAAAATACCCAAGAGGGCAGAGTACACAGAACGACATCAACCAACATCTGTTTTCCATGTCCAGCGGTGCTTGCGCTCGGACTTCTGTCACCCTTGCTTCTTCAGGCGTATCCCAACCGGCCCTTTGGCATCCTCCACCCGCGCCTGTCTTTCGCCCCAATACGTGGAGGCCCGAGGGCACAACACTTACAGAGGGCGCAGACTCTCGGTCAATCGGAGGGAAGGGAGATGGAGAGGGTCCTGGTTATTTCTGTGGTATCTGGTACTCGGTCCTCCATATCTGAGTTGAACCAAGTGACGACGGCATGTACAGAGTACCGAAGCGAATTATACTCCCACAAAAACCCAGGGACCTCAGCCTTATCGCGGTTGCCGGGAGAAAGTACTGTCAGACAGAGCCTTCAAAAGAATCATTCTTCTCCAGTTTTGGCGGATGATACTTCATCTCCTCTAGACTGAGACCCTTTGTTTCCGGGAAGAAGAAGTCTATCATCGCCACCATAACGGCAGAGAGACACAGAAACAGCAGATAGATTTCCAACCGATGGCGGCAAATGCACTCGAGGCCGCCTGCGTCTAGGTCAACGAGGCGAGGCACAGTCCGGCAAGTCTGATCGAGAGACCTTTAGCTCGCAGATGCGTCGGAAAGATCTCGGAGGAATAGATGTATGTCATTGTGTCATTGTACGTGGCGCAGAAGAAGATGGCCGGGCAGCTCAGGGAGAAACTCGTCCGATGCTCGAGGACCGATAGGGTGACACATTCACCGATCAAGACGCACACGACCTCGAGAAACCCAATCGCTATTGGTGTGCAAGACGTGCCAACCACGAGGCGAAGGACGGCAATACTTATGGAGGAACCACACGCGGCCAAGCCGATTAATGAAAAGCGAAATTATCATGTTGCAGGGTGTGGCCACAGTGACCCAGCCGGCTGTCAAGGCGAGCGCCTGTCGTCCCGAGCACCCAACATTGGAATAAAAGGTGACGCCGGACTGCCAGAGACATCCCATCAATATTCAACGCGAGTGTGAAGGAGGCAACGGCGATATTGCCCTGTCGAGAGAATTTGTCCTCGAAGGGGCCAATGAACAGGGCCTCGAAAAGACCTCCCGTTCGGAAGAGGCCATTTTCTGCGCCGATCAAGGCGTTCGCATGTGGATTTGTCGGCAGCAGATTCATATATGCGAGGAACTGTGGCTGGCCGAGAGTGGTTGCGATGATCGAAGCGGAGTAGCCATATGAGATGGAACCGAGACAGTTGAAAAGGACGATCTGGGCCCAAACATAAGACAGGTCCTCGCTGCACAAAGCCTTCGTCTGTCTGGAAACCTGCTTACGGCAACGTTCAACCAGGACCATGAGTCCCGCATGGTGGGCGACCTTGTCAGTTGACACCACTATTGTGTACGCTCCGTGTGTAGATAGCCTCTGGGGAGAGGCTAGTGGATTCTGGCACTTCTCACAAGTAAGATGGCGCTCTGGTCAAAAACGTAGTCGTGTTGTTATAAGCCCCTGGCGTGTATCCTATTTGATATATTGTCACAAAACACAAGGAGACCGCGTGGGAGACCTTAGGACAGCAGCAGTCACGGAACCAGATTTCCGGGCTGTGTTCGAGCTTCGTTGCGTGTGTCCCGTCTTGTTGGAAACTGTCCATGGCTAACGAGTTGCGTGGCGCCAGGGGCATTTTTGTCTCAGAGATAATTATGTAAAAGCATTCATTCGTCCCAGAGGTCCAGACCGGATCCAAAGCGAGGCATCAATCGCGGGTAGAACCAAACTCTGTTCTGAAAAGCCCTGCGGCATCATCGAGACGAGTCGATTCCCGAAGAACGCGGAAGGAAGATTCCTTTAGCTGAAGACCTCGTTCTAAAGCAAAAGGGAAAAGCATTAGCAACCAGAGGAGCTCAGCTCCATACAATCAATATTACGTTTGCGTATAGCATGCATGGCAAGGTTGCACCCGATGGAACATTTTCAACCTCCAGACCTACTTTGGAATGAGATTCGCCGCCTTCATCCTGTCGAACCCAAGCAGCCACTGCGTCGGCGTGTCGAGGACGTCAGCAAACCCGGTCGCGTACGTCTCGGAGAGGTCGAAGGGGTGATCAAACGTCCACTCCTGCGTCAGATAGTTGACAAACAGCCAGCTGGTGCCCTCCAGCGTCCCGGGCCTGACTCTGGTCTCCCTAACCCACTGCGCCCACTTGTCCGTGTTGCCCTCCATGAACGCTCCGATCGACTGCGCTTTGCCCGCGGGATGGGGCCCGTCCAATGTCTCGACGCCGAAGTATTCGCAGATGATGGGCTAGAGCACTTCCACTGGATCGGCTCGGGCCTGTCGGCCACGTCGATCGACTCCCCATTCACCTTTTCCGGGTGCATCGCGGCGTAGATGTGGAAGCGCGCGAGCACCGTGGATGAAGTGTCGGTCCGCTTGGAGTTCCAGGCGCCTTCATTGCCGGGAAACCTTACGGGAGGAGGAGGACTCCTCGGACCGTGCAGCCACTTGTAAAAGCTGAAATGTATACAGGCCGAGACCCTGGACGATGCTCACGGCGTTGTTCTGTGGCATGAATCCGATCTGGTACGCACATTTTGTTAGTGGTCCTCGAGAAAACTCTCGCGGTGATTCTGCACACCGTGCAAGACAGACACATATAACCGCATCGGGGCGGAGTTCACACCATCCCCATTTCTTGTCCCTTGCCAGCCTCTTGTTCTCGTCGACCTGAGTGTAGTAGAAGATCTTGTCTCCCCAAGGCGACGGGCGGAGCAGATTCCTTCAATGGGATCTCAATCTTGATGTGTTCGATCCACTCGAGGCCGTAATGTTGCGACGCAGGGTCAGTGTGCGGGCGCATAACGGAGAGGTTTGTGGATAATACAAGGACAACAAAGCGTACCTTTCCGCCCGTCTGTAGGGAAGAAGAAAAATTTGGGACACACTTTCTCCAATGACTGGATAGCTATAGTTGGGGACGAGGGCCGCGTTTGCCTTGATCACCTCCTCCTGGCTCTTTCCATGTGCAGTGTAGGCCGTGGAATAGACGGGTCCAACATCGCCAACGTTGTCGATGGCTTTTAGCTTTGTGACTATCTCGTCAATCGGGAGACTCGAGTCGAAGCCACTGTAAAGCTCAACTCGGTGGTTGTCCACTGCTAAAGCCCCAGTCGCGACATAAGGGGGGTTTGGCTGAACCATGTCCGAGCCCTGTGTGAATAGCCGAACATTCACGACTCGACAGAAGATGCCTCAGCCAAGGCATTGCCACTGCAGTATCGCCTATGCCTCTAAGCCAAGGACAGACTCACGAGGACAGACTGGTCTTTGCGAGAGAATCCGCAACTGAGTTCTGCAAAATAGGACAACAGACTGGGTCGGGAAGAACAGAAATTTGCAGGTAAATTTGAATGCACGGGCGTCGAGGACTGTGTCCAAGCGGTCATATATGCAAGTCTTTCTTCCAAGAACAACGATGTCCCGGACGTCTTTAACTGATGTGCCAACCTGTTGGCCACTCGAGCGGTTGGCAAGGCGATGCTCATTAGTATGGGTTCACCGGTCCAGACGTTACCCGTCGCAACAGCAACGCACCGTGAAATTGATCTGGTTGGCATTTGACCATATGCGGACGCGTGTCCTGCGAGCAGTATCATGCGCCAGGCCGGTCAGGTTGGAACGGGAATAGCAGTTCCATCAAGCATCGTCACAATACCGATTTGAAGGTCTGGAGTCGGTCCCAATGCATTCGAGCTTGCGGCAAAGTCGACTGATGCGGATGGGAAACTTGTCATCAAAGAGGTCCTCCATAACTTGTAGCGCGGGCTTTTTCAAAAGGGTTTCCGTTTTTCTAGATTATCAGAAGAACGCGGATTGAATGTAAAGACGACTGGTTACGCGATGACCCGCTGTTTCGTACGGTTTGGAGCCCTATTTTCTCACTCGGCGCTAAATGAAGCCTTCCTCCTGGAACACAGCAATCAAGAACCTGAATCGTTCACAAGCGTCAACCTGGTCAAAGCTTAGTGCTCACTGACGTTCAACGGGCACAACTGCGGAATATGGGTTCCGGTATCTCAGAAAAGGTTGATGAATGCTGAATGCCACATGCAAGGCGCGGTGTATCAATCATCCATCGATGACCAACCTTACCGCCTGTTACTCATGATTTGACGCCCTATCGCTGGCGATGGTTTGGAACATACGACGGTTTAAAGCTGATGTTTGACGGACGGTCAGTCTCGCTGGACGAGTCCAATATTGCCCGCAATTAATATGTACTTCACATCTGAGCCTAAAAAGGATCAGTTAAAGCTTTCGTTTTGCCATCGGGAGGTAGAGCCCTTGCCACATCTTATCCGACAACTTGCAGAGAAACAAAGAGCTGAATGGCGACAAAACATCCAGCATGAGTGCAGAGAAGCGCGACGCCAGCCAGTACCGCGCAAAAAGCCATCGAAGCGTTGGGCCGAAACTGTTTCATCGAACCCTGTGAGCTGGGCAACAAAAAGGACGTTGCCACTTTGATCGCCTTGCCTCCCAGCTTACCGAACCCACTTGCATAGATATGTGGTGACAGATATGAACATTAATACCAGATCGGGCGACCCTGCGTATCTGCAAAGTCTGAATGACAGGATTCCTGCGGGCCGATGGGGCACGCGAGAAGACTTTAAAGGCTCGACGTTGTTTCTGGCGAGCTCGGCAAGTGATTACACCCACGGGCATATATGGCTGGTCAGTATCTGAGACTTGTTATTCACCGTGAATGACTGTATTCTAACAGTACGCTGTAGCTTGATGGTGGATTTATAGGTCGTTGACGGTGCTGCTTCCGCTTGGGACACATTCACAACAAGATCATAATTGATCTCGCACAGGCTATCGTGGAGGATAATCATCTTAGGGAGCGACTTTGTTTCATCATACGCAATGCCTGAGTCTACTCCATCATAAAAGCCCCGTTTGCAGGACGGGACTTATCTTGTACTTCTCGGCTGTGATACAGAGCTAAATCTCGCCACGGGGAACTATTGGCAAAGGACAGTCACTATTCAAGTACATCTCGCCCTACTAATATATATACATATGTGTGTGTGTGTATGTGTGTGTGTGTATGTGTGTGCATATACTAATACCTCCATCTGGATAGCAGCCCTGAGCTTTCCTGACCAAGACCGCCACCGGGCCTACATATCCCACGCCTGGGCTCTGGAAGACCCGCACAGCCTTGTAATTAAACCTTGGGTGGAGCGGACTGCTCGTTCCCGACGTCATCCTCGGGTTTGTTGGAGGAGGCGGCAGTAGTTCTGTACAAGTTACCGTCTTTTCCCACGACGTGGCTTCCGTCCGCGACAGGGTCGCCGAAGATTTTCGCGACCTCCTCAAAGCTGAGGCCTTTTGTCTCGGGGGAGAAGAGCCAGAGCAGGATGACAATGGTGAATGTGAGCACCGTAAATACAATTTAGTATCGCCAGTGGATGGCTTTGAACGCCGACGACGTAGTTTGGATGAAGAATCAGGGTCCAGACTGGCGAGGAAGAGGCCGCTGATGGACAGGCCGCTGCCGATTGCCCGGAGACGAGTGGGGAAGATCTCGGACACGTAAATGCAGGTTGTGGCATCGATGAAGCTGGCGTAGAAGAAAATATGCATGAATAGGAATACGATTGCCCCGGCGGCGGTTCCTGCGATTTGTTCGTGGGCCGGAAGAGAAAGCATGACTATCTCACCGATCAAAACAAGGACAAGGCCACCAAATATTTGGCTACTTGTGCTGGCCACACACAATGGGGAGCGATAGTTATCGTCTGGTATATTCCACCCACAGACGGAATCCAATTTTCCTTCTCTCTCAGACAATCTCAGCTCTTGAGCGAGTGGCACACCTGCTTGGTGGAAAGGAAGACTCGTTGCGGAACTCTCCTTTTGGCAATGTCAGGAGGGACTGGAATAACACTTCCCAGGCATTTTATGCCTCCGGGAACAGTAAAAGCGATGCGAGAAGCGAATAGATTTCCTCTTGGAAGCGATCTTTATCGTGACATGTTGACCTGGACTGATTCCAGACCGAATCAGGCAAATCATATGTGGAAAACTGCTTGCGACGAAGATGTGCAACGACCGACAATACGGTAATAGGAAAAACAGATTGCTTTTCCCAAACTAGCCCTGAGGTGGCTGCATCTGTGGCTTCCGTCTCTTCGGGCCTGGCCTCACTGATTCTTGACCGTCGAGAACCCTGCGCTTCGGCTTCTCCGAGGCGACAAGCTTGGCCTGCCACTTCCTCTTAATATCCAGGAGAATCTCCAATGTCCTTGAAGCATTCTTGAAAACCTTCCCCAGTTCTGCTAATGCTTTGCAGCAGGTATCGAGATGTCGTTGGAGATTTAATTTGTCAGTTCCCTCCAAGTCGAGGACCGAAGCCAACACCAGGATGATGGCCGCTGAGAACACGATGCTTACCACCTCGACGTTGACGAAACGCAGTGGATAGTTTGCCTTGTAAAGACCAAGCAGCATGGATATTGCAACAGCTGACTCTATGCATACTGCTCGAGCATGTATATGCCGGATGTTGGAATTTATCGTAGTCGAAGCTGCCGGCTTCGACATAAATGGGCGATGGATATAGATCATGAATTGGTGGTATTGCATGCTAAAACTGATTAGCACAGCCTAAGGCGTATTAAGAGATAGGTGACATACTGCAATACCAAGACATGGGGCTGGTACTTCATATTACTGTCATGCTTGTCAAGAGTGACCTGGAGTGCCGGTGGCAGGTTTTGCCGCCATCGATCTAATTTGGAAACAGTCTCATCCGCAAATGTCTGCAATACTCTGTCTGATACATCCGAACGTTCATACCTAGAATGTTAGCGATTGTCGCATAGGAAACTGGGAAGATGCTCACAAAACATGGCTAAGATCATCCATGACCTCGCACAGCAGCACCCATTGGCGAGGAAGCAAACCGTTAGGGTCGGACGAATCAGTCACTGGTAGGGCTGCCTCTGGCAAGTTCTCAAGCATGCCGTAAGGTACCCATCGTTGAAGTTCAGGGCTCGGATTGGCGGGTCGCTGCACTGATGGATTGTGGTTGCTGATACGACAAGGTGGTCTCCCCAGATAGAAGCCCCAGAGGCTGCGGAGTCGTGAGCACAGAACTGTGAAAGGACATAGGGGGGACATACTGATCAACTACAAAACTTCCCCAGAATGCCATTTTCCGAGCCTCAGCCTCAGCGGGACTCATGAGACCTTTGGCCACATATTGCGTCATGTCGAGGTGCAGACCGAGATCAAATGACAAACGGACGGACATCCCTATGGAAAAATCAGTTACTGATGATCATTGATTGATCAAGAGTGGCTTACCACTGTAGAGCCATCCGCGTGCGTCATTTGTGGATGCCGCCTCGAAAGAACTCAAAATCACCAATGCTTGCACGGTTGCAACTCGGGGACTGTCAAGCTCGACGTCTAACCAGATTTTGGCGCGCTTCGCAAAGTACTTTGGCAGGGGGAGGGGGCAATTTTCGTGTCGGCCCGTGTCATAGATAGCGCCAAAAGCACACCTTTGGTTAGGTTAGTATAGTCGTCTGCAAGGAAAGAGGAACATGAATTGCTTACATCGCGTTGATCAGCGTCTCCGACAAGTAGGAGCTGCGACCAGGACTGGTGCGTTGCATTCTCCTTGCTTGTCTATACAGTTCTCGATCCACAACGTGTAATGTTGGATCCTGCCAGGTGAAGTATAGATTGGCTAAATGATCTTCCAAGGTGGCATCAATGTGTTGGCCAATTCCTGCGGCTTCCAACAATCTTTGACCACGGTTTCGCGCAATAGTTGATTCGGCGGATTGAGTAAATAGCCCAGTAACATCACGTAGTGGAAGGTTTGAGGTGGCCCCAAAATATCGAAGCTCGCCATCATCGGTTACTTGAAGGGTCCCCATTCTTTCGGAAATCTCGCTGATGACGCCGTCAGAGCCTTCGTCTTCCGGGGCTAGTCGCACGTCCAGATCAGTGCCTGAAACAGACTCGGGCGAGGTTAAAGGTCCCAGAGATTGATCAGCTCCAGACACGTCCATATCCGGATAAGGAATTTGCAAGTCGGTCCAGCCGTATGTCATGCCCAGTGGCATGGCATTCAGTCCCGTGAAATCCGTAGTCCATTCAGGGAAGCCGATGTTGCTATCCTGCAGCGTGGCCAATTGATCGTCCATATCCGTGTAGTTGGAGAAAAGATCACCTGCCTCTGGTGCAGATGCCTGTATCGGGCGGTCGCTATTCATCTGGTCAAGGTCAACCATGAACTCCTGAGGGGTCCCAAGAGACACATTGTTCTGATACGGCTGTGGCTGAGAGTGCCTTTGCCGTGACTCTTGCGAATTGAATCCAGGTAGCGGGATTGTATCGCTGAGAAGCTCTTCCCGTTCAGCAGAGGCTTCTGGCTCTAATATTTCAGCGGCCGGTTGTTCCTTTGGCGATGTGGCGGGCAGCTGTAGAGTTTCGATCAGGCGGTCTATCAATTCAGCGTCGTTGGCATTCAGTGGTGGAGGTTGTAACCCATGGGCGCGAATGAATTGCTCTAGCCCCAACAGCCGAGCTGAAAAGGCTTGGATGGCTTTACGGACAGGTATCCTTGAAGTGGTTAACTGTGAATATTTGAAGTTCGAACCCGGATGTGCATCCTCGACATACCTTCGTTTGTCTTCCCCTTGCGCATAGACACAATGCTTCTTCTTCTTTTCGCAATTGCCACAAACCGGATGAACACCATCGCACTGTGAATCATGAACATCAATCGCATTCGGATACCAAGGGCGGACAGCCACTGCATACTCTGATTTTCCCGTCGCGGCATGTGATGCAAGCAGTCGACACGTACTTCCTTCTGGTTGACTTGGGCTGTTCGCCTGCCTGTGTAGACATCGTTTCAATTAAAATAAAGAGTTGATACCGCTATGAAGCGTAGTTAAGACCAGTCGTGAAGGGAAGCTAAGATGAGTTCACTAGCCAGGATGCGATGATCAATTCAGAGTTCTGAGGTTCAAAGCACATTGATAGCTGGACTTGGAGGCTCCATTGTACGAAAAGCCATATACACCGACGTTGGTTTGCCAGCAATCGTGGGTGCTTGAAAGTTGACGAGGACACGGAGAATTTAGAGTGTTTCCATCGCGCCCCTAAAGGTCCCACGGATGGCCCATGGTAGGCCGCTCGGTTTTGGAAGGCCTTGTTTATGAGTATTAGATTGTTCTTGCCTCCCCCTTGATGGCTTAGTCAGATACACACGCGCAGCCATGATAAATGTCTGGTAAGGGGCCCGATTAGTGCGGGGTCAAACGAGGCACTGCTGTGAATAAATCCGGGGTTATGGAAGAGAGTGGGTAGAGGCAGTGGATTCGAATCTAGGTATCTATCTCACCGCTCATGTATTCTTCGGTATGGGTGGTGTACGGCTAAACCCCGCCACAACAAATACGAACATCGTGACACTTGACCCGCGTCTTGTTACGGCTTTTCCCAAATTCAACATACACAGCGCCGACAAACAATCACCCGCCTCGACCATTGTCTATTGTAGCAGCTTCGAGGAGGGGTTGGGGTGCACGGACGTATAAGATCTGTTCCTCAAGCTACGGTGCAAGTCGGATTGCGAGAAAGACTGTGCGGTTGGGCCGGAGCTGCTGCCACTCCAACCGTCTGCTGACGAATATTCCAAATAAACACATCCATGGCCCTCCAAGGCACTGCTTGAACCATCACAATATCTACCTGTTCCTGACTGCAAATGAGCTAGTCATGGGTCATTGCTGAATGAAACGGCTTCGTGACTCGCTGATGAGCCTTCAGATCTACAGGCGCTAGACGAGGGTCTTGTATGGCTTATAGCCCACAGATGATCGTTTGTCTGGAGATTCTAGAACAATGGCTAGTTTTAGAAGGTCTTATCCCCTCTGCTATGTAAGTCTGTAAGCGTTGCCGCGTCCCTGCCTCCCTCGTTACCTCGTGCCAAGTCCACTGTAGATTTCTGAGCCCTTCTCACTGCTCTATCCGCTTCCTGTCCAGTTCGTTAGTAATTGCTTTTGTTTGATGCCGCACATCCAAAGGTTTCATATCGGTAATCGGAGCATTTGGAGTATCGTATTGAAAGACTCGTGACTAGCAACATGAACGACCTGCAAACGATTGAGGACGTTCAAGCGCACATCTCACAAACAGCCTATCTATGCTAGCTGGCTAATCACAGCACTGAGTGAACTGAGTTGATCTTTTCGAGTCGACAAGACTTGCAGCACTACTTCAAAGACTTGGTACTTTGTTCCATGACCGAGAAGATAATTGGCAGTGAGTCGAGAGAATTGTACTTGTTAGTTGTGGCCTGGATGTACAATTCCAGATACAAGTTCTTTCGCCTCTGTTCGCCTCTGCAAAGTATCATTGCAGTCGGACTCTGGCTTCAACAATATTTCTCCATATAATTGACCTTGTTCGGTGTTTCACATGCGACAGCATCTCCCTAGTAGTCGTTGCGGAAGCCATATTCAAGTGCCAGCTTGTTGATTCTCGGACATCAAGAGCTACTGCCCAAAGCCAGCGTAGAACTGTAAAGAAAAGACGAAAACAAGAAGATCACGACCTGCATTCTCCTAGTTAGTGAGTTAAATGTACAGCATTGTCAGATGTGCAAATATAATGAAGATATGGTTGAGGGGAGGATCAACCGAGATGGAAGATAGACGAAGTTGTGCTCCAAATCAAGGGGCGCAAGGCTGGGATCTCCTGACAAGGCTGGGGTGCTCCTTTCCTCGCCGGAGAATTGTTGTCCCAGCCTCCGGAACCCAGCCTTGGGGCCCGAAATTTTGAGAGCTCCAACTTCTTTTCTAGTAGCAACTTCCCAGATGCTTTTAATCATCAGCACGAACTATCATCATGAGCAAACATCTCTCTTCCTGCTGTAGCCATAACAGGTAATTCTACTACCACCGTCTCATAATCCCAACATTTTGGGAATTCTGCGGGCTTTCTTTGGCCTTCCCAACCACAATACCACGTCCACCGTGATATTTCCCTGCCCACGAACATTCCAATGTTGAAACTAGTATAGCCTCCTGCCTCCAAACTCATGGCAATATGATGCTATAAAAATTGGTTTGCTTAGGGAAGGGGTCTTTGTTCGAATTCTCTCCCATTAACGCGTTTCAGCTGAGCTGTTTTAGCTACAGTGAATTGGAGTTGACCTCTCTCAAGTTTGGCTACCGTATCCCTAGGGGCTTGCTGCTTGTTTCGATAACACGTCCTCTGGCTGAAGACTCGCACTCACAGCTGCCTCATCACTAACTTTACTTTGATCCTTGTTCATTTACCCCTCAAACAGCTTGCGAGCCACAATGCTCAGTTTGGAAGGACAGCGAGGGGGCTACATGCAAGATCCAGGGAACTGTTATGCATGAACTTGTGCCTATCCCTTGTTGGATTGTCACCATATGCCGTGAGTATTCGATACATCCGCTGACAGCATTTTAATCGGCTCAAAACACCGCGTCTTGTGCATGCACTGCCCGCATTCCATAGCCTTGCTCGGGGCAAGTCACTATACATTCTGACCATTCAGAACGAAAGGCTGCCGTCATGGCGATTCCAACAGGTACACAAGCCACATTATGGTCAATGCCAGCAAAAATTACTGTCAAAGCTTTTATCCCTTTCTGAAGAGGAGAGACCTCTGAGGTATAAATTGCAATGCTCAGCAGCCCGCGCTGTAGGCTCCATGCTCATCAACTTTGGTCCCGAAGAGAAACCCTGAAACACCACAACCATGCTGCTCCTCCGGCAGTCTTTCATGGTTCTTGCAACCGTGTTCCCTTTCGCCCTGACCCAAGGGGATAGTGGAGTTACCACTGCTACTCTAGAGCGGACTTTCACGGCGTTTGCGACCTCTCAACCATCGAGCGTGGCCACAACCCGCGTCACAAAATTCCTCGACACCACAACACTGACCACCACTTTGCGAAACACCACAACGAGTCCTCTACAATACACCGTGGTCATCCCTTATGTCTATCTGACGACCGTCGATGTTACGTGCACCTATAAGGCAACGTTGGTCCCCACTCTTCGGTGGCAAGCGGTCACGCTAATCCAAGTTTCAGCACCGATACTATCACTATCACTTCCACAAGGACACAGTATGACATAACGAACAGTACCTCAACCTCTTATACCAATGTTACCGCAAATGCAACCACCACACTTTTTACGGAAAGTGTCATCACCGTATCCACACCGACAGGTTTTGTCCCGGTAGAAGAGTCTTCTGGGGATGAAAACTACAGTGGAACTATCAAGCGCCGCGACACGGACCCCGGAGGAGACGTTCTGTTTCCCCGACAGGCTATCGCTCCGCCTGATACCTCCTATATCTCTCTCATTTCCATTGTCACTCGGTTGGTTCCAAGGACAACTTCTACTATATTCGTGACCGTGACAAAGACAAGCATCGTGCGACCACCGCGGACAGTGACGCAGCCGACGACCAGTACAGTAACCCGCATTGTGGGCGTTCCTGATGCGCCAGTGAACTCTGTAAGTTCCATCCTCAAACCCTTGTCTTCCGCACATCGGTTTTCTCTCAAGCAAAAGTGGTCAACTCGTGGCTGATCATCGTTTTAGACAGTGGTGGTGACGGCTTCTACCACCGAAAATGTGACAAATACCATTACCTTCCGGACGGAAACAACGGTAGCCACCATCACAAACACGCAGCTCAATTACACAGCCACCAGATCAACATATCTCGCTTGTGCAAGCAATAACCTCCTCGGGCCCCGAATCCAGGACCGCAGCTACATCAGCAATGTAGTTGACAACACGCGGTCCAATGTCGGGACGAGGACCGACGCGACCTCGAGCTACGAGTGCTGCACCATATGCCAGGACGTCGACGGCTTCTGCGACTTCGCCTACTACGACACGGAGGCCGACACCGCGGGGAACAACTGCGTGCTGTTCAAGGCAAACGCGCCAAAGAAGGGCGGCAGCAGTGCCACATGTGCCCATGCAAAGGCCGGCTTCTACAACACCAACAACAGAACGGAAAACAGATGGGTCGTCATGAACGGGCCGTGTGGCCAGCTGGTGCATGGGAACCCCAACAAGTGAGAGTCTACCGACGGCTCTCGTGCCCACATCATAATACGATACTATATACTCGGTATATAGTCGGCCTGCTCTGGGCTGTTAGCTACGTAGTTGCCATGGTGACGCGGGCAACCTGGACGGAGTGCGGTGAAAGAGGATACGGCAGGAAGCGGAGGGCAGAGTGCGAAGACAGGCTGAATACAATCAGAGGCTTACAAAAATTCCGGGCTGGTTCGCCATTTCTCACAGAAGATCAATAATTATGTGCTATTGTATGCATGGATGTCCGGACGGGGCACTCCTCAAGCCCGCTTTGGTCAAGGGGCACATCATGTGGCATTTTTACTAGCGCATCTATGTAAAAGAACCTCCATTTCCTTCCTTGACCGGCTAGGCCGAGTCCAAGAAGAAGAAAAAGGAGTATTTTTTTTTCTTTATCACACCAGCTCCTTGTCCACCACGCAGACAGCCTTGCCTTTGATCTTGCCGGCCTCGAGCAGCTCAAACATCTTGGGCACGTCCTCGAGGCCCTGGAAGACCTGCGTCTCGGCGACGATGCCGTGCTCGGCCACGGTGCGCAGCATCTCATCCGCCAGCTGCTTACCGCCGTGCATGGTGCCCTTGATGGTGATGTCGCGCAGCACAATGTCCATGAACGGCACAGTCACCTCGGGCGGCTGCGCGGCCTCCACGACGGTGCCGTGCGTGCGCGTGATGGCCGCCGACAGCGCCGCCGTCGACGGATGGTCGCTCACGTTGACTGTGGCGTCGACGCCGCCTTGTCCGCTCGTCAGCGCCCGCACGCTCGCGACTACCGCGTCCTTGCCCTCGCGCGCGTCCAGGACGTGGTCGGCGCCGTACTTCTTCGCGATCTCGAGTCCCTCGTCTCGCGCCTCCACCGCAATCACGTTCAACCCGGCGGCCTTTGCGAACTGCACGCCAAAGTGTCCCAGCCCGCCCCCGGCGCCCACGATCGCCACCCACCCGCCCTTCCCGACGCCGCTGACTTGCAATCCCCGGTAGACGGTGACGCCAGCGCACGCCAGCGGAGCAGCGGTCAGGAAACTCACGCCGTCGGGGACTTTGCAACTCATCCGCGAGTCGACCACGTGGTACTCGGCAAAGGCACCGTCGGTCATGACGCCCGCGGCGCCGTCGATGTCGAAGCAGTATTGCTTCCAGTCCTTCTCCACGGGTGCTAGGCAGTTCTCGCAGTGGCCGCAGGAGTGGAACGTGATGCCCGACATGACCCGGTCACCAGGTTTGAAGTCCTGGACCGAGGAGCCCGCTGCGACCACAACACCGGTGCCCTCGTGCGACAGGGTCATGGGCAGGCCGTGCTTGGGCGGCATCGCGAAGCCCGCCTGGACCATAAGGTCGGTATGGCACAGGCTGGCGACGGCGGTCCGGAGGAGGAGATCGAACGGACCCAAATCGCCCGCTGCAGGGGCTTTTGTTTTCTGCACAACCGGCGGGGCCTTGAACTCGACGAGTTGAGCGGCGAGCATTTCGCTAGGGACCTCGACTGTCGCGGTCGACATTATGGGATATGGCGTAGTGGGGAGCTTGCTGCTGGGATTCGCAAGCGGAAGAACCTCACTCTGGCCTCTCTGCTCAAATGGACCGAAGATGATCTTATTGATGTATCGAACAGCGCGGGTCGAGTCTATATTGACGGTTTGGACGATGTCTGGATCTGTCTTCCTTCGACAGGCTAGAGTCAAGAGCACAGGGTCTAGAAAGGCAGCGGCTATTTACGGTATAAAACTGTTGTTGCTGTCGTCCAACGACTCCAATATCACTTGATTGAGAGAAATTGCTTCCTACAAGTCAGTCATTGTATATTCGGCGTCCGCTGGCCATCGAATCCGACCGGCAGATGATGCTGTACCCCTCTCGGAAGAAGGAGTAAGCGAGTCAAAGGCTTCGTTTACCCCCACTTGAACAACACATCACCAGGACTTATCGCCCAATGTTTGGATGCCAAGTGTGCACAAGGGCAATGGCGAATAGGGAACGGTTGGGAAAGCTCACCGATACCCAATTTCCCGTGGCAAGAACAGATTACTTTTCAGAGAACTAGAATTGGATAATTAGAACGAGAGATTCCGCGCGGAACAGTGCTCTATTCCTTGATGCTGTTGTAGGGGAGAGCACTCTTCCCAGATCGCACGTCGTGGATCTATACGTGCCGCCCAACTAGATGGCGCACCTGTTACAGTAGGCAAGAGCTCTCATATAACAAGTAGCCTTGAGAAGGCAGGAGGATAAACTGGGCTCGTGCCCTGACCCTATTTGGTCACCACTTCATTGACGGGCGCAACAGGTCTCCCCGTCTTGAACAGACTCCTGATATTGTCAAAACATTCCCTCTCGGATTTCATGAATGCGACATCCGTAAGACCTCCCATATGGGGCTGGACAACTACTTTGTCGCTAGCCAGGAAATAGGGGTTGATATTTGGCTCGTTGCAAAAGACATCAAGGCCGGCGCGCGTTACGTTGCCTGATTCCAGAGCTCTGATCAACGCTTCCTCATCGACGATAGCACCACGAGCAGTGTTGACGAAGAAGGCGCCCGGTTTCATAGCGGCAAATTCGGCATGAGAGATGAGATTCGTGGTCGATTCATTGAGCGGACATGAAATGGAGACTATGTCGGAGTCGCCGAGGAGTGAGTGAAGGGTGGAGCAATATTCTGCCTTATACTCTTGCTCCACTTCCAGAGGGAGTCGATTGCGGTTGTAGTACTTTATTCTGAGGTTGAAGACGGAGGCTTTCTTTGCCGTATACTAGCGCCGAAAGTTCACTGTCAGCAGTCGACGGCCACAAGGGAACCCTAGAAGTACTGAGTATTACACACCTTCCCGATTGCCCCCATACCCACGATTCCAAGAGTCAACCCTGTTGGGTCTCGACTTGGGACAAGGCCCTGCTTCCAATTGCCAATCCTGGCGCTCTTTTCGCCTCTGGTAGTATCTCTCAGTACCGCCAGTGTCAAGAAAATGGCCATATCTGCGGTTGCTTCGGCGACAGCGTCTCGGGTGTTGCAGAACCAGACATTGTTGCGCGTCATCCAGTCGACGTCAAACTCGTTGAACCCGGCTGAAGCAGAGGTAATGATCTTGCAATGAGGCAACAAGCTGCCAAGGAGATCTTCATCAAATGGCTCGTATGGAATCGTTCCCATGCGAATGATGAAGGCATCGACTGGACGGGACCTGGCTATAAATTTTGGGAGGAGATCTTGAGTTTCCTGGCGATTTGTTGCTGGAAGGATCTGATTGCCTTTAGAAAGCGGGCTATACGGTACGTGTCTCAAGGGGTTGGACTACCTCAAAGTCAAACTCTCGCTTGAAGTCTTCCAGAAATTCATCGCCGACATATTTTGGGTCGCCTAAAGCCACGACAAGGGGCTTCGTTGATGAAGATGTTGGGGACATATCAAGATTGAGGACGCTGGTCTCCTAAGTTCCTGCTCCGCGATACTTTCTGCCCCTGATGTTGATTCCGTTGTTGTAGATCTGAGTTGAAACCCTATGAATACGACCTATCTTGGACCTATCTCGCTGTAACGTAACAATGTTGTAGCCCATCTCCGATAACGGCTTTCTCAACTAGTTCGGGGTTCTCCGGGGACACCAGAGTCGTGAATTGGAACAATGTGGATGGCTTCATCTCTTTGTGGTGGCCATCCCCTGGCGCAGGAATCAGAATGTTCCGTGTCTCTCAGGAGCATGGGCTCCCCCATCTCCCACGTGTTCAGCCGAACGTGTTCTCTGCGCAGATTCATGTCAAAGTTGAGATCGAGCAGACAGCTTCAAATCGTCATCGGTAGACAGTTCCACGTTCCTGAGTGCTCTCGGGCTGCTACTGCCCTCCATAAGGATATTAACAGGTTCTTGGCCTGGCTGCGATTTCCTCCATTTCCAGCTCTGAATCAGCTGGCGACCCATGCCAACACTTTCCATAATATCAACAATCCATTTGCCGATGTTGGGAAGATATTTGAAAGCATGGCCGCTCCCGCCAGTCGCAACCAAGACTGAATCTTGACCAGGTAAGTGGTCGATCACATAGTGGTTGTCGAAAGAGTCAGTGTACCAACATAATCGAGTCAACTGAAGATCGATCCCTTCTTCCACCAGCTCTGGCAGAAACTCGGTGACGAAAGACTTGAAGACTTCTAACGCTTGCTTGGGGATCTGCGCAATTTTCTCGCCGTCCGTATATCTCGTGATGGGCACACTGCGCTCTTTGCCGTCGGATTGAGTCTTTGGATTGGTGTATTTCGTACCTCTGTACCCAATCTTCATGTATCCTCTTCCATCTCGGGGAAAACCATAGAGGCCACCCGTGGCACCATCCCGCATTTTGTATGACCAAGATGGAAACTTCTCTGGGGCGAACTGTTCGAAGAGCGGTGATTCGAGAGGTATCTTCAACATCACCACAGACCCAGCCGTAGTTTCGCAGATACCGTCGAGCTCTGGAATCAACGAGGGCGTCCACCCGCCGCATGCCATGATGACTTTCGACGCAGGGTGGTTCTGACCATCCTTCATGACGACCCCGTTCACTCGTCCTCGTTCGTCGTAGCTGAATGCTTCGAAATGACCAGAGTCAGGATGCAGTACGAAGTGAACGCCGATTTGCTTTGCCTTATGCAGCGCAAAACGACAAGCTCTATCAGCAACGGCAATGCCACCTGTTGTGTCGAGAACGCCGAGGCAGCCTTTGCCTTTAGATTTTCGTCTGAACGGATCCATTGCATTTCCAAAGCCTCTCTTATTGGCAATTTCATTATGCCGATTGTCGGTAGTGATGAGTTGTGTATCGGTGAAGCCAGCTCGCTGCATGTTTCTGATCGTTGCTTTCTCAAAATCAGGAAGTTCATTCTGGTCGGTCAATGAGAGATGGCCGTTGTTGATGAAGACTTTATCCGCCCTACTCATGCCACCAGGGACGCAGCTACCGTCGCTGATCTCTTTGTTCCATGCCTCCCAGCACTCGATAGCTTCGCAAGAGAGGGCCTGGTATTCTGTTTGTTCGCCATATGCGGACCGAATAATCTTGTTCATATCGGAAGAAGCGGAATCACAGCCTGAAATGTAGTCATACTTTGTGATTTCGTATGGCTGTGCGTCAAAGACGGCGACATTGTTGTAGCCTCTCTCTGCTAGATGAAGAGCAGTACTCAGTCCGAATACGCCTGCGCCGACAATGACGATACGGTCTGTCTTTGCTGGATGTCGTGCCATTTTTCGAGCCGTATCCGAGTTAAGCGATGCGATCAAGAGTCTGACTACTCTTAATTTGGGTTACAAATTGCAATTTCGCTTCGCTGGTGAGGGAGCAAGAGTCGGATATACACTCCCATCACTCAAGGTGGTGTTCAATATTCATTGTTTGCCGGCAACCGCACAAGTTGCGTCACAGTTTCGGACAAATGCGATGCGAGCGTCTCCCGTGGCGGTGTTCGACTAAAGGACATCAACGATGCATTTGTCAGGCCAGTCGCAGTGACAAGGCGGATAGAAGGAGTTGCATGAACTCTGGTAGCAGGAAAGAAATCATCCTGTTTGCTTCCAAGGTAGCAGATCAACATATTCTTTCATAGTGATACACATATAGGGTGATTCCGAAGCGCAGAATATGATGCTCATTCTCCTTCCATCAAGACGCCTATAGATTTTTAGACCACGAGTCACTCGGAATGTTCTATTACAGGATTTAGAATAACTCCAGGGCACAATACCTCGTTCCAAGGGGCATAAGTGAGAGGTCGCTTGACTGGGCATGTTATTTGGTATCAAGAAGCATGGTGACAAGTGAAGGACTGCGTAAAGAACGAGCCCAAAGCCAGCGCTCCATTGACAATTTCAACGTACGAGCAAGCATTCGCACGTAACCTTCGAAAGCAGAGGATAGAGGCGAGGGAAGCTTGGACTCAGGTATCCGTCAGGAGTCAAATTGTGCCCACCCATTTTTTATTGTATTCCTATCTTCTAGACTCGAGATCGCGCGGATTAATGTAGACGAAGGGAAACTCTTCGGGTTCTTTCTCGGAGTTGGGGGATTGTAGGATCATCGAAAGATGGCGAAACACCACAGCAAACGGCAAGTTGATATTGCCATGTTGTGCCTGGTGGTCTGCGACATGGATGGTTGCTGGTTGACTGAGCAAAATGCAAAAAAGGTGAGCGAATGGTTAAGAGCTAAGAGAGAAAGTGATTGCCGAAGGAATGGAAAAGAAAGAAGGGAGGACTGTCCTAGAAATGGAAGAGGCGCAGACTGCAAGTTTGCATTTAAATGTACAACAATGTACAACACTGAGTATTGAGATGGATGGAATAGCGCAGGTAAAAGGGACAATGGCAGCAAGGGACAGCAAAGAGCTCCAGGTACCTCGCGGGTCATTAAAGGCATGTCGGGTGCCCCTCGTGCCCCTCCTGTATAGCACCTACAAGGGACCGATGTGACCGATGGTACCTGTAGATCACCAGGCCATTAATAGTCAAGCTTCTCTTGGCGTGTTTGCAGCTTATGCATCCACTATTCCGGGGGCGAAAACAGCTCTCGCTTCCCTTCTGAGATATAAGCCATCAAGCCCATCAAAGCATCAGGCAAAGAGACCTACAAAGTCTGACTTGAATATTCATCCATTCGAAGAAAATGTAATTGGGAGTCCGGAGTCGCAAATCGAAAAAAGAAGGATGGGTTTTTCAAGAAAAGAGGACAAGTTCCCTGAGTTCGAAAACCCCAGGGCTTTCGACAAGGAGGATTGTCTTTCGTGCAGGGTTCTCGGTATGGAGTGACCATATGCCCATAAACAGATTTCCACCCAAAGTCCCGCTTCAGAGAGACTGACTGTTGCTTCTTTTTTCCCCAGGCTCAACGGCGTTCGTGGGCCTAGGTGGCTACACATACTTTTCGGGCATGCAGCAACTTCGCGCCCGGCAGAAGGCTATCGAATTCAGCAAATCCAAGTACAAGTACGGCTCACGCCAACTGGGCATCTTGTCATTGTCTGCAACACTCATGGGCTTGGGGGTCTATCGCATGTTCATCTAGGGCATTCTGTGGTGATGGTCGGTCATTGCTATGTTATTCTATCCTTGTTCAACGGGAGACGAGGCTGGTCAACATATGTAACAAGTCGAATGACTCAAGGAATCAAATCTGTATTAGGGGCACCACCTCAGGACCCCTTTGAAAGCATCGAGTACTCTGTATCTGTTCTCTCTAAAATGCTCAACTCGAGCCAATACATGAATGCACTCTACCGCGCTAAACTTCGCCATGCTGATGGTCATGTCCTCATAAGAATATACCTTTCCACGCACTAGACTAAAAGATCTTGGTCATGGCGCTGAACACGTAACCCTGGTTGGGTAGCCCAAAATCATGAAATACGTCCCTTCTTGCTGCTTTCGAATCCATCCCTTGGTCCAATGTTGGAAATGTCAAAGAAGTCGGGTATCTGAAATTTGCGCTTAGTGCCGGCTGTGAAAGTAAATTCTCTCGTCGATGATCGTGTTCCGTGTCTTTGGTTACCGCTTCTATGGGGTGTGCGATTTCCTCGGTTGTTGACAAGACTTGCCCGATTCGCGTTGCCTGACGTTGATGAAGAGCCCTGAGCTTCCGAGGGTGAATTGCCGTCCTCATCGGTCTGCATGTCGTCGAGTGATGTTGGAGCTGAGATTCCACCGAAGTAGAACATGGGGGTCGACGTCGCCTGATCCTGGAGAAGAGGAATTTGGGTATCGTCGGTTTGGGTACCGGACTCTGCTCTCGCAGGTTCAGACCGGGCTGTTGGAGTTATGACCGGTTGTTCGCCTGCTGGAGTGGCACCTCGTAGTCTTTGCCCGGATTCACTTCTTTCATCATCACTTTCGATTTGGTGATGATGGGTAGACCCTTCATATCTTTCCGTAGCCCACTGCCTCACCCTCCAGCCCTCGCCATCTTGTAGACCGAGATTCTCTTTATCCAGGAAACTAAGCAGGTCCTCCAGAGCATCTTGATATCCAGCTTGACGGCTGGCATTTTGATCTGTGACTGCTGACTTGTATAGGTTTGTGACGGAGAGGGCAGCGGTCCGGAAGGCTTGGAGGAGTTGTTCAGGCGGAGCAGGCCGAGTCGAGGGTAGCGAGGTGTTGAGAGACCTCATCGAGTCCATGATGGAGACTCGAGGAGGCTCTTGGGGTTTGATAAGGAGATGTAGGAGCGGTGCGTCGGGCGCCTAGCAAACGTCCTGATTACAGAGCGGTCGTGGGAGGGGTTTGTTTTTGATGCCGGGCGTCAGAAGAGAGAAAGATTGATTCTGTCGGCAAAATAGAAGATGGATGTCAAAGAAGTAGTAGAGCTCAGAAGCAGTCGTGGTCCGCTTGCACAAGGAGGCGAGGGGGACAAGCAGCGACAGTGTAGTTGCGGTTGGGCAGCTGGCGGAATGAAAGCAGGCCGAAGACAGCAATTGTGAAGTGGAGTGTAAGTCTCTGCGACATGTGACCACGTTTCGGCGGATATGTTGATCCGTCTCGCCTCCATCGGAAGGTGAGGTCACGTGGATGGTTCAACGCGGCATGTAAGCCGAACCATGGACGTGTTGTGGCCAATCAAAAACCATCGCAGCGCGTTTGTTAGCAAGGGCAGAGGCATTCATTCTTCTCTCCACACCCTCTCCTCCATATCTTTTTGCCCTCCTCAACCTCATCTGCTTGACAACTCTACTTGTCCCTGCGCGCGACGTTGCCATCGTGCCTTTTCTCTAACTCGCGCTGCGTCGCTATCCTGCCTGTTTCAGCCATCAGAAGTCGCGTCTGAACTATTTACATTGACGGAAACGAAACTATTCCTCTGCCGCGGCCGTGGCGGCCATCACCCCTCAACCAAGTCTACCATGGCTCCCTCAAAGTCACAACAACCCGACTCCGAAACCTCCTCTGTCGCGGATACTCCAATGACTGATGGTCGTGAGTATGTACGCCCTCACAGACCTTCTTTTGGTCACCTCAATCGCCCAGTAGACGATACCCCCGACTACACCGACTCTGATACAAATCCCAACACTACCGCCTCTAGTGTGGCTGGAGATACCCCTCAGGTTGATGGTCGCAAGAAGCGCTCAGAAGCATTTCAGCTGCGGAAAAGCATCCTAGGAAAGAAGCATGGGCAATTGGACGAGTCGAAGGAAGATGATACTATACGACGATTCAAGTACTTGCTGGGTTTGACCGACCTCTTCCGCCACTTTATCGATGCCAGCCCAAACCCCAAGATCAGAGAAGTGCTACAGCAGATCGACCAAGAAAATGCTGAAGAGGAGGCAAAGGCCCGCAAGGTCGTGTCCCGCAAAGGCGGTGCGGCAGGTGCAAACAAGCGAAAGACCGAACAGGAAGAGGATGCTGAACTCCTCAGAGACGAGAAGCGTGGCACAGCTTCCCAGACTGTCTTTCGGGAATCACCGGCCTTCATTAAGGGTGGCGAGATGCGCGACTATCAGGTTGCTGGTCTCAATTGGCTTATTTCTCTTCACGAGAACGGTATTAGCGGTATCCTTGCTGATGAGATGGGTCTCGGTAAGACGTTGCAGACCATTTCCTTTCTCGGGTATTTGCGACATATCTGTGGCATCAAAGGTCCACATCTCATCACGGTTCCCAAATCCACCTTGGACAACTGGCATCGAGAGTTCAAGAAATGGACCCCTGACGTCGATGTGCTGGTTTTGCAAGGTGCAAAGGATGACCGTCATGCCTTGATCAATGAACGGCTGATTGACGAGAAATTCGATGTCTGCATTACGAGCTACGAGATGATTCTCCGAGAGAAGTCTCATCTGAAGAAATTTGCGTGGGAGTACATCATAGTCGACGAAGCCCATCGAATCAAGAACGAGGAGTCCTCACTTGCACAGATTATCCGAATGTTTAGCTCCCGGAACAGACTGCTTATCACGGGCACTCCCCTTCAGAACAACCTTCACGAACTATGGGCTCTCCTCAATTTCTTGCTCCCTGATGTATTTGGAGACTCTGAAGCCTTTGACTCTTGGTTCTCTAGCCAGAATGAAGACCAAGACACAGTGGTCCAGCAGCTTCATCGCGTTCTAAGACCATTCCTGCTTCGAAGAGTAAAGAGTGACGTCGAGAAGAGTCTGTTGCCGAAGAGGGAGGTGAATCTCTACGTTGGCATGTCCGAGATGCAAGTCAAATGGTACAAGAAGATCTTGGAGAAGGACATCGACGCCGTCAACGGCGCCGGAGGCAAGCGGGAATCAAAGACGAGACTTTTGAACATTGTCATGCAGCTCCGAAAATGCTGCAATCATCCCTATCTGTTTGAAGGCGCTGAGCCGGGTCCTCCCTACACTACGGATGAACATCTCGTCTACAACTCTGGCAAAATGATCATTCTAGACAAGATTCTGACCCGAATGAAGGAAGAGGGAAGCCGAGTCTTGATATTCTCCCAGATGAGCAGAGTGCTAGACATTCTCGAAGATTACTGCGTTTTCCGAGGTCATAAGTACTGTCGCATTGACGGCGGAACTGCACATGAGGACCGAATTGCCGCCATCGATGAGTACAACAAACCAGACTCGGAGAAATTCGTCTTCCTTCTCACTACCAGAGCAGGCGGTCTGGGGATCAATTTGACCTCAGCCAACATTGTCATCCTCTATGATAGCGATTGGAATCCTCAAGCTGATCTTCAGGCAATGGACCGAGCACATCGAATTGGCCAGACGAAGCAAGTCATAGTCTTCCGATTCGTGACAGAGAATGCTATCGAAGAGAAGGTCCTCGAAAGAGCTGCCCAGAAGTTGCGCCTGGACCAGCTCGTCATTCAACAAGGGCGTGCTCAACAGCAAGTCAAGCAGGCCGCCTCCAAGGATGAATTATTGACCATGATTCAACATGGCGCGGAGAAAGTATTCGAAACAAAGGGTTCAACAGGAGCACTCGACGACATTGATGAGATTCTGCGACGTGGCGAAGCTCGAACAGCAGAGCTCAATGCGAAATATGAGAAGCTTGGAATTGACGACCTTCAGAAATTCTCCTCCGAGAATGCTTATGAGTGGAACGGCCAAGACTTCACGAATCGTCGAAAAGACATTAGCCTGCACTGGATCAATCCAAGCAAGCGCGAACGAAAGGAACAGTCCTACTCGATGGATAAGTACTACAAGCAGGCTTTGTCAACGGGTGGTCGACCTGCCGATACCAAACCCAAGATTCCACGAGCGCCGAAACAGGTCGCTGTGCACGACTGGCAATTCTTCCCTCCAGGTCTCCAAGAACTGCAGGAAAAGGAGACAGCGTATTATCACAAAGAAATCGGCTTCAAAGTACCCCTCACAGAAGGTACGGAAGAAGATTTGAGCGACCGCGAAGCAGATCAGCGACTAGCTCAGAATGAGATTGACAACGCGGAGCCACTAACGGAGGAAGAGAAACGGCACAAAGCAGAGATGCAGGAACATGGATTCGGCAACTGGAATCGCCGCGATTTCCAACAATTCATCAATGGTTCTGCTAAATTTGGCAGAACAAATTACGAATTAATCGCGACTGAAGTCGACAGCAAGGAGCCCGATGAAATCGAAAAATATGCCAAGGTCTTCTGGAAGAGATACACGGAAATTGCCGAGTTCGACAAATATATCAAGAACATCGAGGCAGGTGAAGAAAAGCTGCGAAAGACTGAACGCCAGCGCAAGATGCTGCGGAAGAAGATGGAGATGTACCGAGTGCCGTTGCAACAACTGAAGATCAACTACACGGTTTCCACGACCAACAAGAAGGTCTACACCGAAGAGGAAGACCGCTTCCTGCTGGTCATGCTTGACAAATACGGTGTTGACGGTGAAGGGTTGTACGAGAAAATCCGTGATGAGATCCGGGAATCGCCCCTTTTCCGGTTTGATTGGTTCTTCCTGAGCAGAACACCTGTTGAGATTGGTCGGCGATGCACCACCCTGCTCAACACCGTATCCAGAGAGTTTGGAGAAGCCGAGGAGAAGCTCACAAATGGCCATGGCCCAGGGAAGGGACGAGGTCGTGATCGAGATGACGACGAAGATGAGGAGAACGACAGCGAAGCTGCGCCCGTGAAAAAGAAGGCAAAGAATGGCATTGTGGTGTGTACCAGTAAGCAAGCGTTGCTCAGCTCCGACTAACAGTTCTTCCAGAATAAACAAGTCAAGGCTGTCAAATCTGGTCGTGGCAGCAAAGCGACTTCTCCGGCACCTTCTCGAGCGCAGAGTGTCTCATCTACGGCGGCGCCAGCCAATCGATCAAAGGGAAAGAAGAAATAAGACAGATCGCCAGCATTATTGGATTACTCGGATGGGCTTTACTACTATTTCTGCGGTTATGACGGCACGTTTCACCAAGATGCTACGGGGTTATCGGCTACTTGATCGAAAACACTGCATTACACGTATGTCTTCCATGGAAGGAGTGTTGATAGAGCGACCGGGGATCAAAACATGGGGCTGGTTCTTGTCATAACTATTCAACGGCGCGATTGGGACGGCTAGCGTTGTGTGTGTAACGAATTCGGCACGAACACAGCGCTTTTTCAGCATCAATACTGCACATAGTGGGGATGGCATGTTGTCTTTAAGTATTCTAGGGCTGGACAACCACAATGGAGAGAGCACGGGACGCCCCCTACTAGGAGGCGAGGGCCGTGTGGATTAGTCAATGGATGACACATGAAGAAGAATAATGACGATGAAAAACAGGTCGAAAAGGCTAGATAGATGAGGCCTTGTGAAAATGCAGGGTAAAAGCAAGTGTCTTTCTGTCCCTCTATTCCCCTTCCTTCCGGCTGAATGTGTAAACTTAAAGAAGAGATACATAACAACATGGCCAAGAGGATCGATGCGTGCGTGCGACGCGACTCTTACGTTATGATGGTCGCGATATACGAGGTACGAAGGAGCACAACGACCTGAAAGGGTCAGAAGGGCCAGGACGAATGTATATTATGTGTGCATGTGTGTGTCTGCCTGTCAGTGTATATATATATATATATTTATATATATGACATCTCTTCCGGTAGCAGATGCCAGAAAGAAGGGGGGTTTTTTTTTGGTTGTCCCTTCCTTCCACCCCCTTTCGCTGAGCTTACGTGACTTTACTTGACCTGAGCGGACCTGACGTGTGAGAGAGCATTGTGTCATTATTTTCGTGTTAGGGCTTTGACTACGGCAGTGTGTGAGACGTGCTTGGACTCTATCGAAGATCAAGGGGAGAAGCATCCGTGGGTTTCCTCCTGCCACTGACCAAACCACCGCACCGAGATCTCCCTGCCGACCTGCTCTGCTCAGAGGTTGCGTAACAACGGGTAATCAAGCAAGCAAGAGAGATGTCGTCGGCCCATAATATCTCGCTGAGAACCCTCTCGGCGCTGCGCATGCTGGTCGGGGCGTCGTGCCTGCTCGTCCCGCGCCAGGCCGGCGTACTCTTCGGCATCCCGCTGGCGCCGGGGGCCGCGGAAGCGGTGCTCCTGGGCCGCATGACGGGGGTCCGCGATCTGGTGCTGGGCGCGTACCTGTGGAAGCGGGTCCGGGAGTGCGACGGGGAGGTTGCGAAGAAGAAGGCGAAGAAGGGCGAAGAAGAGGCTGGTGCCGGCGCGGATGATCCCAGCAGGATGCCGCTGCTGTTCAACAAGGTCTCGTCCGGTACCACCACCGCTGCTACCAAGAAGGACCGCGAAGGGGACAGAAACGCAGCACCACCAGCTAGGGATTCTGTGTCCCAGCCGCCCGATCTCACCGCCGGCCTCGAACACGGTCACGGCCCAGACGGACCTACCACCACGCTAGCTGGTCTGCGCCTGGCTCAGAGCCAGTCTGCCCTCCGCTCGGCAGTTTGGCTCGGCCTGGTCGTCGACACCATCGACATGGCCAGCGTCATCTTCTGCGCTCTCGAAGGCAATCCGCTGTCTGATCTCGCCAAGGTGACCGTGGGTGGAGGCGCTGCGGTCTTTGTGCTGATTGCGGCACAGTATCTCGTTGCCCACACTCGAGGCTGAGTGAGACTGAAAGGCAGGAGATGGAGGTTCCTGTTGTACTTGATGGAAGAACTTTGGGAGGGGGGAAAGCTTGATGATGTTGAATTTGGAGGAATAACAAGCTGTTTATGCCTGAAGAGCAAACCAAAAAGGGAGTCCTCGGGCGACATATCCTGGGATGCTCGATTGCGTAGTAATGTATACCGTTGTTCGCCATTGCGCCATTCTTGACCTCTTTCTTACCCACCCCTCGATCCCTAGTTCACGTAGACAACCGGAGAGTAGGGATTTTTGGCCACCTTGTCGTTGCTCTTGCCCTCAGGGTCTCCTCTGCTCATCCGTCCTCGACTTGTGCGGTAGACACCTCGGCTGGCATCCACGATAGGGTTGATCCACACCTTCTCACCTCCCTTTTCGGATGCCTCAACGGGCCGGGTCGTCACGCCCAGGCCAGTTGGGTGATAGTTGATATAAATGCCCTCCCATCCCTGGCGTTCGGGCAGAGCAAAGATTTCATGCATGATACCGATGTGCTTGTGCTTCGACACCGTGTCATTCCACCAGTTCCAGGCATCGCGATGGATCGGTGACAAAGCAAAATTGTGAATGTCTTCAACCGAGCGCCAGTACGAAATGGTAGCGAGTTCATTGCCCGTGGACCGCTCGCCACCATTGATCCAGGTCGACATCCCCATGACTAATGAGAGTTAGTGGGGAAGATGTGTAGGAAGCGGTAGAAGGCACTTACAGCCACTTTCTTCTCGAGTATCCTCTAATTGCACAAGCATATCCCGGAAGCGATCGGCAACTTCCTTGTAGCCTGGACGATAAAAGCGTTAGAGCTGATCGATCCGGTGAGGGAGGGCCGATTCTCACCGTCAGCAAACATGCCCATTGGTGAATTGCTTCTTGCCCCTAGAATCATGACCGCGCGTGGACCGTTGTCGCCCGGATTTCCATGGACCACCTCTGTCTCTCCCTCGGAAGGATATCCCACGCTCCATTTTCCATCAATGACACCCTCGGCCCAGACATTCCTCTTCAGACCGAACTGCATGAGGAAAGCGTCGACAATGTTCCATGCCAAGATGAGGAGAACAGGGAAAGCAACATAAGAGCGAGGGAAGATGAAAGAGAGAAGGATCTGGATGGCACCGCCCATGAGGAGCCAGGTGGAGATGGAGAAATTGTCCTTGAGAAGCTAGAAGGGGCGTCAGTTCCACCGTTGCCGTGGAACAAAAGACTACGTGTAGAAAACGACTTACAGCAAGATCAGATCCACTCCAGGGACCGAAGCCGGTCTTCTTGCCAGGTCCAACTTTATTTGCAATGGAGTATTGTGATCGCGGCTTCTGGCTCGAAGCCGGAAACAGTGTCTTGATGCCCATGTTGGGTTGCGCGTTGTTCGATGGTTGTCGCGACGGGAACGTGTTGACTCTGTTGAGATTTGCGGGCCGAGTTGATAGTTAGGTCGGCCGAGAATAGAAGGACGGGGAAAAGAATTGGTTTATAAGAAGGCAGAGAGCCGGTATACTACCTTTCTTATTATTCACTTGGTGAATGCGAGTCGCATCGTGTTGTCTTGCGTGGGCGGCCACCTTAGACTCAGAGGAAGACAGGCTACTGGTTAGACCACTTGCCTTGTAGGTAAGATACGGGGGCCTAAGTGCTGGTGCATCGTATCCACTGAAGCTAAACACGTTGCGCACGTAGCAGGGTATAAATCCATCTCACCTCATAGGCAGTTGTACAGAGTAATATAATATGTGGCTGGCTGCTTTGAGCTGAAGAACTTTGATCGGCGGTTCAGCACCGCGTAGCCAACGTGAAAGCTAAGCGCAGCTTCGTGGGCCGCTGGTTGTTGCCCAGGGCTTTGCCCGCTCGCACGGCGAGACTTGAGTTCACCGAACCCTTGTCGAGGAAAATGTCCATCAGGCCTCCACTGACTCCAGAGCCAGAGGGGTTTTTCGGTGTGTTCTGAGAGCCAATCAAGCGGGAAGACATTGCTGCAGGGCTGAAGAGGCTGCAGCTAGCCGTATTCCGGCGCCCACAAGGCAAAAATGTCCCGTTCCATGCGAGTCCAGACGATCAGGTCAGGGTGCATTTTTCAGCTCGCTTAGACAACGTGCCGTATGTTCGACGTGCCGCGATTAATTGAGGTATCATGTTCTTTCCGCCCGGAGAAGAATGAAACCCTCCCTCGATTTGGAACAGGCTAACCTCCTTCAAAGCCGGAAACATCGTCTCTGTGGAGAAGGACGGAGTGGATGGGTGGGTGGAATCCTCGTACTTCTACAAAGGGTAGAGCGCTGAGACCTCCAGGCTCCTAGGCCAGGCTAGCTGAGTGCATTGGATCGGATAGAACGCTTTCCCGATTGGAATGGATTGCGGGAAATGGGCTTTGGAAGAGATGGCATGCGACAATTGCCGAACACTCGCTTCTGTATTCATCGACTACTTCAATCAACAGGTCGGATTGCGCCATTTACGTAGGTGCTGGTGTCGAGGTATGTAGAGAGGAGAAAGCAGAGAGTACCAAGATTGCTCGAAACGAAAAACCTAATTGCCACATACGGCTTTGATGCTTTGATCCTGGAAGGTGAGTGAAGACCGCGTTAACCTGAGCTTTGACGCAGCCTTTTAGATTCTCTGTCACTACGCTGCTGCCTCAATTGCCCCATAACCTTAGGCTCACCATGCCCGGCGGTGAGGCAGGGTGGGCGGGTGAATCATACGTCGTAGGGCAAAATGGTGGACCAGGCACCGACACCCCTAAAGCCTCCATTAAACTGCAAGCAACTAACGGCTTGAAACCGCAGTGCAGAGTTCGTTGACTTGTTGCTTCCCGTGATGCCGCCCAATAAGTTCCAGACCGCCAATATAATAAGTATCGTAGTTAATCTCGCCGAGTATAACGAGTCCATCGAGTCTAGACATTAATAAGTAATTGCATATTAATTTACTTCTTACCTTGAAGAAAGATAAGAAATATCCCCATTCCACTTCTCCCGTTTTAACAGCCCAGGCATCTTTAAGCATGCAGCCAATAGCCACAAGCTCCGCCGAGCTCTTGTTCCATTCAATCCACATGACGTTAATTAACTCCACCTTGGGGCCAGAGGGATACCTGCGTCAGTCAAAAATTGCTTCGTCAGGCCATCTCGTACCCACTCGAAAGCGAATAGATACTGCCAAGGCTGGGTCTAGGTCGGATAGCCCGGTGGAGGACAACATACTCGGTAATGAACTCTATGTCGCCCTCGATTCCAACTTTTCTCTCGATATGGAACTCTCGTAGTCCAGGAGAAGCCCGCAATGCCATTCTGTCCCATTCAGGATTCGTGTTGCTGGAAGCAGGCGTTGGACATGGGAATGTTGCTGGCCCTGGATAACGAAACCTTCGTCGCCAATCTTCCCCTTGAGATGAGGCCGATCACCGTTGGCTTCACCCTCCGATCACCTTGCGCTCCGTGCATGTTTCCCTGGGTGCTTCGGCAGCCTCCATCTATAATATCTATCTGACCCGGAAGATGCAAACTCCGAACCAAGCGGCTGTCTGTAATCAGCGATTGTGAGAGGGCTATCTATATCGGTGTCGAGTCGTGGCGTTGTGGGACTTCCTATCAAGTCAGGATATAAATGAACACTGTCCATATAAGCGCACACGTTGCTTTTACTCCATGGGTAACTCTAGGCTGATGTGGTGAATGTGTGTGATTAGAGTGCGAGGTCCCATTGGCGTCCTGGCTCAATAATTCTGCCTTTGACTTCGGCTATCGTCGATTTTTGAATCATATGATCGAGATCTCTGTCTGTGTTTCCTTTGGAAAATCTTCGTTTCTCCCCCTCTCGAAGAATCCGATCCTCTGGAACATATTGTCGTCGCCCTCTACTTCGCTCGGTAGAAGAAGCAGCCCTTCCACCCCGTCGTCCCTTTCTGGGCTTAGGTTTATGGCCACGCATAAGACGATAACAGGGTCGTGGTTTTCAGTGTCGTCATATGTGCCGCACATATTGCGATAATCAGTGCCGTGCGTAGCCTCTGGATCCTCACCGAGGTCAACATCCGGATGTCTTGCCAAGAACTCATCGATATGTCTAGTCGAAGCCTCGTCAAAAGAGATTAGCTCTTCGTTGTGTGGAACTACTATTCTGGATTCCGAGGAGGTGGATACTGAAAGCAAGAAGACATTGTGAGTTGAAGGATTGAACCAGGCCCTCCTAACAGCAGCTTTCACTCTCAGCCGTGCAGACAATACTTGTCCAAACGGGTTGAGCTCGGGAGATATTGGTGCGGTCGAACAATCTATGATGTCGCAGATAACGTCCGAAACAGTTGCGTCTTCATCATCGAAAGAAAAATTGAATCGAATGACCCCTCCCTCAAGACTCGCCCAGGACCAGGAAGGCGCCCTGTACCTCACCGGCCTGTAAATGATACAGGTGTCATTTCCAGGCAGTGTTCTGTGCCGGCGTGAAGCGCGCCATGTCAGTTGTCTCGCGAGTTCGTATTGCCACAGCCCAGCGAAGTAGCCAGGCCCGAGGACGCGAGAGAAGGAAGGATGCGAGGCGATACCAGCTATTGCATTCAGCTTGTCGCGTTCAAGGCTCGCAACGCGGAGAGAGTACGCCGTCACGATCCGCAGCCAACAGCTCAAAGCCTTGTCTCTCTGAGAGCGCGCTTCTTCTTCACTCAGAAGCAGAGAGTGCAGATTGAGGCTGTACTTGTCATCATTGTCGTTGTAACCCGCATCGAGGTCGTGTGGGAAGTATAGGGAGTCTCCAAAGTTTCTTGTGCCGGCATGGCACCTCCACATCATGGTGTGGGTAGTGAATGTGAGCGCGCGTTGGGCTAGTAGCTGCTCTTGCATCGTCCAGGCCCTCTTCGCAAGGGGCTCGAACCGCTCGTCGTAGCTTGCAGCATCCAGTTCGTTGACGGACATCGTGCCGAACACGCTGGGTCGAATCCGGACAGGTATCGTGTGGAAGGGCTCTGAGTGGACCCGGGGATGGAGGAATCCTTCACCGACGCTCTTCGCAGATGCGGCAACTATTGTCAAAGCTGAAGAAGCGTAGATATCTTTCATGACTGCAATTTCCCTGATTTTATCCTCTTCAGAATCTTGGATGATGCAGAGGGCGTCAATCCACAAATATGGGATGGACAAGTTACGAGTGGTCGAGATGGCGTGACGGATAGTGCAAGGTAGGGTTCGCACATCCAGCTCTTCGGTGAATTTACCATAATTGGCCCAAGTGAGAGTCGAAAAAGGCGTTTCCCCCCAACAGTAAGAGAGCGTTGCGTAAACGCCACGCAAATTCCTGGATTCCAAGAGTCGCGGATGTCGTCGTCCCGGCGGATTGATTTCGATGACCCTTGCGGGAAGACTAGACTCTCGGTGTGAAGTGCTGCAGCACTCGTGCCCTATACACTCCTCCGACCACTTTTTAAGCTGCAGTGTCGCTGCCTCGCTGTTGACGTCGGTCCGCAAGGGTCTCGCAGTCACATACTCTGAGGCGTTGTCGTCTGCTGCCGTCCAGGCGTGAAGAAATAGCGCGGAGCCCCCGATCCACTTTCCTCTTGGAGAGTGGCACGAGATGTCCAGGTAGAAGACGTTTCCGCCCCTGGGCGTGCATGAGCCTATCAGGGACGAGCCCAAATACGTAGTAACCCTGTCTTCTGGCATCCACGAGTCGCGAATAAAGCTTCTTATGTATGCACACCAGGTGCAGTCAGCATCTCTGATCTCGCTGGTGGCAGCGACTGCTTCGACGCTTCTCTGCTCGTGGACATTACCGAAATGATCGTAAGTGCAGCATTTCTCAAAAGCCTCGGTGTTGAAGAAATCACGCCAACATCTGGCACAGACGAGATCTCGAGGTGTCATTTCGAGCGACTGCTTATAAAGAGGCGAAGTGTTTGACTATGCCACAACTCCTCTGATCCAGTGGATGCGTGAGGGTTGGAAGTGATTGCAATAATTGATCACCATCTCATGTGTTCTGTTTAAGCAACAGGAGGTGTTGAGGCGTTGAGGTGTTGATGCCTAATGATGTGACAGTAAACTTATAGTCGTCCTTCTATACGTGGAGCTGTGCCACAGCACCACAACAGCCCAGTGCGGCGAATTGTTCTATAGCCTTTGTACAGCGGATTCCTCGTACCCAGTAGAATATAGCTCTTTCGTAATTAATATAATATGCACTATTATATCTCGTCGTTCCGCACGCAAATCGACATCCATCGCAAAAGTATTCGCTAGGAGAGAGGTCTTGTCATGAAAGACTGGTGAGGCTCCCCGAGGGCTGAGAAACGAATACAATAAGTGAAATTGCCCATCTCCAGGCGCCACAGGTCGACATCGGCTTCTACATAACTCAAGGAGAGGTCGAACAGGGGGTGTGACCTTGTTGTGAAATGAAGTGTAAAAGTGTATTGGACTATTCTCAATCTATCTGGTCGGGGAGGCTGCTTTTATAGCCATCATTACTAGCGTCTTGGCGTATTTCACATTGTCTTGGCGCACCGCGGGCTGCTACACACGAGTTTCCACTTGTTAAAGGCTCAGTTGAGGCTCAGGTAAAAGCGGCAATCACTCAACCGCTACTGGGTCGGCGATGCGGGTCGGACAAGCCCGTGCCTGGTGCTAGGTATATGGTTAGCAGAGAAATGGTTAAAGTGGCAAGGGATGTGGCGGCGCAGGTGGGAACAATCTACGAAATGCTCGCCTGCGACCGGGCTGTCAGTTGAACATCCTCTTCCCAATATGAGCGTCACCATTGACGCGCTCTACGTCTTTGATGATCACAAGTATGTGCCTGCCCTCTACTCTCTACCTCTGCGGCGCCGCAAATTGCTGACTATCCGCTAGCAACTGCGTCCTCGAACACATTTACTCGGGCCGCCCACCCTCTGCGCAGACTCTCATCACCAGTTTGACTGCGCGAACAGGCCCGCGACCCTCCATCCTCCATCTCTCAGAACTTGCACCTCCAACCACCCTATATTCAATCTCTCCTTCGGGCTTTCAGTTGATCGCAGTGTCCGGCAAAGATGCACAGTCGCTGGCCATCCTCGATTTCCTCCACCGCGTCCTCGATGTCTTTGAGGACTTTCTCGGGACCCCCCTCCTAACCACAAAGATCGAAGACAACTATGAAATTGTGGCCCAGTTGCTGGGTGAAATGTGTGATGGGGGCATAATATGCAACACTGAACCCAATGCGCTGAGAGAGTCGGTAGAAGTTTCTTCAGTGCTGGGAAAGCTGTTCACGCATGTAGGACTGCCCGGGTATGCTCTGGCCTCCGTTTTGCAGATATGTGCAGCTCTAACTCTTGCAGGTCTTCGCCTGCTCTGGGGCCGTCGAGCAACTTCTCCTCCAGCCTGCGCGGCACTGCTTCCCCTCCCGTGGGACCGGCAATCCCATGGCGGAAATCTAATGTCCGACATACCTCAAACGAGCTCTATGTCGATATCATTGAGAATCTGTCAGTCATATTCGCCCCGTCAGGTTGTCCCATATCCGCACGGTCACACGGCTCGATTGCCTTCACAGCCAAGATTTCTGGAGTGCCGGATTTGCTTATGGTATTGACCGCGCCCGGAGGTACCAGCAGTGCCAAAACATCCGGAATCACTCGCACTATGCAACTGCCAGTCTTTCATCCCTGCGTTCGGTTAGCGAGATGGAAAGAACACCCGGGAGAGCTATCATTCGTCCCTCCAGACGGCCGTTTTATGCTTGCAGGCTACGAGACTGACCTAATGCCATCTTCCCTCGACACGGATCAGCCTCCGAGCAAGAGTGACAGAATATTCCTGCCAGCCACAGTAGACCTGCGAGGTGGACTTGGCAGTTCCGGCTCCGAATTTGAAGCCAAACTGACCTTGAACAACACTTTTCCTGGCGTTTCTTCGGCGCCAAAGCCGAGCGCCTCGCGGACGAGCTCAGGTCCCATCTCTTCTTTGTCCTTCGGTGGTGCTAGCAGCGGTAGTTCGAGTGCTCCAACATTGGAAGCCGTAATGGTCACAATACCATTTCCCTCGGATGTCCGGAGCGTCACTGAACTGAAGGCCTCAAGAGGGGAAGCCACGTTCAATGCATTCGACAGAGTTGTCGAGTGGAAAGTCCCTACCAAGGACGGAGCATCGATCAATGGGACAGCGACATTGACCGGCACAGTAGCAGGTGCTTTCAATGTGCAGAATGATATGGATGAAGAGAGCCAAGCTGCCGAAATCGGGAAGCAGAACACTATGGCAGGGTATTACCAGGAAGACGTTGTCGCTAATCAAGGGGCGGCACCTGAATCGTCAGCCAACGGCAACTCCAAAAGAGCGCAAGCGACCAAGGCGCTGATGCCGCGATCCATCTCCGTCTCATTCAGTGTCAAAGGCTGGCTACCTAGCGGGATCAAAGTAGATAGCTTAGTGGTTGACGTGAAGAAATCCAAGGGTCTGGGCGATGGCGTTCGGCCGTACAAGGGCGTCAAGTACCTCACGGTGAGCAGGCAGGGTATTGAGAGGAGGGTGGAATGAATGAGATATGATTATGAAAACGTCAAGAGAAGATGAAATTACAACTGCCTTTTAAATTTTGCTATTGTTATTTGTCGAGCCGTGTAACCCTTTTGACTTTGGGGTCATGTTGACCAACCAAAAGCAGGCAGGCAGGTAGGTCATAAGAAATATCTGATAGTAACTAGTATGATGATGGTCGTGAGCTTCATTCATTGTTTTTTGTCTCCCTTTCCATGCACCGTCCATCCATGCATGCCCTAGCATACCCATGCTTCCATACACGCCATGCCATGCCATGCCCATGCCCGTGCCCGTGCATAATCATGTCCGCTGGACGCTCTCACAAATGACCATGCAAAGCCAAAGCCAAAGCCAAAGGCCAAAGCCATGTGTAAGACGAAGACGACGAAGACGACGGAGAAGAAGGAAGAAAGTCCTGTAACGCCGCGCCCTCACACATACATAAAAGAAACAAGGAAGAAAAAAAGTAAATATGTCTCATCAATCGTTCGTGGTGCGGTCGTTGGCTTTGCCATCATCATCATCATCGTCCGAATGTTTCCCCCGGAAATAAAAAATACAGAAGAAAATCTTTGGTTTGGTCCCGGCCGGGGATCGAGCCTTCTTGGTTTGAAACGCCAGCTAGTCGTGTGGTGTGATGTGGTGTGATGTGGTGCGATGACGTGGTGATGCGATGATGATGATGACGACGACGACGCGAAGAATCACGGGGAGAGGAGAGAAGGCTGGGCTGGCTACTGGTGATGATGCATGCCCATGCCCGTGATCTTCTTCCACCCCTTCTTCACGCTGCGGTTGAATTGGTCCGCGCCGGACTCGCTGCCGTGCGAGGAGCTCGCGCTCGTGGCCGAGGCGGCGCTGTCCTCGCTGGGTCTCCGCCTCATCATCGCGCTGCCGCCGGCGGTAGTGGTGGCGCCGCCGACGTTGAAGCCGTAGTTGCTCTTGTTGTTTCTGACGTGGCCGATGTTGCCCGCTCCGCCCCGGCCGACGTGGTACACGGGCGCCGCGTCGCGCTCCCACCGCAGCTGCTGCTCGAGTTCCTCGTCGAAGCTGAAGATGGCGCGCTCGGAGCTGGGGAACACGTTGCCCGCCCCGCCGCGGCCGGTCGTGAAGGTCTTCCTGGAGCTGGCTGTGGATGAAGTCGTCGACGATAGGGAGCCGAGCCGTGACGCGCCTGTGGTGCCGCTACCACCACCCCATGCCGAGGCGCTGGATGAGGAGGGTCGCACGGCGTTGCCAATCCCGCCTCGCCCCGTGGAGATGTAGTGTGTGTTGGTGGTGACGGAGGGATGTGGTTCAACAATAGAGTAGGATCTTGATGATGAGGGCGACATATTTTCAGTTTTTTGAAGTTTTGTGTGTTTGGTTTGTGGATTGGGGGGGCACGATCAATTGGCTTTATGTTTGTTCTTATCTGTTGCGAAGGACGAATGTTCTCGATCGCGATGATGTTTGAGCTGGTATGTAGAGAACTCCCTAGCAAATAGTGGTGTTGATCAGGAGTATTTATGATTGGCCCAGGGGTGCTGTTTTGGGAACCACAGCCAGAAGTAGATAGGTTTGGATACTTTAGCTGTCAGGTGACGGTGATCAGAAGGACAGTATTTGTTAGAAATGTTGTTTGTCTGAGGTATTTCCGCAGGTCAAAGACGATGGGCTTTGTCAGTAGCAATAAGCAACTTGGGATGCGAAACAAGAATCCCGTCACGAGGAGGACCAGGGGACCAGGTGATTATATACGAACAATAGGCCATTGTGAAAAAGTTTTTCTGCTTGGTAGATGTTGACGCGAGGATCTCCAGTCAAGGCACAAGCACTGGCAGGGGGCTCAAGGGGCTGGCAAGGGAGAGCCATGGGCGTGTGAATTCTGGGGCGATTACTCGATAGAAACCCAACACCTTGCCGCACTTTGCAGTTAACTGGAAAGTGTCGGCCAAGGTTGAGACAGGCCTGCCGTTAACTGCAAAGCGCGAAGGTGCAAATTTGCAGGTCACGATGGGGAAAGATGGCGACACAAGAGCGGGAAATAGCTAAAGCTGGCGTCATGGAAAATAGAGAGAAGTGACACGGTAGCAGGTGGATATTCGATGAGGCTTGGTACCGCCCTTACCAAGGAAATGCACGAGGTACAGTGTACTAACAGGTACTTGCGTGATGGGCGGAAACTCGACGACGGCAAAAGTCTCTCGTAGAAAATTCCTCTGGCGGAGTCGGCGGTGAGGCTGCCATTGGCCACACGTCGACGTCAGCTGTCGAGCTGGGAGATTCCGTTTGTCATGCCCAGCCTGGATTCGGGCTGATCCTCCGCCACGCGCTGCCCTCCGAGCAATCTATGGGGTAATCGCCTGCTGCCCAGAGCGGGGACCGTCGTTTCCTGGGGGTAATAGATTGCTCAAGATGGCTGTCCTTCTCCAGTCGTCACCACAAGTCACCTCAGTCCTCTCCATCACCAAACGAGAGTCCGGGGCCTGAAACAACCCTCGCCTCTTTTTCATTCTTTCTGCTCGTCGACTTCTGCTTACTTGTCGTCCTGACAATCGGACACGTGTTGAGTTTGTTGAGTTACCCCTGAGAAGAGGGATCGATACGATCTGGCCCTGGCCATCAACAACGGTATGATATGTCGGCCTCCGGTGTTGTGGCCTGCCTCAATCTGGATAGTGCTTCCAGAGCCCGTTGATCTGTGGCTAGACCATCCCCGGATTCTCGGGACTTCCCCGCAGTAATCCAAGGGCGGTGCTCCAGAGTGTCATCGATCAGCAGATCCAACACTCGCCTCTCTGTGGCGCTAGACAGCCTACGTTCATTGTGCGATGCCGGTGGTGCCTGACACAAAAGAGTTTTTTGGGTTGTTGACCTCACCGCCACACGCTCGTGGACTGGATGTGATGAAACCGAGGTCCTCAATCTCCTGGCCACGATCATACGAGCACTGTCGCTCTGGACGACGCCCAATCAGGTGAACTTGGTGTGGATAACGTCCGGATTCTCATGCCAGTCGTCAATGCTGACCCACATCTGGCCTGGTATTAGTGGTGCCCCAATACTAAAAACGTGGTCCTCACTTACCTTTCTGAATGTGCTCAACCCAGCAAGGATGCTGCCACCAATCCACGTGCTGTACTTTCGCTCGGGAGGTGCATATATCTTGATGCGCATATCCTTGACCGCCAGCCTCTGCATTTCATACAGAAGTCGGTCCGGAAACCCCTTACATAAAGTCGTACCACCGCTGAGGACAACATTGCCGAAAAGATTTTTTCGGAGGTCCATGTCCGTCCGGTTGATGGCATCCACGACCATTTGATGGATGCCCTGATATTCCAACCCAATCAATTCTGGTTCAAACAGAATCTCTGGTGCTCGGAACCGTTCTGCTCCAATTTTGATCTTTTGGCCGTCTGGGAGCACGTACTCGACATCCCTCTTCTCGTTCTTCCATATCCCCTGTGACCAGTCCTTCTCTTCTTTTCGAGGATCCAGGGCGATGTATGCCGTTTTCTCTTTCATAATTCTGACAATTTCCTTTTCGGCGCTGGTGTGAAAGACATGGCCATTTTTGCGCAGGAGGAGTTGCATGTATTCGGTGATGTCTCTTCCTGCCACGTCAATTCTCCGTATGCTGCTCGGGATTGCAAACCCTTCGTAGACGGGTACTGCATGACTGACGCCATCTCCACTGTCCAGAACAATACCGGTCGTTCGACCGCTTGCATACAGACTCAAAACGGCTTGGATGGACATGTATATGGCCGGGACATTGAATTGTTCAAACAAGATCTGGGCAGCCGTGTCTCGATTTTGTCTGGGATTCAAGGGTGGCTCTGTGAGGAGGACAGGATGTTCCTCGCTCAGGGTTTTCAATTCTTGTTCGTAGACATAAGTCCAAATCTTTTCCATGTCATCCCAATCAGTGACGATTCCATGTTCAAGCGGGTACTTGATTTTCAGGAGGCCCCGTAGTTCCTGCGCCTTGGGGCCGATGAAGACATCTCCCTCCAGGGCCCCGGCAAGGGCACGGACATGCTTAGGTCGGCCAACGTAGGAAGGGAAATAGGCCGCAGGAAGATCGGTGCCGGCGAAGCCAGCTCGAATGGTGCCGCTACCGTTGTCCAGCACGAGCGGCACATTGTGCAGACTTCCACCGTCGGCCATATCGACCAGAAGTATTCCAAACAAGCAAAGATTGATATTGAGAGGATTGCTGCTTTGATCACCGCATGATGTCGATGGTGGTAGTTGTGGTAATTAGTAGGGGGATAGGGACCGACCAGGGGACTTGGACAAAAAAGACGCGAGTGCAGTCTCCAGACGCAGGCGAGCAGGACGCGACGAGACAAAATTCTGCCGCTTTTCACCGCCTTGTTTTTGTTCCTCTTAGTTCCTCCAACACGGAAATATCATCAACTTTCACAACGCAAACACACGCTCCTCAGCACCAGCAAACTCCTGGTCCCATCTGTCGACGCCGATTCTGTCTTCGCTACTGTTTGCAACCGAATTTCCAACCACCTCAATCACCAAAATGCCCAAATATAAGTCCTTCCCTCTCCACAGATGGCTATTTCACTAACATGCGCAGCACTCTTTTGCGACTATTGTGATGTCTACCTTACACATGATTCCATGTCGGTGCGCAAGGCTCACAATGCTGGCCGAAACCACCTGAGAAACGTGGTCGAATATTATCAGCGTATGTACCAAAAGGCAGGGGCTCAACGGTGTCTAACGAGATGCAGAAATTGGTCACGAAAAGGCACAGTCGGTCATTGACTCGATCACTTCCTCCTATGCCGCCGAAGGTCAAGCAAACCCTATGCTGCAACAAGCTGCGCCAGGATTTCCTCCGCCTCTCCCTGGATTTCCAGGTATGTTTGGCCGGGACTGAGTTTCAACATCGTCTCACTGGTATTCCTCGCAGGAATGCCCCCTCCACCGTTCGGACTACCCGGTGCTGCGCCGCCAGGACCTGGTGGCATAGTACCTCCTCCGGGTGGTCGTGGCATGCCATTTCCACCTTTCCCGCCCAGTGGCGCCCCTCCTCCAAACCTCCCAGGCGGTTTACCTTTTCCTCCACCGCCCGGAGGATTTCCTCCCAACTTCCAATTTCCTCCTCCAGGTGCACCAGGCGGCTTCCCACCTCCAGCTCAACAGGGTCAGCAAGGTCCGCCGGGAGGACCTGGTCCCGGACCTGGTAGTGGCATGAGTCAAGGACAGGCCCTTCCTCCGCCTGGGTTTAATATGAGTGGTCCTCCGGGTGCAAGTGACAGCAGACGCTAAAACCAATTGGCAAAAATCTCAGATCAAACACTATCTTTCACGGGCAAATTTTTCAAAGAGAACACCCATGGTTGGACGTGTGTCGGCTTCACACCAACAACTCGTGGAGTACCAGTGTCACTGATCTTGGTATTCTGCGCGACGGCAAATGCTTTCTGGTACGTTGGAGCAGAGGGCAGGATTCTCATGCGACTTGGCTTCTGACATGCGTCTGCGACTTGAAGATGCATTCTCCATGAAGACCGCATCAGCTACCATGCATACTACACTCTAGACGCCGAACAAAGCAGGAGTCCATGTCACTAAAGAAACCAAACCTGTCAAGGGAATATGAGCCAGTTGCAACGACCGCCGCTGAAGCCTTAGTCGAGGCAAAATATAGACTCAGCTTTGACGATCGTGACTGCCACGTCTGGGCGGCAAGGTGCGGTTTGACCAACATGAAGAATGGGGACTCTCTGTTTTCTATCCCTCATGCGTACTCTTCTGTTTGTTAGTTCGTCACCTCACCTATGGCTTTCGACACCCTCATCGAATTTGCGGAGTATTTCATCCCCCCTATCTTTATCGTCTTGCTCTTAGCACTCTTCATCCACTGTGTCTTGACAATCCATCGAAATAGTGAGCGCCGCTTCTTTCGATTCGACTCAATCCTGTCGATATCTCAATCACGGCAGTCTCTCCTCAACCGGTCGGAGGCAAATTCTGTTTGAACAATATGGCCGATGCACCGGCCTATGAGCAACCCAGTCTCACAAGAAGCGCGACTCCCAAGGAGACACGTCAGGATCCACACAATCTTGCGGAATGTATTCTACATCCTTGTCAAGAAGGCGATGGCTTCACTCCCACCTCACCAATTCCCCAAATAGCAGCAGCACATCGAGCCCGATCGAGTAAGATACTTGATCGAATCTTGTTCGCACAATCTAGAGGGATTCAAGACCGTGCACTGGAAGAACTTGAGGCACGCCAGCGAGATGAACAGAGAGCAGAAGCCAAAGCTCGCAAAAAAGCAGCGACGCAGGAACGGAAGGCAAGACGAGAGGAAGAATACAGGAAGCGAGAGGAGAAAAGACAAGAGAGCAGAGATCGGGCACGGCAGAACAACAAAGACAAGGCAGAAAGAAAAGCACAGGAAAAGAGAGTGCACGATTACTACGGGATACGCGGTTATGACCCAAGCGCCGGCATGCTTCTCTCTAATCGAGAAAGGGCGGCGTCGCGAACTACGAACGGGCAAGTCCAGACACCTCGGAACATTTACGAAGTGCTGAATCCGAGGCCCCGAACTAGTCAAACCTGGGGCGTAGAATATGGGAAACCTAACGAGGAGCATGGGAAAGGACGGCACTCTACTCTGTGACGGCGGCAGCGACGGCAGTTTGAAAGGCGACGACAGCAAGAAAAGAATCCCGCTAAGGATTATTTGTCGCTCCTCTAGGAATAGTACCTATTCTTTTGAGTGCTTTCGGGAATGTCATCGCGTTATATTCTCAAAAATCTCTGCCACCACTTGGCTTCTAACGGACCATATCTACTTCCCTTTTCTTCCTCCACACCACAACTAGACAGCCTAACGCCTCAATGAAGTGCTTTTCAACAGTGGGAAACCGACCTCACGCACCTAGGTCTCGAAACCAAGAGAGTCACTGGCCGTCTCCGTTCCAGACGGTATAGTCCCCCTTGGCTGCTTTCTCAACTGCCTTGAACATGAGACACACAGCTTCGCCATACCTACTTCGCCGTAGTATGGAAATCTGCTGAAAGAGCGGCATCTGCGACAAACCAGCCCTTGCCCCCCACCAATCTCCCGATCCAGATCACTCAGAGGAGCGCCTCCAAACTGCATGACAGTCCCTGATTGGTATTTCCCATGTTCAATGCCACACTCAATGCAGAACCGCTTGAGACGGGCTCCAAAATCATCGCATATCGCCTGGGAATGTTTCCCTCTCTTCCCCTTCATCATTGCATTCGAAAACTCCATCGCGGATCGAATGTGAAGGCAGAGCGAGCATGCGAAATAGTCTCTCCCAGCAAGAGGCTGTCTCACGTGGTCTTCGGCTTGTCCTGCGGGATCGTAGCATGGCCATCGCTCGATTTGCAATAAGTCAATCATTCCGTAGCCATGCGGTCTGAAGACACGCAGGTCCTTGCAGGTCAGCGATAGGGCAAGCGCTGCCGCGTAGTCGCAATACGATGAGATCCTCAAAAGAACCTCTGGAGGAAGAGACAAAATAGTAACACCTTGCGTCATAACTGCGTCGATTCTTTGAATAATCTCATGTTTCAATGGGGGCCCATACATAGTGGTGGCGGCGAGGGGCGCGGGCATCTTGTTATTCAAATACTGGACACTAAGCTATTAATAAGGAACATGTGACATGACACTTATTACCAGTCAGGTTTCTCGCGCACTCGGATCGAGGGAGCCTTTTTCAGCTTCTTGAAAACGATCATTACCACGGTTTCCACTCGCAGCCTAAGCTACTGTGCTTTGGTCACGGTAACTTGATTGCGACCGGATCTCAAGCTCACGCACAGGTGGAGGGCAATGACAAAGAGGCCAGACAAAACGCGGAACACATCTATTTGCTATAAGGCCGTGTTCCTCTGCAATGCTTCCATGATTCTTCGGGGAATTGGGAATGCGAGCAATTCAGGGGGACCTAGCTACGACCACAGTCGGTACGTACCATAGTGCTACATGCAAGTTTTTCAAACGAACAAATTCTGCACGTCCCAACATGTTCTCCTCGCCAGGCTGCTGACGTATAACAAAGAGCTCTCATGGCTGTATGGCGACGTTTCGGATGGCGTTTGTGGCAGGTTCGTTGCACTGTATGTTCTCTCATGGTCCTCGGCCTCAGTACTGGGACGTTTGTCCAGGTATTTCCGCTCACGGAGCGTTTTCAAACTAGCTCACACCACTTCAATTCGCAAGGAGCAGATCTAGGACCCGTTGGGAGAGAGCAGAATCGACTATCTACAAGGACGCACCTGCCCCCAAGATGCTCTTCGCAGGATCCGCACAGTTCTCTCAACTCATCTTTCAAGTAACGATTGTCTGAACAAAATGTCGAAGTCTTTGGAACTCCATACTGCTGGCGAGTAGCCTCTTGAGCATTATGTCAGCCACCAATTGGGGAATAGTTGCAATGCGAGAAGGGGGCTTGGAGGGTCTTTGAAAACGTGCCTGGCCACGAGACGCGTCGACGGCATGAAGTTTTCGAAAATTTAGACCTCCGTTCATCCCCTTCTTGCTCCTCGTTGATCCACCACCTAGATCTTCAACACGACCGCAAACCACAAGAGAAAGCACAGTGACGTCTCCCATGAGCCTTCGAAACGCCCGGCACCAAACGTGGAACCAAAGCACTCGCGACATCAGTGGGGATTGTGGTTGTTGCGTTTGATTGTCGTCCCGGACGCTAATACGAGCCTCAGCCCTAGTGGTTGTTCTTCAGCACATATCGCTCCTGGACCTGAAGGAAGTCTTCCGAAAGCTGCTTGCAAGGCCAGCCACCAGCGTGATTGCGCGGAATCGACCCCCCGCATATCAAGACACAGCTATTGAATATTCTGAAGGTGCATCCGGAAAGGAGAGCAACGACATCACTCGTGGTGCCCGTGGAGCTAACGAAAGCGCTTAGCATACAAAAAGAAGGCGATGCAGTCGCTTGAGCTTTTCCCGCTGAGTCTGAAACGGTTTCTGCCGCGCATTAAAGCTCTGATTAACAAAGGTTCTGTGGTTAATGGGCCTGCATTGGCATGGAAAGCGTTGATGCAAGTGACCGACTCGTCGATATACCCTTGGGATGGGTGGAAGCAAGGGTCGTGGACGACGAGGAAGTATGTGATTGGTTTCACGACGACGTTGACAGCTTGATGCTGCAAATATTTCGAATTCTGGAGCAGGACTCGACTTGGTTTGAAGACAACGATCCAACAGAGACGAGTCGCAAATGGCAGAACCGAGCCAAGACTTTGCGAGGACCATGTAAGTACCGCTATCAGCGAACCCTGGCCTTCATGGCCTTCATCGAGACCCGGGAGGCGCGATCAAGGCCTTACAAGGAAGTACGTGTGAAGCTACCGGCAAGCAAAGCGAATAGGAAAAGAGTAGTCATGACATGATTCATCCCGGACAAATATTCGGAATCGGAATTCTGCCAGGGGGAAACATAACTCACTGTTGAGCTGGCCATCTTGCAAGCTGGCACAGTCTGAGAAGAGTCTTCTTGGTGAGAAAATAAAAGGCAGTAGCTGACTTCAAGAAACGAGCTTGCATTGATCACTGCTGGTCTGGAGGAAGATCTAGTCAGAAAACTGTGCTGTAGAAGGGGAGAAAAAGGGCGCCTCACCTATTTAATCCTCAGATATCGTGGAAGATCTAACTGTACTCCGTGTACCTGCAGATATTTGCGCAGTATCCTATAATGGCTGTGCGCAGACGGGGGGAAAAGTGCAACCTGCAAAAGGCAGAAGGAAATCCCAATGCCAATCTCGACTTGAAAGATTGATTGCAAATCTGTTCCAGAACATCGAATACCATCCCCCTGACCTTTGTTCCTTTGTTCAACGCTTTTCATCCTACGCAAGACAGGTATCGGGGATAAGCCCTGAGCAAGATCATGGGAAGCCGTAGGTACGGCAGCTATCAAGAACCCTCCAACACCAAACTCCCAATTCAATCAATCTGCCAGCCCATCTCCTCAGCAATAACATCCTCCAGCCCACGTCTGTACTTCTCCTCTCCTGACCTCAGCGGCGGCCACTTCTTCATCCTCTTCCGCAATTCCTCGACGCTCGCTATCGAGTCTGCAAGACTGCCAAGCTTGCCATGAATCACATACTCTTGCTCTGCCAGAGCCTCGGCCAACTCGACTTGATGATTGTGCAGCAGATCTGTGTTTGGGACCACCACGATGGGCACGCCGATGCGAAGGGCGTCAAGGACTGATCCTGATCCGGCGTGGCTGATGACCATTCCCTCGTCCACTTGGGATCGTCCCTTTACTGCAAGCATCTCCTCTCGTAGCCCTTCTCTGCTGAACCCGAAGCCTGTAATGTCGATACCTTTATCAAAACCGGCTTCCTTCAGGGATTTGCATCGCTCCCGAAATATAGTCTCGCCCTCGTGATTGCCAAACTGGATTCGTAGTTGTGTATATCCTGCTTCACGAAGCGGTTTGAGGAATGCTGGCTCCAGCACGGCGCGGACTAGACTATTAAAGGGAGCTGTGGCGCCAATGGTCACAAAACATCGCTTCCCGGGGGCATTGCTGGATGGTCTCGGATCGGCCATTATCCAAATTCCTAAAGAGACGATGGCGACAGTGAAGGAAGATTGCAGGTGACTTGACTTTAGGACCACGAGATGTACTCCTTGAACTCGGTAGACTTCGGTGGATCATGGGTCCTCAGAGAACTGCCACTAATCTACATCTGACCACAGAGCCCGGTCACGCAAATTCAGTTCTTGGGGAAATTTATCTGAAGCTCCCCAATGCGCAGGCTCACAAGATCGAAAGACCCCGGCAACAATGGCTACCACAGCACGGCATCTATGTCGTTCATTGTTCCAAGTTAGTCGACAGATCCCGGTGAAACGGAAATGTCAAGCAGCGCAGCAGCAGCTCTTTTCACGGCGGCATCGAGCTACGGGCACGAGCCTCCAATTTCGTCAACTCTCAACAACGTTGCCGCGTCGAGTAGATAGTAACCGAAGGACCTCTGCCTTTGACCAAGACGGAGAAGAAGACGATGAGGAGGATTTGGATCTCAGCCGACCACCTGAAGGTGGCTACAAAACCCCCTCTACACCGATCACTGTCGCCGACCTGGACCCTGACGAAATCGCCGATTTCCAAATGCTCTCGCCCAAGGACCAAGAGTCCTACCTTGCGCTGCAGAATCACTACGCCGCCGAATTTGAAGAAGCTGGTATCGACTTCAACGCCGACCCCAACGCCCAGGACCCGTTTATGGAGAAGCTCGTCGACAATGTAGATCGAGAAATTGGCAAGGAAGTCGAGCCCTTGGACTTCCCCGACGTCCCGTTGAAGAGTAATGAAGTGGGCTACTGGGCATTGGATGAAGAGGACGATGAATTCACGCAGGTCGAAGACGGCGACGAGGAGTGGGATGAGAGTGCCATTTCGAGTGTTGCGCACAATGAGTTGGACCTGCACAGAGAGGTCAGGCAGTATACGCGGGTTATTGCATGGGATATGCCCTTGTTACAACGTAAGCGTCCCTCGGTTCAGCCCAAATTCGTCATTCACGTTTGAACTAATGTGTGTTCTCAGAGTTCGCAAAGCCATTTGCACCGCCTACGGAAGCCACACCCCTCCGCTTCCGCTATACGACGTATATGGGTGAATATCACCCGGCAGCCCGCAAAGTGGTTGTGCAATTCTGCACCAAAGACCTCCCGAACCTGACCGAAAAGCAACGTCAAAAACTCCTCAAGCTGGTCGGCCCCCGCTACAACCCAGACACAGATGTGGTGAAGATGTCCTGCGAAACTTTCGAGGCGCCCGCGCAAAACAAGCGATATTTGGGAGACCAGGTGAAGAAATTGCTAGACGAGGCGCGCAACGGGAAGGATACCTTTGAGGACATACCGCTGGACTTGAGGCACCACAAACCGCAAAAGAAAGTCGAGTTCCCCGAGAACTGGAAGTTGAAGCCCTCGAGGGTTAGGGAGTTGTTGATCGCGAGACAGGAGCAGAAGTTGCTGGGCGAGGGCCAAACGGCACAGCAAGGGCCGGCGCTCGACGGCAAGGAATTGGTGCATGAATATGTTCGAGCGCTTGGGAGGCCAGCGCCTTTGAGACCGCAGGGGTCTCTGTAAAAACACACGGCCAACATAGATCTCAATGGCACAACTACAGAAAAGGAACAGAAAAGGACACGACTTTTTTCTCTCTATTGACACTCGTCCATTCAACTCCCAGCTATCCATTTCCATACTAAGGACAGAACAGAAGAAGGAAAAGCATAAAAAGGGGTATCTCTGAAGCAATAATATCCACGAGGGAACCTGATACGCCACGTATTTCCGGAACCTGATTATGGTAATGCAAAAACCCAGGCTCCCTTTCATTCACCGTTGCCCACTTTCCCCTTTTCCCAGCCCGCCCAAAAAGCCCGACCCTGGAGGAAGAGACGAAGACCGCTGTTCTCATTGTCCACGGATGTTCTTTCACCATGCCTTTGTCTCCCTATTGGTGTCATCGCCGTCCGTCGTTGGGGTGGGTGGGCGTGGACGAAGAACGTTGCCGTTGCCGTTGCCATCGGCCTATGCTGTCTTCTGCACAGCAGGCACCTGTGGCGTCTTTTTCCGACGCGCATACCTGGCGCCACCACGGCCGCCGTGCTTCTTCGTGTCTCCGACAGCGACGGGCTTGTTCGGGGCGGCTCCCTTGCCGCTTCCGCTAGCCCTCTCGCTCGTGGTCTCGCTCTTCTTTGCTGCGCCGCCGGTCTCACCACCCTTCTGTCCTGCGTCGGCAGTGGCTGCCCTTTTCGCGGCCTCCTGCTCCTCCTCCCATCCGGCCTGCTCTTGCTCTCGGATCTTCTCCATCCGCGCGTCCATCATGTCCCCTAGCTCGCTGTCCATGTCAGCCGCGAAGGCGGCAGCCAGGAGCTCGTCGCGGCGCTCCTTTTCGTTGACCTTGGCCTTGACCTTGTCCGTAGCATTGTCTGCGGCAACGATAGCGGCAGGAGTCCGCGGGGCGGAAAGCGCAAGAGGACGGTGGTAGTGGTTTCCACCGGCTCGCGGCTGTCTATCCCCATGATGGTGGTGTCGGCCGCCGCGCCCATTACCGAGAGGTAAAGCGTTGATGTGCGAGGCGATGATCCGTCTGGTGGCTTCTGCGTCCAGACCGACGCGCCTGGCACGCGGCGCGGCCTTGTTGCCGTCGAGGATGCCGTAGCTGAGGCCGTTGCGGCCACCGTTGACGCGCAGGCTGCCCACCTTGTATGTCTTGCGGTACCAGTCTGGGAGGTCGCGGAAGCCAAGGACCTCAAGAACCTCAAGCTTCAACGGCATCACATGCTTGAACATGCAGCCTTGTTGCGCAAAGTTGCACTCGCCGTTGCGCAACCAGTATGAGCAGTAGATTTTCTGGCCGACTGGTGGCATCTCTGGGTCTGGGTCAGCAGGAGGCGCGTCATTTGCGAGAATTGGCGCGGCCTTGCTCCGCCATGCCAGAGTGGTGGTCGTAGTGGGAGGCAGCGCGACGTTTGTAGAAGAACCGGGGAGGGGGCTGGTAGCAGGCTTGATATCCTCCCCAGTTGAGTCCGTGGAAGCAAGACCAGAGGTGCTGCCTACTTCGTTGAGCTGGGTGAGCTGGTTGAGCTGATTGAGCTGGTTTCCAACATTCAGCGTGTTTGGAATGACAGTGGAGGAAAGCGTGGCTGCACGCAGCAACGGAGTCGAGGAGGCAGAATTTGGCTTCGACGCATTCGAGATAGGAGTTTGAGGCGTGCGAATGCCGTTGAAAGGGATGGCCATGGTATTGTTCATACTTTGGACGACGTAATATTGATGTCGGGCCTCGCGGACACCGACGCCAGTCATCCCAGCGGTGTCGAAAGCACTAAGGCTTCGAGAAACACCCTCGATCTGGACATGAACAGGCAGTTCATCCATGGCGATGAGAGGAACCATGGCTCCATTCTGCCGGGTGACGAAGAATTGGGGTTTGAGACCTTGCTGTGGAGCCATTTCGACACAGTGAGATGTCTCGATTGACAAGTTGACTAGAGCAAGGAGGCTGAACTTTCACGCCGCAGGTCGAGAGGTCTGTTTGGTAGGCTTCAGTATATTTACTAACTCAAGCAAGGAAGCGCTTCGATGTTCTGATGCTTTGTGAGGAAAATGTCGAGGAAGGAGGACGGGGGGAGATATTTATAGGATAGATGGTCGGTCACAGAGAGTAACCGCGAGACGGTGATGGAGTGACAATAGCGACCAGCACTACTTACAATCCTTTTGAGTGAAGGACAATGGCCGCGGTATGGATCTGTCAACGCAAATGTGACTGTTGGCGCGGTTGAGGTGACAGATTCCAAACGCGGTAATTTGGGTGCAGAGAAGATATAGCAAACTCCAATGCACTGGAACTATTTGTGACAAGATTTGAGGGCATTCTGGGACGGTGCTATTGAATATCATGCAATATATAACTTCACATTAGAAAACCGCTGTTTGGGTGTGAACAAACGGGAGAATTGAGGAATCCAGCACAGCCAGCCTGGTGTTTGTCTGCTTTGTGCGGCGCGCGTCTGCTGTTGATAGTTTTAGAGTTTCATACAGCACGGAGACAGCTAGAAAACGACCAAACAACGGTTGATTGCCTGGCAGACAAGACAATGAATGAACCCTCCAAACTCAAACTCACACCGACGACACCAGCTTGAGCACCAGCACCAGCTTGAGCACCAGCACCAGCTTGAGCACCAGCACCAGTAGCAGCACCAGCACCAGCGCGATGAAGTGAGCTGCAGGGGCCAACGGCTTCTCTTTCAAGATTGATGTCACAACCAGTCATTTTTGCTATGGGAAGTTGCATGTTTTTTTCTTTTCACGCACGAAGTCGGGTGCATACTCACACGCTTGCCGGAGCTCATATTGCCAAGAGAAGTGATTGTTCCGAGATAAAGAGAAAAAGCGAAGGCTGTTTGTTTACTTTTCTGTTCTTGTTCTTGTCCTTGTTTTCGCGGAAGGAAGACGTTGAATTTAGATGAAGTAGCAGGCGCACAGTCAGCAACGAGATGAGTGGCTTCGGTGGAGCGAGCATGGGCTGGGCCCCCTCTGACTTGCTTCTGTTTCTGGACATTAGTCGCGAACGTGATTGATGATGGACAAGCGCCAAGAGTTTTTTCGGATGTCAGGCACCAGTTAAAGCCTGCGAAAGCCCAGTTAAAGATAGAGACCGATGCCGCTAAAATCCTGCCGCTAGCTTCAAGGGGCAATGCCGATATATCCGGACACAACTACATAGCACAATCGGCATTGTGAGACAACGGATGCACGGATTACTTGATATTCCTGGTCCGAGGAGTCAGGCATCCATCCATCCCTGGCGCTCAGTAGCCCTCAGAAGCCCTCTAACAACGGGGGTTGGCAGGGGTGCCTAACCAGGTCGCTAGTGCTCCGTACTCGTACCTAGCCGTACCGAGCAGGTCATGCCTCGCGCCTAGCGAGCAGCTTTCCTGCTGGACCAGCGGGTAAAGGAGTGCCCTCTGTTTTCCCTGCATCGACCACCTGGCAGGCCCTCACGCCTAAAGCTCTTCGTCCAACCATAGCTAACCGCCAAACCACACCACCTGCCTGGACCCTCGCACCCTCTTCCCTGCCCGATCTCTGGCTCCCTCTTCTACCCAGTCATCTTGCACGCCTGCGCCTCATCTTTCCGAGTGACCACTGACCACCGGCTCCCGGCCTCCTGCCCTTCAAGCCCTTTGTAACCTGACCTCCTCCCTCTTCCGTCAAACGACCATCGACTCGACCGCTCAACCACCACCCACCTCGTCCGAGGTTGAGTTTCATCACTCTCGTTTTATCTCTTTCGCTTTCTTCATTCTTGCTTCTCGCATTTGCGGCTCATACGCGTCCGAGTCCTCTAATTTCCTGGCGATACCATGGCCACCGAGGCCTCCATCGCCCTGACAAACCGCTCTCTCCGTACCATTCGTACTGTGTGTAACCACCAACCTCTCTACCGTTCTCGGATCACCACATTGACATTCTATAGGAACTGGAATTCCTTGCCGATACCTCCATCATCTCGCCTGAACAGCTCTCCTCGATCCTAGCACAACTACCAGCTCAGACACCGCTACATGCCCCCCTACACGCTCCCGTCAATGGCACCGCCAACACCCCTGTCGATCAATTCTCGAGCATGAACCTGAAAGAAGGATATGCTCCTGTACCTACGCCTGCTCCTCTCCCTCCTCCGGCCTACGTTCCGCCGCCGATATTGTCGATTGCCTCCGCTCTTTACGCATACACACCCACAGATGCTGGCGATCTGGCGCTCCAGCAAGGTGATCGGATACAGGTATTGGAGCACATGAACAACGATTGTACGTGCCGCTCATCTCCATTCGGGCCCAATTGCATGCTAATTAAAAGTCAGGGTGGAGAGGTCGCAATGAAAGGACCAATCTAGAAGGTATCTTCCCACGAAGTTACGTCAATGTCATCGAGGACCGACGGCCACCCTTGGTTCACTCACAGTCGACTGAGTACGGAAATCTCCCTCTCCAAGTCAGTCAGTCAGGCTCTTCCAGCGGCGGTCCAGAAGGTCGGAAATACAGCAAGCTCGAAGAACAGGGCAAGAAGTTCGGCAAGAAGATGGGCAATGCTGCTATCTTTGGAGCCGGAGCTACAATTGGCAGCAACATTGTCAATGGCATTTTCTAATGATGGTATTCATGTTCTGATGCTCGATATTTCAGCCTTTGACTTCCCAAAGGCTATGGCTACGAAATTTCGTTAGAGTGTCCTCCACAGAGCGGAAGAGCGTACAAGCACTGCAACTGGAGCGAATAATGGGCATTATCTTGCCAAAAAAAAATAAAAAATTAAGAAATTGGAATCAATGCTTGACGGAGACGGGGTGCATGGGCAAATGGCGTCAAAATGGGAGAAAACGGCGTTGATCGTCGGTGGTCGGCCACCGACGTCTTTGGTTACGCTGATCGTCGACAAAAATAAACGAAGGGAGCGTGCTCCCCAGCAACCATCCAACACTTATATTCTCCTTTGTCCTTTTCAACAGGTCATTACATTCTCCAGGGCGAAGAGCATGGCAAATTTGTGTCATTCGCGGGGACGTGGCAGAGTGGCTTCACCAATTTGCCCAAGGAATTGAAGGACGCGAGAACGGACAGAATGAACCGCAGATCTTTTTCACGGGCATGACGAGTTCAACTTGATTGATATGCAGACAGAATTTCCGGTACTGCACATACTGTACTTCGAAGAGGCCTGGTATGACATCAAAAAATTCCATATCCATAGCCGATTCGTTTCAAAGCCCGTGATCTGTCGAGAGGTTCCTGTTTGCCTCCTCCGCATTACAGGACCAGAAAGGCTCTTCTTTCGTGATTTGCAATTGACGGGTCTTGGGATCATGCATGATCCTTCCTCCCCAGAAGGTATTGGTGTTCCTGACCCGAATGCTTGGTATTCACAAAAAAGGATTCGCTTGCCTAGATCTCCGCCTAAACAATGTCCCGGTGTCGATCTTAGTCGGGGAGCTCGAGGGATTGATCTAGGTAGAAAAGCACCGACGAGTAGTGACTCCGTCATGGGTGTCGCGGGCGTAGCTTCTTCGTCTTCGACTTCGAAATAGGTCAGAGGGGGCGTGGATTTCTGCATTCATATCCTGAGATGCTCCATCACCCCAACAGTTCTGATATGAAACGCCCAAGCCCTCAGTCCTCCTCCCTCGGTGGTGGCGGTCCGCTGGCCCTGATCATCTTTTCAATCATCTGTCCTCTTACAATCTCTTTATTCTCTCCCAATCCAAGGGCCATGTACGCGAGCAGAGGAGGATGACCGACATAACTTGCGAGGGAGTCGCGGACAATGTTTTGGCTCCATTCATAGCGGGTGGTGTCGGCGTGGCCAGTGCCTACGTATTTGGCCTGGAGAGATTCGAGTTGTTGGAGAGTGCGCAATTTATCGGCCATGGCGAAGGGCGAAGGGAAGGGGAAACACGAGGCAGAAAGAGATGCGGCAGGAAAGTGATTGGTAAGTAACTTGTTGTGCTCAATGTGTACTGAGTATGGGGCGCGGGAGAATTTTGCAGGTTGCGAGCTGGTGGCTGTGGTCACGTGGTGGTTCTGGAGGTTGAAGCGATCTCGGAGCCTTAGCCGTGTTCGCCACCCATCCTACTCGTATTATTCCGCACTTTGACACCTGGAACCCCAAAAAATAACCCCACGTCCTGCAGCCACATCGCAGCAAATTCCACCAATTCCACCTTCGTTCATCCTCGGCTGTTGGTCCATATCGTCATCGGCTGTTGAATCACAAGATCTCTATCCGATGGAACCTTAGAGGTGGGTTTCCACAACCGCAGCAGCAAGCCGAGCTATCTGCGCACTTCCCAACGTTCAAGCTACGCTGAGTTGGCGAGGTATGGGCTAAGAGTTCCTCCTCGGTGCCTCCCAAGTCAATCTGATCACATCGGTGTGCTCACCCGGACTTCATATCTTCTTATATACGTGCACTTTCCGTTCCTTTATCTAGCTTTTCTCCCCTATCCACATGAATCCTCTCCGGACTGCGCTGGTGGGCGGCGCTGCAAGAAGATCCACTCTCTCGAACCTGTCCCTATATCACCGCTCCTCTTCGCTCTCGTGCAGAATGGCGCCCACGGCATCGAACAGACTCGCGGCCGAATCACGCAGACTGGGCCTGTCGCCACGCCAGACCCGCACCATGTCCTCAGGCAGACCAAAGATCAAGGTCAAGAATCCCGTCGTGGAACTCGACGGCGATGAGATGACTCGGATAATATGGCAAGATATCAAGGACAAATTCATCTATCCGTATCTGGACATCGACTTGAAGTATTACGACTTGGGCTTGCCTTACAGAGATGAGACGGACGATCAAGTCACAGTGGATGCTGCGGAGGCCATCAAGAAATACTCCGTGGGTGTGAAGTGTGCAACTATCACTCCGGACGAGGCCAGGGTCAAGGAATTTCACTTGAAAAAGAGTATGATATAAGCGCCTCAACACCCCCTCAACCACTAATGCTCTTGGTAGTGTGGCTTTCTCCTAACGGTACAATCCGAAATATCCTCGGTGGTACAGTCTTCCGGGAACCCATCGTGATCCCTCGAATTCCCCGGCTCGTACCCGGCTGGGAAAGGCCCATCATCATCGGGCGTCACGCGTTTGGCGACCAGTATCGTGCTAAAGATACAGTCATTCACGAAGCAGGCACATTGGAAATGGTATTTACACCTAAAAACGGAGGCGAGCCGGAGAGGATCAAGGTGTTCGATTTCCCGGAAACAGGCGGCGTCGCCCAGACACAATATAATACCGACGATTCGATAAGAGGATTCGCACACGCCAGTTTCAAATTTGCACTCGATAGGGGTTATCCGCTCTACATGTCTACTAAGAACACCATCTTGAAAGCCTACGATGGACGCTTCAAGGACATATTCCAAGAAATCTACGAGAAAGAGTACGCCAAGGAATTCGAGGCCAAGAAGATCTGGTACGAACACCGCCTAATCGATGACATGGTTGCGCAAATGATCAAGAGCAGTGGAGGATTTGTGATCGCAATGAAGAACTATGACGGAGATGTACAGAGTGATATTGTGGCGCAGGGCTTTGGATCGCTGGGTTTAATGACCAGCCAGCTAATTACTCCGGACGGTTTGACGTTTGAGAGCGAAGCCGCGCACGGAACTGTCACACGGCACTACAGAGAACATCAGAAGGGGAGAGAGACCAGCACCAATCCCATTGCCAGTATTTTTGCATGGACCAGGGGATTGGTTCATCGCGGGCAACTTGATGACACGCCCGAACTAGTGACTTGGGCGGAGAATCTGGAGAAGGCGGTTATTCAGACGGTCAACGATGACGGGATCATGACCAAAGATCTTGCGTTAGCATGTGGGCGAAAAGACCGGGAGGCGTGGGTTACCACAAGCCAGTTCATGGAGGCGATTGAGAAGCGGTTCAAGAAGAATTTGGAGACCGAGGGACTGAGTGATGTGGTGAAGTCATAAGAGCCCAGCAACGTGTTTGGGAACAAAAGATGGTGGACCAGCGACGTCAGGATGGAAGGTATGCCACGAAAGATGAAAATCAATACAGGAATGTATAGACGATGAAGCCGGGGGAAGGCAAGAAAGAAAGCCATCGATGCACAAATGTCCGCAAGGAGTTGGCTTAGAATCAGATCAATCAGTTTGTGTTCGACTCTTTAAAATAGGAAAAATGGATCCAGCATCAGTATCAAACTTGAGCATCCAACCATCTATCTATTTATCTGACTACTGCCACATTCCATCTTGGGCTGTCTCTCTTTTCCCGCCATCGAGTCCCAGCTCTCCCATTTCGGCTCACTCCCTGTTCTTCCCGTTCTTGTCCTGCCTCTGCGCCAAAAGGCGGATTCGACGCGTTTGAAAGGCGATAGTACGACGGAGTACATGGAATCATCCATACGGAGTGATGAATCAACGAATGGACGAATGGAAGAAAGAGAATGGCGGCACATGTCTATTCCATCCTAGTCCCTGTGTGAGGAATGGGACGCGGTCAGGTCAGTTCGCCCCATTCGTGTCTCTCTCTCTCTCTCTCTCGGGGGAAGGGGGTTGGTTCTGGGATTCACGTGCTCCGCTCTTCACTCTTCACTCTTCTCATGACTAAACGACAGTCACTGGCTGTATCAGATAAAGAAAAAGGGAAAGAAGCCCGAAGGGAAAGGCAAAAATAAGATCAATCAGGAATCCACCAGTCTATTTTGTTACTTCCCAGACCAAAAGTCACAAAGCCGAAGACTAACCATGTCTCCTTCCTTCAGCAGGAAGATCCCTTAGAGCAAACACCAACTGAACGACAACAAGCAAACACCCTCACTGTGTGGGCCGTTGACCATGGTTCCAGTTCGAAAAACAGCACGACGACATTCTCTTCTTCACTGGACCGAAACGCCTTACTATTCCACAAGCAAGCCATGCGTTGAGGCTCTCGTCAACACTTGGTTTCATTCTTGTTGGGCCCCCCTTTCTATTCTCTCAAGATTCCACCTCTTTACACCTGGCTCACCGAGTTCATGACTGTTGCTGCCTCTTGAATTTTGGACCCATCGGGCTCCCAATATCACCCCCAGTCAAATGGATTCGCATGAATTTTTGCAATTTTTCAAGCGCTACTTTATCATATGCCGCCCTGCCAGACTCAATATCCCGGAGCAGCGTCGCATTGACATTAGCTCTTCTGGCAAGCTCTTCCTGCGTCATCGCTTTACCGTCTGGTCCTTTGTTCTGCTTCCGCCATTCGGGAATGGCCCGTGACGCTGCTAGTGGGATAGTTTTGGGCTTTATGATATCGTCCGAGCGGTCGACCTTGGTCAAGTGTTGGCCCTCGGCGCCCGATTTCTATGAAATCTGTGTCAGTGCTGGTCATTTGCTTTCCGGAGAATCGAGATTGCCACTTACGCTGTTGGTACCTCCATATTTCTTTTCCGTGAGGACGACAGCCCCGGATCGCTTGGCGGCGTTGAGCGCCGCATTGCCCTTTACTACCCGTTCACGATCGACACCTCCACTGCCAGGACCCCTGGCTTTGCTGCCAATACGTGTAACGGTATCCCAATCGCTATCGGCCATGATGATGAGTGTGGAAGTTGTTGGAAATGCAATAAGGTGGAGGTAAGTGGCGGTGTGGTGAGCTGAGATCGCTTCTGTCCACGGACGACGCAAAGGAGAGGATTCAAATCAACCCGTATGGACGGTGAGACTATATTATATGGTCAGAGTTGCAATATATGGACTTGTTGGGCGATGAGATGAAAATGGAAAATGAAGGGTTGAGCTGATGATCTAGAAGTTGCCATCCCATCGCAGCCGCCAAAGCAGACTGGGCAACCGAGTCATCGCCCCACGCCACGCCACGGCACTACGGCGCCACGGTCGGACTTTCCTCTTTCTACGCTAGGCGGCTAGGCATCTCAGCGGATTGGCAGCTGGCCACAAGGCTGAGTTGAATCCCAGCAATCGGCAATTTCAATCGAACCGCCGCACAGGGAAGGGCGATCGCCTGAGACGGTTGCGACCCAAATCCCTAGTCACCCATGCTACAGCCGAGACGAGAGAATGCTGCTGAGGTTTGAGACTTGTTTGAGATCCTCCTGTCTTGCCGGTCCATGTGGGGACCCTCTTGTCTCTGCAGCCTGATCTCAGCCGAACGAATCTGTGGCAGACGCAGTTCCTTCCAATACGGCAAGTCACCGAGACGCCAAATCAAACAGTCCCCTTGGGCGGTTAAATGCATGCGCTCCCCATACCCCTGCCAGCCCTGGTTGCTGTACAGCCTCAGTGAGTATCAAACCTGCATGACCTGAAGCGCCCATGCCAGAAATAAATGGCCGGCCAGGAGGCGTCTTTGACTGCAAGCCGGCTTAGTTCGCTTCTCTCCTCTTCTCTCCCCTTTCTTTAAGTTTGACAGCAAGAAACTTTATGGCATCGCAGCACTCTTCAAATCGTTATACTCAATGACCGTCAAAGGCTAGAGTATATTGCGCGACTCGGGTCCGCGCCGTTCGATCCCGCGAGCTTGTGGCATATGCTTTTCCCTTCCTTCCATATCCCAGCGATCGGAACCTCCTCGCTCTCCAGAAGAAGGCATAAAAGAAGCCCAGTACGGCATTCCCGCTAGCCGACATCAAAACCTCTTCTCAAACCACCTGGACCATTCTCTGGCACTTCTGAGGGAGAGCCTGGGGATCTCCTGGACGAAGCTTACCAAAGTCGTGTCGGCTCGCATTCCCTTATCCATCCTCCACTGCCAATTCATACAGTATCGATACTTAGGAGGATTTCGAGGATTTGGAACATTACTCCGACTGTCAAAGATGCCTACCTACGCCGGGTTCCAACTTGCACTTGAGCTTTCAAATGTCCTCCCTATAAAGGATCTTGCTGCTTCCGCATTCACAACGCTACTCAACATGGCACGCGACCTTCGCAATTCAGGTTCTGATATTGTTGTTGAGGCTGATCTGGCAAGCATTTTTGGCAGGGGTCAAGTTTCCCTTGAACTGGAGAAAGCATTCAAAGCCAAAGTTCACATCACCAAGATCACCCCACTATGCGAGGGCTCAGAAATCGAGCTCCGCACCGGCCCTGGCCCAACCGTAACTCGGGCATTTCAGGATGTACAATATTTCGCAACCATAGTCACTCTCTCCGCCCTATGCTATTTTAGTTCGAGAGAAGATCTTGCCAGAATGATCGCCAGTGCGATGGTCAAGCGATGCGAGGCCAACATACCAGGGGCCACCAACCCTCCTGGGTACGAAGGTCTTGAAAACACATTGGCAGCTTGCAGTACGCAATGTGGCGAATTCCACTGGGCGCCATACTGTGCGGAAATCGAGCGACGGCTTCGAATTTCAATGCCAGACTACTTTTGGAGTGCGGATTACACTCGTCTTACGCCCGCGGCTCTTCTGGGGGCAATGGATTTCTTCTATATCGTCAAAAGCCTGCCAGCGGACAGAATAGTCACAATCTCATTCCAGACAGGATTTATCCCTCTCACAATTTGGGCCCACTACATCTTGGGCCTCAATGTTGTGATCACTGATCTTCCTTGTCGGGATGTTGTCTTCGGCAATGCCAAAGAGCCTCATGTTGTCATTCACTGGCGCCGAATTGATGCCTCTGATAGTGGAGGCCCGTGCTGGAATTTGGAGACGGATGACGATGGCCCCGAAATTTGCCTTCATGACGCAGACATGCAAATTATTTTCACGTCTAAACCGGAAGATCACGACTCAAATGGCATCTACTCGAGGGAAAGACACCCTTTGTCGGGATACGGCACGGAAATACTCCGACGCAGCCTGAATATTGATACCATCACTAGAGACAATGACGATATATACGAGGAGACGGTAGGCTTAGTAGCTGGATTCGCAGTCGTCGCTTCGCAGAGAATGGCCCGAGAACTGACGTGCCCTTCATGGGAAGAGGGACAGGAGGCGACCGAGAATACTGGGCCAAAAATCCGATTGGAGATGTGGAGGATCATGAACTCTGTTAAATTGATCTTCGATGGTATCACAATCAATACGAAACTTTGTGAGGAATATGCGCAGTTTTTGTCAGAGCACCCTCTGTCTGAATCCACGCTACCTACAACTTTCAATTCCTTCTTTGCAAGAGTCCCGTGGCACGGCCGGCTCTACTCTGCAGAAGAACAAATGATACGACTGATCGAACTTCTCACAAAATATGTCCTGATTTTCGCTCACGTCTTTGAGCTTGATCACTGTGGTGATATGCCAATAGCCTTCAGCACTGACATCTCCGCCTTCTCAACTGTCTTTCGGGAAATCCGGGAGGGAAAGGATGGGCTAGGGCTAGTTGAACGGTCTGAGGCGTTCAACGGTATCGTGAGTGTACTGGAGTCTGCCGAACTCCAAGATGTGAGTCGCAATCGGTACGCCGGCCGCCTATCTCTTCAGAGCGATTTCGGGTGGTCTGTGCATCTGGACACATATGGTGACCGTGATCCGGCTGTCGTTCGGCCTGAGCTCGTCCACATTCGCAAGGGTACGCCCACAAATTCAAGAACAGGGGAGCGGAAATTGCGAATAAGAGATGGAAGTGGCATTGGCAGGGGTGCGAAATCCTGCGTCTGCCCTGTTGAGAGAGGCCCAACGTACACTCCTCGCACATTCGTGAACTACACTTCTCGGAAAGATTTCTATAAATCTCTTGCGTACGAGTTCCAGATCACTCTTGTTGTTACATTCCAGACAGTTCCCGAGTATCAGAATTGTGGAGGTTCCCAATCTTTCCAGGAATATTTCCGCTACAGTCAGATGCATGAAAATTTGTGGAATACCTATCTGACTCCAGAATGCGGTCACAGGCACAAGGATGAAGCGGAACAGACAAAAATCAAACTCGGTCCGGATGCAGCGGCAGTTCTGGGTTTCTCCGAGAGCCACACACTCGAAGAAACCCTGCCGGAGAGAATTGTTATTCTATTGACAAAAGGTAACCCTTATGGACGATGGAATGCAATCTGGTACTCGTGCGGCGACGCGAGTCACACGGGACGGAAGATAATGCTACGCTGGAATAAATGCTGCGAGTCCTGCGCTCTTGACCACGTGGCTTCACAGAAGGGAAAATGGTACCTTATTTTGTAGATATAAGCTCAGTGGTCTCGACTCAATATCTTGCTTTGAAAAGGCGCGAGCATTTGGACGGGGAAGATCGTCGCGATTTTGGATATCATCCGGCAGCAAATCTTGGGGATTATTTTGTTTGGATAATTCGCGGTGTCTGGTCTGCGTTTGGCGTTTCCGGGAAATAATATACAGTTGCAGAATGTGTGTCAATTCGTATTAAATTTTTCACTTCACCCCTGGACCACCGCCAACGCCAAACCGTTCCTAGTTCGTTCCATTGTGGACACAATGAATTCGCCTGCGGATCCAAAAGGCCGAGGACAACCATCGAGGTTAATTAAGAGAAGATGCAGTATGACACTTTTCGTCAATTTACTAATATCTGGAGAGGGAAGAAAGTGAGAACAGTTGCTGTACTCCTGTTGGATGTTGTTGATCTGGGCTGGTTCAGCATGGTTTACAGGCACCGGGCGAATCCGGACCCCCCCCCCAACACACACATATGTACAACTCTGCAACCTCAGTTCCAGGTGATGTGAGTTGCGGAAGATGCAGGACACCGGCATCCGTAGAGATTTCCTGTGGACAACGTTGGCAGCGGCCGATTGATTCGCTCCATGGGATGTGCCATCGGTGCGTTGCCTGGTTACATAGCACGTGGCGGCACGGGGACAAGTGGACTTTCCCTTCTCCATCTCTCTTTTCCGCCAGTGTCCCCTGGCAGGACTCGGTACTGGGGCAAACAGAAGTCCAAGTTGAATGCAGGACCAAGTTGGGAGTGTCGTTTCCGGAGAGTGGAGTATCCGAATAGAGCGCTAGCGCAGAAGAATCATACTCCCAGTCAGGAAATTTCTTAGGAGGGCCAATCAGACCACGCGGCTTTTTGAGTGATGACTAAAGGACGGCACGACGATTGGCTGGCTGGTCGTCAGGACTATGGACCTCCATCCGCGAAGACTGCTTTCCTCTCTCTTTCTCTCATAATCACGTCGCATGTTTGGGTTTAGTTGATTGTAAAGCATTCCGAATGTGAGGGCATTGCTGACATGGTTGGCTCGTCAGGTCGGACTATTAGGGAGACCGAATGAAGGTAGGCTCCTAGTACATAAGGGACGGTCTCCCTTCATCTGGCAGGATGGGTTCTCAGTTCAACATCAATCAGCTATTTCAGCTAGTAGTGCAGACGACTTGAGGATCTGAGAAGAAGAAGACGACGAGAAAAAAGAGAAACCACCACAAGCAAACAAATCTCTTGCACCATGGCTACCTACGAGACCGCCGAGGACAAATACATCACCATCAACGGCATCAAGCATGCCTACCGCCTATTCGGCCAAACCAGCGGGACCCCATTGTTCCTCCACGTGCACTTCCGCGGCAACATGGACTGGTGGGACCCAATCTTCATCAACCGGCTGGCGGCCAAGCGCCCGATCCTACTGGTCGACAACACGGGCGTGGGCCGCAGCGAGGGCGAAGTCGGGACGAGTTTCGTCGCGTGGGCGCAGACCATCATCGATGTGGCCGCGGCGCTGCACATCCCCAAGCTGGACGTCCTGGGTTTCTCGATGGGCGGCTTTGCCGCGCAACGCATTGCCCTGCAAGCTCCGGAGCTGGTGCGACGGCTGATCGTGGCCGGCGCGGGGCCCTCGGCGGGCGAGGGCGTCGTGGGCGGGGACCCTAAGTACTTCGCGGAAGTGGCGGGCGCGACGACGCTCGAGGACGCCAACACAGGGCTGATGCACACATTCTTCTCACCGTCCGCAAAAAAACAGACTAAGGCCGCGGAGTGGATCAAGCGCATGAGCTCGGCGCGCAAGGACCGCGCCCCCCTCCTGCATGAGCAAGGAACACAGCGCCAGGTCGCGGCCGTACAGCGCTGGTTCTCGGGCGACTTCCGCGACGAGGGCTCCTTCGACATGCTCGACCGCATCACTGTCCCGACCCTCGTGGCCAATGGCTCCAACGACCTCCTCGTCCCCACGGAGAACAGCATCGCGCTGTGGAAGCGTCTCACCAACTGCGACGCCAGCCTGCACCTGTACCCGGATTCCGGGCATGGGTTTCTGGACGAGTACAATGTGCACTTTTCGCAGCTAGTGAATGATTTCTTGGACGAGTAAAGGGGCAAAGAGAAAGGAAAGTAGAAAGGGGGAATGGTCATCATCTATCTCTTTGCCCATGCTCGATGGAACTCGGGATGCTAGACTGTGTAAATGCCCTTTAGCTAGTTGGAGATAGCATCTACCTTAAACATCTTGGGTTACTACCCTCTGATCCTCAATACAAGTTTGTCTGTCCGTCCGCGGGGAATCCTGTTTCTCCTCATCTACCTAGGACCTGCGCCGTCGCCTGTCTGTTAACTTGTATCAACACCCATCGCGTCAAGAAGTTTCCAAATCCGATCCAAGCGAAAGCTCACACCCTTTCTCGTGTCCTGGGCGCTTGTGGCACTCAATATCCCTCACCCGGCGCTCTCATATCGATCTATATCTTGCTCTTCCTACTCAGTTCTCCCCAGTCTTCATTGTCCGAGGTTTGTATGTGCGGAACTGGAGGGGCCCTTGAGACCAGATCGTGGCATTCTATTGTCGAGCAACACAATAGCTAGCGAAAACAGAGCAATTTCAAGCTCTTTTGAATTGACCAGTTCGTCGCCCTAGTAGGGATCAAAACCTCCTTCTATCTCCACATCTTCCGTAACATGATGAACAACATGTAGCGGCCAAGTGCACCAGTAAGCACTGGGATTTGAGTCATGATCGTCTCGTTCGGGGGTGCCTGGGTGCTGAATATAACTTCCCAAGGGTCGGAGGCAGACACATCTGTTGAAGCAATCTGGGGATCATAAAGTTGATCGATTGAGAAGGAAGAGAAGTTCTATCTGTGAACGGTAGAAACTTAAATCTCAAGCGGACCTGATCATCCTCTCGCAGGTTTGCGAGATCTTCCATTGTTTGCGCGAGGGCAGTTGCCTGGCGGCGAACGCAACTGATTGACGTCCGGCATTTAGTACGGGTGTTGAAAGTCGAGTAGTCAATTCCTGTCCTTGTCAGAGTTCTCTGCAAATTCTCGCATGCATCATGAACTGATTCGTGCAGCTTAGGTTGCAATGTCACGATAACTTCGCTCCATATTGTAAGAGAAAGCTGTGCTGCATTTCCCAGATAGGTAGCGAGGATGTTGTGAGGGCTCTTCAAGGTATTGCACTGGCAATGCTTCCCGCTTGCGATGTAGATACGCAAGGGGAAGTGCTTGGTGTAGTGGGAGGAGTGGCAACTAAATCCATGGTCGAGTTGGTGCGTGGGACTGTCGGAGGCGTGGTGAGTTGGAGGACCTGAGTATTCTGAGTATCTGTGCGTCGGGACAATTTCTAAAATGGTTGAACCGATGGAAAGGTGCTCTTTATGTTGGGCTCCAGAATTTTGCGCGAATATATGTCTTCAACATAAAAAGGCTGAATGGAGGACGAAGACGGCTTGAGGTCCTCGAGGTCCTCCGAGGCTGCAAGGCACCCTTGGGAAGCAGCAAACCCACAACACTCACACTGTCGGGTAGCAAACATCAGACTGGGCTTACCTTTGGAATGACCAAACAGGAGAGGCATGACCACGGATCCTACCCAGATTTCCAAAGGACTGAAGTTGGCGAGAGTTTGGTTCGGAAGGAGCATGTTGGGAATGGAGCGAGACCTATTTCCATGTGACAATACATATCGCTTCGCTCTCCCACTCGTTCGTTCTTCCTGTTTCTTTTTTGGTTTTATTCACTTCTCGTAATGATCGCAGACATGAAGCGCCACTTGGTCCAATACGCACTAGCAGCCCAAAAAGTCCAACCAATTCCTCAAACTGCCATTGACATAAAGAAGAACGCTCATTCGTCCCTGCAAGATAGTCGTATGGGTGATCTTGCGAAGAATATGGGCTCCTGCAGGCTGGACATATACCACCTTCCAAATGAAATTTTAGTTGAAATTATCTCGTGCTTCATTCCACGTGGCGGCCTCTGCGTCTCAAACCACCCCGAGTACCAATCCGACTTTGCCACAATTGGGTCGCTTCTGAGGGTCAGTCGCGCGGTGAGAGACGAGATCTTTCATCGTATATTCAATCTACCATTACATATTTACATTACGAGCGGAAACGAATGTCGCTGTCAGTATGGGACGAGGCCTTTCGACAAGACATCCTTGGGCAAGGCTGCCGCTCTCCCATTGCGCAGATTCCAAGAGATTGTTGTGACTTTTGTTCCATACTTTTTGAAGCCGCCATGCGGCCACAGTAACCAGGACGAATGGAACGCTGAATTTCTGAATGGTGAAAGAGGAGTGCGGAAATTCAGGAGAGATATGCATTGCATAACACGCCAGTCCTGGGTCCTCGCAGGAGCAATGGAAAGACATCCAGACATAAGGGCGGAAGGTCTCCCTCGCTTCAGGTTCAGATGGGATGGAAGCAAGGGCGTCGACGAGGCAAATATGTCACGGAGGATACCTTTATGGGAGGTTTTGGTGCTTGAGTGGCCACTGGAGAGGTGGCGATGGGTCGCCACTCCGGAGACCTTGCGCCATAACCCGCACCATCAGATCGACTTGCCAGAGAAAATCGTGACTGCAATTGTCAGAATCTTCAAGGTCGACCACGACTATGTCATAACCGGGGATCCTCTGGAAGAGTGCTCGAGGCTGGTCGCTCGTTCTTGGAAAGGTCTCTGGCAAGGATTTCAGACGGATTCGACTTGGTCTATTTTACAGTCCTCGTTCCAAGAGAACAGAATCAACCTTCGTTTCATCATCACCGTCAGAAAGGATGCAGGAGTCAGTGGTGCAGGATGTACATATGAAGCAGAGTGCATACTTCAACAGACGCGGACGTCCTGAACCAACATCGGAATAACGTTCGAGGAGAACGAGCTACCCATGAGAACTCGAGCGAAAGACGTCGTCACGCTGCGAATGGTGTATCCCGTCTAAACTCCCAATTACCAGCACCAGACATTTCAAGAACGCGATGGTACCCCAAGACACCTTGGATAAACGCAAGAATCAAAGCCACATTTACCACCCCATGCCGTTGATGATGATCGAAAGGTTCGATGGTCAACGAGTCTGAAAACATCCCAAAACCAAAGTTCGACTCGTTCAGCTTGATGCGCAGGTACGGGATCTGTGAGGCCCGTTAGTTGAAAAGACTAGGTAGAATATACAAGAATAGTATGTATTTGAGATCAAAATCACCCACACGCACCTTTCGGACATCTTGAGGATCAGTCCTGATCCACCGTTTAAGATACTCGGCCAAAAGCCGCAGACTGGGCTCATGAGTGCCGTTTATCGTGACCTTGTTCAACCCGTTCGAGGATACTAGCATCAGGTACGGGGTCGTGGTTTGAAAGAGAATCTCGGGCCTCGGCAGCGTCTCAAGCGAGGGCAGGACATCTGGATTCGGCTCTGACGGATATGCTACTGCCACACGGTTTGTCGTGCTGATGCTGAGACTAGCACTTTTTGTTTCAGCGACAGACTCCAATTCTGCCCAGTCTTCATCATCGTGGATCTGGTGGTGTCCCTTGACCACCTCTTGGTTGTGGGAAGAGGACGTTGGAGGGTCAAATATTGATTCGAAGTCCTCCCCGAAAGCCGATGCGGCATGCATGGTTTGGAACTTCGCGGTTTTGGGTAGTAAGATGATGAATGTCGATTTTGTCCCAGACCATGCGGTCCGGACTCTGGGTCCATCGGCTGCGACCTACAACCATGCATACTACATGTCAGCGGACGCCTCTCCCTCTCCTTCTTCCTCTCTCTTTCCCGCTACTCGGTTTTTTGTTCTAAAGGGGACGTTTACCTGAATAGACAGCTTCAAGACATTGACGAGTTTGAGTTTTTCAAGAAACAGCTCCGTCCAAGCTTCAAATCGGCTATCATCTTCTAGTCTCTTGCCGAGACTGTGGCACCACGCCTCCACTAGTTTGGCGATCGTGGGTACGAAGGTCGCTTTGTCGGGACACAGGGACTCCAGCTCAGCCCAGAGCATGTGCCATTCTGCAGTGCACGACACAGGGTACCCGACGATCTCTTTTAATTTTACAAAGGATTTCTGCACAGCGCCGTCATCCTTTTCGAAGACGTCGCGAATGTCTTTTCGGATCTGCAAGGGTCTGCACACGCTTGTTAGACTCCTTTTATGACCAAGGTGGATATCCGTAGATAACTTACAGTTGAGACATGAGGCCTACAGAGGTCAGAAAGAAGTGTGACTACAACAGCTCAGTCAAGTACGTACGGCCCACCCACATTTTATTGGGAGTGAAGAGGGGGAAAGAAGCTTGGAAACCCCCCGGAAATGCACAGCGGAGACTCTCGGTTTGGAAAAAGGGGCTCCCAGCCAAGGCTTGGCAACTATGGTGCCCGTCGGGCCCACAGTTCGAGGTACGTGACCGGCTCAGCCTCGTAAGTCTCAGCGTCTGCTACTCAGTCAAGAGGTCAAAGTGCTCAGGCTGATGGGACGTTTGCTCAATTTCTCATACTGCCCATTGCCCACGCTCAATCTCATTTCTGAGTTCCGCCCCTCCATTGTCATTGGATATCCATTGCATGTTGTTGGCGTAACCCAATTTGGCTAGGTAAGGGATCTCTTGGCAAAGTGGCAGCCTTCCACTTGCCTGTCACCTATGTAGTAGGCTACCCTTCGCTACTTCTTCTACAATCAACAAATCAAACTATATCTAACCCCAGATTAGTTCAATCCTTATACACGTCTCCCTTAGCTCTATTATCAAAACACTACCACGCGCCCAGAGACGACTTTCTACGCCGTACCCGGAACGAAACCTGCGGCGATGCAGAATTGTTTCGAATCAGTTACCCTGTCCTTGTTGATCGGTGACCGGGCCTCAAATCTCAGAGTGCGCCCCTCAATGATGATCCAGACATCGTATACAATCTCGTAATACGAATAGGATTTGCCCTGGTCGTTCGTCTCGGTTTTCGGCTGGATGAGATTCTCCGTCTTTAAGAAAGTGAGGTCGGCCAAGATGCTCCCTGTCTCTTGAGCTCCTAGTTGCAGCGGTTGAATTAGGGTTGGGTTTCCGACCATCGTGGCTGAGACTGACAGTATTTCTTACCTTTGTTCATCTTGTGTCGGACTTTGTATCCAGATGGATGCCTGCTCGAAGAAACATAGAGAACTTCTTCGCATAAGAGCTGCGGCTCTGAAACTTTGAAGATGTGCCTCGACGTAAATGACGTCTTATACCTGGTGGGCACAGGAGTGTCCTAGAGTTCTGATGTTAGAAAGTATGACAGAAGTATCTTGACCACGAAATATGTCTAACAGACCTTGTTGACAACCCATTCAATAGTGTCCATGATGTACAATTCTCCATCCGCTGGAGAGCGGGTAACCCTGAACTTCCTGTGCTTGGGATCATCCTCGTTGTAGCGCTCTGATCGAAGAATTCCGTAGCTTGACCTGGTAATTCTCTCGGGGCCGTCTTCTTTTCTCAAGGCGCGCAGCACAGCACCGCGCGCAACAGCCGACTGGACGTGACGTGAGCGCTCAAGGTCAATCGGCTGATCCAGACAATTTCGCTCCTTCCGCAGAACCTTTTTGAGATGATTAATCAGTGACGGCGACTCTCCAAAGCCTCCAATTACAATGACGGTTTGGATGTTGACCCCTTTTTCTTTGGCTGCGTTGAGTTGCTTCACCATTAGATCTGAGACACCCCGGATGCAGTCTTTGAAAACTTCGTACATCTCCTTCCAGGTCACATCCAATGTATTCTTCCGAAGCCTCTGTTCCGGATCTGCTTGGAGGCCGTGGACATAGAGCAAGTCAAAGTTGGCTTTCTTGTCAAGTATATTAATCTTCCTCTTCTCAGTTTCGAAGTCCTGGACCAATTTGGAGATGATACTCTCCAGGGGCATGTCTTGCCCGGTGAATGTGGCATGTTCAAGCCGTTGCTGCAGCAGAATCTTGAAATTTTCATTCAAGAAACTGGAACCGCAACAAACTCCATCGGGTTTGAGCACTTCTTTCAATCGAATTGGGTCAGTCTGGGTCAACGTGTAGACGACGGCGTCCACTGTGCCGCCACCACAGTCCAAGAGCAGGAACGACTCGCCAGTTGTCATCTTAGACAAGTAGTCGCGGTTTTCGAGCGCGTAAGCTGCCGCAGCCTCTGATTCAGCAACAATGAATAAGTCCCGGATCACGTCTTGCTCGAGACGTGCAAAGCCGGCAATTTTGGCGGCCTTTATCAAAGCATCTTGCATGACGCGACAAGCTGTATCCGTCCAGGGGTTGGGCACGCTTAACACAAACTCCACAGGGCTGTCCCTGCGAAGGCCATGAACGGCTGTCAGCCTTGATTTCGTGTGCTCGAGCAACTGTCCAAGGTACTCGGCGATGACGTCTACTACTTTAGCAGGCTTCAACATGCTCATGACCCGGGCACTTCTTTTGCGAAGGTCTCTTGTAGCAGGGCTGTCGTCCAGTAGTAGCTTGAAGTTTTTCAAGTGTGCAAGATCTGGATGTATGAGATGCGGCTTCATCAGTCGGGAGTGAACGCCCCATCCCCAATTTGACATCCTGACTTTGTGCTCTCCAGCCTGGGGAACTGCCAACTGCACTTCCTCTAGATCAGAGTCATCGGATGAAGAAGAGACCCAGTGTTCATCCATCGAGCAATGTGATGCATTATCTGAGAGCCCTGATTCGGGCTGATCTTCAGACATTGCCTTGTCTTTCTGTGTATAGCACATGATCTCTGTGGGAACGGTCTGGTGGCATGCGAGGAGATCGGCAGATGGGCCAAGTGATGTCGTGTCAGGGAAGTTGTCGATACACTCGATGGATTCGATTCCAACTAGGCGAGTTGGAATGTCGGGTTCAAGGCGGCTGAACGCGACGGAAGAGAATGTAGTCCCAAAGTCGACAGCAATGATGAATTTTGGCAGCCTCAGATCCTCTGAATCTTGCTCTACGCTTTGAGTAGATCCAAAGAGATTCTCTGCCATCAGGGCGTCTTGGCCAAGTTGGACAGTTCTATTTCGACGAGTTTTATCCTGGGGGAGGCCTCTGTAGGATTCGGGTACATCAAGCATTTCGGTATCCTCCGAAAGCTCGTCCGAAGGGAGCCTTCTAAATTCTTCAGCATTCTCGGCCATGGCGACGACCTCCTGGACCTCGCAGCATCCCGCTCCTGAGAAGGCTGGACGAAATGTATATATTCATCATAACCTGTTGGCCGATTGTGCCACGTCTGCGGCTCTTCTCCTGAACTGTCTACCTTGGAGCCTGTGAACGCCTTGTTGCCTGGTAGTGGCGTCATGAGCTGAGGGATCTCAGCTAGCGCGAGGACCCGTCGAATTCTCGGATGCGTATGTGTGACCACTCGGAAGAGAGTGTCAGCCGCCTGAAATGCAGTATGTTCGTGCAGGTGACAGGTAGAATGATTTTCGGGAAGAAGGGTCCTATTCCCCGTGCTTTGTGCAGGCATCTTGACCTCTCGCCTGTTTCTCCACCCGCAGGTTTTGAGACAATTGGGGGCGGACCGCGCATCCCTAGCCGCCCTCACAGGCTTATCGGTTGTTCTGGTCCAATCAACGATGTGGGTCAGACGAACTTCTGCACTATTAGCGTGTTGGGGGGAGCGGATGCATCAAATATAGTACTAGCGAGTACTGGGTAGGTACTCGGTACTTCTGTTTGTGAATAGAAAAAAAAGAGGCATCGGGGTTGATATCTAGGCCCGTCGTTATCATGGACCATCACATCTTAGTGGTACGAAGTACGGAGAATTCCAGCGAACGTTAAATATGGACGGACGCAGCTTCACTAGGCTGAAGAACAAGGATGTACAGTATGGAGGTGGAGCCTACCTCATAGTCACAGGCTCCTCGTGACTCAATCACCAAAAGTTCCCCTGCATCGATGGGGGCGCTTTCGAGCCAGGGTTTGTGAAGATCCACTGTGATAGTCGCCTTATTGCTTAGGGAGACCTTGGCCACGGCAGCACCTGCTGTAACAAGGACACTATTCATCTCAATCTCTTGCGTGAAGCCGTCCCCAGAGCGTACAAAGCCATGGAATCAAAGCGAAGTCGCAAGCAGCGTTCCGACCTCAATGGAGCTCAAGTTGACGCCCTTCTATATTCTGAATATGGTCTCAAGATACTAGCCCACCTGGAGCGCAGTGTCTTGGACGGCCTTCCGCAACAGTCCTTCAAATCAGATGTTATTTCCTACTATCGAGACGAGCTCGGCAAAGCGGTTTCCGTGGGCGAAATCGAGAGCAAGCTCCAGATGTTCTGGTCAAAGTGGTGCCCCAATGGGAAAAACCCGACGCGATGGAGAGAAATCTACGGTCTCGGACTCAAAGGGCTGCCTCGTCTTGAACAAGATAAGGCAGAATGGGTGAGGAAGAAAGTAGTCGAGTTACAAAGTAAATACGGAGCTCTACGCCGCCTGAGGAGTGCTTCGGCATTGCCATCGACTCCCCAAAGCACACCTAAAAGACCATCAGACCGTCTAGTCGGAGATCTGGCGAACGAGCGAGCTCAAGGACGTCGGCAACATGATGGACCTCCCAAACGAAAGAGAAAAAGGAAGAGGCCAGCATCAACGGTAGGCTACCAGCCATCTTGCCCCGAGGCTGTCCTTCTCATGTATTGACTTCTTTTAGTATGCTCTCAGTACGCTCTTTAAACGGTCAGCGTCTCCTCTTCCTCTAGCAACGAGAGGGCCTAGCGTCGCCTCCGAATTTGGACACAGCCAGGAAGGCACTCCAAGCGTTGAACCCATTACCCCAGTCGCTGGGCGATCATCACCGATAATTAGTCTTCGAGAATGCTCTCAGCACCTCCACGACAATGTTGCGGAGATACAACATGGACTGGTTACGTCTAACCAACCATCTCCACGTGAAACGCACCTTACCGATGCTGAACGTCGACATCTCTTGGAGACGATGTCGGAACTAGACGACGTGAGAAATCAGAAAACCCAGTTGAGCTTGGAACTAGATAATGCGAGAAGTGAAAAGGCTCAAATGATGTTGGAGTTGGACGAGTTGAGAATTCAAGCCACCGATGATACGCGGTATTGGAAGAGGCTGTATCGCAAAACCCGGAAACGGCGAGATTCCCTCAAACGGCGCAACAAGCACATGCAAGTTGAACTTGTCAAATCTACCACAGATGAGACAAGCAAAACCAACTTGACACTCCGCCGCGAGAACGACCTCCTCCGGGAGAAACTGGATAGCTACCAGGCTACTTTCCGGTTTCAGAGGCCCTTTAGCGACAACTTCCGAGCACAGAATGTAGAAAAAGTCATCGACCACGTCCAATCGGCCCGGTCGAAGCTCTTCAAGATCTTACAAGGACAAGAAGTCTTGTTTGCTATTGAGAGGCTGGATGGCGTTAGTGGTTCGGCCCTTGCGGCGCTCTTTAAAAGGGCGCTGGGCCCTGGCGCTACTACCCTCGATACCTCTACTGGAGGTTTGATTCTCACCGCCGAGCTCTGCACGGCCACTTTACAAGAGGTTGTCCTAAGTCTAGTTTCCGCAGCCATCTGCATATGGGTGTTTGAAGCTGAGCTGGGGGCGCTATTCCAGGAGAATGATCTTTTCTCCTCGAAGCTCCAAGACATCCTGACTACACAAGGTCAGTAAATGCCTTTTGAAGGGACTAAAGCCTCGGCTGATCCAATCTGTAGACAGGAAACTGGCAGACAGCTTTCTATACGCTGCCCTCGAAAAGTGCATCGACGACCTTTCTGTGTGCGACTTCGCGATTCCGAGGCGAGCGCGACACCTCTCTCGACGGACATTAGACGCCATCAAGCCTCTGCTGGATGCTCACAGAGACCTGGACGAGCAATATGTCGATGTCGCAGATGGATGGGGTGAACACGAGCAGCAGATGATCGAGATCTTCAAACAGGCGCTGTACGCGAAAGCAAGGCTCCTCTTGACCACGGATCTGTACAAATGCGTCCTTCATTTGCCTGGGATGTCCTGTGACAGAGTCAGCATGGAGAAGAGACGTGGTGCAGAAACCGAGCCCGATGCAGTGGTAGGCATTACGATCTTTCCAGGTCTGCTTCGGTGTGCTTCTGAGGAAGGATTTAATTTCAACCGGTTCTTGACGGGGGACAAAACGCCCAAGAATATCACAGCGAACGTGCTGGGGAAAGCAGTAGTTTGCACGAGGTAGAGTGGATTTGATCGGTAGTGAGGATACACTTTTGATCACCGTACCATTATGCTTGTTCACATGTCCTCGTCCTTGCATTTACCATGTCCATGTTTCTCCTCCACCCTGATAGCATTATATTGTAACGGAGCACTTCAGGGTTCGGCGTGCACGTGCAACAACGCACAGAGGCCTGTCCAGCAGATCGGGAATCGAGAACGCGTTTCTGGTTGATACTGACAAAACACCACCCATACCACCCAGAGGGGCAGCGGCTAGGGCTACGAACACCTAGCACAGCGGCAGCATCGAGGAACAGGACAGGACTGATGAAAACACTCAGGAATTAGGTAGACGGCGCCAAAAGCCATAGAATTCATGATACTCTGCTCCAACTGTAAAGAATGGCACACTGCCAGCACTGTAAACTGTTCTGCACCCCCCCCCCTCTCTGCCAGCCCATTTTGGTCTGACATGTGACTAGACAACTTTTCCTCCCTGCCACCGCTCTACCAGCCCAGCACAGCCCATCACAGCACAGCCACTTTGCCTTGTTACAATATTATGTTGGTCCCACCCATTCCACCACATTCCCTCGCTGTTCGCAACATTCTCAGGTCGATGGATGTATTTCCCTTTTCGGATGCAAGTGACGGTGACAGCACGTTTGCCGCTCAACCAGCGGATGCCTTCGGTCATAGTCTATTGCTCAGCCCAAGTGGGCCTCGTTTGGACCTTACGGGATGGACCCATTGACCGTCAACCGGGGAGCCTGGTGACTCTGGGCTGGTGAAAGGGTCGCATTGTTTGCCTTGCAAATGCCTTGCACTAGCTGTTTCGGCCCTCCCGGCCGGCGCTCTAGCATATCCACCCCCTTCGGTGGGCTTCTGAGGTACCAACGTAGGAGTAGAAGGTCCGCTTATTTTGCGCCCTACTCGTATGTGCATTTGGATATCTGTCAGGACTTCCATTGTTCCCTCCTGGACTTGGCGCCCACAGATCGTGGGTATCAGCTTCTGAACCGCGCGCCTAAAGCCCATCCATCACGTTTGCATAACCCATTCTCCAGTCAGATTTCAGATGGCCATGGATCAACCCGAGGAGAATTCCAAGCTCACCACAGAGGAGTTCATTGAGCTGATGAAAGACCACGGCATCTCATTTGAAGGACGTATCCAACCAGAAAAATGGGGAGAGTATACCGCGATCTTCGAAGAAATACGTCGCATCGGCAAGATGGGATCCAAAGAATTTACCGACATGTTCCACCCCCAGGACAAATATGCAGTCGACAAAGCATATAAAGCTGTGGAGCTGAGTGAAAAGGCGTGGAATTGCTTGGAAAGCAGAGACAGCGAACAAGGATGGAGAAAGGAGGTTGAATACAGGGCTTTTGAATGTTTCGATTCGGAAGTCATATGGTGATAGTCCCGCTTCTGCTTGTGCTCTCAGCAAAACTGAATGTCTCTAACTAGCTGACCGAAATAATAGTCGCATTTGCAGGAAGCGCCCTTGGAAACCCATGTTCGAGGCGAAGCCAGCTGACCCAGCTGATGTGGAGAGGCTTCAAAGAAGACGGCAAAAAAGGGTCTTATGTGGATGTACTCGCCTGGAGCAGACACAAACAAAAGTGTGCGTTCCGAACAGATCGTTGAAACCCGCTAAGGATAATCGGTTTCTAACATGGAGCCGCAGGAATGACCAATATTCTCGGCTGTTTTACAGAGAACTCGATAAACACATTGACCACGAGGACATGACAGATTCCGTGAAGAGGCGGTTGAAAGGACAAAGACCGGATAGAGTGATCGGTCTTCGGCCGACTGGTACTTTGCGGCATCATCTCCCGTCTCTGCAGGCCAAGTACTGCCCGTTCAAAAAGGCCAACGTCGTCTTTCCATTTATAGTGATCGAAGCAAAAGCCGCCGAGAACACTGCCGCCAGTTTCCCAAGTATGCTCCGACAGACGGCTTTCGTCATTCGGACATGTCTGCGCTTGCAGCAGAATCTCCGACGAGAGACTAGAATGCCGCATCAGTGCCTAGTTTGGTCATTCTTGATCATGGGGGAAGAGTGGCGCCTCTACGCTGCTGTGCCAGATGGATCTGATGTGGTTAGTTGCGGGCAAACATTTTCCGTCAATATGTAAGCCACGCCGGGCTGACAATTTTGAAACAGCAAATCTTTGACCTTTGGCATGGAACAGTTCTCTTCCCCGAAGGTGCCCTTCAACTGCTGTTGATAATTGAGCATCTCTGTGACTGGGCATGTGAAGTTTATCGGATGAGTGTACTTACCTGCTTGGCCGGTGGCAGGGATAATCTCCTCAGTTCCAGACTCAGCCCAAGTGGCACTGATATGTCCTCGCAGCATGGCGATACGGAGCTCACAGCATTGCGGGCAATATCTCTCCCTTCGAGATCGTCCCTCATGAGGGAGCTCCCGAACGGTGACATAGCCGGATTACCGAAGGATAATTCCCCCGGTCCTCTAGAGTTCGACCCATTGCTTCAGATTGACTCTATCGCTTCGCCACATGGACAAGATTCCCATCACTGGCGGCGATGGGTCACGAATGAGCAAGATCTCAGCTTCTGGACCGGAAAAGCTACCATCCGGCACTCAAATCAAGTGCAGCTGAGTTTCGTGCAAGTGGCGATGCCCACTGAAGTCCTTCTCCTCAATGCCTGCTTGGCCTCCTGCTTCCCATATCTAAGGCCCAAGGAAGCTGCAAGGAGGCTCTTGGTCTCCCTGCAGGATGATGATTTGGCGGTGACGGCTTCCATGGAAGCCACGTCCCGGCAAGGATACCAATTCCACAACTCCACACTCGACGTCCGAGCTTTGATATACTTTCGATCAGCATTAAACCCTGAAGACTGGGGAATTGCCCGGCACGTGCTAGCCATCTTGTGTGACCAGGAAGCGTTGAGAGCGCTGGCTGAGATTGCAGAGCTTAATCCTCACATCCACCCAACCTCAGAGAGATGTGATCGCCCTGACTGTGAGCGGTTCAAGCAGGCGATCGACTGGGTAAAAGCTGTGGGGGGAACGAAGTCGGCAGGACTGGCCCTGGCACGGCGCCAGCTCTGCTTAAGATCCGTCAGTGACAAAGACGGGTCGTTCATGAAGCTTGAGTGGACAAAATTCTGTCCGCAGAGTGATGATGGACTTTCAGGAGAAGATCTTCTGGGAATAATGTCACATATCTCTGAGAGTCCAGAAGCGGCTGTACCAGCACTCTTGGCACCATACATCAAGAAACACCGGTGCACATACACCGTTCAAGTTGGCAGTGATCAAGGACCGACGCCAACGGTGCTCGAGATACCGAACCTTCTAACATCCGGTGCTTTGATCAAGAAGCCGACAACTGGTTGGCCCGAAACAACGCAGGACTTTTGCTTCTTGGTCACGAATGAGACCGTCCGCTTTGACGACGTGGCCCAGCTTGGGCATCTCCTGGAAGAATCGAGAAGAGCAAAAGAACTGTACGTGATTGTCAGAAAGAAAGCCACGTACAACCAGAGAGACTTTGCGCTCATCGATTGGTGGATCCGAGTTTTGAAGAACGAGTTGCCTTACGACGCAACTTTCGAATAATTTGTAGAGTCTGTTATGGGGACCAGAAGAATTGAAATGGACATTGAGGAGGTCAAGATTCCCCGCCTGGGTATTCCTCCGCATAAACGGGAGTCGGGGGAAAAAAGGGGCTGGTGAGCAATCTCAGCCTTGCGGCCCTTCTTCAAATGCGGTCGCCATGTCGAATTCAATTGTCGACCTTTTCTCTGATTCCCGTGGTATGTGCATCTCTTGCTGTGAAGGCGTATTCTTTCTCCTATACCGTTGGATAGGACTGACAAATGCCACGTCCCTGGACAGGGCAGACCGCCATTTTGCGACAGAGGCGCGGTTTGAGGGGGGAGCTACTTTCGGCCCCCACGAGATTGAAGTCTCACAGGCTCTAATATCCGCTGTTCCTAGCTCTCCTACGACCAGCCTTGTGCTGCCTTGTGCTGCCTTGTGCCCCTCCAGCGTCGCCTAAGTTCGCCTCGCTCTCTGGGCATGCTTGGCTAGCGCTGCACGGCTCCAAGTGGTTGGTGCCGAGAACCTCGCGCGCCGGAGTCCAGCCTACGCCACAGGGGCATCAGTGCCGCACTACATACTTGGACTCCTCGTATTCATGTCCCTGGCATCCATCTTGTTCACCTCTAATACGTGCAAGCCCGGATTGCCCGCGCGGGGTGCGAAAAACCAAAAGGCATAAAGAGGCGGTGGCGCTTCCTTTGCTGAGGAAAATGGGCTCTTCCAATTCCCCCAGATAATTGGATTCCCCTGTCCCGAAAAAGAAAAAAAAGAGAAGAAATAAAACCATGCCTCTCAAAGCACCCGTCGACAAATTGTCCTTGGCGGTTCGCAAGAATGGTGAGGAAGCGATGCCCATCAATTTTCTACCTATGTGTTTGGACTGATCAGCTATATAGTGCGGGACGAGTGGGAGAGCAAGAAGCCCGAGATTGAGGCCCGGGTCTCAAAGGCCCTGGGAGAGGCGTGGACGGTGACGACGAATCCCAACCTATTGTACGTCTACACAGACGACGAATCCTACAAGTCTCGTATAGGAACTGTCATAACATGGTACGCAATCTCTCTCCTTTACTCTCACAACATGTATATATTCTCCTTGCATGGCCTCGCTCTGTTGAACTCTCGATCACATCTCCATGCTGAAAAACATGGCCTTCGTGGGGCAGGTACATGGAGCCGTTCTGCTCGAACCTCGAATCCTTCATCGAGACCTACGGCGATGACGGCAAGACGGAGCTCAACTCACTGTGCACCAAGCACCAAGTCGAACTGGCCCCGCAAGAGGACGACACCAAGTTCTCGTACGGCGGTCTGCAGATCAAGGATGGCATGCTTCGGCTGCTGTTCGCCGAGGGCTACCTCGCCTCCAATGTGAGCGACGTGAGCCGCGACTTCCAAGAGGCCATCAAAGCCGCGGCCGCAGCGCCCTCAGCAGGGGGCGGCTCGGCGTTCAACATCAACGCCAGACAATCCGTGCGCGAGTCGTACGACCCCCAGATCGGGGCCATGCAGAAGGCGATCGCCGCCCTGGTCGGGATACCTAACATACGCCTGAACGGGAACTTCGAGGCCAATGCAGCGGTCCTGGCCCGGGCCGGCGACGGCAAAATCCGCAGCGACTGGGACAAGGTGCTTGGGCGTGCGAGCCTGGAGTATTTTGACGGGCTCAAATACCAGCTCGAGCGCGCGGGGTTCCAGGGCGACGACATGCTGCAGGAAGGATTCCAGGAGGCCGTGTCCAAGGGCGAGATCTTGTTGCGTTTCGTCGACAAGCTGAACAAGGGGAGCGGATATCACGAGGTACTGATCGAGGATGGAGTGCTCGTTATCCAGGTGAGACTTGCTTGCGTACCTATTTTCTTACCTACTCAAACTAACGCCTTCCAACGTAGACGACCCCAGAGTACTTCTGGACCAACGTGTCCGACGTCGGCAGCGAGATCTTAGAAATACTGTGAAGTGAAGCTCGCGGAGCCAGAGAGAATGGATGGATAGCCGCTTGGGTCGCATGATGAAGGAAGGACATCTAAGAAATAACCAAGGGCTATGATAGCTGTCTACGTTGTGATGGAAAATGATTACGTCCGATCTCATCTGATGGCACTTGCTACTTCGATGCTCTCGAGAGCAGCTTCTAACTTTCACGTCTTGGTCCGTTGGCGCTTGTTACCTAGTCGCTCAGCCCAGCTCAGCTCAATCCAGGCCATGAAATGTCCTTCCAACACCACTCAGCTCTCCTCGATCATTGCACATTCATCTCTCCTTGTGGCATTTCTCTGTGTATGTCTGGTCTCAGCCGCCACTGAATCCGATTAGGAGTAGAACTTGTGAAACGGCCATCCCATATCTTTCTGATCCTTGTCCGCCAGCCACATCTCCCAAAAGCTTTGCATATATATATTTTGAAGTTGACAGCGCGAAGTCGAAGGCTTGAGGCTCTGAGGTGAAAAAGATCGTTTCCCAGATCAGCAACACAGTCCACAAGCGCGTACAAACTCAGATGAGCAAAACTTATTACAGAAAAAACCCGAGATTCTTGCTGTATTTCGGGAAGCTGCAAAACGCCTTGGGCGCGAGGCATACGCTGACTTTCTTCCATTTGACTTGGGGAAGGTGGACAAGTCGGCTGAGCGAATGAAAATTCGAGCCCCAAAGGTTGAGCTCATCCCTCTTGTTGAGACCACTCATCTGAACACAGCATCAATTCTTTCCTGAGGCAATGTAGACGTGCAGAGGCTTTGCAAAAATGCGTCGCAAAAGCTCGCGCTTGATGCTGAGGGTCGTCTTCAACAGGGCGCGAATGGTGGGAACATCGGCGTCATAGTCGGGGCTGTTGGAAAAGCAGAGCCCAGCCTCGGAGACGAAGCAGGAAACGATCTGAAGGATGATCTCCTGGGGAAGCCTGTAGTTGTTCAGCTGGAGCAAGGTCAGGTTGAGAAAGGGTATGCAGAGGGAGGAAGAGAAGAGGAAGAGAGAAACAAAGACATACGCGAAAAAATGTCGATGCTGCCTCCCCTTCTACGAAAGAGAATCCCCAGCCTCGTCGCCCAGCATACTGTCCCTCTCATTGGCTGGCTGCCCTGTGATAGATTCATCAATCAAGTAAGCAAGCAAGTGAGTGAGCGGACAGTCTGTGCGCGATCGCCATAGTCAAAGAGGGTCGTATACATACACCTCCCCATCCATCGCCGCTGGCATGTGTATGAATTCGTATATCTGAAACAAACAATTAGATGATTGAAATTCCTCCAATGTCAATCCTGGCCAATCCCTCCTTCCTTGGTTCCTTGAATAAATAAATAGAAGAAAGACTCTGCATATATGTATCCAACAGTCGCAATGTCTGTGCTGTCAGATCACGCCTCCATCATGCCGTAAACCGAAACGCCACCTCCTCCATCGTGACCGTCCCGTTCTCCACTCCCTCGAGGTACTCTCTCAGCCCGACGCCCCAGCGGCTGTGGCCAACAGTTGGGATATCCAGGTCTGCGGGACAGGAGGGGATGGGTTCCCAGTTCGAGCGGTTGTTGGGCTCGTCGTTTGAGGGTTGCTTTGTGTTGTTGTTTTCTTCTTCACCTTCGTCGTCATCATCGTCGTCGTCGTCGTCGTCGTCGTCGTCGTTGTCGCCCTCCTCGAGGTCAGGCAAGTCCAATGTGGGCTCTTTGTGGTTTCCACCCTCTCCAGATCCGCCATGCCGCTTGCTCTTGCTCGAGATGGACATCTTAGCGATCCTCGATTTATCTTCGTCATCATCATCGTCGTCGTCGTCATTGAGAGGGGCCTTGTCGACCTTTACAAACACAGGGATGACAGCCCCGGTCCCCAAGCTGAATTGCCTATGGCCCAACACTCTCAACACTGCACCAATTGCGCCCGAATGGCTGGTTATGCTGACTCTTTCTCTCCCAGCAATCAACTCATCGTGGCCCATTAGGCCGTCCATAAACGCCCGTAGGCGCTCCGTCAATGCGCTTTCTGGTTCCCGCCGATCGGGGTCCCAGAACTCATCTATCTCGGTTAAGTGTGGGTCTAGATCGACGTCGAATGTCGGGAATCGCTGCCGAATATTAGACACGTCGCTCCGTCTGTCGCACGTGTGGATGCCGGTGCCTTCTCTCAGCTTCTCCATTACGGTCGCCTCCAGCTTGGCTCCGTTGGGGAGCGTCCCGGTGAACGAAATCTCGGCAGTCTCCATCGCCCTATCGAGTGGACTCGCCAACCACAGCTCCGGTAGACTCATCTTCTGCTCCCCGATCTGTCTCTGCCAGAACGAATTGACCTCCCTGGCTTGCCTCTGCCCCTCCTTGGACAGGCGCGCGTCGCTCCACGTCATTATCCCATCTGGGTCGCCGTCTAGCGCCGCATAGTGGCAGTCCCATGCTACACCGCCGTAGTAGCGCTCGGCGATATTATGGTAGCCGTTTCCATGACGGCCAAGGAACAGGAGCAAATACCTCGCAATGGATCCGTGTCGTTTTACCTTTCTGTCTTCATCTTCGTCCTCTTCCCGCGCAGCGCGGTTCAACCAGGAGATATGGTGCTCGAACCTCTGCCACGGTGTCATGTCCCGGCCGTTGTTGGGGAGGGTCTCGTCCGAATCATACTCTCGGTCAATGAGGCCGAAGTTGGTGGCCATGAAATCGAACTCTGCTGCGGCCGTTGAGGGATCGTCTTGGAGGAAGTATCCATCTAATGTCGTGTATTTGTAGGTGTACCTTTTTTGGGAGGAGGGCTGTTCGGGCTTCTCCTCTTGCTCAATCTCTCCGCCGCCGCCATTATCGTCGTGAATGTCCAGCACGCCCTGGCTAGAGGAGGAAAGGAGAGAGGAGCCCATGTCGCTCATTTCAAGCAGGCCGCACACTGCAAGGGAGACGGTGAGGAAGAGGAGAATCTGTCTGGAAGGGAGACACAGTCTTAGCCTTTGCCATGAAAAGAGCATATTACTTTACCTTCTTTTGGGAGGTTAGAGGGAGAGGGAGAGGACACAGAGATCCACAAACTTACATAGCGGTGGTAGTGCGGCAGAGTCGAGTGGGCCCTTTCCACCGACGATGCACTTTGCGATGCGGCGAGTAGTAGATCATTGTGAGATGGACGTTACGGACGGGCCATTCTGGCTGGTACTTTGCATTGTCCTGAGTAACAGCGGTACTCACATCTGCTCAGACAATAATACAGAGAACGGAGAGGAGCGGCATTCAACTGTGGTGGTGGCGAGGATTAGCCGACTCGCTGACCAGCGACCAGCACCGCTGACAAGCGCTGACCAGCATTGGCGGAGAAACGAGGATTCCGGAGGAGTACAAGTACATTATGAGTGATTTTGGGTGTGCCGCCTTGACAAGGTCTTATTGGACTTTCTAACCAGAGTCACACAACTCTGAGGTATAGACTGAGCGAAATGGTCTCGCTCGATTAGAACGTCGCCGGCTTGAGAGCACAAATGCGACAACCATCACAGCATGGGACGTCGTGCTGTCGCTGGTCCATCCCAGCAAGCTGGGTGTCCAATATACAAGCGTCCACATCCCCGATAGCAATGACCTCGCCCAAAAATTCTTCTCGATTACACGCTGACAGTGCAGATTCAAGATCGTCGATTGACTCCGGCAAACGTAGAAATGCACGGAGCGCGTCCTCGATCGTCCTCCAAGACCGCGCCCTCGCCCTCTTCATCACGCCCACCAATCTAGACATCTTCCATATCCGCTCGTAGTGGCCCTGAGGTCTAAACGCTGTAAGCAGCGTCCACAACAAGTGCTCAGCACTGAGAATACTGTCATCGTCGTCTTCTTCGAGGATTCGTTGCAGAACCTGAAGATACTCCTCGGTTGCCGGTGAAAAGTCTCCATACTCGGCCATGACCAGGTTGAGGTGTATCAAACAAGCAATGCGGCAATTATCCACCGCTCGTCGTTTGTCTGGACTTTCGTACCCCGTATCGATCGCTTTCAGAGAATTTGCTAATTCTGTACCTTCTCGGAACATCGTTCCCCGATAGCGATATGTTTTGAATCGCCTGTGTTGCGCAGCGGTCGAAGGGAGACTCTTCAAAACCTGGCTCCGTCGTGCGTTGAAGAATTCGGTGAACTCCTCACAACTGCGCCTGAAAGCTGAGTCTAGGTGTGCCCTTGGAGACACAGGCAACGCCGCCGCCGATTCGATGAAGCCGTCCACATACGCCGGATTGGCATTTGCCGTCGGCCATGACAATGCGATGAAACTCCTGTAGTCCTCATCAGTGGGTTGCCACGTACCCAATGGTAGAATACCAACCAGACCAGCTTGGTGTGCATTGGCGGATTGTTCTGAAGCGCTCGAAAGCCCCCGCGTTCCAGAAGTAATCGCTTGAGAGCTCCCCAATGCATGCGCGCGATTTCCCTATCGCCCCAGACTCGCTGGTTCTGTCAGCCGATCAACCACATAGCAGATTGTTTGAGAATACCTCTGCATTTGCAAGGAGGCCGACGCCAATAATCGTCCAGTCATCATAAGGTCCCTGCAGCCTCTGGAGGCTCTGGTTTACCGCCGCGAGTGTACGTTGCTTAAATTCGATTGTCTGCAAAGATATGATATTTCCTCTCATTCCAGCTAAGTGATGCGCCGCGTGATGGAGCATGCCTAAAAATGGGATCTCATTGTTGCGGTAGAGGTTGAACAAGTCCCAGCACGCTCGTGGCCTGCGAACCGCCCTGGCCCAATGTCTGTGGACAAGCGAGGGGATCACAAAGCAGTCTGATCTGACTTAGCGCATATATAAAGCATATAGCAGTGTATCGAGGAGAGATACGGGGAAACCCACAATGGTCCACGAGTGCATGTACATCACGGGTGGCCGGGACAGGATAGGAATTGAATGGATCCGCCCGCCCGCCTCCCAATCGTTGCAGAAATGAGGATCTCTCCATCCACGTATGTCGCACAGCAATGCCAGCTCCATCTTCGGTATGTCGCTCCCCTTCGTTGTTGGGCTTGGAATTGTTGGGAGCTGTGACTGAGGGTTTCGTTGCCTCGGCCTCGAGCCCCTGGCCGGACTCTAGCACAGCGTTTCCTGCGTCATATCGCTTTCGCCGATAGTGTTGCGTGGTGACCCATGATCGCGTCTTTTTCCGTTGAGCTTTGCTGTTTAATCCCTCGATGAACTCGAATTGCTGTTGGAATCTACCTTGGGACTTTCGGGGGGCATCAAACTTGGATTCTTGCTTGTCAGGGTCCCTCCGAGGGTCGTTGGCACTAGTTGGTCCTCCTCTGCTCGTGGCTGCTGTACGCATTTTTCTATCTTCAAAGTCATGGCGGGAGATTTGATAGACCTGTCACAGGCGCCTAGGTACCATGTGCAGATGAAGGAAAAAGAAACCGATGCTGTGCACAGTTACAAGTTACACTTCGACGAATGACATTTAGGTCCAGTCTTGGGTGGCGCCTGCCTCTCCTGGCGCTCCGAGTTCTGGGCGTCTCCTCGTTTAGTCAGTGGTGCTGCCACCACGGTCGGGCGCCCGTGACCCCTACGTATGTACTCGGTAATAGGCCACTAGCCCTAACAAGATGCCTAAGACTGCATCGGCTTAACTAACTCCCGCCCCCAAGCTCCATTCACCCTGTGGCAGGCATTATTTCCAGCCCGAGGACTCGACGCTCATATCTATCCGCGATATGTTGAACTATCAAAGTACCTTTGTCCCCACCAGCACAGTATTCCCGAACATCAAGAGGTTCCCTTCTAGCAAGCTTTCTACGTGACAGTCAGTGAGGTGAAAAGAGCAGCAACAAGAGGTCGAATCTTATTCTGAGCCTTGGATTGTATGACTGCTGCTGCTCCATCGTGAAGCGGGCGGGCGACGCCACTGGCCGTAGGAAGCCCTTCTGTGGCAGTGACGGTGATTGTCGGCAAAGGTGGAGCGGGCAGGATCGAGACATTTGGGTAGGTAGCTGGCGGGTTGGTCTGATTGACCAAGAGAGCGTACATGACTTCCAGCGCCGAGAGTTGTTGACCGAGTCCTGTTGTCCCATCCCATCCATCAACATACCATTTACTCCCACAGGTGGTGTTGTTAGCACCCCCCGTGCATGCTGCTGCTGCACCTTGGGCGGAAGCTCGCAGAACCTCACCAATTCGACCTGCTGTGAAAGGCGCCATCTTTGACGTCGCAGCCATCCACCGAATGAGGTATGCTTTCATGGACAGCTGGTCGACATTGCAGGTCATGGAGATCTCACATTCAGCCTCGAACAGGATATTGGATGCATTCCGGAAAGGACTGATGAATGTGTTTGTAGAGTCGAGCAGGCCAGCTGTGCGCTCAATCCAAGGCGAGGAACCATCAGTGTAGTTCTGCAGCACAGCAGCACCGTAGAGGAAGACTCCAACGTTGTAAGTCCACTGATGGTGATCGACTCCAGTGCAGTTGACCATTTCATCAGTTCCGTCAAATACATTGTAGATATTGTCTACCAAGCCAATTCCTGATGCCCAATTCCAGATTGTGTCTGCCCAACGCATGTATGTTTGATCGCCAGTGAACCTTGCCAGCCTTGCCGAGAGTTGAAAGAATGCGCCGTTCGAGATGCTGTTCTTGTAGTGGTAGCCTGCATTTTGAGGATTGAACTGCCATTTTAGACCTCCGTTGCACAATGAAGAGTTCCAGCGAGAAACGTAGTCTTCCCAGGCATTGTTGACAATCTGGAGCCAGGATGGATAGGGCGCAGGTAGTTGAGGGAAGGAGTATTCGGCAGCGGACATGGCCACAAAGACCCAGAAGGCTTGGTCGTCGCTCCCGGTGTCGAAAGCCTCAGCAGGGACGACAAAGTCATTGTTAGGACCGAGTTGAACAATCAGCCCTTCTTGCATGACATCGACGTAGGTCTCATCCCCAGTGTAATGCCAGTATTCCATCAACCCGCCCCATGCGCCGCCACTTTCCCACCAGTAGTAGGGCGGGAATGGCCATTTCCCTAAGATGCCTCCCGTCTCGTTGCCATTATACAAGTCAACCACGTTGCGAGCGGTCAAGGACGCCGCCTCGAGAATGGATTCTGGCTAGAGTCAGTGAGAATTGAGACGATTGAGGATTGGCTCAGACTTACGCGTATCATGGACATCAAGTGCAATACTAGCAGCATTTTGTGATAGGAAGGAAACGAGAGTGGTTATAAAAGAAGCGAGAGATCGAAGCATTCTGCACGGTATACAGTGTGGTTGTTGAGGAACGAAGGAACCTAGTTGAAGTTGAAGTTGATAGCAAGAAGGCATCAATCGCAGACACCTGGTAGTGAGGCCTGCTGAAGGAGTGACACCGAGAACTGTAAAAGGAATCGAAATCAACGTGAATCAAACTGCTATGCTGTTGATGGACGGTTTTGCACTTCCATCTATGATTTCAAATGAGCAAGCCCACGCGCACGCTCACACTCACCCTCACCCTCACCCTCACCCTCACAGAGGTCAGTCGTCACCGAGTTGGATCATCGCCTTGGCCCTCGGTTCAGCGTCCCATCCGTGGTTTGACTTTCTGATATAGCCAGCTCCGTCAAAGATGTCGAGCATCGCTACCCGGGCTGCGATTGTTTTGGAGCCATGTTATTGCGCAATACGATGAGGGCCTCCGTTTGGCGATTAGTGGAGGTTTTTGCTGCAGGGTTTAGACACGAGCGCACATCACAGGGTGTATTCAACGGGACCGTCATGCCGGCAGCCGCTGCTACCGCTCCTGTTCTCTTATTCGAGCTCAATGGAGATCGGTCTCATAGAGTCGTCGCGTGAAGGCAGACGGTGCTTATCTACTTCTCCGTCTTGTCGATAGCTTCCATCTTTCCGCGATGCCAACACTGAGTCGTGGTGGAGGTCAGGTATGAATGTGTGAGCAGTCAGTGTGATGAGGATGCAATTGGTCAGAGCATGCATGATTGAATTGTGTATATGCAGGGAGGAACTAGACGTTGTCCAACCCAGCTTGCCAGAGACCTTACCGGATACAGGCCTCTAGTCGTATTTGTGGCTCCTTTTGTATCATCGAGAAGCGAGTTCCTCCACAAGCGTTGCAATCATCGACGGCTGCAAAACATTCTGGCTCTTCCCACGGAGTTATCGATTCATCTTACTTGCTCTAACGTCGCCCAACGCGAACAAAACCCCACTGTTCGGAAGCTTTCCGCCTATCCCGCAACGACGTCCAAGAAGCACGGCTTTATTCAGCAAACCTTAGTAGCACTGGATTGGTGCCACTGCGGAAGGACAGATGCCAATTGGGAAAACGCACAATGCGCTGCTTATGGGACTTTACGCCTGGGGATATAAAGCCGTTGGTCTCGAGCTGCGTGAGAAATTCGACTGAAAGCTGACTTTCTGATATTCGATCACGTTCAGGAAAGACCATGATTGACTTTCAACTGTCGCCAGAGCAACTGGCAGTCCGAAATGCTGTCAGGGGTTGGGCGAAAGCTCACCTTACAACGGCACGCTCGGTATATGAGGGTCAAGGTGCCTCGTCGGGAAAATGGGAGGATCGCTTCCGCTCGACTCAGCCCATTTATGCTGAAGCGGTCAAAGCCGGCCTGATCAAGGCTCAAATTCCAAAAGAGCTTGGTGGTGCGGGAGGTCCATTGATCGAAGCAGCTTTGGTTGTCGAGGAATTCTATGCCGTCGAAACCAGCGCATCTCTGACCATCCTCGGGACCGGCCTTGGCTTGACACCATTGATCATGGCTGGAAGCCCGGCCCAACACGAGAAATTCTTCAAGCCTTTTCTCACAGGTACCGGCACCCCGATGGCGAGTTTGGTCTTCTCTGAGCCTGGGGGAAGTGCCAATTTCGCTGAAAAAGGAGCACCTGGTTTCCAGACCATTGCACGTATGGAAGGAGAACAATATGTCATCAATGGTGAAAAGGTGAGGGTTCTCAATCCGACCAGAACGGCTTGCTGATGGAGACCAAGATCTGGGCAACAAACTGCTCCGGGTGGGATGATCGAGGGGCAGATATTCAGTGTGTCCTGTGTCGTGTGGTTGGATCTGCCCCAGCCGAGGACGTCCGTGGTCAGACTGCCATTATTATTGTGACCCGAGAAGACATTGCCGCGAACGACCCGAGCGCCTATCAGGTGCTATACCATCCCGAGACCATTGGACATTCGGCTGTGAACGGCCCGCACCTTCGATTCAAGGAATTGCGTGTTCCCAAATCCAACTTACTGGCACCTCCGGGCAAAGGCGCCGATGTGGTGGAAATGACATTCACAGCTTCAGCAGCTCTGGTGGGCGCTATGGGCGTGGGCATCATGCGGCAGACGTTCGACCGTGCTTTAATCTGGGCCAAAGCGGAAAAGCGAGGCTCACAGGAGACGATGATTCAGAAACAAAGCGTTGCGGACTTGTTGATCAGGATCAAGACTCGATGTGAAGCTACGCGGGCTCTGGTGTGGAAAGCCGCGCATTGCTTTGGACGGACGCGATACGGGGCCGAGCTGTGCTACGAGGCCAAGATCTTCGGTTCAGAAAGCGCCGTTGAGTCGGTCATGGACGCAATTAATTTGGTTGGTGTTTCTGCATATTCGAGCAAGCAACCCTTTGGGGACCTTCTGAACGACGCGGTGGTGTTACCAATTTTCGATGGTGGTAACGTTGGGGTTCGGCGGAGACAGATTGAGAGCATCTTTGCAAGCGAGGGATATGACCCATGGGAGACAACATTCGGACCAAACCAGTGAGATGGCAGAAGACATGGAATCGGAGTAAATAGTGCTTGACCAGGGAGTGAAAGTGTGTTTAACAGAACGAACGGCGTGTGGATTGACAAGCTCGGCATGCTCTGGGGGCTTTTCAAATGACAGGTCAAGGGTGCAAGAGGGTGTCAGCACCCAACAGCACCCAACAGCACCCAACAGCACCCAACAGCACCCATGAGCACCCATGAGCACCCATGAGCACCATCCGTTGGTGTCACCAAATGACATAATTGCTTGGCAGCTTGGCAGACAGGCCACACCAGCACGCGACATCGCAAGGTCCGAGTCATACGCATTCTGATGCGCATCGTGGCATGTCTCGCTTGTCTCGCTTGTTTCAAATTTTGTTGATTCACGTGTGGGATACCCAGGTCCATGTCAATCACAGTCATAGTGATAGCCACCCTTTACGTGCCACACTTCTGTATCGAGATATCTTGTCACTTACCGCCTTTCTCCGAGTGATTACCGCTCCAGGCAGTCGCCTAAAGTACAATGCCGAAAGCCCAGAAGGGGGCACTTCTCCAATGTGATCCTCCTCAGATGGCCATGGTGCGGAAGATCGACCGCGAGTCCAACCATGCCTACATCCTGGAGGAAATCGACGATAGAACCTGCTTGGTCAAAGAGAACAAGGTGGAGGAGATCAAGGCCAAGGTCAAGGAGTTGATGGATGCGGCCATGGGGATGGATGAAGACGACAACGACGACAAGGACAGCGACCTCGACTGATCAACCTCCCCCTGCAAGGGCCCGTGCTCGACTCCTCAAGGTGGCTGCTCACATGAGGACACCTCGCTCCACGCCTCTCTTGTTCAAAGTGTTCTCGTGGGGGTAGGGAAGTCGGCCGGTTCCGTTCATGAAGGAATGGAAGATGATGATACTATTTCTGAGGTCAGGATGATGGCACATGATGCAGGGTTGATGTCTTGGATTTAATATTCCTAGATCATGACAGCAACACACGCGTGTAGGGGGGCGGAGGTGCATAGGAATGCTGAACTTGTGAAATATCAAACAACAAAGATGTCATCGGGGGTCTGCCGACGGCGCGCGGAGCCCATTTGCCTACGCATGGGCGCCACACAGACCGAGAGCGCGGGGAATAGCAGTCCGAAGCACAAATTCAACGTCTGGTTGCGATCGATGTCTATCCTTTTTGGCAAGGGCTTAAGATTAGGCGATGAGGTGGGTTGCGTCAATCAGTTGGGGAAGATGATGGATGAAAATTGGGGAATACATGCACAGGATAGAGATATGAGCCCCACTGGGGGTGGGGAAGGGGGCTTGCATGAATGAGGCGGGCCGTGATGCCACGCGGATAGAGTGTACGGAGGGTGATAGAGGGTAGGCGACTCAGTATACAGAGAGTCAGAAGGAGACAGAAATGGGAAGGAGACCGAAGGGGAGTTGAGGTAGGTCTCAGCCACATGCAGGCTGATTAAGGAATTAGCAGGGGACAGCAGATCGAGGTTTGTGCATTTTGGGCAAGGGACAGGAATGCCTAATGCAGCAGACATACAGCACAAGTACCAAGTAGTGTGTGGTGGCTTGATGCAAGTGTATTCTGGAGGGTGATCCCCTGATGGTGGGTGGTGGCGGGGCTATCGGGGGAATGTACTGGGTACTGGGTACTTCTACGAGAGAATTACGTGCCTGGACGGACTAGATCTAGCGAGGTGCATACCAAGTACATTGCACAGCACACGAGGTCCATGCTCTTCGGGTCTCAAAGAGTAAGCTTGATGGAGAGGAGGATTTGGAGGGTGTCAGAATACCTACCTAGATACTGGATACTTAGGACGGACTCAATCCTTGGTAGGAGACGTCCTATGCCTGGTACCGAGTACCTATGATTAATGAGGAGAGAGTCAACTCAGGGTGAATTCAAACACGGGGGAAAATTTAAAAAAAAAATGAAAAATGAAAAATGAAAATAATACGGAGTTAATAATGATATTTGATTTGTTGGCTGGCTACCCATCTGCCCATTTGCCCATTTCCCCATCTGCCACCCATCTGCCACCCATCTGCCATCTGCAACTGCAGCATGCAATGCAGCCTGCAACATGCGCCTGGCACCTGCATCTAGCCACCAATCTCATTTCTCATCTCTCTTGCCGTTCACCTGTAGCTGCCTCAATGCAATGCTCCTCATTATCGTCTGTGCATGAACCGACCAAAACGACTTGGCTTTTCAGAAGCGCTTCCGCTGCATCGCTCGCAATGCTCGCAATTCTACTGGGTACTGGGTACGCAATCCTGCTCTCTCGTGATTCTGTCCTTCTCCATTCTCTCCATCTATCCATCAACCCATCAACCCATCAATCCATCCGTCCCTCCTCTTCCATCATCCCTGTCCTTGCTTCTTGCTCCTTGCTCCTTGCTCCTTGCTCCTTGCTCCTTCCCCCTCGCTCCCCTGTTCTTCTTGCATTTCACTCATTCATTCACTCCCTCCCTCACTCACACACCCTCTCTCTCATTATGTACTCACTCGATTCAATCCTCCCTTTTAGGTCCCTTCCATTCGTCCCCACCTCACTTTCCCCTTCTCGCCTTTCGTCCTCGTGCAGCCGGCTTCTTCGCTTATGTTTCTCTCCCTCTCCCTCGAACTCTGACTTGCCTGTTCGTTTACACCTTCCCATGCTTGAACCAGTCAGAGCTCGGTTACAATTTGCTTCCCCGACTCAAACTGCCCAACTGCCCAACCTCCCACAATATCCGTGACAGTGACGGTGACAGCGATGATCCCCTTGCTATCCTCTCTCCTCCCCTTCGACTCACCACCTCATCGGCCCCCAATAACGGCTTCTTGTGCATCGAGGCTTGACGCCTGCTGCAATTGGCCTGCGGCCGACAAGCCCTGGTCTTGAAGCTGTCACCCTAACTTAGTCCCCGCTTTAGCCAGCAATCATCCTCCAAGCCGTCTACATTCCCACCTTTCCAAAACCGCCTCGATCAGAAAAACTTCGGATATACGGGCAGTCCCAATTCCAAGTTGCAAACAAAAGCAAACCTTTTGACTCTCTGCGTGTCCTCATATCTTGCACCTCCATCCTGCGCTGATAAACATTCTTCTTTATCACCCATTCTGTCACAGTTGATTGCTTTTCGCACCTCCCACTTCCAAGGAAAAAAGATCCCCCCCCCTCCCAATTCCCCCCCCACAAGCCACATCATCAAACATCCCACCAAGGCCCCAGTGACTGTCCGAATTCTCATACCCATCAAGCTCTCCCACGCTCGCACCTCTGTACGAGGAGAAAGAGAGAAAGTCGCTCAACCAGCCAGAATCTAGAATCACATTTCTTTTCGACAATCTTCCCAGATTCTGCTTGAATTCGACTTGCAACTAGCCGCCCACGGAGCCCCTCATTGCCTCCAGAGACACGGATCTTGATCGTCTACAAGTGGCATATCTACAAAAGCCACCGCCATCGCCCATACTACTTTCCGTCCTCTTAACCCCCCCATCGACCCTGCATCCAGTTTCTCTGACAAGGTCTTACGCTCTCACACCGTCATTCAGCATAATCACGGTCCGATCCGAATCTGACGCCAGCACTTGACGGCCGAGACTGGACTTTTGTAAACCCAGGACCGAAGCTCTCAGCCCAGCAGGAGCACGGCTCTCAAAAGAAGAGTCCTGCATCCTCGGCCATGTCGTCGTGATACTGGCCCGTCCCATGATGAATCAGACACTGCGCCCACCATGCTATTCGAACCTGGGTCTGTTCCTCCAGGACCGCCTATTGAAACGAAGAAAGCCTTGATCTTGCTCGACTTCCAAAACGACTTTGTCAAGCCCAACGGAAACCTTCCCGTCACCAACGTTGAACCCTTTTTGTCCGACCTGTTATGTCTAGTGGACGAGTTCCGTGCCAAGGGGGAGGTCATATGGGTTGGCACTGAGTACAGACAATCTCGCTCGGCCATCTCTTCTGTGACAGGGTCTCACTCTATTATCCTCAAGCAACATATTCAGCGGCAGGATTTAACCGAAGAAAGGAGTGAGTACTACAACGACCCGGGTCACACACGCTCACCTCGCGAAGATCCGCTGTCGCCCTCGCCGAATCCAGATGTCACCCATGATCGAGAAGCTTTTCTCGCCCCCCTCTTGACCACCACCAAGTATAGATGCTGCAAGCCTGGGTCGTCGGGTGCCGACTACCCCAAATGCATCAAAGAGGCCATTGATCCAAAACGAGACCTGGTCATGCTGAAATCCCACTACTCAGCGTTCGACGACACATCCCTTCTCATGCATCTGCGATCCCACCTCATCACAGAAGTCTACATCTGCGGCACTCTATCTAACATTGGCGTTTACGCCACCGTCCTGGACGCCGTTTGCCATGGCGTCCAAGTCACGCTCGTTGAGGATTGTCTCGGTTACATCGATGAGACCTGTCATATCGAGGCGATGCGTCAAATGGCCGACACCTTGGGTGCAAACGGGATCGACTGTCAGGAGCTGCGTGACGATGTTGCCGGCCTTCTTGGTGACGTTATCCACGAGGAGGACTATCCCACCAGATTCCAGGTCAGCCTGCCACCACCCGCTCGGACCACAAGGTCGCATACCTCGAGAAGGCATATTCATGACTGGATTTCCGGCCTCGAAGCCGAGGAGGCTCCTACGGCTTCACCCGCCAAGGCCGACGGAACGCCATCGAAAGAGATGGACCAGAGCGGCACAAGCTGGCGTGACTCCAACACACCAAGTGAGTCATCTCGTAGATCCATGAGACATACATCAGTTGAGCGCAGTCCTCCCCGGAAAAGATCAACCAGTGATCTGGATCCCTTGGACGAAGAGCGCGCCCTTAAGTTATCCCAAAAGCCTTCTTCCCGTCGTACCTCGACTCATGCTGAGCAACTGAAAACCAAACAGACACAGCAATCGACCCGAAAGCGGCGACCTTCACACGAATCATCAATCATATCTTCTACCCCTACGACCTCGGCCCTGCACCAGACGCTTTCAACCGGAAAGCCCTCTACTCAAAAGGAAATGTCGGAAACTGATCAACTCGCGGCCGAAAACCCACCCCTGGAAGCGAAACAAGGAAACAACCAAGCAGCCGGTCCAAAGAAGAAAAAGACGACACCAAACATCCTTGGTCCCGGGGACAAATTAGGACAGGATGACTGCAAACTCTACACCGGCATCCTCGATCAAACAGAAGCTGAACAAGCCTTTTACTCCTGTAGAAGTGATATCAGATGGCAAAAGATGTATCACAGATCCGGCGAAGTGCCTCGCTTGGTCGCTGTCCAGGGATCCGTGTCTAAGGATGGGATGGAGGTTCCGATCTATCGACATCCAGCGGACGAATCTCCTGAATTATTGCCTTTCGATGCAGTGGTCAACATGCTACGGAGGGCAGCAGAAAATATTGTTGACCACCCACTGAACCATGCTTTGATTCAGTGGTATCGCCACGGCGAGGACAACATTTCTGAGCATTCTGACAAGACACTCGATATTGTCCGGGGATCACAAATTGTCAATGTAAGCCTAGGGGCACAGAGAACCATGATGCTAAGGGCGAAGAAGTCCGCTATCATATCTAGCGAGGGGAACCGAGATCCGGATGCCCCGAGACCTTCCCAGCGAATCCCTCTACCTCATAACTCACTTTTTGTCCTCGGCCAGGAGACCAACCGGCAATGGTTACATTCCATTCGAGCTGATAAACGACCCGTTTCAGAGAAGACACCCCCCGAACTGGCATTCGATGGAGAGAGGATCAGCTTCACATTTAGACACATTGGCACATTTATCAATCTCGCCGACAACACAATCTGGGGACAGGGAGCGACAGGCAAACAACGACGGGATGCCAAGCCTCTACTGACAGGTGCCGAGGCGGAAAAAGAGGGCGAAGCTATGATTCGAGCTTTTGGGCAAGAGAATCATCGCAGTGCAGACTGGGACTGGGATGAGTGGTACGGACGGGGCTTCGACGTGGTGAACTTTGAGACCAAACCAGCCGACGAGGTCGACACAGGCATTGAGGAGATAGGAAGCAAGACAAAGGGCGAGAAGAGGAAGATCACCGATGATGGCGAAGCCCCCGTCAGGGCCGGGTCTGCACCTTTTTGAGATTGCTGAATGCCTTTTCACCTAGACCATTGGTTTCACAGCAGCCTCACCCCAAGAAAGAAGCCCCCGGGGGGGAGTGAGGAGGAGGAGAGGGAGGGGGTTAAGGCACTGAGACATGTGAACTTAGGTGCAGAGCACCAATGGCCAGCTGACAGCTTTCAGTCCCCATCTTACTCGGTGAGGGCGAGATGGAGCGTCCCTTTCCCTGGAATGTCTTGCAGATCGGGCTCTGACTGGGATGAACCATTGTCAATACCCCGGCTTTGCGTTGCCGCGCATCATGTCTCTTGGGCTGGGGAAGCCCGAACGAGGTGACAGGCGAATAACTCATATTCCTCCCTGAATGGAAAAGCGAAAAGTCTAATGATAGGCAGCTCAGATGCAACCAACGGGGCTGTCAACGACCATCAAGGCAGAAAGTTGGATGGATGCTAATCGACCCTGCAAAAGGCCATCATCTTCGAGCAGCTACTCCTTCTCGGAAGCCATGGCCCATGGACATAGCGGAAAATCTTGAATTTAACGGCACGGGCCCCTCGAATAAAGACGCAGATAAGACGACATTTTTCCGACGGAGCCCATAATCCACCGGTGGCAAATTCTTGGTTCAGATCGCGCTGGCAGGTAACCTTATGGTGGCCAATTCATCAAAAAGATGTCATTCTGTCATGTCGATGGTTATATGTCGTGGTTTATTTTGACCTTTCTCTCGGAAGAAAAAGAGAGGCAGCGGGCGAAAATGTATTAAAGGAAGGGCATTTTGTTTCGTTTGGTTCCAATCGTTCATGTATCCGTCCCCTGGCCTGGGTTTAGATTGCGGCGGAGGAGCACTACTGACATTGTGATTGTAGTTGGCAATGGAATTGGACATGGTATTGGATGTCGGATAACGCAATCGAGAAACGAGCCCCCCCCCCAAAGGAATGGGACGGGGGATAAGGATAGGGCGGCATTGGGAACCCGGAACCTGAGGACCACGCGATGGGATGGGACACAGGATGGGACACAGGATGGGACACAGGACGGGAGACCAAAGGAACCAAAACAAACACAAAAGATCACGACGCGAACGGATCACGAAAACTAGAATCAATCCCCCAACTGGTGACCGGCCGACCTGTTGGGAACAAAAACGGGGAATCAAAGGGATCGCAATGGACTGCACTGCACTGGATCGGACGGAATTAAACCTGGGCTGTACATTGATATGGATGTGTGAGCACGAGCACGAGCACGAGCACAAGCATGAGGTATGAGGTATGAGCCACGCGATACGAGCACGAGCACGAGCACGGATATGAACATGAAAGAGCATGACTCACCGGCACAGATACGCTTGGAAAGGTTTTTCTTTCTCTGCACCAGGGCCCATGCACGGCCCTTGAATGAATCAATCATAGATATCACCGACTACCTAGGTACAGCTTACCAAGTAAATCATCATCGGATCTCTCATTAACTGTATTGAGGATTGAACGTGTCTCCTGTTTGTCAGCTTCCGCCCGGAGCCCAGGCAATGCTCTGGGAATATACCGTGTAAAGCCTTCGAAAAACAGGGGAATCGAAAAATCAAAGCCGAGTGATACAATCAATGCCTATCTGTGTCCACGAGCTTCTAATTCGATCAACCTGGAAGAACTCCGTGCATCGTTCCCGGTCTCAATCCTCACCCTTCCATTCTCGATTTGCCCTGCCGTGAGAATTGCGACGTTATACGCCTGGTGAACTCCTGCCATTACCACACAAGCTCGTGTCCATCATGCTTCCCGGCAGCTCCGTCTCAGCCCTTCTTGCCAGAATATTTTGGCCCATAAAGACCAACTCTGATAACTTGACACCTCCGATCTCACCCGTACCCAGGTCACGCATAATCTTGATGAGAACTTACTACTATGCCCTCCGGAGGTAACCGCAGCGATAGCCAACCCCTCATAGCCCACGGCCATCCCGTTGGCTCTGTTGATAATGTTGTTAAATCGTTCAGATGAAGTAATCTTCTGGTAAGGCAAGGAGACCAACCAACATGCCGACCGCGCCGATCGCCATACCCGCAATGGTTGCTCCAGCTGTCTTGGCGAAACTGCCACTGCCACTGCCACGGACACTGACACGCTGCTTCTTACTCTTGACCTTCATCTTTTTCGCCTTCTTCGTTGCATGCATCTCAGTGTCCTTAGTTGAGACACTCTCATCAACTTCTAAAGTCGGTGGTGATGGACTCAGCAGCGTTTTTCCAGAGGCACTTCCATTACCGCTTATGGCAGTCGTGGCAAGGACGTCTCCGACGTCGGATGAGTAAAGGCCAGAAGATGCCGGGTTTGAATCCAGAGGCTCGTCAGCTGAAATCTGATCTGCTTTGCGCTTCTTTGACCCTTCAGAGTTCTTGGGAGTTTGCTGTTGTGCAACAATACTGGCAATGGAGAGTGGTGAAGGGGGTGGTGCCGAAGTTGGCATTGTAGGAGGTTGGAATGTGAATGAATCAGTGCAGGACGTATAGCTGGCGTAAGGATTGTAGACTGAAGCAGACTGTTCCGGTACAAGCTGGTGTGCGACCGGTTCATACAGCACTGAGTTGTGACCAGCCCAAGCGGAGGTTGAGCGGCCTTGCTCAACGTTGCTGTCCATAGTCTCAGAATGTTGACCAGATAGGTGGAATGTCGGGAATGGCGGCGCAGCCAGGGTGACAGGATGCGCGAGCTCAATCGATGGCTTGACCATCGCCGCGTCAGATGGGCTTGGGGCTCGAACATGTTCTGCTTGATCTGCAGCGCCCAAAGTGCTCATGCAGGAAGCACTGTATTTTACTGGACTTTCAATCTTGATAGGAGGGATGAGGAGCGAGCCGAGAGAATCTGAGTATTCATTTTCGAGCTCATCATCTCCGTACGAATCTTCTTCAGGACCATCGTCGTCGATAGCCGGAAGCAACTCTGCTTGCTGAACTGAACGGGTGATCAGCACATGAGAAGGCTTCGTGTGATCAGGACTGGCCGGAGGTGTGCGGGTACCATGACATAGGTGAGAGGAGTCGTCATTGAATCTGAGCTTATCTTCGTGGACATCGCTTGGAATCAAAGGGCTCGAAGTCGGGCTGTCCTCATCAGAGACATCTGCGCCAGAAACATGACTTCCAGCGTTCGATGCGTCATCGGAATCAGGAACGGCGAAGGTTCGCACTTCCGGGACGACTATTTCGATGCTGGGTTCACGGACGGAATCTTGGACGACGTCAACTTCATTCCCAGGCTCCGAAGTGTAATCATTGTTCGTCTCGGAAGACCTGTAGTCCTCCTCCTCCGGGTCGCTCGAGATCTGAGCGGAGGGCTCGTCATATGGAACCTCATCAAATGGTTCCTCGTACGGTTCCTCATCACTGTAGTCGGCCGAGAAGGTGTTTCGATACATGCTTGTGGTCGTCGAATTGGCGTGTGATTGACCGAAACTACAGCACAAAAAAATCAGTTAAATTTCTCCAATCACCTGAATAAATACGCTTACTTTCCGTCGGACCAAGTCCAATTGACCTCGCATCTCAGAGCGCGGTAACGAGCTGCTCCAGCATTAGTAGCTGGTGCTTCGAACTCGCTGTGGAACTCACAGCTTCCTCGAATCACATCAGAACCCAATATCACGGTGTCCTTGGGCCAAAGAGGTTCGGGTTGATTCACCTCCAGTCTTTTGCCAGAGATGAACGTGCCGTGCGTTGAGCCAGTGTCTGAAATGTAGATTTCCTGACAGCTGTTAGGTCAAGATCAAAAGCAAAAAGCTGCGAGGAATACCTTGGTTATCGGATGTGCGCGCAAAATAGCATGTTGTCTGGACAGGACTCTAGAGTTAAACCAGGCATTGTTCAGAGCAGGACTCAATTCTTCAACGCGACTGTCAGTTCCACGGCCGATTCTGATCTCCCAGTCCGGAGCTTCAAGGGTGATGATTCGCTCGGGGATAGGCTCGCGGAAATCGGCATCTCGAAGAGTGATCATCACTGAAAAACATGTTAATAAAGAAGAGCACGTAGCGTAAGGAGCGGGTGTGGAACGTACAGTGCATGTTTCCACCATGGTCAGCCATGTCTCAGTTAGAGAGCTCGATAGCCCTAGGACTCCTCTTGGGACGATTGGCGAGAGAAAAATATGAGATCAAGTGATTTTCAAATCTTTGCCGGTGCAGTATCTTCGAAAAGGATGACTCTGGAGTTGAGATGAGGTTCAAACGGGGTTCAGGCCGCAGGCAACCAGTGACCTAGAGGCAGATGGTCGGTTGGATCAGGCTGGTTTTCGGACGAAGGTTGTACGCTGAGGGCGGGAGTTGATGAGAAGAGAAAGAGTCAGAGACAGGTGGCCAGGCAGGGCTTCAAGAGACTGGGACAAGGCAGTCGTTTGGTCGAAGTCAGAGATGAAGCAAGTCGACGGGCGGAGAGGAGGCAGTCCGGGCTTGGGTGTCTTGAACGCGGTCTCACAAGTCAGACGCGGACCATCAACTGCGGGCAACGACTGCAGTGGAAGGTTCGCAGGCTGCAAGTGAGGGGCACGGGGCACCTGCCAGCTAATCGATAAGACGCGGGCTCGGTGGGCACCAGGCCTCGCAGGCACCAGGTGGGCACCTCCACCAGTGTCAGCTGACTTGGTAGCCTCGCAGCCAGCAACGTGGCTCAGCCTCATTGCCGTCTCCAGGGTTCGGGCAGCAGACGCTGAGACACGAGAGAGAAGGCTTAAACCCCGGGCAGTTGAATTTGAGATTTCTTTTGTTATTATACACTCCCACGCACCTTTTGTTCCCTCATGCTCATCAAACGCCATATTCGCAAATCTCGGTGTCTAACCTCCGGGATTTAGAAAGGAGAAGATATCCGTATTACGTACAGGTCAAGAGTCTCTCGTCAAGATCGCTCATCAGCATAAAGACCTGTATCCATTCGATCCCAACAAGAAGAAGGCAAGAAGGGAGGTATCCCCCGGAGCAAAAAGAAAGCCAGAACAAGACCATATGCAAACCCGGCCATGAAAGGGAGACTATTACCTCAACTGGGGTCCACCGAGGCCTGCGCCTTCCATTTGTTGCAGACGAGCGGCCAATTGAGGATACTTCTGCGAGACCTCCAGCTGTGTGCGCGTGGCCTCGGCGTAGGAGAGTGCGTTGACGATTTCACCTTCTGTTCTCGATAGCTCGGCGGCACGCTCAAAGTATTCCAGTGCCTTGGTCACCTTGCCTTGTTGGAGGAGGAGTTGAGCCATTGTGGCAACAGCGATATCGCATTCAGGATCCACTAGAAATCACATTAGTAACCAAACCAGACATCTTTCCGTCTTTGTATCGACTTACAGATCAACGCCTTCTCGCAAAGCTCCTCGGCTGCCTTGAAGTCCTGCTTCCACTGGAAGAGAGCCAATGCCTTGTTGATGAGCGGCAGCACATTGATAGCCCCCGTGGGTTTCGTCTGGCGTTCCATATCGATGGCCGTCTCGAACCTCTCAATGGCGTCTTGATACTTCTGTTGATCAAGCAGCAGCTCACCATAGTAGTTGTAGACATCGGGCACTTTGTCGAAATTCTTGACACAACGGCGGAAGGTTGCCATTGAGGACGCAACCGAGCCTAGCTTGTACTGCGTGACCCCCAGCTGAATGTGCGAGTAGATGAAGTCCTTGTCTAGGTCGATGGACTTTTGGTAGTCCTTGGCCGCATCGGCATATTCACCGAGGATGAAGTGCAGCTGAGCGCGATGGTAGAAGATGTCAGGGTCGTCTTTGTTCTGTGCCATGGCCTTTTCAAAGTCGTCGGCAGCAAGCTCCTTGTTGCCCAATTCTAACTGCATGCTGGCCCGCTTGATGTAGGGTTGGGTGAGGGAGGGTTGCAGCTCGATGGCTTTGTTGAGATCTTCGAGAGCGTTTGCAATGTCGCCCTCGAGGTACAAGAAGGTGGCACGCATGTTGTAGGCAAAGGCCTCATGCTCGCCCAGATCCCCGAGTTCAAGGGCCTTCTTGAAGGCCGCCGCAGCTTCATCGTATCCTTCGGCCGTCTTCTTCTGCATGGCGACCAAGCCTCGCTGAAGCTGGCCTTTGCCGGTGTTCTCATCGAGCTCGGCAGTTTCCTCCAATCCTGCAGGCGGCGGCCTCGGGCGGAAGCTCTGGAGGTAATTTGAGACAAAGGTGGCCCCTGGCAATTTGTTCTTCTTGCTGGCAAGAATTGCTTTGCCCTTCTTTTCAGCCACCTTTTTTAGTAACCTCTCCACGCTCTGGGCACTATTTTCGTTCTTGAATCCGTCGATAATACAACTGGCCGTGTAGTCCAGTAAGGCTTCGGAGAACATCCCCAGGTGTTCGTAGGCGTGTGCGCGACGATTTAGAGCTTTGACATATTCCGGATCCATCGAGATGGCTGCGGTGCAATCTTCCACCACTTTGTCCCAATCGCTCAGGGCGTTATAGCAAGCAGCTCTGTTAGAGTAGTAGACAGGGTCGGGTTTGCAGAGGATGGCTTTGCCATAGAGTTCGATGGCCTTGTTGTAGTCCTTGGACCCGTATGCTTTGTTGCCTGCAGCCTTCAATTTGCCGGCATATGTTGCTCTCTCCTACTCAACAGTCATGATCAGCTTAGCGCAGTGAAAGTTTTGTAGTCATCTATACCTCTTTCGAGAAGCTTTCGATGTTGGATTCATTGATCTCGGGCAATTCATCTTCGGTCTCGACGGTCGCAGGTCGAGGTGCTGTGCCTGTGTCTTGGATCAGCCACGCCCTCCATTGCTTTTACAAGGAGGCTGTCTCACCGGCCTCCTCGTCTTTGAGACTGATTCCGGCCTTCTGTGCTTCCTCGGCAGCTTTCTTCTCTTTCCGACGCTCCTTCTTGCTTTTTCTCTTTTCTGTGGGTGTAGCAGGAGCACCCCCTTTCTGACTGGAGAAATAGTAGATGGCTCCGGCACTTGTGATGACCACTACTGTGCCAGCAATGGTATATGCGACTGCCTTGTTCTCCGAGACCCAATTCGACACGCGATCCCAGAGGGACGCAGGTGCGCGGGCGGCATCGATAGCGGCGGATTCGGACATTGAGGCGGCAGAAATCTAATATACAAAAGAAAAATGAAGCTAAATTGGGCAGACCTCGATGCCGCCGAAGAAGGACGGAGATGGAAAGGATGGTGGAGGGTCGAAGGAGGAGAAGTATTGAGAGTCGTCACTGAAAGACAGCAAAAGTTCACAAAGATGGGCATGGAGACGCAACTTTTCCAACCGCAGCACATCAGCCAATCACATGGGGCGCAGTTTGTCGACCTCCGCTGGGTAGGTGACCACATTGACCACAGCATGAGGTACCTAGCATGTACACATCTTTGACATCTCTCCGCCGTGTTCAGTGCCTTAACGCTCCGGTCATCTTCCTCCACGATGCTGAAGCTCTACCAGCGTACCTTGATGGCAACTGAGCATCCGGCTGCGACAGTTCATGCGTGAACAGCTCCATGCTGACCCATCCATCGTAACCCAACTCGTCGACAATGGCTTTTATCACGGGCTCGATGGGGAGATAGCCACCCTTCTCTTCTTCATACGGGAACAGTCGCGCATTTCGTGACCAGCTCATTCTTGCAGGCTGGTCGGCAGAGTAAAAAGGATGAGACTCGCCCAGGGGCGGGTCGAGCTTCTCTGCGTCCCCAGCCTGGACGTAAAACACCTTTTCAACAACTATCTCGGTGATCAACCGCTCGATAGACGCCTCTAGAGCGTGGTCTGCGTCGTCAGTGCGCCCTGTCTGTGCAGTGGGATCAGCCCATACTCGACCAGCTATGTGGAAAGTGTCCCGGCAGAGCCCAAAGTTAGGTCTGTCGACCTTCTTTGCCATTTCCCATGTGCCTTCCCATGTATCGATATATCTGCCCCACGCTACTCCCTCATATGCGAATCGGACTACAGGGCGCTCTGCAAGGCCCATGTCGGCCATTTCTCTGAAATCAGCCAGGAGGGCTTCTTCGTTGCCCGTCGTCCCCTCCTGCAACCAACTCGTGGGCACTTGAATCATGTCGCTTCCCAAGATCTTGACAATGTCGAACCACAGTCGAAGCTTCTCAATCATGGCTTCATGCTGTTTGCGATCGAGCAGACCCTCGTACTGCCGAAATGGTTGGAAGACTATCACGGTCAAGCCAAGCTCATCGCAGAGCCTTCGTATGTTCTTTGCGGCCTCCAGCCGGTTTTCATACGTCAGTCCTGCAGGGAGCTTCTCTGCGGCCGCGTCGACATCGGTGTCTATGACTTCGATCCCGCGAAACCCATTTTGTGCTGCTGCGCGCAGTCGTGTCGAGATGTCGTGCACATTGGGGTCACCCAAGGATAGCGAGGCTATCGCAGGTCGGATCATTTGTGCGGATTGAGCTCCGAAAACTCTCAAACGCCGAGTACTTATAACTGTTCGCTTCCGTTGACCAGAAAAGTCTACAACACAAAACAGCAGGACGCCACACCACGCCTTTTTTTCTTTTTTTTTTTTTTTTTACAAGGTAAGATCAAAAGGCCATTGGTGAAAATAGGTATCACCCAACCCCTCGCGTGTCGGAGGTTTCTCGCACATGAATAGGTTGACGTTGCAAGATCTCTCCGCATCTGAGGCTCGACCCCAATACCCAACTTGGATTTGTCGGAAATGCATTTTTCCATACCTCATACTGAACGGGTAAAATATCGGGCTGACAAACCACTTTCGGCGCCATATGGCGGATTTCGCTTGTCGCGCGATATGCCTCATTAGCAGCATTAATCAACACGGAAGCAGGCACCCATGCCTTCTTCACTCTATTTTTGCCCCTGAATTTCGAAGAAAGGAAAGGATACCAGTGCCTTCGACCCCTTGTTTAGTAGCTGCGAATACATTTCCATTACAGACTTTGGAACTGTATATCACGGCCAACTTCATTTGTCCAATTTCGGCCCTCTCCGCATTCGACAGTCGACCTCATCGCCATGCAAAATGCTTCAACTCAGAGGAATCGACTGTTCATAGCAGGCGCACCGGGGGGTGGCTCGATAGCACCTCCTGCTCACGACTTCATCGCCCAGTGTCTTAAACGCGATTGGAAGATGACATTTCTGGAAGGCTCGACCCTCCAGGAGGTCATGGACGCATTCCATGCTCCTGACTTCGCGGGAGGCGTGGTCACGATGCCCTATAAGAAGACTATCATTCCCTGTCTGGACCACGTTGACAATCTCGTTGTTCAGCTTGGTGCTTGCAACCATGTTTCTGTCACTGATGATGGCACTTTGAGCGGGACAAATACTGACTGGATTGGGGTCAAAAAGGCTCTCTTACAGGAAGAACGGGCCACGCATCCCGCGCAAGGGCTCAAGGGGATGGTTGTCGGAGCGGGCGGCGCAAGTCGAGCGGCAGTGTACGCTCTTACGGAACTAGGATGCAAGGACGTCTACGTTATCAACCGCGATGCCGGCGAGGTTCAAGAGCTTTTCGAAGACGTCCAGAATTATGAATGCCCGAACCGGCCCCACATTATTCATGTTCAAACCGTCCAGCAAGCCCAAACCTTATCGTGCCCAAACTGGGTCGTGAGCACTGTTCCTGACTTTGAACCCAGAACTCCGGCAGAAATCCAGGCAAGATCCGTGTATACCGAATTTCTCGCCAAGAAGGAGAGACCACCTCAGGCACGTATGCTGGACATGTGCTACCACCCCTTGTTGACGCGCACTCTCCAACTTGCAAAGCAGTATGGCTGGTTTGCCGTCGATGGAATTCAAGTTGTGGGACACCAGCTGAAAGAGCAATGGAGGCCCTGGACAGGTGAAGAGATCAACAAACAGCAGGAAGAAGTCGCATGGAAGATTTTGAGGGAGAGTGCATGCTCAGACTCAACAGTTACTCCCGCAAGGGCAGGAGTCTGAACATGACTGGCTTTCTAACACTCCATGCTCTGTAAGCAATGCCGGGCTTTCGCCGGGCAATCCTTCGAACCCGCCTCAATCTCGTCGGTGCTCCTACCTCCCTGTCTGCTTTCGTTTTCTTATTTTGGCATCTCCTACCAACCTACCTGCGTATGTCGAGCCCCTGGAGTGCTCTCAGCCTTACGACACAATTCGGATAAAATGCATTCGGAAAGCCAAGGCAATCGAGGATCAGCTTACCCCAGCACACAAACTGTTAATGCCTCCCTCAATGCCGTAACAGACTGACACCAGCAAAGCCGTGCAGCCCAACCAGCTTAGCCCCACGCCCCTCAGCGGCGGTAGGAATCCCCAGCAGCAGGCCGTAAGACTGGAACTTTGGATCCTCGTCTCCGGGAGCCTGGCGGGCACCACCAATGGCCCCGCTGCAGCCATCCAGCAACTCCGGAGCCCAGACGGCGCTGAACTGGAACCACTGGTAGCCGTCGAGCTTGTTGATGTAGCGCGGCTCGCAGACTGCTCACACGGTCAGGGCGCACAAAAGGCCCACCCAGGTGAGAAGCAGGGCCAGGACGAGTTTCCAACTCGCGACGCTGAGAAGGAGGCCGTGGACCTGCCTGACGACAGTGAGGTCGCCCGCGAAGGACTGCGGCCCGGGCCCAATCATCGAGATGGAGACTTCGCCGACAAGCTTGGGCAGCGCGAGCCGCATGCGCGAGGGCCTGAGGGCCGGCATCTGCACGGACCCCGCGGGCATGTACAGCGTGGCTCCCGTAGCGAGGTTGGCCGCGTACCAAGCGTTGATGCAGGTGTTGTTGACGGCGGAGAAGCACAGGTCTGCGCATGCTAGGGCCAATAACAGCAGGTGTTCGAGCAATGGGACGCCCCGACCTTGCACCCCCAGTTTGAGTTGCTGTATGGCATTCTGGCACTGCAGCATTTCCAGCTTCTGGTCGTCCGTAAGCTGTGACGCATTCTCATCGTCCAGCCGTGTATAGTTCACACACAGAGGAATCGTGGAGTAATCGCCGCTGGCACACGGGGAGGACACGCTCGGCGTAAAGTTTGCGAATGTCCTAGGCCGCGCAGAGAGTGCGGCGCGGCCGGTCATGGACCGGACCTAGAGGGATATTCCATACAAGAGGATGTATGGATTGCTGTATTGTGAGCTATCTTTTCCAGCCGGCAAGGGGCTGGGAATACGAGTGTCGAGTCGTGAAAGGCGCCAAGAAGAGGCTATTCCGCTTCGAGGCGACTTGCACTTTCTCCTCATATAACGCAGTCGCACAGCCTAAAAGCTCCCAGGTTTCCTTGAGGAGGGAGCGACACAGGTAGGTCTTGGTTGAGCAAGAGAGGTATGTACAGCACTTGGGCGGCCATCTCAAAAGGTTAATGACGGTGACTGCCTGCACAAGAGTTGTCGACTCATGGGGAGGCGATAAGTGTATATCTAATATCATCTATACAACTCTGAGACTCGCTTATGCTTTGCGATGGACTCCGTTGGCGCACCCTTGCGCACCCCTCCTGCTCACCACCTGAGGGTGCACTGTCTCCCAGGCTTCCTCTCAGGCGTCCCCAGGCCGCGCCGACACAGTGGGGCCATAACACATTACGAAGTATGACTCAGCCATCCTGGGGGCCGAAAGTCTCTTCCTACGCCGGATATTGTGACTGACTCTCGAATGCTATCAGAAGACGGCGCCTGCGGATTGCATCTAGCTATACCTAATGGGATGGCTCCTTGAATCCTGCTGGCAGCCTGAGAGATGCTGAGAAACGAGATGTTGGATGTACATATAGTTCAGCTGCGTCGACTGCAGCCTGGGCCTCTTAGATTTGGTATGTCCCGGTAATCCATCTCCAGAATTTGTTTGCATTCAACGATGCTACAGTCACTCTACGCCGAAAGGTCACATTTATCTTGAATCCGCCATTATTCTTTCTTGAAGTTTATGATGGCAACCATTTTCTTCGAAGCTCCCGAGGACCAGGTGTCGAATTTTGTACCTCGACCATCTTTACACAAACAACTCGAAAACGCTTTCAGACCAAAGCCACTGTCCAAGTCGTCGCAACCACGTATTGCCGTTGTGCACGGACAGCCGGGAACAGGAAAGTCACAACTGGTGGCAAATTATCTTGAAGAGGCCCGGGACCGCTATTCCGGGGTATTTTGGCTCGACGCTCGAAGAAGAGATACTATCGACGAGCACTTCCGTCGGCTGGATTGTCTCCTTTCAGACGGAGACAAACCCAAGAACCAAGTTATCGCCAATTTGGAGGAGCTAGTCAACTCGGCCTGTGACTGGTTTGATCAGCGCTCAGACAAGAAGTTCCTTCTGGTTTACGATGGTGCAGATAATCTTGGAAATGGAGATCGCTCATCTACTGTTGATCTCAACGCCCTCATGCCACAATGTCGAAACCTGGACATTCTTATTACCAGCAGGGATTCGGCGGTAGCCAAACTTGGTTCTACTGTGATTCTGATGAAAGACATGGAGAAGGCGGAGGCTATTGAGCTTTTGCTCCGGAACTCGGGCTTGAATCAGTCTGCGGCGTCTCAAAAACAGCTACAAGACACTCGAGTTATAGTAGAGATCCTTGGGTATTCGCCTTTGCTGGTCGCTCTCGCCGGCTCATATATCGCTCAGAATCCCCAGATTCAATCTCACCTTACGGAATATCTTCCCGAGTTTCGACGCAATCGCAAAAAGGTTGTCCGGGACTACCGTGGTCTTATACCAAAATTTCCGGCGGCCTCTCTCGCGACTTTGGAAACTTCTCTCGAGCTGGCGGCCGAGAAATCTCCTCTAGCCGTCCCAATGCTTACATTCCTCAGTTTTCTGAACCCGAGGGACATCTCTTCGCACCTGTTTGAAGATGGTACACATGTCCATTTGTCTACCTTTGCTGAAGCTTTAGATTCAGCCAGCCATGAGGGCCCAGCAGACTCTTCGTCTTCCACCGAAGATGACATTGTAGAAGGCGATCCGAACTCAACAGAGGACAACCAGGAATCCGCATGGGATTTACCGATCGTTGCCATATCCGATCAGGAACGATCGGATATCCAACACGCCTTCTCGGTGCTTGAGTCGCTGTCCTTCCTTCGACGGTCGGCCCAAGGGTCGCGCTTCTGTATGGATAATCTTATCTACTCATGGAACCAAGAACGTTTGTCTCAGGATGAAAAGGCTTTAGCCATCAAAGTTACCTCGGAGTTTCTGATGGACAAAATTAGGCGAACTTCTGAAGCATCGACATCAGAAAAACACTACCTAGGCTCTCAAATGATGGCAAGTTTTGACAACATCGCCCGGCTGCGTGAGGATCTCACAGATCCAGAACTCCAGAGTATGTTAGTTTCAGCTGTTGATACCTTCGCCAACCATTTATGCGAGATTGGCCGAGGATCGGACGAAATTTCCATGCGACAACTATGCTACGATATGTCTGAACAGCTTTATGGAACAGATCATATGGAAACGCTAGCAGTTAAGCGATATTTGGCCAAAGCATTCTGGGCAGCAGGAGACCTAGCTCAAGCGGCAACATTAGAGAGAGAGGTGCTCGAAAAGATGACGGCGATCCTGGGGAACGAAGATACCCGGACCCTGGAAGTCATTAATGACCTTGCACTTTGTCTTCAGGCTCTCGGGGATCCAAAAGGTGCTGCTGCTTTGTTGAGAGAGCTGCTAGAAAGAAGGACGAAGATCCATGGAAACAGTCACCCTGACACCCTACAGGCGATGAACAATCTGGCCAGTATATTGATTGATGCCGGAGCACTACCGGAAGCAGTCGCAATAGCAACGCAGGCGTTGGACCTGAGGAAGCAGGTTCTCGGAGAAGAGCATCTCGATACCCTGACAACCATGAGCAACTTAGCAGGAATACATCGCGCTCTTAAGGAATTCGATCAGGCCGCAACTATGTACAGGCAGGTTTTGTTGAAAAGAAAGCAGATTCTCGGTAGCGAGAATCCGGCAACTCTGACCGCAATGAACAACCTAGCGGCTATCCTGATGGGGACAGGCGAAGTAGAAGAAGCAGTGAACTTACAGCTGGAGGTATTGGAGATGAGAAAGAAGACTCAGGGGAACGATCACCCGGACACTCTCAAGGCAGTGGTGAACCTGGCAAGTTCACTCTATGCTATGGAAGAACTGGACGCGGCGGCCGCTCTACAGCAGGACGTCCTGAACAAGAGGAGACAGATTCTAGGCGACACACACCCGGACACCCTAAGACTCATGGGGAACCTGGCAAACACGCTCTTTGCGCAGGGATACCACGACCAGGCCATCGACCTCCTCACAGAATCGGTCGAGCAGTCAAAAATCACACTGGGGGACGATCACTTCGAAACCATCCAAAGCATGGAGAATTTGAAGGCGATGCAGGATGAGCACACTCTGCCGCTGAAAGACATTACCAATCTAATGCGCTAGGTCGGCCCACTCATCCCACCAAAGCGTAGTACAATCGACACAGAGAGGTGTCTTGCACAATGGAATCAGGCCGTTGGCTTGGAGGTTGAAATGACCATGATGTGTGATGGGGAAGAGAAAAAGCGCGTCAGAAGCATTTTGATGCTCCGACTTAGAACCAATCTGTAGATCTCTACGGGACGGGAGGCGACGCGACGGCCCGAGTGCTTTATGTAGTCGTCTGCCGTATTCACTCCATAGCTGTACTCGGTACGTGGGCGCTTGACGGCAGACGCCGGGTAAGGCTAAGAGCGGAATTTGGCCGGGAGTTCCGAATCTGTGCAATGTCTCAAGCGGGCATTTGTCTAGACCTTCAAGGAGAGAAGAGAAGTTGTGTATCAGAATAGTCTTTGACTGAGGGCCTAGTGGTAAGTTATGTACATACCATGCTGGCCCTGTTCCGCCGGTTTATGCCCGTGGCTGATGGACCGAAACTCCTCATGAAATAAATTCGGGTGATCTCTTTTCGCGTGAAGGGATAAAGGCATTCTGCTTAAATCGTCTTTCGGACGTATTCAACGGGACCAGCATATCTGAACCGGCCGCGGAAAACGTAATATGTCAGAGAAGAGAATACAACGCCTCCATAGACGACAATGGCCCAGTTCATGGTCTGCGGGTTCGGATTCGGCCCAGGGGGGAAGAAGATCATGATAAACGCCAGCAACAAGAAGCCGACGGAAAGGAGGTTGATCGCCAGGCCGTAGCGACCGAGCGAAAACTTGGATGGCAGGAGCGGCTCTTTCCGGATGCGTTTGATTGCCATGCAGCTGATGGAAACGATGTAGGAGGACAGCAGCGCGCAAAGGCCGAGCGAGGTCAGCTGGTTGAATGCGATTTGAGAGCCGATGTTGATGAGAGACAGGAGGCAGGAGACCACAACGGTGAAGATGACGCCGTTGAGAGGGATGTCCCACCCCTTGGGGACGTAAGCAACCCAGTTGCTGAATGGGACACCGCGATCGCGAGCAAAGGCGAAGATTTGTCGAGAGCCGGTCGCCATGTTGGTCATTGCACCGAAAGTGCTGAGCGCAATCATGATTGACACCATGGTTGTTGCACCCGCTCTGGACTGAGTCGCGTTGTAAAAGACCTGGATGAAGGGGTATCCGGTGGGGGTCGAAAGAACCTGCTCGACATTTCCAACAGTGTAGCAGAAGGTACTGGAGAGCAGGAGTTAGCAGGAGACTCTAGAAGCGAAGACGGAAGACCAAAACTTACATGACCATGATAAAACCCAGTGTCCCGTTGAAAATTGCCGTGAAAACCATGGCTCGCGGAAGAATCTTGCTGGCGTTCTTCAATTCTTCAGACATGTGCGTCGCAGCATCTGCACCGAGCAACGAGAGAACTGGGCTGTTCATGCCCACCAAGCAAGCGAGGCCAACGTTTCCCCAGCCATTCGCGTCTTCGAAGGCAGTCCAGACCTGTTTGGATGGTGTTCGAGGAGCTAGAACCCACAGAGGAACTAGGATGCCGAAAAATCCTGCGATATGCAGGAACAGGACGAGACCCTCCACCAGAGGAAGCCTCTTTGCTAAGACGGTATTGAAGAACCCACAGACCAAGGTGATGGCAATGGTCAGAAGTGTGCCGTGCCAATATTTGTAGACATAGCTGTCATAGTTGAGGACAATCAGACCTTGGATTTCAGTGGCAGCGAGGAAGACGCTGGACGCCGCTCCCGCTTGCCATCCTAGCACGCAGACCCATCCGATAAAATAAGAAATGAATTTTTGTGCTCGGGGTGGTGCGAATTCAGAAACCCAGCTGGATAAGTTTATCATTTCAGTGTCGTGTTGGATGTCGATAAGGCAGGGAGTTCCCTTACTGGTATTGTCCACCTGCTGTAGGAGCCATACTGGCCATTTCGGCCATTGAAACGATGTTCAGAGACATGCCAATAGCACACGCAATGTACATGTATACGATACCTGCGGTACCACCGTTGCCCAGGGCGAATCCAGCGGTACTTTTAACAGAGTTAGCCAGCCGTACAATCCGTATGCCCAACAACAGCTTGGCTCGAGAGGATTGCAAGTTACCCAAGTTGGCTTTCCCATGTGCTCATCAAAATCATAGCAAAGCCCATGATCGAGAGGAACCCAAAGTTTCGCTGTTGAACGAGGTATCAGTGTTTGCTTCCCAGAAAAGAAGCCCTCGTTCAATTATCATACACGTCCGTAGACAGGAAGCTTACCCTGAATTGTTGTTCTTTACCCATCCGCTGCATATCCTTGACATCGTCCATCGTGCCATCCTTTTCGCCAACGAAGCCCTGGCCACCCGGGACACCGTCTGGATAGACCTGGGTCTCGTGGGTCTTCAAGGCTTTATCCATGGTGATTTTTCGAATTCTAGAGATCCAAATACTTGGCGGGAGGACGTCAAAGAACCGCAGGCGAGCAGTGAGTAGCGAAAATAAGGAAAAAGATTGACAGTTTGAGAGAAGAGAGACGGCGACCCGCCGTTCATCTTTGTTCTCTTCCAGACCCTTTCGCTTACAGGTCGTCCAATTATAAGCGAGTCTTCAGGGGAGGCCACACAGCATGTGCACTACCTGTAGCTAACATGTGCCTGCTAGACTAGAGGTGGATTCGCGGCTTGCACCGCGTGTGGATTGCTGATTCCGACAGTGCACTAGGCTGATGTGCGGGAATAAGTACTCCATACTCCACCAAGGCCTAGTAACACCTCACCTGTGACCTGAGCCACCTGGGCCATTAGTCTCGATTAGCAGGTCGGTTCATCAGGCCGTGTTGCTGCTGCAATTAATGCGGGGATACCAGATATCACCTTTACCCATACCCATGTTTGTGTTGAAAACCCTATCCCGCCTGGCAAGGCTAGGTAGCCGGCCATTCAGCGCGGCCCGTAATCTCCGTTTCCAAAATACAAGTACCTATGTAAGTATGTATGTAGATCGCCTGCGTCCATCTGTGATCATTATCTTGAGCATCACCCCGCCTCGCTCGGCCTCTCTCCTCATGGTCTGGTTCGATTTCCTCGTTCTTTTGCTGGCTTAAGGTCTAAATTCGACCAATATGACTTCGATATCGGGTGATGGACCTCGATTCACGACAGTCACGGATGACGATTATGGTGGTGTGGTCTGGACGGTGTCAATTCTCTGCGGAATCTACTCTGTGTTGACCAAGGCTTTAAGAGGCTATATTAAACGGAGAACTTGGGGGCTCGATGATTGGCTTGCTGCGGCAGCGACTGTATGAGAGACTTGTTCTTCACTTGGGTGTCGCAGAGTGACAGAGGATATAGGTGACGTCTCTGGCTCAATATATTGCCATATGGGCGTCAGCATCGAACGGACTGGGCAGATCCTATAAGCATTTAATCGAATCGCAGGTGTCGACCATCGGACGGGTAAGATGGAGTCTTGAATGCCAGGACTGGATATATTATATACCCAGCACATCTGACAAGATCATTAGGGAGTTCTTGCTGGCGAAATCTTATTCATTATTTCTTTGGCTTTGGCCAAAGCATCAGTTACCTGCCTCATCCGGCGATTATTTTCCATCCACATGAGAAAGCGCTCACTCATCTGCGACTCATTCCTAGCAATATGCATTATATGGGGTCTGGCATCCATCTTGATCATTGCAGCCAACTGTCCTCTGCTCTCTTTGATGGGATATCACGGCGAGTTCTGTGCATGTTTTGTAAGCTCTAGTCTCGGACCATCGATATCTTCTGGAAAAGCTTTGGCTGACATTCTGGCGAGCAGGTACCCCGCTGGGAAGCCATCGGGATTCTCGACGCTGCGACCGAGGCTGCTATAGTTGGGATGGTCTTTGCTCTTCTTTGGGGCTTGAAAATGAAACCCGGGAGACAAGCTTAAACCGTGACAGCTTTTGCCTTTAGACTTGGGTAAGTCATGACATCTTTATTTCTGTCTTCGGGCGCTTACTAGGTAAAAACCAAGTATCATTGCTTTTGCCGCTGTCCATGTGTGGGATCAGAAGAGTTTTTACCGGAGTGCGACTGGCCGCTCCCATTGTTTTTCAGAAAATCGAGCTTTGCTATTCTCTGTGCTCTTGCACCGTTCCCAACTTGAAAAGCTTCCTCCTCAACTTTTATACTACCGTTGGCATGACCCTGGACCCGCTAACGACGAGATCCTACGGTGTAACAAATCCGCATTCTGCAACGACATCCTTTCGATTAAGGACTCTGCGATCCCGAAATGGTGACAAGCAACAGAGCCCAGGAGGAACGCCACTCTTTCGCCCAGATGCTGTTGAATACACTGCGGCAGTTGGCAGAAATAGCGCACCCAGTAATATGAACGAAGAAGCCTCGTCTATATCCCGAGATAGCCAGTCTGACCGGCAGTCAAGAAATGATCATGCGCCGAGAAGTCGCATGGACTGTCCACCAGGACTGACTTGAAACTTGAAATCGGGACTTGGGACTTGGAGATTCACAAATCTGGAGTAACATTGTCTCTTTTCTGGAAGATTGCGTGTGCAAACTCTTCCGGACTGATTTCGTTGCTTGAGCATCCACTATGGAATGCGGCGAAAATCGTCCAAGCGCGAAACAGCTCTGCCGTCGATGTGCGACTGCATTCCGGATACTCCAAATGCTGTAGGATAGAAGTTTGTACATGGCTGATACAAGGTAAACGGCCAGCTTCCACCGCAGAACTCTATTTTGGTGCCTTGGTCAGTATCATGCTTTCCAGAGAACAACAAGATGTCAAGCAAACTTCCACCAGCGGGCCGAGGCGCAGAGCTCGGTAGATGCGGAATAGGGGATCCTACTGTACCTCGCGACGGACTGAACCCTAAAAACCAGCACTGAGCCACTAGGGGCTTCATAAGTATTGCACCACTGGCCTGTGGTAAGCTTTAGCTCACTTCGCTCTGGCGACGAGCACATTTCGAGCCTGTCTGATTGTGAGTGTTTGACGAACCTACCAAGAATCCAGCTCTTTCGTGTTGTTTCATGCACGATGCTGAATTGCACACATACTACAAGTACATGACCCTGCAGAATTTGCACCACGTTGCGAGGGGTAGGGGAGCGGGATCACGGCACTGGTGGTTTAATGATCCTTTGTGCACAAGCATGTGTTGGCAAAAGCTTATCAAGGCTTTCCTCTTATGTATTAGATATGAGGATCGGCTCGCAGGGCCTTCGGGGCCTTCCGCTTAACTCCTGATTCCTCGAGTGGGCCAAATCTGCCAAATCTGCCAAATCTGCCCAGTTTGGCATGATCCTCGGTACTAACCACACGCTGGGAAGGCTCAGGAAAAGTGGAGACGCAATTGTTCAAGCCTTGAACGCCATGAAACAGACTTCGTTCCGAAACCTGCTGATCAGCATTCATCGTCAGTCGTGGTTTGCAGATGCCCCAGCTGCCCCGACTACCTCCTTATGTACTATCGACTGAGTTTGTCAATTACAGCTTAGGGTAGGGCTTCCCAACCTTGTTGAGCGATCGTCCATGCGTTGTCCTCGTCCCCTGTGCCGTGTGTACATGGGCTTTATGTCGCTACTTTCCACGAACTTTCTTTCATCAGCGACAGATCAGGCAAATCAAGGTGAGTAAGAATGGCAAAATAAGGAGGCTGTGTAAGAGGAGATCTTCCTCCCCCAGTCCCTACAGGACTGTACTGAGGGACTCCTGCCAGGGAGCGACTTTCTGTCTTCCTAATACTCGTCCAAGTACCGGCTAAGACGGCGTTTGTTGGACACTCAATGCGAGCACCTACCATCCTGTTGAAGCAGGCCGATAGTCAAGGCGCAAACCTCTTTTACATTCTCCACTCAGGGCATCTGTCCGTGCTGTAAGCGATCAGAAGATTTCCCGTCCAGAAGGCTGATATACGTCAGGCCGGTCCAAAAGGTCCGAATTCCAGTGCCGCTTTCTGGACAGTCTTTGTACCTTCTAGCCGAAACCACCACGCTACGCTAGTAACTCTTTAAATGCAGCAAGGGGGCCAAAGGATTTCCAGATATCAAAAGAGGAACCTCGCAGAGTAATCACGCATCCCCCAATCAGCATTTCGTTTTGCATCCGTGCAAAGATGGTCTTGCGCTTCGCTAGGTGCGCCGACTTGCCAATCATCTCCGAGATCTTCGCGCTTGGGTTCCACGACGAGGAGGTCGTTGGTCCCCTCCTTCACCCTTACCGCGACCGACATCCCAAAGACTACTTCAACTACTGGAGACGACGATGTCGTGAGAGATACTGGGATTACAGCAGGGTGTTCCTGGTCAGCTCCGAGAAAGATGTTACAACTGGAAGCGAAGTCGTGGTGGGAGTAGCAGAGTGGCAACGAGTCGGTTTCGGATGGGACAGGTTTGGGGGTCTAGGAGGCTTTTGGGATCTACGTTAAGTTCCCCCGACCTGTCTCTCTCAAGGCTCAAGTGCGGTGTAGGGTAACCAACCGAGCTTTGAAGTCTGACTCGTCGATGTCCTACTCGTACTAACGATAGTGATAGGGAAGCTGATCCGACCCCTCATCTCCGCATTCCACCGAATCTTGTCCCTTTGGAGCCCAAATCGTGCGGCTGCTCAGGTTGATCCGTCCGACCCATTTCCACTAACCCCGACCACTATGGAACGCAGCCTCTGGCCTTTCGTCTCTTATTGCTACCTTTCGCCACCTCACAGACAGACTCGATGGTCACTCGAATGCATCTCTGTACTACCAGAGTATCGCAAAAGTGGCCATGGTCGCGACTTGGTGGCCTGGGGTCTGGAACGCGCACGAGAAGAGGGAATTCCGGCCAGTGTCATGGGCGCTGCAGACAAGGAGAGGTTCTATCAACGGTGTGGCTTTACAGAGATTGCAGGCTGGGCAAATGATGGCATTGACGATCAGGGGAGAGTCAATCCGCTGAAAGGACGGATCAAAGGAGGATGTATTCTGTATACACGGGTGCAGGAAGATGACGAGTGGGAGAGGAATCATCCCCAAAACGAATGATATCTGTCCGACAAGTTTGTCAATAAAGGCGGCGCTATGGAGCTGTAATCCTTGAGTCCCCAAAGCCACTTGAAAGACCTCCATCCATGGGTTTTCGGCCCTCTGCTGGCCTGGGTCTCCCCTATTTCGGTCGCCAGGGACCAACCGCCTCCGAGGATATTTCTACTCAACGATTGCGCCCAAAGAACTCGGTCTCTCCACGGTGTCGTCTTTTACCAAAGCTTTTAAGTGGCCCAAGTATATGAGCATTTAAAGATGTGTTCCTAACCTAGCAGTGCAACCAGGAGTCGTTACTCCTTGGAGCCAGTTTTTGACACACCCCCAGCGGCGAGGTGGGTCTGTGCATTTACGAAGCACGAGATTTCAACAATCAAAATTAGCAAAGAAGAAGCCCTTTCGTCTCTGCCTTGGGCCGATTCTCTTCGACGAACTTAGTGAGGCAGGCGCGGTTTCATCTAAAGGTAAAGAGAGAAATAGTCAGACATCAACTGTTGCTTCTCGGACGGGTTTCGATCCAGAACATGGGCCTTGTAGTTGGAAGGGTAATGCTGGACGTAGCATTTAGCACTAAGTTGTGGTTTCCCCTTTATTCCTCACAGCTCCCACCGCTCCTTGTGGCCAGTATTGTTGTTCCAAATCTGTCTGCGAAGTCCAGGTCGTTCTACAAGAGTCTCCACCAGCTAAAGGGAGTCGCGGGCGTAATGTTCTCCTTGTGATCCGTACAGCTTTCTCTATGGATTGTTGGCCATATCTTTGTTCGTGCCGTGTCTTGAGAATTATGGTTTGTAGGTGAAGCCAAGATTGACGGGGCCTTTGGCTGTTCCGAGTCCCCCGATGATAATAACGCTTAACTTTAATATACGAGGTATTGCGCCAACTAATTACGAAGTCTGTTTACAGCTGCCATCCCCCACCATAACCGAGCCGAATTTAAGCACTGCCCACTTTTTCGAATAACCGAGCCGCCGAGGCTAGAAGGAACTCTAAGGATGGATTCCGTAGTGTCGATACTGCAGAGAAACAAAGCTAGAGATAGACTCATTTTCCTATATAGTACCAGAAATGCTCAAGCTAGTTGCCTCAATCCTCGAGACAGAGCCATAAGAGTGATTAGAGGGGGCCACGTGTATCTCAACTATTAGCCAGCCAGGCAGTGGCCAGCTGGCATCATTGAATCTTTTTTTTAATTCTTCTTTCCTCACTTCGTTAATCTACTCGACTTACTCTGTGCCTCTGGTAGTTGATCGCCGAAACGCACAGCAATTGTCTAAAAGGCTGGCCAAGGAGCATTCCGTTGCGATATATGCTCGCAAACATTTAGCAGAAGGTCAATTCTCCACCACCTCGTTAATCCTTGGTTTCGTATCACTCAATATTGATCCTCTGTGTTCTAGCGATGCTCTGAAGAGGCATACTTCTACACACCGGCTTGGGGAAGAGGCTTCTTCCTCCTCGACAACCTCAAGGCCAGGATATGTCAAGCCGGTCAAAGCGAGCTTCTGCTGCTCGCGATGCTTGCTCCCGATCAAAGACTAGATTCACATACTACAGGGCAGATCTGGCTTGAAACAGACTTTGGGCCCAGTGGTCGCTGAGGGACTCCGCGGCACTGTTTCTTCTCGGATACATGTCATGGTGTCCAAGGCACTTAATCAAGATCTTGTGAGAATGATTCCACATCTGTTTCCGCCTCTCCAGATCGTCCAGGCAATATTTGCAGAATATCATCGGAATCTCACCTTGCAGTATCCAATGGTACATCCAAATACTTTCTTTGAGTCCACCTGGGAAGAGATGAGGCTTATTCTGACATCGGCTTGTTCTTTTCCACCCTAATGACCCTTGGTTGTCTCACTATCCTTGCGCAGGAAGCTCGATCGTTCGCGATCCAGCTGGCCTTCCTAATACACAACATGATCAACGAGATAATGACAAGGGACGAAAATCAGATCAATGATATTTGGACCATGAGTACCGCGCTATTGATAACCGTGCTGGGCGCCTGGTGTGGTAATAAAAGACATGCGGAACTTGCAGAGTCGTTTCGGGGTACCCTTTCAACGGTCAGTAAGTCCTTGAGCATTCCTTTGTCACAAATCCAGAATACTTAAACAGAGAGCGGAAGACTCGGTATGTGAGAACTCTCCCCTTCCCCTATCTAACCGTAGGAACCTTTTACCCGGTAAAGTCACTGACATTTAGCCTCTAGAATGTGTTATGTCTGGTATGTTGTAGAACAAGAACTTGGCCTCTTCCATTGTTTATCCCCCACAATCCACTTCTCGGATATGCGCAGCTCCATTCCCTCTGCGGATGAGCTCTTCTTCGTAGAGACCGAAGATGAATGGAGGGCATTGGGACAGACTTACCTTCAGCTGGAAGGCCCAGGCAATCAGTCGCGACTACACCTACAATCCCTGGCAGAGTTCTACTGCATGTTCCTTCGACATGATTTTCTGGAGCTGCATTGCCATGTCACCGCCTTACAGTTGAGGCTCTTGCTGTGTGCTATCCAGACTCAAATCACTCAGTTCGTCCAAAAGTAATCACTTTGTCAGTGGAGAACAATCCTATGCCAACGGACCATATTTCGAATCTAGCAGTTTTGCATCTCTTCGGCAAGAAGAACTGCAAACCATGCTTATCAAGTGGTATATTCTGCAAAAAAAGAGGTCCTCGGGGGCGATGGCGAGACTGAAATGATCCTGGCATGTAAGTTGAGTTATCATTTAGTGTGGCTGGAGCTGCTCATGTGCTTCAGTGACATCCAACTCCTCGCTGGCCGAGAAGGACCAGCTGGTGCCAAGCCACTCATACCAGAATTCCAACCATGGGTTCGATCGCTATCTCGCTCAAGGCGCTGGCGCATGTAGGCCAAGTCCTCAAGGTCTTACAGTGTCCAGAGTATGTTGTCCTGCGACCGCTCCGGTGGCCGATGGCTTTATTCCGCGTTTCGTTGACCATGTGGGTTTATAGCATGGGATTCTGGCGCTGCTCCTCGGATACCACCGAACGATCCCGAGCAAGATTTTGGGCCCCATGTAAGAGTGTTACGGCAAGGAGAGGGCATTCTTTGTGTTTTTCACACCACAGGATTATTGATTCCTGCCACGGAATCTTATGACGCCCTCAAACTGTGTTTGGATCTTTTGGAACAAGGGAGACTCCAGAGTACACCTGTATGTGAGGAGGTATATCGCTTCTTGCAGGCCATCAGGCAGTACGACTTTCCTGGTACAAAGCCGTGATCCGGGTGGGCTCCCCTACTGCCACAGACGTGATCCCAAAATCACAACTGAAGATTGAGCTTTCTGTCGCCATCTTTGACAGAAGGGCAACACCAGGGGCTCAATCTAATTGGCTAGTACGCCACGTGAAAGGATCTTGCCCACAGCTGCCTGTCTATATTGAGATATTTTCGTGCTCAAGGAGAACCGTACTCTCGACGCATGCCATGGGTCATGGTCCGTTGGTGCAAGAACAAGACACCCGGAATTCTTCCCTGGTTTGGCGCACCTGACGTCTCGGCCCTGAACCTAGACCGACAATACCATGTGGCTGAAAATGACCCATCGCTCTTGTGCCAGCTTACTCATTTGATCTAGAATTTTCCGCTATCCTTGCATTTACGAGGCGAGCCCCAGGTTGGGGAAGAGCATTCTAGCTATCTTCGGTCATTTCTAGCGGCTTCAGCCTTTATGTTCCCCAGACTTCGCCGAGCTTTCGACCGGCCCAATGGCTCTCAGGCAGCACTGCGAGCATGGATCGCTGCATGTTTCATTTCGGGGCTGGAACCAAAACTTGTCTGGGAAAGAACGTAAGTAACTTTTTTTTTTTTCGATTCCCAGGTGTATGGCAGTGGGTTCGAAAATGCTCCCCGAACTCCGCTGTTGCAGCAACTCTCATCACGCAACCAAATTCCTTTCCAAAAGTGGTAAAAATGCACGCTGCTGACCTTGCAAGAACAGATCTCCCTGAGCGAACTACACAAGTTGATCTCCGCTCTTCTTCGGGACTTCAAGCTGGAACTGGCGACGAAGGAATCGTGGAAGATGTACAGGTTCTTCTTCAACACGCAGAAAGGTCTACTGGTTCGCTTTCAGCGGCGAAACATCAGCACATAGGAGACTGGAATTGTTACCTTCTAAGCGTCCCTGTGGAACTTCATGTGATTTACATAGCTTATGGGTTCTACGGCAAGCTACAATACATAATAAGCTTCGAAGACGCATAGGATCCACAAATGCTATCAACTATCTGCACACAGTTCACAGTTTCACGAGATCAATTGGGATATGGGCTGAGATTTTGAAAATAGACCAAAGAAGGACCTCAGGAAGTGGCTAGACTCGTTTTGCGTACAAGTTTCGCCGTACATACACCAGAACCCCAAGATCATCATGATCATTGCAATATCCACGCATCACGCAACCAGACATTGACGCTGGCAATTAAGCCCCCGGAGCTCTATATTTTCCTTCTAGCACTTGAAGTGCTGGGACCAGTCTTGGAAATCGGGTATTAATGTTCAATGACATTGGGTCCTTGATATGGCATGTAATACAAGACTTCGATGATCCACCTGGTTTTTTGCCTTTTTCTTGGCTCGACGAGGCTGTCGGATCTGACTTTCACTTACTCTTGGGACCCCGAAAGTTTCTCGGGATAGTCTGACTATTACCCCCTCTGAATGTGGTGAAATGCAACATTCAATTTCCTTTGGTCCCCGTGCTGATGGCTTATTGTGGATAGGAACCACAAGAAACTAGAGCTCCAAGAGATCATCACCCTCCTATTTGGAAAAAAAAAGGGCTATAATAGCAAGAAAAAGAGTCCCTCGAGCGGCAGGGACAGAGTTCCTCTCCCCCAATGGACTCGAAGATGTCGTCGCATCCAGTGGAAGAAGATATCGACTCGACGGTGTCGGATCCAGACTTTCGCATCGTGACAACATTGAAGCATACGCTGTTCCACGCCCGAGACGTCGAGTGGGAGGAGGAACCGGCGTCGTCCCGCGCACTGATACGGCAGTGGAGAGAGGTCAACAGGAAACTCCTCGCGCTGCATGCACGCCGTCTCCGCGAGGCTGCCGACGCTTTCGGCTGGGCGGACGTCGCGGTTAGGTTTTCGTCCCCGGCAGCCGCAGGCGAGGGAGGAGGTAATGGTGATAGCGATGGCGACGACACGCTGGTACAGCCAGGGGTAGATGGTCCTATCAATCTAGAGCTCCTGGTCGAGGACGCTGCTGCGAGATCTCAAGGAGACCCCTCCTCCTCTCAAGGTCCTGGCGTGGGGTTCCTACGAGACCTCCGCGTCCGCGTCCTGGTATCCCGTGATGGGGAGGTGACTGTGCAATGCACGGCGATGGGGGCGGATCAGCCCCTTTCGACCCTGGCTCGCTCTCTTGACATGTACACATCATGCCCTTTCACGCGCCCGATTGTCTCTGGACCAAAAGAACAACAACGACAACAATCAGCAGCAGCAGTATCACCGCTATGCGAGGTCTCGGTCGACGCCCAACACACACACGTGTCCCTGTTCACACGGCACAAAACGACGCATCGGAAACCATACGACGACGCCCGCGCGCGCGCCCCTGCCTCGCCGCTCCTCCCAACCACGCCGCCCACCGCGAGGGAAGTGCTCCTTTCCAACAGCCACGCCCAGATCACCGAGGCGTCGCTGTCAACGGTGTATTTCCTGCGTGGCGGTGGCCGCTGGCTAACGCCGCGGTCCGCGTGCGGCGGTATGCAGTCCGTGACAAGGCTCTACGCGCTCGCGGCGGGGTGGTGCGACGAAGGGGCCGTGCTGGTCCACGAGGTGCGGGACAGCGAAATGGTCTGGTTGAGTAATGCCGTAAGAGGCTTCTTTCCTGGCGTGGTGAAGCTCGGTGGTCAAAGTGCACGTGGGAGTGTTTGATGATTTAATGCTCAGAAAATGGACCAAAAGGGCATGCTCTCTTCTGCTCTGCTTCTAGTCGACGGGCATGAGTACATCCTCATGAAAAGAATCAATGCCAGGCTCAGATTTCTAGATCGTAATCACCCTTTGCAAATCTCGAATCCCGAGTCATGCTCTACTTCATACCGAAGCGCACCGTCTATCGTGTTCCCTCTTTTTGCGCCTTGAATCTCACCGCAAAGGGATTTCTTTCTTTGGGCCGTTCTCCTTCGCTGCGCCTTTATCCGTTCCTGCACCTGCTGCAACCGTCTTCTGATCCGCTGGCGCCCCTCTAAACAGCAGCCCTTTCCTGCTGAAAAAGTCATGTACCACCTCCTCGCTCACCTTTTTTCTCCTCTCCTGAAAATCACCCACGTATCGCTGCAACTCCTTGATGCAGATCGCCTTGATCTCCCCGGTCATCATTTCTCCCTTCTCATATTGCTCCTTGATTTTCGCTAATTCATCGTCGTCCTCCAGGAAGAAGGTGAGGTATTTGTACGGCACGTCGACCTCCGTTCTCCCGCCCAGCTCACGCTGCTTCTCTGCAGTATCCTGCCCACCGGAGAACGCGAAACGGTTGATCTTCTTCTTGATCGCGTTGGCCGTGTCGGTTAGGAATATCGCCGAGGAATCAACGCTGGCGGACATCTTTGTGCCTTCGCCCTGTAAAGCGGGAAGAAAGCGGGAGTGGATGAGACATGGTTTCTCGTATTTCATCTTCTCTGCTATATCACGACAGACACGGAAATAGGGATCTTGGTCGATTGCGCAAGGGATTAGGCAGAGGATCCTCGGGACAGCCTTGGCATCTGTGCCAAAAATATGCGGGAAACTTGTTGCAAATGAGGGTGCAGACTGGGTTGCGGGGAAATGGAATTCACCAATGTTGTTGCTGTCATTGAATCCAAATGCTCCTTTTATCTGGTTGAGCGTGATGTGTTTTGCTGCGAAGGATACGTTGCGGTAGAATGCACCGCCCATGTACTCAAAGTCTGAGAAGATAAATGTCTTTTTTGGGTCGAAGCCCAATGCAATGATGTCCTTTGCATTTTCTCTTGCGTACCGAGTTGCATCATCCATGCTGATGGTTTTGGAGTGCATGAACTTTTCGTCGTCTGTCAATTGGATCACGAGAGGGCAGTCGAAGACTTCCTGCAGCCAGCGAGTGAATTCGAAAGGGACGCTGTGTCCGACATGCATGCTGTCGCTACTTGGCCCTCTTCCCGTGTAGAGGTAGAATCTTTCGCCCTTTTCGTATCTGCTCAGGATCTTTTCCAGTTCGCGGTGCGATATCACTATCCCACGGCGCATAAATCTGTGGGGTTTCCTGCCAGTGGCCTTTTCGAATCTCTCGAGCAGTTCGGGCGAGATAGGCGTGGCGCCGAAGTCGCGGATCAATTTGTCGTAGTCGACGGGCTTTATGTGGCCAGACTCGTCGACGCCGCCGGAGACTTCGAAGGGGGTGATTTTTTGTTCTGTCATGGCGGGTGAGGGGTTGGAGAGGTGAATGTGGGAAACGAGCAAACCGAGACAGAGGGTGAGGAGCGGGAGGAGGAGGCTAGGTCTTTAGAGAACGCCAGGCAGTGAGAGACAGGTTTACGATGAGGTCTCAAGACAATGGCTGGTGCAGTTGGCTGTGTGTGTGTCTGTGTGGATTTGTGACTGTGAACGCGGCTTGAGTCTTCAATTCCCCAAGCTGCGGTGACAATGGCTGTCCAATGTCATGCCGCCATCGGATATCATGTCCGTCCTCCACAATTCGCTGGCCAACAAGCCAAGCAATTCTCTCTGTTCTCTCCTCTTCTTTTCGGCCGAATGTGGCAATTGGGCTTGAGAGCTCGCGTGAGAGCCAAAAACTCGCCATCTCCTTTCCCTCCTCATCATACGCCTTAACCATCTGCCGTTTCTTTGGTTCAATGTCTTCATGCCAGGATGAAATTCTACGAGCACTCCTTTAACTACGACTACACCTTCCCTGCCGTCACCTTGGCCTATTTCCTGCGCTACCCGAACCCTTATTCCAGGCATGTCCTCAGCTCAGACGTAATCGATCGCTACATCGATCCAGAAACGGGTCGACTCCATACTGTGCGACTACATCTAAAAAAATCAAAAGTCCCCGCAGGCATCCTCAAGTTCCTCCCTCGTGGCCTTGCCGGCCCAGGCGGCGCCAGCCAGAGCTACGTGCTAGAGAAAAGTACCATTGACATCAAGGAAGGATGGATGGAAACAGAGTCAAAAAATATGGAGTGGACAGGCATCCTGAGCGTCGTGGAACGGCAAACATATAAGCGGCAACGGCTGCCCGAAATGGCGCCCTCGAAACGATCAGGCGATGAGCTCCAGCCACAGAGACACAAGGAGACAACCGCCTGCAGGACGGTTGTGACATTCGTATCACACCTGGGCCACGGCAAGCTATTGAGTCGGAAAAGACAAGAGCACACAGCAAATGCTGAAGAAGAACCACCGAAACAAGGATTGTTTGCAGCATGGTCGACCGCTGGCATTCAGCGGACCATCGAGCTGATTGGAGTCAAACGAACCCAGTCCGCGCTGGTAAACGGAAAGGAAGGGATGAACGTCGTGTTGGAAAGACTCAGGAATGGCGGCATCGTGGGTGTCCTCGAGGGAATGAGAAGGGATCGAATGGAAGTGTCGCGGGCAGACGGACATTGAAAACATGCGCCGTGTTTCTTTGCTGATGACCTGCATTGAGCAGCCTCAATTGCAAGCATCGATTCGATTTGTACTACTAACCTCATTGTTTGATGATTGTGAGCCTGGCGTTGGGGAGATGTGCCTTCTGATGTTTGGAATGGAAGACGTACCGTTAACACAACGGGGATGCGCTGTACCATCGTGGTCAATGTTGATAGGTATCCAATTCAGTCCGCTCATCCCTTCAGTTTCTCCTGCCTTCGTGAGCTTTGCAGCTGGTGAGTTTGAAATGCGCAGCAAACATCACGGCGTCTGCATTTGTGGCCATTCTCGGTGAGCTTCACAGACCTTCGCTCTAGTCTTCGTTTCCTGCTGACTTGCTGCCCCTGCTGGCACTTGCACAGCCTCTTCGCACCCGCCTTCTGATAAGCTTGAAGCAAGATGAAGTGAAGCATTCCATTCACTCACTCTTTTCTTCCGACCTTCTCCTCTTGGCAAAAGAAAATATGTTGAGGTCTTCGTTACAGTCGCTCCTGCAGTTCAAGACCTCCGTTGTTCGACCTACTCATCTTCCTTTCCTCCCTCCATCTCAGCCACTCGTTCACCAAATAGTCGTTCGTTTTTATCGATTCAACAAGATAGCAGATATTGGCCATCACGGCTACTTCCCATTTCTTGCCATTCTTTCCAAGAGTCGTGGCGTTATGGTCGCGGTCACCCCGATCCTGTGGTTGACAACCATTATTCTACTGAGCTTTGTCAGGGGATCCAGCTCGGCTCGTCGCTTTGATCGCCGCAGTGACCTTGACTATATCCCTCCCATCAACGCCTCGGCCGCCGCTGGCTGGGCAGTCCCTCTCCAGGGCAGCAACACCTGCGACCCTCACAAAGCTTGTAACTATCATCAAGCGAAACCGAGTCGTCATTCACTGACATTTCCAGGTACGGATTCACTATCGCCTCCACCTTCGGGCAAGCCTCTTCAGTATCTTGCAATCGCGCGTGGCCTGTACATGTACCTGTGCCCCGGTGGTGGTCCCAGGGAAGTCGCCAAGTTCCAATCTCAATCCACGCAACTTTACGATGCAGCACCTCTTATTCAGAATCTCCCCAACGAAGAAGCCTTCCACGCCCTACCCGCCAAACTCCACGACTTCGACTACGAGCAGCTGAAGAATTCCACGCTGGAGTGCTTGGGAACCATCGGAACTGTCAACGACACAGCCATCGTCACCCTTTTCGACATTGCAACGTTCGAGGCCCTCCCGTATGAATCTGTGCTGCCGCCCGATGACCCTGGGAGCAATGGCAGGTGGACACATTCAGTCAGCCCCAAGAGGGATTGGGATATCTACCGAGTTGAAGTTGCGGGAGGCACTCCGCCTATTTGTGACAATACACAATTCATGGCTGAAGAAGAATACACGGCAGAATACTGGTTCTTTTACTCCGGGGGAGAAGATCTGTGGACACCAAACAATATCAAGAGAGAAGAACTAGTCGATCCTAAAGATATGCCGGCTTTCATATGAAGATATGGACAGAATTGAATGAGAACATACCGATGGACGGGAATCAGCAGCATAGCATGTGGATGAAACGTTCGAAGATGATTGCAAGTAGAATCCAAGAACATGGGGCCAAATTTTACGAGAGATGAGAGGATCCCGACTGTGTGTGAAAAGGCGGATGGTCTAAGCAATCGAGCGCTGGAGTTGTCTCCTATTCCATTTCATATCGTTTCATATCATGGCTAGGACAGGATTTTACTTTTTTCAATAGGCTAGGGACTGGTGCTTGAATCCGGTGAATACAGTTTCTCGTCCATGTCACTCTGCGGTGAGAACTTCACAAAAGTCCTCCTCCTCGCCACACACTATCAAGGTCAAGAGGCGACGAGGCTGTTTCTGCCATATATACTACTTGTTAGTATGGAGGACTTACCGAGTAGGGGGTGCTAGTACTAACTCCCACCAATTTAGCGTGCTTTACTCCACCAAAGGGGAGAGTTTCCGGTTGAGGTAACTTAAGCGGACGGCTGCCCGTCATAATAGCACCACGGACCGGCAGCGCCCCCTCTGGCCCCCTCGTCCATTTTCGCCTCAATCCTCATCCTCATCCTCATCCTGCGCCCTCAAACGCCCACACGATCACTTACTCACTTCACCAAATCTTCGAATCTGATCCTCGAATAGCCACGAAAGGCCTTGTCACTGCGCGCCTCCTCCTTACGTCCTCGATATCGCCGCCCCTCGGTGAGTACAGTGTGGGTAACCCGCTCAAACCTCACACCATCTTGCCGCCAACGAAAGACGCAGGATCTCCACCCTCGCGTTTGGAACTGATTCGTCCCTTGAGATGCTCAACCACCAATTCAGCGATTACTGGTGACATCAATCTGTGTATTCATACCCTCAACCGACGGACTTGATAAACCAATAGCAGACACTTCACGGTAGGCAGAGTGCATCTCTGCCTGCCAAACCCCATCTCCACCATGTCGTCGGCCATCAACGACGACGAGCTCTCTATTTCCCTCCCACAGACTAATTCCAGCCGCTCAAGACCGTCCCTTCCTAGTGTCGTCTCTCCTCCCGCACGCTCCAGCTTGAGTCAGACCCCGATGGCAGAGTCTCCAGGCACTGCCCGCGCCGCGCAACGACTCCATCAGTACGCTTTTGTCCGTAATATCGGCGAAGGATCGTTTGGAAAAGTCAAGCTTGCTAGACACAAGGTCACCGGTCAAGAGGTTGCAATGAAGACTATCAGTCGACGCAAATTGATCAGTCGAGACATGGCAGGCCGGATAGAGCGGGAGATCCAATATTTGCAACTCCTGCGTCACCCACACATTATCAAGCTCTACACCGTCATCACCACCAAGACAGACATATACATGGTGCTGGAATATGTTCCTATGGAGCTTTTCGACTACATCGTAAAGCATGGTCGGCTTGGAGAAGCCAAGGCACGGAAGTTGTTTCAACAGATCATCTGCGCCGTCGAGTATTGTCATCGCCACAAAATCGTCCATCGAGATCTTAAACCGGAAAATCTCCTCCTTGACAAGAACATGAATGTCAAGATCGCCGACTTTGGCCTCAGCAACATTATGACAGACGGCAATTTCTTGAAGACGAGCTGTGGAAGCCCAAACTATGCTGCGCCCGAAGTTATTGGCGGAAGGCTCTATGCTGGCCCGGAAGTCGATGTTTGGAGTTGCGGCGTGATCCTCTACGTCTTTCTTGTCGGAAGGCTTCCATTTGACGACGAGTTCATCCCTGCACTGTTCAAGAAGATTCAGGCCGGCACCTTTCACATTCCATCACAGACTCCGCCGGGCGCGGTAAACTTGATCAAGCGATGTTTGCAAGTACATCCCGTTCATCGCATCACCATTCCCGAAATCCGGCAAGATGAATGGTTCATGAAAGATCTCCCTGCTTATTTGGTTGACCCCGTTGAGGAGTTTCTAGATACTGGTGTCGACCCAACCAAAGCCATCGACCCTCGCCAGCTGGCCCCTGGAAAGCCACTCGATGTGGTTGAGAAAATTCATGAGCAGGTAGTTGGCAAGCTTGGGCGTACGATGGGTTACGCAAAGGAGGATGTCAAGGATGCTCTGAGCAAAGACGAGCCAAGTGCGATCAAAGATGCGTATCTCATAGTCAGAGAGAACCAGTTGATGATCAGCACTCCTCAATACCGCACAGACAACCCAGAACTGGAGTCATTTATGGCTTCCTCACCTCCTGTCGAACCGAATTATCCCAACTTCCCCGGATCGCCACGCCGCTTCCAGGATAATGATGTCAAGCCTCTCACTCCAAGCCGCACAGACGCCCACCGAGCCAGTCGATCGTTATCTGAAACTCCATCTTCGCTGAGAGAAGAGGAGAAGCCTAGGATCTCGAATGTTCGGGTGCTGAACACGTCACTGCCTCACGTCCATGAAGAACTCCTTCAGATTCGTGAAAAGGCCAAGGCTCGCGGCGAAGACCCGGACATGATTCTTCATCCGACACAAAATCAAGATCAGAAGGATGAAGCCGAAAGTCCCATCCCCGAGGAAATTAAGGATGAACACGGGAATCCCATTTATCGATCCAAAGAGGAACAAGAGGCCACGTCAAGAGCGTTAAAACCACACTCGCGATCTGTGACAGTTTTGAATTCCTTGCGAGACCTCAAAACTCGGCCCGAAGGTATGACGACGCTACCAACCGATGAAAACCGCCCACCAGCCTCGAAAACAAAGCCCAGACGGTGGCAATTTGGGATCCGCAGTCGAAACCAACCCTGGGAGGCCATGAAGTGCTTGTATGCCGCTCTCATGGCTCAAGGTGCTGAGTGGGAAGTCAATCCGTGGCTGCGACCGGAGTCGATGCCAGACGGCGAGGACGAGAAGGATGGCATTCCACCGCCTCCGCCAGAACTAGAGCCCGGCCAACGTCATGAGATTATGCAACAGCGGTTTTCATTCGTCGACGACGACTACTACATACCAAGAGACCCATACAATATTCGTGCGAGAATCCTAAAGAAGGGATTGCTGATGCCCGGTGAAGCACCATCGCTGTCCGCTCACAGTTCGGCGGTCAGTCTGCCGGCAGAAGCACAGAACCAGCTCAAGAAACATATCGAGCAGCTGGGATACGCCTCAGAGGATGTCAAACAAGTGCTCGGCATGAACTCTCCCAACGGAGGCCAATCATATGCAAAGACACCAGCAAGTAGCGGACACACCACGAGACAGAATACTGGAGGCGAGCCGGCCGGCCATAGCTTGGATGCTTTTACTGGCCCAGGACAAGTGTCCATGAGCAGACCTGACAGTCTCTCTGCGCTCAACAAGAAGATCCCAAGCGAGCATATTGGAGTTTGGGTGTTCATTGACATTCAACTGTACACCATAGAGCAAGGGACGTTTGTTGTGGATTTCAAATGCGATGGATACCAGAATGTCATTTGGCATGACGCGAAGAAGGAGCGCGAGAAGAACAAGACACCTACCAGCAGCAGCACAGTCACCAGTCCGACGAACAGCAGACCCACCAGTGGTTTTGGAGACATCAGTCACACGAGCTCTGATCGGCTCGATGAAGAGGGTGCAGAAGGCTACTGGAAACCGGTCAGCAAGCGCTATAAGAACGTGGAAAAGGAGATCTCCAGCCCTTATCCTTACCTCGATGTGGCCAGTGACTTGGTGGCTCAACTAGTAAGTCTGAGTGCTAAGGCTGCGCAACGGTCCTGACTGACTCTTAGTGGGGTGGCGCTGCTTGAACTTCTCTGTCTCTTTTCTTTCCCGCATCTCGGCGGATGTATACGACTTCATGATGGGGACGATATTTGCAGGAGCAAAAGGCGCAAGTGCATAGAAAGCAGGGAGCTCTGACAGAGAGACCATGGGATAAGCCACAAGACCTACAGGTTGTTGCTGGTCAGCTGGAATAGGTGCACGGGACTAAGGCGTTGTCGTACGCACTGATAGGCAAGAGCTCAGAAGCATAATGACAGGGACTTACCTGGAAAATAAAAGGGTAAAATGCATGGCCCAACCTAGATAGCCAGTACGTAGCCATAACCACCCAGTTCGTGAAGTGAGAGTTAATGTCCGTTTTCATGACCACTTAGGACACCAAGGTGATTGGGAGCACTTACTAGGGATCTTTGCAACCCAGGCCGTCGAAGGGTTATGGTGACATTTAATATTTATCTTGCCCCTCTCGAGGCACTTGACGTCTGCACTATTCGGTCGTGTCCGTAAAAGGATCATGAGATGAGTAGACTCTCAGGTCGCTGGAAATGGAAGCCAGAGGCAAACTGCGACGACACCCTGCTTGTTCAGTCTGTGGCGCCCGTTGAAGACGCTCGATTGGATCTCGTCATTGGCCACGAACTCGGTTCGGTCGCCTTGGGAGAACGCGTGGACTAACGTAGTTCAATTTTTGGGCAAAAGGCTGTCTCTCGCATGTGTCGTGTCAGTGCGCAAAGTTGTCCATTGCAACAAAAGTATGCGGAGCGAGAACAAATGTGCAAAGAGCTGGGTGGCCCGTTTCACCAGCACCAAGTTGCACAATCTCTCGTGCGGAGGGAAGAGTGCTCAAAGCTGAACTGCACACAGAAGCTGAGATTATGGGAATATCTCAGCACATATATTGCCATTGAACGTGCCGCTGCTCCGTGTTGCGTCGGTGCACAACTTCTTCAGGATACTTGGGGAATTCAATTAAAGGCCAATCCCACGTCCATGCCAAAGAACCTAGGCTGCTGGTGCGACTCATTGACCAAGCTCTGGGATATATCTCGGCAGGCCTCCTTGGAAAAAGTGCCATGCTTCGGCGTGTCTGGTAATGATAGATGAAGAGACGTCCGCCCAAGTAGAAACGCGTGTTACGTGGAACCACTTAACGCGGCTCGCGCGTACCTAGTGCAAGTCAGGTGCCTGCCAAGGAGCTAGTCAACGGCACCTCTATTTTCCGCAAAGTCATTTGGCCAGCTGACGAGTCAATTACCACCTCGTCCATCCTCAATATTCACGACCGACAGGAGCCGTTGAGAGAACACACAGCAATCAAGGATAGGACTGGCTGTCTCCCAGGACCAGGGTCGAGGGTCTTTGATTGAGGCATACAAACCAGTACAAACATGGGCCTGGCCTCAAAGCTGAGGTCTTGGTCGCAAGAGCTCACCCCATATTTTCTCTACCTCCTCGTAGTAGCAACACTTGGACCGCTGCTCTTTGGTTATCATTTGGTATGGCTTCTTGTCTTCTGATATCCCATCCCAGGCCCTGCAGTGCTTAAACCCCTGCTAAATCCATTATGAAGGCTGAGCTCAATGCTCCTCAAGAGGTCATCACCTGCGCCGCGAAATCAATCAAATCTAAGAAGAGCCCATCATCAACACTGGGCGGACTGCCATCATGCATTCCCATGAATTCAACTCAACTCGGGCTTGTCTCGTCCATTTTCACCCTGGGTGGTCTAATCGGTGCTCTCGCGGCCGGGCCATTGTCGGCACGCTATGGCCGTCTGCGTACTATGCGCGTCAACACCTTTTTGCTTGCGCTTGGCCCTCTCGCTGAAGCCCTAGCGCCCAACATTGGCGTTCTCTCGGCGGGACGCTTCATCTCTGGCCTAGGCGCAGGCGTTTCGGTGGTGGTGGTGCCCATCTATATCTCCGAAATCGCCCCTCCCAAGGAAAAGGGCTTTTTTGGTGCCTTCACGCAAATCATGACGAACATGGGTATCTTCACTACTCAGCTCCTAGGCTACTTCTTGAGCCACGGACAAATGTGGCGTATCATCCTGGCAGTTGCGGGCATGATTGGTGTCTTGCAGTTTGCTGGACTGGCGTTCTCGGTGGAGAGTCCCAAGTGGCAGGCTGCTCATGGAGAGCCACGACAAGCTAACGGCAATCTTCGGCGCATCAGGGGTCAGAAGGCCGAAATTCAGGAGGAGGTGGAAGGCTGGAGAGTCCAGGATTTTGATGAAAGACAAGGTTCGTGACCCGTGTCCTGTTCAGTCGATATGTCTAATCCTTGAGCAGAAGAAGAACGAACACTGCTAACAAACTCTGACCGCGAACCGCACGCGGACAGCAACACGTCTTCAAGAGACAAAGCACCAGAACCCATGGGAATCTTAGCGGTGCTCCGAGACCCAATAAATAACCGCGCCATCCTTGCAGTTGTCGTGGTCATGATGGCCCAGCAACTCTGCGGAATCAACAGCATCGTCATGTATGGTGTCTCTCTGCTTGCAGACTTACTTGCATCCAACTCAGCCCTACTCAATATTTTTGTGAGCATACTCAACATTGCCGCCACTACTGGCTTCGCACCCCTTGCCGACGTGCTGGGTCGCAAACCATGTATCCTCACATCCATCGCCGGTATGGGGGCCTCATCTATCCTCCTCGCCATCGGGATCCGCAGTGCAATCCCTGTTCTTTCCGCAATTGCGGTGCTTCTGTTTGTTGCTAGCTTTGCCTTTGGCCTTGGCCCCGTGCCGTTTATTTTGGCCTCAGAACTTGTCGGGCCCGAGGCAGTGGGAGCAACTCAATCATGGGCGTTAGCAGCAAATTGGATTTCGACATTTATCGTGGCCCAGTTCTTCCCAATGGTGAACGAGAAGTTGGGAAAGGGTGTGGTGTACTTCGTATTTGCAGCCATTGCGGCTGTTTCCTTTGTGTTCGTGAGCTGGTATGTGCCTGAGACGAAAGGAAAGAAGGACGCCGACGAGGTCTGGGGGAGGTCCCTTAGGCGGGAGGATTGAGATGTCTAGAAAATTATATGGACAGCTGGGAATGCTCAAAATCAAATATGCTCTGCTGAAGGGTTCTGGAAAATTTTCCTTCTTTGAACACAGATTGTTCCTGTGTCAAGATATTATCGGGCGGTTCAAGCGCTCCCTCCTCAGCAGTCCGCGATACGTCGGATGCTGGACTGACTGCTCGACCTTGATGAACTGAGTACGCAATATCTCAGTTGAGTGCTACCGTCCCCGTGGCAACCATCTCAGCAGGCCCAGATCATAGGAGCAACGAACAACATGTTACCCACAGGAATGGACGAAATCGGCCGAGAAAGGACTGCCCTAGGCTCGAAATATATATGCTATTCTGGCTCCTCTTATAGCAAGACTTCATCTCTACTTTATGCTACAAGAAGTCATTCAGATTAAGGCATACCAGCAGGGCGCCGATCGGTGGATCTCAACCAACTCCTCAAACCAAACAACGCAGTCTACGCAAGACGCATCTTGTTGATTCAGGAATCATCTGCTTGCCACGCCTGAGGCTTTTGTTTTGACCTCAAAGTGGTGGGCGCTGGGAGGCGAGGTGGAAGATGAGAGCTTTGGCAAATATCAAGTTCGGTGCGAAACAGTTGCAGTTTACAGAGCTTTTCCGTTCGTGGTGGTGCGACTTGACCCGCACGGGCACCAATTCCCACGTTCTGAACTGTTCTCCAAATCTGGGAGCTGAGTTATCGCCTGGTCTGGTCCATACGCGGTGGATGTTCTCCGCGCAGGAGATGAGCGATTCAATCAACGATGTAAGGGGACCTTCAGACGCCAACCAGCTTGAGACGAAGTAGTGCTTTCAGTACTATCAAGTCCACTGGCGAGAGAAGCTCTCTAATCATGTCGTTGGTTCTGGAGGTGTTGAGCTCACGTCCCTCCCGCACCATCAAGTTTCTGTCGTCTGCAAGCTGCACGAAGTTTGCATTAATGGAATTGATATTCGCAAGGGACCGACGTCCTTATCATGAGCAGGGTACAGACGGAGACGAAGCTGAAGTTTGAAGACATACAGAACATCGCATCGAAATTATTGTGCCGACGCTCATTCCCGTGCCCATCGTCCCCAGCCTCGGATATCAGCGACTGACTTTTCGTCAACTTTGCTTCACTAGGTCGCCATCGTTCGGCAAGACACCGAGCGATCGAGGCATCCGATTGACGGACACGGACTCGCCGGGTCATTACCATTGGTCTACGGAGGTAGCCATTATTGTTATCACCCATCAGCGCCCTTGAGAACCCTCTTAGGGTATATTCATCATTCGAAAGGTGCCCTTATCATGACCTTCCTTTCTCCAACCCAGGAGACGATTAAAAGGACAAAACGGCATTTGCTGCCCTCACCCTTACATTCCTCCCTGCGGTCGTTCGTATATACATGGGATTCTACATTCGGAGAAAAGGTAAGCAACCATGACATCCTCGTCGCTCGAGACAATCCCAGTCATCGACTTCTCGCGATATTCTACCGATCTGCCCTCCCTCGCTCGAGAAATCAAGCAGGTTTGCTCAACATGGGGGTTTCTTTATCTCAGCAACCACGGCCTTCCCCAATCAACAATCGATCGCATGTTCGACATTAGCTCCACGTTCTTCAAAACCACCCCTCGCGGAGAGAAAAGCTCGACGCCGTGGAACAGCATTGTCAATGCCGGTTACGATGCGAAAACCGGTACTGAAGGATATTTCAACGAGAATGGTGCTAAAGACCGGGTTTCAGCAGTGGACGAAAAGGAGGTATTCGTGATTCGCAAGCAGGCATCTTATGAGCAACCCATGCCGCCCTCTTTGAAGAAATTCAACCCAGAGATTCAGGCGTTCATGGGAGAAGTGCATAAGAAGATCGCTGTCCCGCTACTCTCATGCCTTGGTGTTGGTTTGGGTTTATCCGCCGACCGTCTCCCGCAGATCCATCAGCATGAAAGTCCATCGATGACAACCCTTCGTCTCATCCACTACCCTGCGCTTCCACCCACCGAAAGTGCAAAAATTCGCCTGGGATCCCATACAGATCAAGGTGTAATCACAGTCCTCTTCCAAAACCTTGTCGGTGGCCTCCAGATACGACCACCGAAATACACAGGCCCTATCCAGGACGATGAGAAATGGCTTGATGCGCCTGTCATTCCGGGTGCGGTGCTCATCAACATTGGTGAGACGATGACGTTTTTCTCCGGCGGGCTTATGAAATCCACCCTCCACCGCGTAGCTCGATCTCCGTTGCCCGAGGATCAGGGTAAAGAGAGGTTCTCGATGGCGTATTTCTGCCATCCGAATATAGATACATTGCTGGAGGTCCTTCATGGGATTGAGGGGGAAGATGGGAGGCAAGTTCAGAGAAAAGAGCCGCCGATAAGTTGTGTCACGGGCCAGAGGGTCAAAACAGTCAAGGAGTGGATCGAACACAGGCATTCAATGGGACGCTTGGAGAAGGTGAAGTGATTTCATCAGACAAAGGAGACCGTTCTTGGACAGTCCCCTACGGAACAGAAAGGGGCTTGAGCTGAACAAGACGACGCCAATAACCCATAGAAGTTCATGACATGCGGATTGTGTTATGGTGTGGTAGCAAGGCATATATTCCGTTGTCTGACATATTTCGACTTGTCAACTTGGCGGAGAAAAACAACTCGAACAAGCGCTGCCGCCATAGGTGAAGATGCATATCCTCAAATTGCGATGACCTTGGCATTGTTCCTCCGACCTCCGACTGGACTAGTCCCAGCGTTTTAAAAAATGGAGCATACCTCATTTATACGACCCATTTAGTATTGCCGACGGAACAAACCTTGACAGACTCAATCCAGAGAGGCGAGGCTGGGCTAGTCCTATTGTGGATTAGGCATACCCAGCATTCCGTATTTTCGCGTCGGACTCCACTCAAAGAAACTGACACCCGATGACATCCATCAAGGCATTTGTCTTCTTCACTCTGGCGACAAAGAGTATCAGGCTTACTACACTCTACTGGGAGTATGTTTATGGAGGCTTCGGAACCAGAGAAGAAATCAACAAAAATGAGTGGTGGAACCACCCATCCGGCGCACTCAGCTTTCTCGTATCCAAGATGCTTAATAACACCCTTGGCAGACGAATCTCGACGACCATCTGGGTTTATCTTTCAAGCTGACGTCAGTTTTTACGGTCCTTATCGGAATGTTATCTACAAGTATCTGGCCCTGAAGCCGGTAGTCGGTCTTGCGGCGAGATCCGACCCACTTGGTTCTTATGGAAGTGATGCACCTTACGATTTGGCATTTCAACGTCACACCACACGAAAATCTATTATGAGGCATTGGCGAAGGGAAATTTGCTCATTCAACCCAACTGGCTCCTTGCAGAGACACTTGGCTGGATGTGACATTTCATGTGCCAGACTTGCAACCTCAGCTCGATTTGGACCTCTTGGCTAGACCAGGGTACCTTCACAGTATCCGAGAGAGGATGCAAGACTGCACTTCTCAGCGCGTGAGATGCTCATTGCCGAATTCAGGCCGCCAACTTGATCGTAGGAGGAACTAGCGACTTCTTAACTTCTCATAGATAATCTCATGATTACTTGGAAGAAATTCGATCTTGCAGACGGTAACAGCATTCCGGGCCGAGCGCTCTTAGTCCAGACCCCGAAAGTGGAGATCTAACTTCTGGACGCCGAAGCTATGGATCGCTGAGGGTAGCTATATCTAGTATAGCTCAGCCTAGCTGGGCTGTCAAATGGGGTGGCCAATACTGAGCACCGGATATAAGTATCAACGTACCCGGTATTTGCTTAAATTTCACCGTCATGTTGAAACCTCCAGCACTCATAAAACCGATCAAGGTTCGATCGCTGTAGAAATGCTATCGACAACCACAATATCGCATAACATCCACTCGGCTTCACCTATAGCCCAGCTAGGGCGAGCTGCATTCCCTCTCGCTCATACCAGGAGTGCGATTCCAAGACAACACGCGGCGCTCTGGGTTGGGTCAGCCAACTACTCATCCACAGCAGGGACGCCGTCACGCCCATTCTCATCAAAAACCCAGCCCCATCCTATCGCGCCGTTCAGTTTCATCAACCCAGTCCCTCACAATGCGGCCAAGCTGGCTTCAGCACGAGAATTCTCGACAACACGTATAGCGAAGCTCCGTGATTTTTTCCCGCCCCAGGAGACCAAGTTTATTCGACAGACACCGCCCGCCTGGGTGCACCATGGCTATACCGAGGCCGAAATGGTGAATGTCGAAACCGCACATCGAGAACCAAAGAACATGGGTGACTGGTTTGCCTGGAAACTCATCAGATTCTGTCGGTGAGTTCCGCCGAAATGTTGAGAGAGGCAGGATTCGTGGGACTAATAATCGCATAGAGTTTGCATGGATCTCGCGACCGGTCTCCGTCCGGAACAACAAGTCGATAAGAAGAATCCCACCACAGCAGTTGAGGCAGCCAAGCCATTAACGGAGGCACAATGGGTGCGTCCTAGGCCATGAAATGCGTTTTAACTCTCAGCTGATTTTTAACTTTGGCAGCTCGTACGTTTTGTATTTCTCGAATCCATTGCCGGCGTTCCTGGCATGGTTGCTGGTATGCTGCGACATCTTCGGTCTCTCCGACGGATGAAGCGCGACAACGGCTGGATTGAGACGCTATTGGAGGAGTCATACAACGAACGAATGCACCTCCTAACTTTCATGAAGATGTGCGAGCCAGGTTGGTTCATGAAGACCATGATCCTGGGTGCCCAAGGCGTGTTTTTCAACGCATTATTCTTCTCATACCTGATTTCGCCAAAGATTTGCCATCGTTTTGTTGGCTATCTGGAGGAGGAAGCAGTGCACACTTATACCAGATGCATCCGCGAGATCGACCAGGGAATGCTGGAGAAGTGGAGTGACCCAGACTTCAAAATCCCCGACATGGCGGTGCAATATTGTAAGTCTCCCGCAATACAAAAGTCTGGACTGCTTCGAGTGTTATGCAGGGGACTTTTCTCTTTTTCCCCACACTCGTCTTCTTCCTGGTGCTAACGACAACTAACAAAAATCAGGGAACATGCCCGAGGGAAAGAGAACCATGAAAGATCTCATCATGTACATCAGAGCCGACGAAGCGGTCCACAGAGGTGTCAACCACACACTGAGCAACTTGAACTACAAAGAGGATCCGAACCCGTTTGTCAGCGATTACAAGACCGAGAGTTCAGGCCACAAACCCAAGGCGGTACTGAAGCCTGCCGGGTATGAACGAAACGAGGTTATTGGTTAGAGTGTAGACGATACATGTAAAATGTCTCTCTGGTAGAAAAAAAAGAGTCCTCAATCAATCTTATGTTCAGCCTCTTGTTTTTCTCTTTCGTCCTTTTTCTGACCAGGGTCATGTTGACGAGTTCAGCTTCACTATACGAGGGACTAAAAGGGAGATGAAATCGCGATACGTTGCGCCGCTCCAAGTCTTCCCATACTTGACGAGCGATAGCTTCGACCGAAGACTCTCGACCGGGGTCCAAGATGGCACGGCCACATGAATAAGGCCATAGCATGATCTCGAGAACAAGGCCAGATTGGAGCTCTTGTAACGATAGTAAAATTTCAAATATCAGCTCTAGAGTCTGCGTGAGTAACGGTGATAGCTCAGTAGAATGATTGGAGAAGCGGTCTTCCGGTGAAAGTACCCCTTGTGGCTTGCTTTGTGGCACTGCACAGCCACCTAGGGCGTGCCCTCCGGATTCCGCCCCTCCTACAAGTAGAGCGGGTCTTTGGCGTGAATTAAGATTGACTGCGCTCCATAATCCTCACGTATATTCTTGGATCGCGTCTCCCTTTCGAGTTGGAGACAGAAAACAAGTGATCCCAAATGCTGGGCTTCGCTTCAAACCATTCTACTGCACACTAACCCGAGGTAAGCATGGGAGCCGAAGAATAGACGCACATTTCATCCAAGAGTCTCAGGTAAAAAGCATTTCTGCACGTTGCTGCTTTCAGGCTACCGCGGCTCGACGCCCGAGGGATGCCGCGGTGCGTCTGTCTCAGGTTTGATTTAATGTTGTGTGTTCTATCGAAAGAAACAGCCAGGCAGAGAAAAACAATTCAAAAAGTTCCCAAGGATGGGGTCCATCACAGTGGAAACTTTGTCTGTACCGGAATTCCTGGAGCACAAGTATGCAGCAGAGCGGGACAAGCGTCTTCGCAGTGACGGAAATGCGCAGTATCTTAATCTCATTGATTCAGACCGTTTCCAGCACCTCGAGGAAGACCCATGGGTGGATCATGCAACACTCAATGCCCAGGCGCCTGTGATGACCGATGGATCTTCTTGCAAAGTCTTTATACTGGGTGGCGGATACAGCGGGCTAGTCTACGCTGCTCGACTTATCCAAGCAGGGTTCGACGCCGACGATATTCGACTGGCTGATCGCGCTGGCGGCTTTGGCGGAACCTGGTACTGGAACCGATATCCTGGATTGATGTGTGATATTGAAAGTTATATCTATCTCCCTCTACTTGAGGAAACCGGCTATATACCAAAACACAAATACTCCTATGGCCCGGAGTTGCTTGAGCATGCCAAAAGAGTTGCTACGCAGTTCCACCTCACGGATAAAGCGCTCTTCCGAACGACTATAAAGAGCATGGAATGGAATGCAGCGCAAAAACGGTGGCTCGTCAGCATGGCGCAAAATCGAGGCCCAGGTCAAGTGTGTTTAACGCTGACAATTCAGGCACAGTTTGTGATCATCGCTCCAGGCATCTTGAATCATCCTAAGGTGCCAGATATTTCAGGACTGGACGAGTTCCAAGGGCATGGGTTCCACACTGCGCGCTGGGACTACAGTTACACTGGTGGTTCACCCAGTGAGCCAGCATTGACCGGCTTGAAAGACAAGAGAGTGGGTATCGTCGGCACCGGAGCAACCGCAATTCAAGCCATCCCACAGCTCGCAAATGGGGCAAAAGAGCTCTATGTCTTCCAAAGGACGCCAGCGAGGGTAGATGTCCGAAATCAAATGGCGACCGACGAAGCCGTGTGGATTAGCAAAATTGCTGGCAAACCCGGGTGGCAACTAGCACGGCGGCGGAACTTCAATGCAGCCCTCGCGGGGGTTTTGGTTGAAGAGGACCTGGTCGCTGATGGATGGTGCGCAACACCCTCCGCAGCAGCTAGTTTGGGCAGTCCCGTGAAAGGAATCATCTCGCCAGATAGAGTGAAGGACCATGTCGCCGAAGTCTATGCCATGGACCAGGAGAGTTCTGAAAGGGTTCGTGCACGCGTGGGATCGATCTTCAAGAATCCTGAAACCGCAGAGAAACTAAAAGCATGGTATCCTGCATGGTGCAAGAGGCCGGGGTTCCACGACGAATATCTCGCTTCCTTCAATCAGAGTAACGTTCACCTTGTGGACACTGATGGCAAAGGTATCGAGCGGCTCAACCGGAGCGGCCTCATTGCTAACGGAAAGCAATATGATGTTGACCTTTTGCTTTTCGGCACGGGATACCAGGCCCCAGCCGCACACAGCGGGAGCCCTGCGGCCGCCGCAAAAATCACCATCGCCGGACGGGAAGGCAGGTCCCTGGAGGAAAAGTATCTCTCTTGCGGGGTGTCCACACTTCACGGGATCAGCTCGCACGGCTTCCCGAATCTATTTTTCTTCGGCACATCGCAGGCTGCCTCTGCTTTCAACATCGTCTGCATGGTCGATGTGCAGGCCCAACATATTGCATATATTCTGACCGAAGCAACGCGCCAGCATGACCATGCGGTCGTCGAAGTCACAAAGGAAGCAGAGGAGGAGTGGGCCGCTGAGATCGTCAAACGAGCCGCTTGGTTCGTGGTCATGCTTGGCTGTACGCCGAGTTGGCTGAACGGAGAGGGTGCAGGCTCCAAAGAGAACAGTGATGCGCGTGGACAAGTGAAGGAAGCCAGATCTGCGCCTTGGGGGGAAGGATTTCGCAGCTACGAAGACGTCCTCAAGTGCTGGCGCGCTCAAGGCGATCTAAGAGGCATAAGTATATCTGGTTGATTATGCTGTCCATGCATCAATATCTAGCCGCCGAGTTTCGGTGAGACTGCCTGCAGTTGACCTCGCAACCCAGCAGCAACCAGCGGGGGATTATTTCTCATAGGTTTGAGCTTTCTGAGACTTCGGCTGATTGATTTGCAGTTGAAGATCGATGAATCGTATTTGGGTATAGCGAGAGGCTAAGTGACGAGAATACTTCTGTGATAAAACTTGGTCATGATGAGAATGTTGAGATCTGAGATCCCTTGTGATCATATCGTAAGTCATCAAGATTCAGGGTAGAGTCTGCAGTGGAGGAAGCAGGGGGAGTTCAGTCTTCTAGACGGCCATGCGTTCCCTGTTTCTACCACGTTATCTACCTGGCTTTGGTTCGCCGGGAAAAGGGCCTCCGCATTTCCACCTGTCGCCAGGGAGAAGTTAGAAATTATTAACGATTATAGTGATGCTCGTTGTTGCCTGTAATCGATCACATAGGCTCAGTTTGCAAACCAAAATTTTCGAGGTAATAAAAGCCCTCCTTCCCGATCACCATGCCGGGTGTCAATGTCCCATCGAAACATAAGTCACCCCTATACGCGACATCTCCATCTGGTCAGCAATTCTTCCCTCATCTTTTTGAATTAGATTCGAGGGACGAGTTAAGCGCTTCTGGGAGCATCGGACAATTTTGCTCTCCAAGTCTTGATAGCGCTGCAACTTTAGGAGGTCTCAAGGAGTTGACGAGCCCCTTTCAATCTCTTCAACAGAAGCGCTCTTCTCCCGCTCCTTCAAATAAGAGACTTGGTCCAGCTCAGCCTGTCTTGCGGCGTCTTCAATGTGGATGGCCACTGGATCTCCGAACAACTCCTCAACCTCTTCGAGAGTTTTGTTTGCAGTCTCGGGGAAGCTGTGTCTCGTTAGCCATATCCAGATCCCAGAGACAGAAGGTCAGTATCAATACAACGTACTAGAAGTAGAAGATTACTGTGTACAAAGCGGTGCAGATCACAAAGATCATAAAGTATTTCCAGCTGATATGTTCGATGGCAATCGGCGTGACCTGGACGAGGCAGATGACGAATGCACTACCCCAGGCAGTGATGGTGCCTCCCAGGACTGCTCGAACGGGGGTAGGTAGGATTTCCGGGATGTAGGTAAAGACAAAACTGTTGAAGATGACGCCATATCCAACGAGGAAGAGAAACATGGCGACGACAGCCAAAATTCCGTAAGTCTTATTAAGGTTGTTCGTATTTTCAAAGGAGGCCCAGAACGCGCAGAGAAGGATGGATGACGGTATGATGATACCCAAGGCGATAAACATCATCCTGCGGCGGCCCCATTTGTCGAAAAACCAAGCACCGGGTATGTTGGAGAGGACACCAACTGTACCCCAGATGCCGACAAGGACAAGCGGCAGCTTACCGGAGATTCCTAGGCTACCATAGACAATCACCTGGTAGTTCTGGAGTGGAATGACGCCAGTTAGCTGCTGTCCCGTGCACAGGATAAATGCAATATAGAGACGTTTGCGGTTGGACGGGCGCTTGAGGATCGTGAACAAGTTGTCTTTCTGGTCTGCTTCAAGCTGGAGCTGGGCTCGAATTTGGTTGAACTCGCTCATGAAGAACGTATCGTCATCCGAAGTTTGGTGCATGCGTCGGAGTATCACTAGAGCTTCCTCGTGTCGGCCTTTCATGATCAACCAGCGTGGACTTTCGGGCATCCAGATAGCTCCAATAAGCATGATAATGGGCGGAACGACCTGGAGGCCAAAAAACAGACGCCAGGCAACATCGCTTTCGATGTAGGAAAATCCAAGACCCTGGGAGTCAGTCAGCACCGGCTCAGGTATGAACGAGATCGATCCATATTGACCATCCACTCAGTAATCGCATAAGCCAGAGAGATATTAATGCTATAGTCATCAGTCGTTTGCATTTTACCTTTTTCTCAATGCCACAGTACATACGCGTATAAGCCACCAATGCGTCCTCGAACGTGAGGAGGAGCAATCTCAGCTGCGTATGTGGGACAGACGGCGTAAACAAGACCGCCAGCAAAACCTCCGATGCCACGACCGACTAACATGACAGCGAGACTTTGTGCCCCCGCTTGCATGGCATTTCCAGCTAGCGCAATAATGCTTGCAAGAATAATGGTCCGGAGTCTTCCTATCTTGTTGGGAATGTAGAGCATGGCCAGTCCACCGAGGAAGAGGCCAGAGTAGTAAATCGACCCGAGAACACCGATGAGTGTCGCATCGAAGCCAAAATACGTGATGAACTAAGCCCATGGGTCAGCTGAGGTCGAAGTTTCACCAGACATATGAAGGGGGCAACGCACACGAGGGTACCCAATGACGGACGTTGTCAACCCAGAGTCATATCCATAGAAGAAGGCACCGAAGGTGAGGTAGATGACGCACAAAAGGCCATAGTTATTCATGGCTGCTGCACCTAGAGTCAGATGTGAGTAGAATTATAGTGCAGGTTCACAATGCAAGGAAGAGGCTGTTTGCTCTTTCGAATGGGAGAAGGAGGTGCCTTTATGCGTTTCTCCTGTTTCGGGAAAGAAGCTTCAAGCAGCAATACCCGCTTTCCAGCCCCCAGACCTCTCCAGGAAAGCGGAGAAGCCGGGGAAGGAACGCATCGAGAACTGAAGAGAAGGTCAAGAGAAGCCGAGCCAGCATGATCACGGCCCGACAGGCGAGGCTCCCCGGATCCCAATGGGGATATGAGCTCCCTCGGTCTTGGCTGAGTCTGTTGTTCTATCAAGGTTGCCGATGCCGTTGAGACTTCACGCTCGCTACAATCCCTCGGCAATGGCCAGGTTCAGAAATTAGACAAGCCGGTACCTCACCGAACTTCCTTGGCGATAGCCCGCTCTTCGAGCTGGCCTTTGACAAGTGCAAAGACTCAAGTTTCGTTGATATCTGAAATCGACAAGAAGTGTTGTTAGAGTGTCAGACAAATACGGGGGTCAGCGTGTAGTCAGAGAGTTGCCAGCAGCTGCTGGCCAATCATACCTAGTATACAAGAATCATAGAATGCCTAGGTCCACCTGTCTAAATCGGGTATCGCATGGAACTTTGCATCCACCCTAGGCCCAATTTATTATGGATGCAGCTCGAAGGCCGGCATTCTTCCACACTATCCGAGCCCTTGAACTATACTACTTACGGTTCACGGGAGCATGATCCACTGTGCGATACCAGTTGAGCTTTGCGAGATTGATGTTGCTGTCGAAAAGAGAAAGAACAAGACAAACGAGTCCAGGTCTCTACCGTCTCATCTATCAAAGAATATTCTGCACGTGCTGATTCTTCTGTCTGCGTCTCTTTCTTGCTACTCTTCAAGATAATGTACCTCCAAGCCCTCGAAACGATCGTCGGCCCTCCACTTCCTAGTCAGCTCAAAGAAGGCTGGGGAGCCTCCACCATAGATGACGTTCCTCTGTGATTTCAAGTCGTCGAATTCGCCTTCGTTGTTATAGTAACCTGGGGTACAGTCCTCAAGAAATTTCCGTCGAGGCTCCGCCAAGTCAACGCAGAGCTGAACCCAGGCGTTCTCGGCTTCGGCAGTGGGCTCAAGAGAACGGACCTTCTTGTCACAGGCCCGTCTGATAACATAGGCGAAATGCTTAGCTTGCTCTGCCGTCGCATGGAGGAAGTTTGGTGAAACGGCTGCCTGAACACTGTTGACGAAGAAGCAATTGGGGAATCCACGGCTCGTCCAGCCATGGAATGTTTGAAATCCATTCTTCCACTTTTCAGTCGTTGTAATCCCGTCTCGGCCGTATATCTCCATTCCCGTTCGCTGTGCCCAATCAGTGGCTAGTTCGAACCCGGTTGCATAGATCAGACAATCGATTTCGTAATTTACACCGTTCGCCATCACTCCTTCGGGTGTAATCCTGTCGATTCCTTCTCCCTTCGTGTCGACTAGCTTGACATTTGGCCTGTTGAAAGTCTGAAGGTACTGATCATGGAAGCATGGCCTCTTGCACATCTGATTATACCATGGCTTGAGAGCTTCGGCAGTCTCCTTATCCTTCACAATACTGTCGACGCGAGCACGTATGGACTCCATCTTCTTATAGTCCGCAAGCTGAATCTTTGCCGCAAGCTTGGCAGGATCCATGGTGGCGATGTCATCTCCGGTTTTGCGAGGCCATAGATTTCTCAGGATGTCGGTCCAACCGTCAGCGACTAGGTCTTCCTCAACATACCCACCAGCAATGACGGTGTCAAAGTTATCCATTCGTGCTTGCTGCCACCCTTTTGGCAGTGACTTTGCCCACACGGGGTCGGTCGGGCGGTTATTGCGGACGTCAATGCTCGACGGGGTACGCTGAAAGACATAAAGCTGTTTAGCTGCAGCGCCAACATGAGGTACGATTTGTACCGCTGTTGCACCAGTCCCAATGATCCCGACTCGTTTATCGGCCAGTTTCGTTAAATCTCCCCGGTTGTGGCCACCAGTATAGTCATAATCCCAGCGAGATGAGTGAAACATGTGGCCCTTGAAAGAATCTATCCCTGGCACTCCTGGTAGCTTTGGTCGGTGAAGAGGCCCTGCTGCCGGTATGATGAAACGGGTAGAGATGGTATCCATTCGGTTTGTTTCGACGTCCCAGCGAGTTGTTGTCTCGTTCCATTGGAGTTTTAGGGTCTCGGTTTGAAAAAGCGTTTTGTCATATAACCCATAATGAGTTCCAATTCGGCGTGCATGCTCGAGGAGCTCAGATGCATGGGTGTATTTCTCGGAAGGTATGTAATTGGTCTCCTCACATAGGGGCATATACACATAAGCTTCGATATCGCACTGGGCTCCGGGATATCGATTCCAGTACCTGAAAACGATGAGTTCCTCTTGTTAGACCGGAGTTCAGTGAAAAAGAACTATACCATGTGCCCCCGAAATCACCTCCCTTTTCGATAATCCGAAAATTTGTGATACCTTGCTCTAACATCCGCACAGCGCAAAGGAGGCCGCCGAACCCTCCGCCGATAATGATTACATCTGTTTCGAGTTTGATTGTATCACGCGCAAAGCCCGGTTCGACATACAGGTCGATGAGGAACTGCTCTGCCGCCTTGCTCGATGGCTGAATAATGGTGTACTGATTAATGCCACCGTTTTTGAGTCGCTTATCGCGCTCTTGTTGGTATTTCCTTCTTAGCGCATCGAAATCTAGTTCAACTTTCTCCGGGTCTGTAAAGGTGCGGTGCTCAAGGATCGCGACATTTTGCGGTTCGATAGATTGTTGGATGGCGACGGCCATTGTGTAACTGGCAGTTATTTGGAAATGCGACCACGACAGAAACCGTTGTAAATGTGGAAGTACAGTTAAGCTTCATGTACTTTATCTGTACACGCAATATCTTGGGCCCTGATCGCATGAATAGCGTCGGAATAGTATATCCTCGGTTGCCATTTTAGGAAACCGAGAACTCTGGAGTTATATTCCCTCGGATCCACCTGCATGAGCAGCAATTCAGGTAACCCCCAACGCCCAGGCACTTGCCATTTCATGGCGAGCTCCCAATATCCGAATGCAACGGGTCCAGGATGAAAAGAATGCCGAGGTCAAGTGTCTAATACCCGAAGTGTCACATGGCCAGACGAGTTCGCAGAGCTGCCCAGGCATTTGAGATAACAGGACGTTTGGCAGAAACTCTCGGCTGGAGGACACGACGCTTAATAAGGCGACTCTTAGAAGAGGATCTCATGTGAGGGCCAAATATGTTAGTATTTTTCTCCCTCTTAGCTCTGGACTGAGTCACTGAAAGCTTTGGCCGCCATTAAGAGCTGAGACGAAATAAAGTACGTTAGAAATCAGATAGCCTCTCCTTCGGGACTGCAGAATGGTGCTCAGAGATCATTGGTCGACACATCTATCGGAAATCAAAAGTCTAAGTTGATCACCTTTTGACGGTTTTGCGAAATAGAAGAACCGTACTGCCACGGAGAGCCGATAACATGATTCAGAAGAGACCTAAATGGGAACAGTGGAAATAGTACATGAAAGAGAGCCTGTGGCTCACACAAAACAAATATAGACGAATCAAACGAATCAATCCATGAAGTCAAGAATATTGACATCACAAAAACAGTTCACGCCGGGTTTGTTCCAGCCTAGGGTTACCCCTAGTCCTACAAGGAAGGTCGCGCTAGGTGGTACTACTGTACATAGAGGATAATCCTATTATTAGTCTGTTCACACGGTGCAATTGATTGAAGAAATTTGTTTCACAGACAAAGGTATCAGAAAGATCACACATACTTTTGATTTCCATCTTGCTCTATGCATTGAACGCGCAACCTCTTCAGTTGGGCGCCATATATTGTATCTTTTGCACGAGACCGCTGGATTTAACTCTTCTCGCCTGGGAAGGTCTCCATGTCTTCATATTGCGCCGCCGTTGATGGGAATTGTCTGTCCATTTATATAGCTGGAGTCCTCTCCAACAAGAAACGCAATCACTTTGGCGATTTCTGAAGGCTGTGCGAAACGTCCAACAGGAGGAGGCTTCATGTCTTCATTGAAGTCCTTTTTCCTCTGGGCAAACCATATCTTGACCCCTTCTGTCTCAGTTACCGCTAAAGCGGAGTTAGTTTGTGCGCTGTGCCACATGGATCAGGATCCCCTACAAGGTGCCACAGCATTGACCCTAATACCCAGAGGGGCAAAATCTTTGCACCATGCCTTGACCAACCCAACAACAGCATGCTTTGTTGCCGTGTAGACCGCCAGACTGTTCCAACCGAGAAGTCCGGACATACTTGCGACGTTGACGACAGTGCCCCTGGTGCCCCACTGCCCCTTTGGTTCCTGTTTTTCCATGATTCGCAGCGCTTGTGTGCCATAATTCCAGGTGCCGCGCAGGTTCACACCCACAATCTTCTCAAATGTTTCATCGGTTGCAATAGGTCCTTCGGCCGGCCCAATTCCAGCGTTATTGATTATCCCATCGAGACGCCCAGCCTTTTCCACCACTTCGTCCAAGAACTTAACGCAGGCTTCGCGGCTGGCGACGTCGACGCCTCCACGAAACACTACCTTTCCTGCATGAACTAGAGACTCGAGCTTTGTTGGAACATCCGGGGTCAATTCGGCTATCCAAACCGTGGCCCCTCGACTGCAGAGCTCAACCGTGGTAGCAAGGCCGATTCCAGATCCGCCCCCGGTGATGGCTATGGTGTATCCTTCCAGGGAGCTCATGATCAGTGTTCAATACTAACGATCAATATCAATGATAATAGGAAAAACAAATCGCTGTCGGAGTTAACAACGGGCTACATCTCTAATTGACATTTATGGCAAGTGAGGGTCCCAGAATCCGATTTTGGTAACCTCGGCTGTTGATGCGAAATGAAAACCAGTTCTCCTTCCTCAGATTTGCGCTCGTGTTCCCGAGGTAATCTCATGTCGGATGAGAGCAACCCCAGTAGAGAGCGGAGACTGATCGATCTGCCCCACAGCGATCTTGCCGAATGTGAAGCGGGCGGTGGTGATCGCGAGAGCGATTTTTTTTCCTTAGTGTTGAACAGCCCCGGCTCTAAACATGAAAAGAGAGCGGCGTACTGGGCACTAGCAAGGCCAATCACCAAGCGCTCGGCTTAAACAATCCATGACTTACAATCACTGACTTCTGTCTATTGCCATAACCTGTTGATTGCGGAAAGGTAGTTTCTGCAGGCAAAGCCGTCTATTCATCCTTTGAATTTACACTTTCAAGTATCGTATCCTTGTGGCCCTGTTTGTCTTTGGTAAGTACTTCTCTACGCGTGATCGTGTTGCGTCCGTGACGCGCAGCTTAGCGACTGGCTCGGATTACGCTCCTCGAAGACGATTGAGAAGTCAAGCCGCTAAATATAATGTATGACGAAGAGGGATGAGTCCGTTTAGATTGTGGTGGTCGACTAGGTTCAGTTGCCGTCATTCAGAAAACCCTGGTTCAAGATTTACGAAGTCCAAATTTAACGCCGTATGCCAATGAAGGAACTATCTAGTTTGCAGGAGGGACTGTGAACTTTTTAAATGCGTTCTAAAGGAACCAATTGTAGACAAATAGGCTACAGGATACTTGTCGTCGTTGAAGATCGATGCTGTCTGTCAAGGAGACAAGAGACCTTTTGAGTACGCAGACTCGAGTTGAGCGAACCAACCAGGTTCAAATAGGCCCAGACCAGCGTCAATGGTCTTGGAACTACCCCTTTGATTTGATCCGATACCGGATTTGGGAAGCAGACTGTCCGTCTAACCCAATTAGGACGCATAGATGCGTGATCCACATGGTATGTTGCTGCTATTGGGTGGCCATGATCCACCACATTGTCCTAAGGCTCTTTGTGTCCTTCAGAGATAGGAAATGAATCAATCAACATTCGTTCCAGCATGATGCACTCCAAATAAGATCTCCTCTTGGAATATATACAGTGATCAAACAAAGAGCTCTCAAGTATATTTGGCAGTCGCAGTTTCTCCAGCCTTGCGTTGCCCCATCCCATGCTGATTCAGCAAACAGAGGCTGTTGCAGAACTTCCGAACCACTGTGACCGTGAGATGGATCTTAAAAGCGACAAAAGTACCAATGTTGGCAGAGCCAGGATTTTGAGCAGGGTCACGATTTTGGATGGGTGTTGCCATTGATCTCAGCCGTCTCCGACCAAGTTGAATTGGAGCATGGTCAGAAGACGATAATTTTGCAGACAGCAAGTCATCTACCTAAACTCAAGGCCAGCAGAATCAAACATCTCCAATTCTGTCTCCATGTGCGCGAGAAGAACATACCAAACTGAGAACACGCAGCGGCCAAACAAAGACTAAGCCTTGTCACACGGCCTGCTGGTTCGTGTCCTGCGTTGACTGCATTATATCCAACCAACACGCGATGTTTAGTTCTCGAGCCCAAAGTCGAATGTTCCATGGTTGGGCTTCCTGTTCGCAAGACCTTTGCTTATTTCCGCCTCTTCGTACTCCAATGTGACCTTGGTTGTCTTCATGATTCCGCCGCTGGATTCTAGGATCTGTTCTTCATCGCTTGCCGCATCGCTGTAGGGACCCTTCGGACGCCCAGCGCGGTTGTTCATGGGAATAGCCGAGCCCCTGCCACTCAGTTTTTGGGCGTTCCCTTTGTAGTAGCCTTCAGATTTAGCGGAAGACGATTTGATTCCGAATATCTGAGGGAGGAGGCGCTGAAGCGGACTTTTCAGAATGGGTAGGGCGGCGCAGATGATGGACACATCGACCTCGAGGAACGTCCAGCTGTTGGATTGGGCTTGGTAGTCTTGGAGTGAGCTTCGTTAGTTGAGGGTTATCCGATATTGACTGCTTTGTGAAGGGTCTTTGCACTCACAAACCGAGTCCTTTTGAGAAGTAGTCGGACCGAGCATAACACATCGGATGATGGTACATGCCATGACGCTGTGGAAAACAAAGGATATCAATACAGAATTTCACATCAGCCCTCAGGACCAGAGCACAACACCTACAATACGCCGAGACTGAAGACAAAGATCAACCCCAGTTTCTGCGACATTGGCAATTTCAGTCTGACAATTTGATTGACAGGCATGGCGATGAGAATCAGGTCGGCGACAATTGTCAACACCGAGTTGGCGTACCACAACTTTCCGATATCGATGCAGTGACCCGGCAGAGTTTTCTTCCACGCTTTTGAAACCGGGCTGGCAGATTTGTAAGAACTTCTTGATTTCTTGCGGCAAATTGACACTTACTCGCATTGCCAGATACTTGTGCACACTGCTGCGGTGCAGTATGCCACCACGTACCCGATGACAGTCCAGGATAGGATCTTGAAGTTTCGGGTAGGAAAGATCCTCAGGTATAAAAGGACAATAGTTATCTTGGTCATGCCGTTTGCGAACTTGTACAGAAGTTGAGCGATCCAAAGCCACTGAGAGACTGCAGTCAGCACGGACATGCCCCAACGAGATTATCCGAGCGAAACTGAACCATACCTCGAAAGCTAGAATCTTCAAGTCGCTGTGTCCATCAAGCTGTTTCGTGTGCAGTCCCATGCCGTAATAGACCTCTGAAACAAAAAGTCAGCCTGTCGCGTGTCTTTCTGCGGTATACATACCCATATTGAAGCAAACCGTCATCCCAATCGCCAGCGCCTGTTACTCTCAGTCATGTTCTCAAGGGAAGACGTGGGAGAGTTCAAACCAAGGATACGACCAGGGTATAGTCATCCCAACCAGTCCGTCGATGAATCAGAAAGCGAACGAGGAGTCGACAGATGACAAGGAAGCCAGCGATTGTGCACATGATAATACTCACGTTTGCCAGTTGCTGGCCATGAGGATTGGGGGGCAGCCCAGCTGCTGTCTTCATCTCGATCTTTGTGGATCGCACCGTTCAATGAAAGTCGATGCATGGAGCCGTGAAAGGGCTCAAAGAGAATACAGGATGAGAGTCGCGCTGGCATATGAGTCGAGGACCATCGTTGCTCCTTTGTTCTCAAAGACTCGCCACCAGCGCTTCCTTGAAGTAGAGCCGAGGGCCCAGAGAGGTTGCTTCTCTGCGCTGCAACGGTCAGTGTCAGTAGTTAGGCTGAAAGGGGTGAGCTATCATCCAGCGGTACTAGTCAATGCAGGCTCTAAAGAGACGATCCTTCCTGGAGAAGGTCTATTTCCCGCTGGAGGGCAGATTCGGCGTCTGTCGCAGGGATTTTAGGCGTCCCCGGTGCCAACCTACCCGGCTAGCTAAATGAGCTGGTGTGTTTCGGACAGCCACATTAACTGCCAGGCCTGCGAGGGGACTCTCTCTGAACCGATTTCCAGGACGGAGTAAAGGTCACTTATGCTGGGACAGCTGGCTGGTAAGTCATATAATATTATCAGAGCTGACAGATGATTGTCTTCTTTTTCACGAGGGAGGTAAGCGTAAGTATTGCAACTGGCTTAGGACCTGTTGTTAATACCTCAGCAAAGTTTGCCGGAGGCAGGAATCCGAGCCAGAGGTTGTACTTGTAAGTGCGACCGAAATGCAAGGGGAGGTCCATGCTAGCGCTTCCGCGCGGCAAATGACCTCCATTACGGTTAATACCTACAAGTGAGTAGCTGTTCTCAGGCCAGTGGCTTCGATGGCCCAAGGTGGACCTCTGGAAGCCCATGAAGAGGCTTGGGCAGCAAGAGATTCCGGGGGATCACCCAGCTTCACCCAAGAGTTCCCCATGGCGCTTCGTCTGTGGATATCGTTTGACTTGTACCAGATCTGCATACTTGCGAAATCAATTGGGGCCGTAACACAAGCCGGTCAACAACGAAGAGGAATAGGGTTTCATCTCTCCTGGGTTGTCCCCTGCCTTTAGCTGCGACTTATTCTTCCTTCGAGGTCGAAGCGAAAGGGGGAATTGATCAACAAGGGGTATTATGCCGTGAAGATCCTTTCCAGACGTTAGTGGCTCTCGGACTTACCTAAATTTGGCGTATAAGCCGCCGTATGCTTGGCATTTTGGTCCCATATCACACCGCGTTAAACCCCTTGTACTCGGTAAGGGGTACCTATATCATTGCCCCCTTTCTTGTCGTGCTTCAGCCCAGTTTCCAGTCGCCCTATTTTGCCACTATAGCACTACTATTCTAACATTTAGCATAACTTCACCAAGCGGAGGACATGGGGCCCAACATTACTTAGTACCGAGTACCTCCTAACGAGCAGACAAATCACTAGCCAGGCCGCCGAAACTTGGTCTCATCTCCGAGTTCGCAACTCATTCCAGTTGCGGGCGCACTGTGCAGTTAAGCATGTCCAATAGGTATGGTTTTATTGTCAAGGCACTATGTGCTAACGTCGATTAAATCAACACTGTCAATTGGCATTATATAAATATATTAGGTACCAAACTGTATGCGATAGTCCTATCTATGTCTATAAGGTTGCGGCCTTCGCAACTGTAAACTGAATCATCCCAATTACTTCAGCATTTGCTGGACGGTGTGTAGAAGACCAAAGAGCTGAGTGCCTCATCCAGGAGAGAATAGTCAATGAGCTGGCCGGATCCTGGAATTATTGCATCGGCAAAGCTGAAGCCGGCAGGTACGGTCGAGAAACCCCCAAACTGACTTCGAACGTCAATCACGTTTAGTATGCCCTGACGATTCACTGTGAAGTTTCCTCCTGGAGACGATGTTTCGCCCGTCAAAGGATCAGTGGCTGATTTATACGCAGAAGTGGCTGCCGTCGTCGATACGTTCAGCTGCTTCGCGATTGCGTTGATGGAACATGTCTTGTATGAGGGATTGGCTAGGTACTTGTTTGCTGCATACATCGCAGACATAAACTTCCTCGCAAGCGCACGCTGCGTAGAGTTGTTGAGGGCATCCTCGCGAATGGTAAATGCTGACGAAGTGAACGGTTGGATGAAGTCGACGATGGATGCGAGGATGTTAGGACGTTGTGCGGCAGGTAGAACACTTCCTTCGCTGGTAAAGGGATACGTGAAGATTGTGGCGTAGACGGGAGTACCATCGGGAAGAGTGCCGTTGACAAGATCAGCATAACGGATCACCGTCGATCCAACAACCTGATCGAAAAGTCAATATCAGTCAGGAATCTCAGGATCGGGACATACTTGAAAGGTGTAGTCGCCGTTTTCAAGGTAAAGCCCGTACAAAGCAAGGACCTTTCGAAGGATGTATGCGTATCCGCTCACGGGAGAGTCCACCATCAACGCCTTGCCTTTGAGTTGAGAAATGGAAGTGACGGAAGGGATAGATGCAATGGTCAATTCCGGTCCACCGTCAAGCTGACCCGTCACTGTCAGCGGCTGCTGTTGATTGAAACGCAGATTGACGGCATTGTCAACGGTCCCTGTCATGATATCGTATCCGCCATTGAGCAACTGGTTGTACCCATATGTTGAGTTCGGGACTTGAAGATAGGTGACATTGAGACCATAGGCCTGGAAGAAACCGAGTTGGTTGGCCACCGAGTATGTAGCAGTTTGCGTGAATGCACCGTAGTTAATGGGCTGGAGCTTTTTTGAGAGCGAATCCGTTGTCACTTCAGCGCTGCTCGAATTCTGGGCGCAGACGACAGCTGCCAGAGTAAGGAGGTATAGGATAGACATGATGACACGCAGACAAGAAGAGAATAAAGAATGAAGAATGGAGGACGAAGGGATGAAAGCATGTTAAAATGTTGTTGGCAGACCGTTTTATGAAAGGATGAGCTGGAGATTTCCACGTGGATCCGGCGCGTGTGCCATGCAGTCGAGCAAGCAGATTGGATCATGTTTAGCGATTTCACCAGGTCCAAGATATGGCAATGTACATGGTTGGGAAGGAAGAAATCAACCTTTTGCTCGGCGAGATCGGTAGAACAACCAACGAAGCTTGCACGATTTCCACCGGTCCAAAGCTATGCTGTAGACGGCATTGATGGACATCCAGGAGGACTGCGCAACAGCATCGCTTAGACGGCTAATGGCCGACCATCAATGCAAGGGCACGGGCTTCGTTAGCCAACAGCGTATTTTGATTGCGCTCAGGCTTGCATAGCCATTATCATACTGTCGTTGTTTCGCAGCATGATCCCAGTGATATATTTGGGGCTCAAAAGGGAGATTTGGAGCCCCCACTCGGGCGTTCTCCGGAATGACAGCGTACCTGGACTTGTACGGGGTATGTAATGCCCCCCCGAATGGCCCGGCCTTAGTAGGCCCCTTATCTCTATGCCCAACTTGGAGCTGATAAAAATACTGGGTACCTCGTGTGAGCCATTGTCTTTCTGCGAGCAAAAGAGGGACGAAATAAGGAGGCGAGGAGGCGGGGAGGCGGGGGCTCTCGCAGCGGCTGTAAAAGCGGCGACGAGCCAAGCCCTGCTCCATACCCGAAATGGTATGATCGCCTAAACCCGAAACGGACCTTGCGGTATCTGCCTTTCCAAAAAAATGTTTGTAGGAAAGGGGGTACATGGTTTTTTTCACGTACACGACCTGCTTTGCTGTATCCTTAAAAGCTATTGAGCACTGTGTTTACAGACAATGAGCAAGGCGCGTTGTGAGAGTCCGAATGCCAATGTTGGGCATCCCGCCAATTGCTTCGGCAGGCTAGACTCAGCTTCGGGGACCAGAAAGTAAAAACTCTGTCAGGTGATGATCGCAAGAGTCAAATTCCGCACAATTGCCCGACGGATCATCTTTTCTCAAACTCGATAGACCAGACCATATCTGATGATTTCTGGACGACAGCGAGGTCTCGTGAACGCTCCCGGGATTCCCAGAGGGAGGTTATGAGGGAGGTCAAAAACAAGGCACAAAAATTCTCGACACGCCTGCAAGCCAAAGGTTGCCAGAACACCATGAAATGCTCCTGCTTTATCAAGCGCCTTTGATGGAGCCATCTTGCAGAGCATTGTGCTATCTTTCCCTGACGAAACAGAGAGATGTCGCAGACCAACTTTTGCGCGGACACGGCCGATCGAGCAAATCCTAGCTACGAGAACGCGTCTGCTATTTCTCCTCCATTTGTTTCCCCGCTGAGCAGATTCACGACGCGAGCAGACATAGATGGTAAAATTCCTTTCTAGCATCCACAACCTGGAACCACCTAACCGCGGGATAGAAAGCGGCTGCATCAATATTGACATCAGACGATCTAATACTGCCAACTCCGATCGTCTGTTCCCTCTGGTCCAGAGCCAGCTGGAGCAAACCGTAGATGTGGGCGGAGAATTTTCTGAGCGTTCCTGCCAGCCTCCGCTTCAGCTAAATATCGTGATCCAGATCGTGGGATCAAGAGGCGACGTCCAGCCGTTCGTGGCACTCGGAAAAGTGCTTCGCGAAGTACATGGCCATCGCGTCCGCATCGCCACACATGCAGTCTTCAAATCATTCGTTGAAGAACAGGGATTGGAGTTCTTTAGCATTGGTGGCAATCCCGAGGCCCTAATGAGATTCATGGTCAACAACCCTGGCCTACTGCCTCATTATCAGAGCCTGCGCAGCGGCGAGGTTTTGAAACAGCGAAAATGTCTCTATGAAGTTCTCAAGGGTTGCTGGAGATCATGCATAGAGGCAGGCGACGGAATGGGGCCACGGCCAACGAATGAAGACTATGCGAGCCTCCCGAAATGGAGTTCTACTCCAGCAAACACAAGGCCCTTCGTTGCAGACGTTATCATTGCGAATCCACCAAGCTTTGCCCATGTGCATTGCGCGGAAAGGCTGGGTGTCCCATTGCATCTGATGTTCACGTATGTTTGTCATTTTCCTCCTTGGAGAGATGGGCTAGAGCTAACAGTTGAGTTCCCAGTATGCCATGGACACCAACACAAGCATTCCCTCATCCACTTGCAATCATACGCTCTTCAAGTTTGGACAAGGGATTGGCTAATCTGCTATCTTATACTCTGGTCAACAGGGTTGTTTGGCATGGTCTGGGAGATGTCATAAACCTCTTCCGGCAGCGATGTCTCCATTTGGAACCACTCAGCATGATTTGGGCTTCCGGGATAACCCATAGTCATGACATACCCTTCACTTATGCATGGTGAGTAAAACAGCCGTTTCAGGGTGAAAAATGGTATTCTTACGCATTTAGGTCTCCGGCGTTGCTACCAAAGCCGCCTGATTGGGGCCCTAACGTTTCCGTGGCTGGATACTTCCAACTACCGCCATTGGAGTCCCCACCAAAAGTCCCTGGAAGATTGTTGGAGTTTCTAGCAGCCGGTCCTCCACCGATTTATGTCGGCTTTGGCTCAATTGTGGTGAAAGACCCCGAGAGGATGACCCAAATCATATTCGAAGCTGTTGCAGAGGCAGGTGTTCGTGCACTAGTTTCGGTGGGATGGGCCGGCCTTGGAGGCGGAGAGATACCAAAGAATGTCCATATTATATCTGACATTCCGCACAGTTGGCTTTTCGACCAAGTCTCCGCCGTCGTGCATCATGGAGGCGCGGGAACCACGGCGGCCAGTCTCATGGCTGGGAAACCAACAGTCATAGTGCCTTTCTTTGGTGACCAATTCTTTTGGGGGAAGATCGTCGCACAGGCGGGTGCTGGACCCCCTCCGGTTCCGTATAAAACGTTAACGACGAAGCGGCTGGCCACGGCTATCACCCAAGCCTTGTTGCCGTCCACTGTGGCGACCGCTCAGAGATTGAGCGAACGAATCCGAGCTGAACACGGGAGTGAAACCGGTGCTGAAATTTTCCAGGCCAAACTGCCAGCGTCCAAGTTACGTTGCTCGATTCTCACGCGTCGTGCAGCAGTTTGGAAGGTGAAGAAGACACAAATCCGACTCAGTGCGCTCTGCGCGGCGACCCTCGTGAAGGAAAGAATATTACATAAGCAAGACCTTGAACTGTCAGGCACCCACAAATACTGCTGTCTCCGATAGAAGAAAGCCATTGCTGACTGATTGCAGATACCGATCTCAGGAATACGAGCTCGAGCAAGGCCCGTGGGGTCCGATTTCCGGCACCGTGTCCACCTTAGTCAGTACTGTTGGCAGACTGACCCAAGAATTCGTCGAATTGCCAATCAACATTGTGCAGACTTTCCAGTCACCCAAGCCCGAACCTATTGGACCTTGCGACTCATTGTCCCAAGCAAGCTCTTGCCCCCTACCAACTTGCTCTGCGCCACCAAATCTGGTTTCCCTGAACGACAAGGCCCTCCGACCACTCGATTCCCGTACTTCGTATGTTGCAGAGTTGTTGCAGAGACGAACTCTTAACAAACAACTCGAAGCCGACCTTTGCGGCTCTCTGAAACGCCGAGCACCCTCCCGCCATGACCGGCGGGGTCGTCAAGTCCTTCAAAAGGGCAAGTCAAAAGAACTTTTGCAGACCATGGCAGACATTTCTGTCGATATAACGTCCAACGTGGTGTCTTCCCTGACAAACATCGCAGACCTCTGTCTGATGTTTCCCGCCAAACTGACCATGTCTCTTGCTTTGGGTTTCCACAACGCGCCAAAGTTGTACGGCGACAAAACGGTCCGCCCACCGCCGTCTACACGCGTGAGCACATTCAAACACGGCCTCGGGCACGGCGCACGAGAGTTCCAGACCCAGCTATCCGACGCTGTTACCGGGGTGCTGCTGCTCCCGCTCCACGGGGCCAGAGAGGACGGTTTCGTGGGGTTCACTAAGGGCCTGGGCATGGGGGCTGGCGGACTCGGGCTGAAGTCCATGGCGGCAATCTTTGGCTTACCGGCATACACGCTGAAGGGACTCCACAAGGGATTGCGTAAGCACGACATTCTGGATTTCACGCGGTATATCGACGCTGCGAGGACGGCGCAGGGCGAGGAGGAGTGGAACAGGGCTACGGACGCCGAGAAGAAGGAGATCATCAGGCGTTGGAATGAGATCGCTCCGAAGTCCTAACGGCGGTCTCGAAGAACAAACCACACATGCACATGTGGAAATACTGGTGGGCTAGACATAAAGAACGGGGTATTCGATGCGCCAAGTTTGCACTGCTGCATGCAAGCCTATGACCTTTGAGCAAGGCTAAATAAACAAGTGAAGTATATGTTGCTCGCAAAGTGTCATCACTACGAGCACGTGGAATAAGTCGCGTCAGTGCCTCCACACCTATCTATACATGTTCTATGATAATGCACCACAATCTTGCAGACTGGCAACGTTTGACAGGCCCATGCACGACGCGAAATTCAAAACCACCGGGCAAAATCCTACATATTCAAGGGGACTCGGAACATTCCGATCTTAGGAGTAAGCACCTACGCATTCAATCGTTCTGCATGAATCCGCCTGTATGCATATTCCGCAGGCGAACGGGACAGGTAATATGCGTAGAGGAGGGCAGACACTGCCCCCTTCACTACTTGCAAGACCAAGTGTAAGTGCTCCGTTCAGTTTTAGGCGCAAACAATACATTCTTGTGATCGCACGCGCTGCGCCTTGACCATCGGGCCGCCCTGGACCATTGCTTGGCTACATATTACCAATTCCCCATTTAGGCAAGAGGGTTGCGGGGGCTAAGTGGGCCCCGAAGCCGACTCCCTTAGTCATCCGCGAGGCCCTGCATTGGGGCAGGGGAGGGCACGGGGACCACCAAAGCAGAGGAGGGGCAATCAAGGAAGAGTCTCCCAGGAAGGGGGGAGACAGCGTCGTGCCGGCATCCGGAGTCCCCAATTACTTCTATTTAATACTCTACATGCGAAGTACAAGAACTCCAGACCCAGAGATATTCTTGCCGAGACGAGTCCTTTCAAATGTCTTCGCTTCCTTTAAGTAAATTTTGCGAATACGCGTATACGTCCACCTGTAAGTTAACATGAAAAGCCTGCCGAAAATGATCGCCTCTATTCGTTCGGTAATGCAGCCAGCGCAGAGCACGGCGGCCTGTGGAGAGGTGAAGGTGGTGGTGGTCAGAAGACGGGACAGGGGCCACGCTTCGTCCCGATCTGCTTCTCCCTGCTCCCGAGCTTATGTACTCCCACCACTCCGTACATGCACACTTATCTAAGCCTACAGATCGAACATGGGCTGCAAAGCGGCTCCCTGGCGAACCGAGGGCTTGGAGCTCATGGCTGCTGCCTCCATGCCCAATAATCTCGCATCTGGCCAGCGCCTCATGACATAATAGGAGAACCGCCGTTTTTACTATTGCCTTGGTTGGCACTTGGGTGTCAGCTTCAGGTGACCCCGCGAAAGGGGAAAAAAGGGCCTACAACAGACACTCCTTTCAACCTTATTTCCCTCGGTATATGAATATGTCAGATTGGGGGATGATGGGGGGATGTTGAGAAGCAAATCTATCGAAGCTTGTCCACCTCTCTTCGGCCACTGTGTTTTATCAGAACCACAAACATGGTAGAGATCGAGTTCCTGCTCGTGAAACCCGCACCGGGGACTGAATCTCGCCGCGCACAAGAGTTGCGAATCGCAGCGGCACGCTCTCACGCAGCACGAGTGACCCACCACAGAGCCAGACAGAGGAAGAAAGAGCTCCGGGAGGAAGAAATTGATGATAGAGAAGAGGGTTTCGAGTACGGTTGCTGCTACCATTCGTCCTCAAAGACGGCAAATAATGGCAAGGCTTTATCGCGGTGGATCCAAACACAAGGTGGTGGTCCTGCTTCCCGCAACCGATTGGTATGGGCTCGTGAGAACCATGACAGGTCTCCTGGTTGCTACTCTCCCGAGGATGTCGTTCAATCGACAGTTTTCTTGGGAACAATTCTCAGCCAGGGCAGGCAGGACCCTTTCGGATCATACGATGGCAGCAATCTCCCCTGCCGATTGCTTTCTGTCTTAGAAAATGGTGAGTGAGCCTGCGAACATCGATCAGCGTTCACCGCCCTGCCAGCCTGTGTTAGCATTCTGTTCAAGGCCACCAGGCACGAGCCCCTCCAGGACTGATTGAATTAATTAACATAGCTTACGAAGTTGTCTGGCCGAAGATGGTGCAATCTGAGGGTGATCAGCTGGCTGTGGCAAAGAAGGCTTGGAGACAGGCGGCTGTCCAGTATCCTTTTCTTTTTCACTGCCAAGTCATGGGTGCAGCTGGAGCTGCCTTGAGTCTTTGTGAAGATGAAGTGGCTGCCAGATATCTTTCTCTGAAGCGGCTTGAGCACCAAATGATCGCCATCAAGCTCATCCGCGAAGAACTGCATTTGATCAACAGTGGAAGGTCGGAGCCATCAGATGAGCTGATCATGGCGATTTTAAATCTCGTCACGTCGTCGGGAGACGTCAACGAGGCGCCTGGAGACGAGGTTCACCCAAAGTCGCCGCTCGCACAAGCTCAGCCAGTCGGGAGGGTGAAATTGAATGACACCCATCTTCAAGCTGTGCATATGCTCATCAAACGCAAAGGTGGACTGCAGGGGTTGCAATCATAGTAAGTTTCCCTCAAAACCCATACCCATTCTGGAGTCTGTTGCTTTTCCATCATTGGCTATGCGACTCTATCTTCAATACTAATGAGAATAAGTGCTTTGGGATATATGATCGAAGTGTAGGTATCCGAGATCGCAAATGGATGGGCTCTTGGTTAACAGCAGGTAGTGTTGACATTTACGTGGCCACCCTGAGAGGCAGTCGGCCGCTGTACCCTTGGCTTCATGGGTCCCAGGACCTCGTCGCCATGGGGAAACATATTCCAGACAAACACGCAACAGACTTGTCCGCTGTCTTGGGGACCGGCCTAACGGTCCTAGCCACCGTTGATGTCGAGCTGCATCAGCTGTATCTCGAGGCCTGCCAAATCACGATCGCCCTAGACCAGTATCACCGAGACGCAAAAGGACACCCTTCTTTATCCGATCTGGTGGACGCCAGAAACAAAACTCAGCACGGCTTCTGTAGCCTTGCCCCTTCGACAGATTCAGAGACAGATCCTTTTGCCGCCCTTTACGAGACATGTCGGCTTGCTGGTCTGATCTTCTCTGATATGGTAATATTGCCGTTACCACACAACAGCGGCGTCAAACTTCGCCTGGCCCGCCGACTTCGCACAGTTTTAGAGGCTTCTAGCTTGCAGACGAGCTGGAAATCCGCCGAGTATGGCAATTTGTTGATGTGGGTTGTCTTCATGGGCACAATTGCCGCCACCTTCACGAAGGCTCGTGGATGGTATTTACAGAAACTGCGGAATTTGATCGACCACCAGCAACTGGATTGGAACGGATTCAGAGGGCTGATGAAGACATTCCTCTGGTGGGACTTTGTGTTTGAAGCCCCTGCCGCGAGAATATGGAACGAAATGAATGCACCGAGCTTCGAGCGAAAGTCCGACGCCGTTTCCCAATAATGCCGAGCCAGGGCGCACCCCCCCCCCCCCCCCCCCCCGGGGAGCCGTGTGATGAGATGTCATCATATGTTATAGATGGCTGCGGTTAATGGCCCTCAAAAGTCTGAGAGACTCATCATCCAAACAACGAAAAGCAGGGATAGAGGAAGCTCCGACCAGCAACATCATGCAAGGAAGGAACCTGATGGACCCAGTTTCCAATTCCCCAGTGATTGGGCCCAATTCGTCGCCGAAAACAGTCGACACTGAAAGAATATGAGTACTTGAGTGGTGTTGTGTGACTCCAGAGACGAGCAATACTTCCGCATAACCTGGAACTGCCCAGCTAGGAAGGCACTCCACCTATCATGTATACTTCCTGAATGCAACTGTTCCCCCAACCCGGGAGATGGATGTTCTTCGCGAACAGGCTAGGATATTTCGTGCGTGAATCGTGTGCGCTGCGGACAGGGGGTTCCAAAATTTTGAATAGAGATTTGGTCTCCTCACATGGATAAGTAAGCCAGTCAAGTTGGAACTTTGTTTTCTCTGCCTCTCGCGACCATTGCACTGATATAGTCCAATGCTCACATTCCTTCCATCTTCAATGATGCCACATAATACAGACATTTGATATCCAAAAGCCACAGCAGAAAACATGTCATTAAGGTCATCGGTCGCAGGCGTCTTCTCGTCACTTCGATTTCATCTCCATCACTGAATTATATGCCGTTCATCGAATTTGTGCTGGTTGTCCACTGGTAATTCTACCGTCTTCCGGCGCCTGCTCCGGCCTGCGTCCTCCCATAGCCAAGTAGTCTCTGTTTTCCACTGTGACACTCTTCGTCATGTGATTGACCTTGTAGATACCTACCAGGCGCTCCGCGAGTTCGAACATGTTGTTTCGCAAGGAAATGACAATGAACTGTGCGTTCTTGGTACGCTCTTTGATGTAACCGGCAATAATTGATACCTACAAGACGAAGTCAGCATTCCAGCAGCAACAACTACCAAATCAGGAACACAACTTACGTTTCTGAAATCCAAAGCCGCATCAATCTCGTCCATCACGTACAAGGGCGTGGGCCGATAAACATGGAGCGCAAACACTAGAGCAAGCGAACTCAGTGTCTTCTCCCCGCCAGACAAATTGCCAATGTTCTTCCAGCTTTTCTTCGGAGGCATGACGGAAAATAGAATGCCCTCGGAAAAAGGATCGAGACTGTCCACAAGCTCGAGTTCAGCATTGCCTCCTAGCGTGATGAGCTGGTACATAGACTTCAGATGCGAGGAGATGGTCGTAAAGCCTGTCATGAACTGCGTAAGGCGGAGGTTACGTAAATCGGTCAGGCGAGTTTTCGCGGCGTCTCTTATCTTCACAGCATTCTTGAGGTCGCTCGTCCGGGATGCCACCTCTTCACACCGACGGCGATATTCAGCGATGACGCTCAAATCAATGCTCGAGGCATTGGAAACCTTTTCTTCGAGTGCCGCAATTGAGGCAACAAGATGATCCTTGTTTTTATCAAGAAGCTCATCGCGGGTAAATGTTTGTAGCTGCCTTCGTGCCGGCGTGCGAGGGGCCTTAGCCTGTTCTTCATGCTGTTCTTCGTCAATGTCCATTGCGTCAGGATCTGCTTCAGGAGGCGCGTCGGGCATTTCTTCTTCATCCACCGGTCGCTGAGGCTGTTGCTCGTCTTGACCTTGTGGTATTACTTCCAGGTCCACAATGTCATGTAATGTAAGTTTGGACAACTTCTCTGTCCAATAACGACTCTTTTTCTGGTTGTCTGCCAGAACCTTTTGGTTCTCCTCGAGCTTGTTTTTCGTTTCGATTTCAACGGCTCTGGTCGAGTTCAACTCGGCCGTTTTCGCGTCGAGATCCTTCTTCAAGCCTCCAAGTTCGAATTTCATTGTGGTCTGTTGTTCTTCAGCTTGATCCACCTGAGCTCGCAGCTCCGAGGTAGCAGACTTGTGCCTCTCGATATCCTGTTCCAGTTTCTCAAGGTCTTGTGACAATAATTCAAGTTCCTTCTCTGCATCCGATCTCGTCTTTTCATTCTTGGCCTTGAGTTTTTCGTTCTTCGTCTTTGCTACTTCAGCATTCGAGATGTCATCATTCAACATGTCGATTCTTTCTTTCAGGCCATCGACCAGAGCCTTCTGAGTTCGGAGTTGAATACCACCAACTTCCATGATCTGGTCCTGTAGAGCTTGGATCTCGGCTTCCACACTAGCCGTCTCGGAGCGTAGTTTTGCAAGTTCTTTTTTCGTTAACTCAATGTGCGTCTGAAGACGTATCATCTGAGAGTCGTCTACTGAGGTGCTAGCCAAATCCGTCGTGAGATCCTGGATACGTCTCTGCGCGTCTGCGATATTCCTGGCGCAGGTCTCTACTTCAAGATTGGTCTTCTGAATAGCAGTTTCCAGCCGAGGGATTTCCTCTTGTTTTTCTCTCAGGCTTGCCTCGAGATCTCTTTGTCTTGTCTGAAAAGCCTCGAATTGCTTCTCCAATTGATCGCGATCATTCTCAAGCTTTTGAACTTGGTCTTTCGTTGTATCGGAAGACAGCTTAGACGACATCGCACCTCGTGCAACGCGAGTTCCGCCACCGCTCATAGTGCCAGAGACGTCAATCAATTGACCGTCAAGAGTGACTACTCGCCATCTCTTGGCACCGTAAGCAATGCGATTTGCCTGCTCGAGATCTTGCGCAACAAGCGTATTCTGCATGATGCTGTAGAAAGCGGGGCCAAATCGCTCATCCTTAGGCCTGATGAGGTCAAAAAGTCGAGGCACATTCTCAGGAGTTTGTATGGGAGACAGGTCACGGTGGGCTAATTTGTCGAGAAGAATGAAGTTTGCTCGTCCTAGGTTGTTCTTTCGGAGGTACTCAATACACAGCTGGCCGACTTCGACATTGTCGACAACCATATTCTCCAACGAAGGACAGGCAGTTGAAATGGCAACGTCAAACTTTTCATCGATCGTGCCCAGATTGCCGAGGCGACCGTGGAACCCATCAATTCGACCAGAATCCCTGAGGCGCAACAAACCCTTGAGGACGTTGCTTTGATTTTGACTGGTTGCGAGGCTCGCACGAGCCTCATCCGCCTTCTGTCGAGCCGACGATATCTGTGATCGGACCTCGGGTTCACTAGCAGCGAGCTTTTGCAAAGCATCTTGGATCTTCCTAATATCCTTCTCCAGACGAGTTTTTTCGTGTTTTCGTTGTTCAATTTCTCCAAGCTTCGTGGTCTTCTCTGCTTCAATGCTTGCAATCCTTTCGTTGGCCTGGTCTATTGCTTTTTGGCCACTATTCGCTTTTTCCTTGAGAATGTCGAGCTCGGATTGCGCAACGGCAATTGCTGATTGCTTCTGGTTGATCTTTCTATTCCACGGCTCTAACGATTTTTGTTTCGCCGCAATCTGATCGGAGAAGCCATGGGTCTTTCCCTTCAGATCCTCCCTGATGACAGCCAGCTTTTGCTCCTCTTGCTCCATCTCTTTCTCAAGCTCAACAACTTGTGCACTTTTCCGTTGGACGTCATCCGTGTGTTTTTCGACAAGACTTTGGGCTTCAGATACAGCCAGCCGACTGGAGGTGGCGGTCTTTTCCGCCTTTTTCTGCTTTCCACTGATGAATTTGCGCTTTTCATCAAACTTGACATTCTCTTTGTCGTACTTTGCGAGCTCTTTATTAAGCTCTTGGGCCTGCTTCTCAATACGCTCATATTGCTTGACAGCTTTCTGGTAAGCCTTTTCAAGATCCTTGATGGCATCTTCACTGCCAGCATGTTTCTCCAGCTCGGCATTGAGCTGCTCCTGAATTTGCTGTATAGCCTCTTCTGTGACCTTGGTGTTGTCTTCGCATTCGGCGATGTAGATTTGGTACAGGGCTGACTGCTTTTCGGCCAATTCGTTTTCATCCCGGATAAATGTCAAAGCCTTGTTTTTCTTGTCTTCGAGACTGTTCTTTTCTTTTTCGACATGCTGAACGCGACCTTGTTTTTCAATGCAAATCTCATTGGAACTTTCAAGCTCGACCGCCGCTTCTTCAATGGGTGTCTTGTACTTTGAGGTTCCAATGATGTCCTCAAGGTACTCCAATAGCCCGTCGTCATGTTCGTTTGCGGCTTTCGGCTTCATCTGTGCGATCGACTCGACCTCACCCTGTAAGATCAAGAATCGCTTGTGGTCCAGATCGATTCCCTTATCCTTCAGCAACGTCGTCACTGTCGTAAAATTGGTTGTCCTGCCGTTCAAATAATAGTTGCTGGAGTTGTTCTTGAATGCTTTCCTTGAGACTACGAGTTCCGAGTCTGGGACCACTTTGTGTTTCCCTCCCGGTAGATCAATGATCTCTTGGAAGTAGACTTCAACCTCGCAGAAGTCAAGATCTTGGTGGCGCGCCGAGTTGTGGATCAGCGCTGAGATTTTGCCCTGTCTCATCTTGCTCGCCCTGAAACCGAACACAAAAAGTAAAGAGTCGATGACATTGGATTTCCCAGAACCATTGGGTCCAACGACCGCAGAGAATGAAGCATGAAATGGGCCCACCACCTGCCTCCCAGCATAGCTCTTGAAGTTTGTCATGACCAATTGTCGAATGACCATCCTAGAATTGGGACCCGTAGGCTCTTCCGCACTCGGAACACCTTGCGCCCGTGCCCGTATCACAATGTCCATGGGCTTCTCTAGCATCACATCTGCCGGTCTCGGTGGCTTGCGCAATTCTTGATCCGCGTCCAGCTGGACATTTTTGTTCAAGGCCCGACTCGTAATGTCCTTCAATGGCGTTCCTGGTAAGTTGTCAGGCGCAGGGCTGGTGGCAGTGTCGGGAGGAGGTAGTTCAGGAAGGGGAGGGGCAACTGAAGACCTCTGGCCCTTTCGAGGAGCTGCACTCTTTCGTTTTCGGGGCGACGCAGTCTTAGATGGGGAGGGAGGTCCGCTGCAGGGCACAGCCTCTTCTGCATCAAATATTTGTGAGGGTTCGATCCCTTCGCCGGTCTTGACTTTGC